TCGAGTTTATAAAACGCAAGGTTATTGTTACATTATGCATTTGCAACAACAACAATAATGAAAAGCTTTTGATTCATGCATGTTTGCTTAGTTGATGCTGTGTGTGCTATGGAAAATCTTAGCCTATGTTTAGTAAGTTTAAAATACAACAAGAAACATATTTATTTACAAGATGAAAAGAGAATAAGAAAACATAGAAACGAAGAGAATCTCCAAACAAATATTTGTGTGTGTGTGTATGTGTGCAATTCCGTAAGAGCGAATAATTGTTTATTGCGTAATAATATAACATACAATTGTAGTGTTTGATTTATCTGATAGTCTCCGAACATATTTCATTCACTAGAATTTTATATTTTATTGCATCGTGCGCACTTGCAGGCATTTATTTTGAAACGCGACGGAACGAAATGAATAAATAAAGAAATATTTGTTTGAAAAGTTTTCAAAAGGCAAAGCACAGAAAGTCTCGTAGCTGTAATTGCGCATAGATGCATGTAATATGTCATTTTATTATAGTTGACATCCTCGAGTATAGTCAAGCATCATTGATTCAACTTAATTGCGAAATTGTCTTTTCACTCAAAATTTGGCTCATGAACACATAAATCGTAAACTAATTTAGATTGAAACTTTGGCCGAGATCTCTCCGTGAAGCTTTCAAGTCTAAATTCTCAGAAAATGAATCTTAACTTTATCGATTTTCTTAATCAATAATGTTCTTTGTGTATTGTTTGAAATGTGTGTTGATTATAGTGGTGAAATGAAAATGCATCGTTTAAAATTCATGAAATAAAGTTTAAATTGTCAAATATAAGAAAAGAAACTAAAAAGGAAGGAAGACTCGATGCATGCAATCTTAATTGAAGAGACAACCATGCTATGTGCATCGTAATTGTGCATATGCTTTCCACTATACAATGAGAGTGGCAACACGTGTCCGAATTATAAATAAATATATACATAAACTCTCATTACATAACGACGCGCAACGACTATGCGATGCAATTCACAAAATAAATGAAAAAAATTTTATTTGCATTTACATCTCAACTGAGCATTTTTATCTTTTCTTTTTTTATTATTATTGAGAAGAATCAAGAACGAAGGCAAAATTGAAGAATGAAATTAAATTTCACATATGATTGAGTCAATTCTTGTGTTTTCTGAAATCAAGCAGAACAAAAAACTTCGTAGCCAGGTGGGCATGAATGCAAAACCATTCAGAAATTCTCACTTTCATTTCAATGTCACGGTCACAATCACTGAGGCACTGAATAAAAAGAACTTTCAATAACGCTTGTTAATAAAGTTGCATTCATCACCCAAATTTTAAATTCCTTCAAAATGTTTGTCACATTAAATTTCATTGAATTCAATTTTTTTTTACAGTTATCATGACGTGAGTTACTAAAAATCCCACCGCAATGAAAAACAGAATAAAAAAATGCATTTTGTGGGATATTTTTCGCTTCAACAAATTCAGCATAAACTTCTTCCAATTTCAAATTTGTTTTATCGCTTCGATTTTTGTTTTAAGGAAATAATTAATTTTCAATTTCAAAACTACATGAAACAAAGCTCAAAAACGAATAAAATTTGTGTTTGGATCATATGCGGACAATTGAACAAGTAGATTTGAAGTATAATTTGCAATGGTAATTTTTTTTCCACAATTTACTCGAATATTAACACAAGGGGAACGACGAAAACGTTAAAGGATAGCAATTTCCCTTCCTTCACCTTGAAATTGCATTTTAATATTAGAATCAGCGTCTAAACAATTCCAACACTCGCCTTTTAGTTTTTTGTTTCTTTTCTCTTCTAAACAATTGCATGCATTATTATTATGCTGTTTGCAAATCGTGAGCGGCGTTCACAGGGGGAAATATTTAAGCAAAATATAAACGGATAGTTTTTTGGCAGACCATCTGGTTTTATTGGCTTCGCTTAAACTTGCAGTCAATTTTTAATTTTTTTGTTGCCTTTCATTTCTGGTTATTTTTTAGTTAGAGACGATCGTTTCACCTATAAAACTTTTCCTAAACTTTTTGATAACTTTGTTTTTAAGAACAACTACAAGAATTTCAAGTTTTCCAGCATCGCTTCAGTCTTTGATTTGAATAAATTTTCACTTGTTTGAAACGTGAGAATTAAACAAAATATTATTAAAATGGTTATGAAATTCTATGATCTATGATTTGAAGCGGAAGAAGTTTGTTAAAGAAATCAAGGTAAAGTCAATCATAAGCTATGCAAAAAATCAAAGGTTAATCTAAATATGTACCTTAATTAGGTCAGTAGAATTTATTAAACAACTTCACTTGAATTTTAAATTGTTCAATTATTATTTGTTGTGCTTCTTATGTAGAAGTAAGAAAAACTTTTCCAATTCTTTTCCACAAGAAAATCTTCACATTGAACTTTAAGTTTTCTCAACAGGAAGTTCTATAACACTTGAGAAAGTTTCTCTTTCGATATATCTTTTCTGGTAATGAAAACAATTTTCTTAAATGTAACCTCGACCGTCAAAAGTTAACTCGGAACTGCATTTGTTTTTGTATCAATCTCATTTTGTTGCACTTTAGAATTTTCTGCCGTTTCGCGAAACTTTTTTTCACGAATTGATTTCTAAATATTTTTAGTTTTTATTTCGTAGAAAGGCTCTGCATCAAGCCAAAAGACGTGCACATTCTTCTCAGCGCGAGATGCACATACACAATTGTTCATTTTCGATGCGATTATGATGATGTGGACGACATTCAATGATCGCGACCTTGGCAATGAGAATGCGTTTTATTATTATATTTTGTGTTCGTTTCTATATTTCTCTTGGTTTGCGTTTATAATTCAAATTCGTGCCATCACATCACTTCAAACATCTCACTAATGTATTCAAATGTTTTGCTCTCATCGTCAATGAAAAAAAAAGTATAAAAAAGAGAACTTTTTTAGTGTTGCACTCATAAATATCACACAAAATGAATCTTCATTGCAATAACTCCGCGTTAAAAAAAGTTCATTTCATTTTATAAATAGACTGCATATTAAATTATGCATATGGGTAGTTTGAAAGGGAATACTACACACATTCAATCGCATCTGCATGTGGGGGGATGAATGGTGGAAAACAAAACTTCGATTACGATGCAAACGACAATTGACGAACATTGTGATGTTTTTTGTTGCCTTGTCAAGGCCTAAATTGAGTGAAGTTGATTGCAAAATTACTGCAGTTTCATCAGTAATGGCTTCGTCGTGAAACAATCAAAAGATAAATTAAACATTACGCAATTTCTCTCAGCAGTTATTTTTTAAAACTTCCTAAATATCAAATCAAATAAAACTATCAAACGAAGGGCAAATCTTCATCACGCCACCACCTACAGAATGAGTCGTTTCTTTATTGCAAATACATTTGCAACTGTAATAAAAAGTGATATGCGAATGAAAATAGATCATTAGCAAGGTGTCCGTTGAAACTATTTGAAGCTCGTAAATTGCGATGGATGCAATGAAGTTTAAATTAGATGCGCTACGGCTTCAATTTCGCTCAAACCCACGCGAACTGTTTTTGGCATTTCGTGATCGTTACAAAAACAGAAAAATCAATAAGAAAAACTTTTTTAAGCTCAAACTTTGTCAATCGATGAAAAAGTATTTACGACATTCAACCACATGCTTTTTAATCGTAATTACATATTTTTAATGTTCATAAATTAAACGAAACAAATATTTGCGTTTGACTTTTAATGATTCTCAGTGTCATAAGTTTATTTGCACTTCTATAAAACTTCTCAGTCTCCATCGAAAAGCTAAAACTATCCGTAAGAGTTTCATAATTACCTTCTTATTACATTTTACATTCTTGAAGAAGTATCGTTTAAGCATTTTCATGAATTTAAATAAGGAATGAAAAAAAAAACACAACACAGAGTAAGGAAGGCAAACTATAAAGACATAATTACCAATAATTTATTGTGTACAGGTTTCATTCTCGCACTGTCTCGAAGGAAAACTAACAATAAATTTTAATTAACTTAAGTTTATTTATTTATTTAAACAATTTTTAGGGTAGAGGAAAATGTTTGATTCTGTTTTTTATTCCTGTAAGAAAAAGATGGCGAATTGCGATGTAAGCAATAAATTCTGATGCAGGCAGCACACATGATTCATATCAAGCTTAACATTATTATGCAGAAACGCAAGATTAAATGCAAACATTTAGAGAGAGAAGAATGTTTTATGTGAATTTTATAATGCTTTTCTTATTGTTTTCTAAACAAATGTTCATGGAAGTAGAAAAATGTAAGAATTGAACATTTGCAACCGTTTAAAGTCATTCGTCATCGGCAATCTTAATTATTTGTCTTGAAGGCAGAAAATGAACAAGAGACAAGAAGGGATTAGCATTTTGATGGAATAAAACATTTTAAATGATTTTTGATGGGGATTATTATGCCGTGTTTGTTGCAAAAAGTCGACAATTGAATTCGTTTTTAGTTAAAATTAAAAATAAAGAAATTATTTGAGCAGTTGTTTCAATGATGAGACTTCGTTTAAAATTGACAAAAATAAAGTTCAATGAAATTAGATAGTTAGTAAGAAGATCTCTTAAATGAAAGGAAGAGAAAAGCTGTTCGTTCAAGTAATCCGATCGTTTCTCAAGTTCGGAAAGCTTTAATCTTGAACTAATAAATCATTGGATAATTACACTTTTTCCCGTCTTAAGCTATATAACTTTGTGCACAATCCACTCGGCATAAAATCTTTTATCTTATTTAAATAGCAAATAGAGTAACTTAATACATTGTTGAAGAAATTTATAGATACTTTAAATTGTAGCAAGATGGGTCGACTCGAGACCAGCTCGTCGTTTTAATACGTAAATTTTTTCTTTTAATTCAAGACCTCAGTATTCTCTTACAAATTCCAGTTAATTAAACGACAAATATCACTAGCTGAGCGCGAAAACTAAAGCGTTTAGTTAAAAATGTTGATTACAAGTATTTATTAGTCATTAAAAACTACATTCGAAAAGAAATAAAAAATAAAAGTAGAAAAGAAAACATAACTTTAATAATGATTAATTCTTCTTTCTCTCTTCCCCTCCTCCCCCCCACTCTTCCCTCTACTTATTTTTTTTTAATGACACGGGAATCAAAAAGCTCTTTTCTTTTTCTTTTCTATAATCCGGATTTCTTAATACTTTATTAAGACTTGATATGATCAATTTGAAAGCAAACGAACGATTGGTTTAGGGTGCGAGTTCGTGTAATTAATAATCAAATAATTATAGCGCAACATTTTCGCTATTTAACTAGATGACGATTAATTTATTAGTAATACAAAAGAAGAAAAAGAATCCCGTTCTTCAACTTCTTTATCAAGCAATATTAAATAAGTTTACGATGATATTTTGAGTCCACTGAAGTTGTGCTGCGGCTTGCAACTCGCAATCATCAACGACAATCTAGCTAAGCCGTGCACACGCGGAAAAGCGATTTGAAGGCGTTGTGATAAATGTTTCGCTCTCTTATCAGCGCTGTCTTGAGTGATGATATATGAAAAAAATATATTACTAGTCGTCGTTGCATTGTCAATGTCGTTGCGTTAATAATTTATTACTCTATCGAATAAGAAGTAAGAAAAAAATCAAAAGAAGAGGAAAAATAGTTTTGCAATTTGCAATAAAATTCACTCGACCGATATGTTATACATTCATTTTTTATTTCATATTTTTATTTTTCTCAATTTATAATATTTAAAAACACGAGCTAGGCTTTTTTTTTCGCACACTATCGCGAGAGAAATAAAAAGAGCAGCTTTGAAAATGTATGCACGGCAGTTGAGCGTATATTTAGCATTTTATACTTGACATTGACAGTCAAAATGAATAAATACGAGTTTCAACGTGAAATGTTTCTTTATGTCATTTAACTTCTTTTTTTTTGCCAACGCATTTCTTTGCGATAAGCGAGAGTTGTAAGCAGTTGTTCTACTACAGTTTCATTGGAAGACGAGTGAAATATTTCAAAGCAAACGTTAACAATTCGCACGAGTAAGTTAACGCAAGCGAAACGACTTTTCTTCCCTCACTACATATGTTGCAATTTATTGGATTAATTGTGCTAAGAGAGACCATCACGATTAATTATAAAACACGCGACGACTTGTCGACTCACTTCATTTACAGGAAAAACTTGAAAGTAACTTTAAATATGATGACGTTTGATCAGGATTAAGTGTAATTAGGTCTGGTCGATGGATGAATTGAATAAGCGAGAGCTGCAAATGTGATAAGCGAGATTTGCAGTCTCTCATTGCGTTATAAATAAATCAATATAACTGCCGACTTTTTATTTTATTTTTTTCCTTACAAATGCATGAAAATCTTCAACTAAACTATAAAACAAAATTAATATTCATTAGCGTTTCTTACTTGTAAGTTCTATTTTTTTTCCGCGTTGAACAAGCACTATCGCTTTCTCGAAAAACTATTTTAAAACTGCATAGATTCATTTTTTGCACATTTCTTATTGCGAAAAAATATTGTAAATTTGTAAGATTGTCGAGGCAAGCAGAGAAGAAGGAAAATGTGTAGAAATGGTTGGAGATTATAATTGAAAATGTGAAAAGTCGTAAATTTGTACGCCAACGAATCTGTTGGGAAGCAGAGTTTCGAGGCTCTTGCCTAATAGAGAAGTGGAAACTGAATGCATAACTGATAGGAGAATGCGCGCGGCAGTCATTAAGATTTATTGGAAGTGAATCAGATTTATGAATAATTGAATGGGGGAAGGCAAAAGTCGACGATGATGTTTTTGTTGCTTTTAGCAGAAGAAAAAAGCTCTTTATGATAATTTTGATTGTTGATAATAGATGGAGACGTCCATAAATCACGTACCATCAAAACAAAAAACTTTAAGCTGACCAAAGTTATGAAGTCAATTATCAAAGTATTTGTAGTCGTTTAACTTTCAAACTTTATAGCCAATTTCGCCACGCAACCACACAATTTGCGTCGCAAAAAACATCTTTCGTAATCGCATCAAATTGTGTGCATTACGTATGCGTATGTAAAAATAAAATCTGAAAGCAAATGAAAAATTTTAACTTGCGAAATACAAAAAAAAAACACAAAACTCGCACTGTGTGTACGAGTGAATTATAAATAAATTTGGTTGAATATAAATTTGAAATTTCACAAACTTTGATGCTTGAATTTCAGTTTTGGTTTTCATTCGATGACTTAAATTTGATAAACGATTTGTTTCCTTGAGAGCTTTACTTATTCTCATTCTTCGTAAACAATTCTTTTATGCAACGATTTTAATAATTCTCAAATTCGAGTTGTCACAAATGAATAGAAGAAAATGAAAATAAATAGGAAGAAATATGCCTTCAAGAAATGATTATTTCTATTCAATCTCGAACAACCATGAAACATATTTAACCCGAAGCTGTGCACGATTTGCGGTGAATAGTCGAGAGAGCGTTATCACAAAATTCCGTTCGATTATGTGCAATAAATATTATGCATAATAATTACTTCATCGTAAAACTGCATCGCTTGACCTTGCAACGCGGTTGTCGAGTGTAAATGCAAACGCAAATCTTTCTCCCTTCGACGAACAGATTCAATAAAGACTGAACATTAATGCGTCTCATCTCTTGTTTCAAATGGAAAAATAAAACTGACAACATTTTTATTTCAAATAAGGCATCCAGACGCGTTGAATGAAATGAAAAAGGAAGAAGTTTAGTCAAATGAAACGGCGACTTAATAACGATGTCGTGTGTGCGACATTCACGCATATTCTATTTAGAACATTTTAAAAATACGCGACTCTCTACCAAACGATAAAATTAATTTGCACAACAACAACTCACGAACATCGCTCCGAAGAATTTATAAAAAAAGAAATAATATAACATTATTTCCAAAATTCGCAGACGTCTGGTGCGAGTGAACTGCTTTGTGGGGTTTCCTGTAAGTCATCCACAAAGTCATTACCATAAAAAACATTCATTGTGCTGACTTTACGCAACAAACCCTCGACGTTCATCGGGCAATTCCGTCTGCGTATGAGCAAACATTTGAATTTTTTATGCAAAAAAGAGCTTATCGTGGAAGGCACAAAAAAAAAGTATAAGCAAATGTTATTTCGAATCATCGTCACTAACACTTGTTGGCTTAATAAATATATTTCGGCAAATTCGCAACAGATATTGTGCTACAAGGTTGCGAGTGCGTATGTATACGCAACTTCTACGCACACATCGCCTCACTAGGTTACTGGGACTAAAACATTTTTAACTTTATCACAAAAGCAAAAATAGGGAAGTGATCGGCTAAAACTAAGAAAAGCCAATAACCTTGACACATATTTCAACGCATGATTGTGTGTAGGTGCGTGAACGATGCGAACAATTTTTTTCTCGCGTTTTTCTGTTTATTTTTTTCTCATGACGATTTGATAGCTTTGACATTGCGGCTTTTACATTGCTATTATCAATGTGATGATTTGCTCTTGAATATTTTTTTCTCTTCATTTGTTGTTTCTTTTTTTTAATAAAAGTATGATAAGGAACCGGGCGTTCTTATGTGCTTATAAGAAATTCGTGCGTAGTTGAGTGTTGGTTTCTTTCTCATGATAACATGCACAATGTTGCATTTTGCAAACGTGTGATTTTAGAAACTTATCTTATCGTCATTTGTAGCTTTCGTTCGCTCTTCTCGTTGTCCCTTCATTCAAGGCTACTTCCTTGAAAACTGCACATTTTTTATTTTAATTATATTTTAAATAGGTAAATCAATAATTCAGTGACACAAGCATGCGTAACATTCAATTCTCCCTTCTACAAATACTTCATCTTTGGCAGAATTTCAAAATAATTTTACTTCTCATTTACATCATTCGTGGCATCATTAAATTGCATCTCAATGCAACTTTTCGAGATTTATTACGGTTTAAGTTGATCAAAGCCGAGAAAATTTATTGCATTTAACTGATTCAATGTGTAGAGTGTGGCATTTTGAAGTCGTGGCGGTTTATTTCTCTCAGTTTTGCGGTAATCAAGCGATAACTCTGGAACTAGGAAGCAAGAGAACTCTTAATTGAAGCGTTGATTATATAACTTCTTAATCGTGACTTTCTCCAAGGCCAAATTACTGATGTATGTATTTTAGTTTTCTCTATCCTATCAGCTGCGAATGTGCGAAGCTCACACACAAAACGCAGCCCAACTTAGTGCCAAAATAAATTTTTTTCTGAAATTTGGAGGTCAATTTCATGAGCGCGTTAAATTTAGCCTTAGTCGTTAAAGCATCTCGCAAAAGCAAAAAAATGAAGGAGACTTGCTGATATTTTGACGGATAACAAAATATAATTCGTAGCTAATGTGCAAAAGTCGCTCTCAAAATGGTATTTTTCTTCTTTATGCTTTTTTTTACAAAAGGTGTACATGTCTTTGACTTTTTCGTGAATAAAATCAACGATTTTGCAGTAATGTCGTGCGAATCGTTTTACTGATAAAGAAAACTGCATTTTTAAAGCGATAAGAGAAATAAAAGTAATACCGAGCTTGCTACGTTTCCATGTCCATAGCTTATTTATTTCTAATGAAATGACATTGAAAGTTCGCTTGACGAAAGCGATTACTGGTCGAGAGAAATACATGAAAAGTGAATTTTTGGCAGAATGAATTTGATTACGCAAGAAGGCATTTGAGATTTGACATTGGACTTACATCCGGAATCTCTTGCAGTCCTGCAAAAAATTAGAAAAAAAAACTATTTTCATTGCTTTTGCGTGCACATGAACTACAAAAAATTAAAAATAAACAAAACAAAGATTCAAAGATTTTGCTTTGAGTCTTGTCGGAAGAAGTCCTTGAGATTTGCACACTCAAAAGCTTTTTCGTAAATTTTTTTTGCATCCCGAAAAAAAAACATTCAAGCGATTGTATGACGGCAAAGTATTTGGTCTTGGAGAGAGATTTGAAATTTAAATGAGTTAGATAATTGATTTACCTACGTGTCATCTTACAACATAACTATTGAAAGTTGAAGAAGAATTTGAAACTTTTCCACGTTTTTTTCCTATCAATTCAGATCGAAAATGATCGCAAATTGCGTCTGTTTCGTTTCCAATACTAACGCATCATGAATCAAAACCAACAATCTGCGGTAGAACCTCAGCAAGCTAAATTATAACTTTTTTTTCTACCGATCATAATATTTAAAACGAGAATAGGTTTCTTATTTCATTAACATCTCAGAATGCGAAGATGTGTTTCTTTCATAAGTATGCCTACTTCTTCTTCAATTCGCGACGCTTGAATTCTGTTGCAATAAGAAGAAACCAGCACATACCAATGAAATATATTGCACGCGTTTTTTATTCCATCAAACTGAATTCAATTTTTTTTGGGACTTGTTTAAAGTTCGACTGTGTTTGTTGCCTATCGTGGCTTGTTGAAGAATGAAATCATAATCAAACAGGGACCATTTGTCTAATGCCCAACATTCGAATGTGAATAAAATTTAATCAGCATCAAAGCAGGAATTCTGCTGGTCATAAGATTTCAGTTTTTTGCTCCGATAATTCTCTGAAAATTCAGGTAAATGTTGAAGAACCTTTTTTTGCAAATTTCCTAGTCTTCTAATGTTCCTTTGTCTCTGCATTTCATTAGAAATAGGATATCGCGGTGATTTTTATTTTATTGAAGATTTTTTTTCTATGTCATAAGTTCTTCTGTCCGTTGGCTATCAAACAATGAGAAAAGGGTTTCGGTCTTCTTCATTGCTGGCAAGAAGGAAAAGTTTCGAAGATTTTTGTGTGTAAGGCTTCTTAAACATTTAGAAATATTTAACTCCAACTAAACGAAGCAATGAAGTTACATTCAAGCTGCTAAATAGTGCAAAATTTCGGGTTATTTTTATAAATCTCTTTAACCAACACTAGTTGAGAACTGAAATTATTCTCAAGATGTGAAACTAGTTTTTCGGAAACCCAATTTTGATTCCTTCTTTCTTCAAATGACTTTGGGGCATTTTATATTCGCAAAATTCTGCATACAGAACACGCAAACATTTAAAAGTTTGATTTGCTTCGAAAAAATTATGGCGAATGGAATTGATTGGCGTGCTATTAACGCAATTGGATAGATAATTCCATTTTATAACATTTTTTAACGTTCAACTTAAAATGATTTTTAATTCGCATTTCTATTTTCTTTTTCATGCAACTAAATTAAATATTAAAGGATGCGTGATAACCGACGGAAAGTAGTTTTAAAAAAAGTAATAGGGAAATGGAAAAACACTCACCTTATTCAGAATATCCCAGTTGGGCTGAACCCTCCCAGCTCTCCTCCATAAGTTGAACGAGTCCCTCAAGTGCTTTGATGATTGTCACTTGAGACGAAGACGAAGTTAATTTTAAAGTTCGAACTATTTTTTTAATTTGCAGATAAAAGTTTATATTTTTGTTCTATTTTATTTATGATGACTTCAACTGATGCAATGAGCAATCACAAATCACGAGTAAAATCACTGAATTGTTTAATTATTTTATTGGTAAATGTTCTTTTTTACTTAATTTTTACTTTTCTTCTCTTTCTTTCCTTTTAAACACTTTAAAACTACTTTAAATATTTGTCAGTAAATTGTGCCGTTTCTAGAGCAATTAATTGCTTGAAACAGAGTGTGTATGTGAGAGAGAGAGACTATTGTTCTATGAATCGTCCAAGAGTGTCTTCAAATTTCTTTCGAGGAAAAACCACTCTCATCGATGATTGAATAAAAAACTTAAGTGAATTTTATTCCAAAGTTTCCTTGACTTTTCCTTTTTTACTTTTTTTTTGTGATTGACTTGAAAACTGATTTTTTATTTCTTTTTTTCTTTCATTAACTTTGTTTCATTGATTTTCGTTTTGGCTTTGCTTTTTGTTCAAAAACTCCAAAAATTCGGTTGCAAAAATTTTTTAACTTTTTTTAGATTTAATTTTGGATGAAGAAAAATTAAAAAATTACTGAAAAGAAAAGAAGAAAGTTGAAGAAAATTGTTAGTTAAGATTCAAAACAAAATACAATTTAGTAAATTTTATAACAAAAAGGAATAAATAATTGTGATGGAATTATCGTAAATGTAAGATCATTGAGATTTATGTAAATTAGAAAGTCATTTACGCTTCTTTTGAAACGTTCAACCGCAACATAAATCTCTGATAATGAGATAGAATTGATTTCAGAGCGCTTGAAACTATGTCATGCACCAAGTATTGCATAACGCATCGCAATTTTTTCACGTCGCATTTATGATAGGTTTACGAGAGGTAAAACAAGCCTCGACAACAATGAAGACCAAAATGAACATCACGCAAAAAAAAATCAATAAAATTGATACTAGAGGTGAGTGGATCAAAGAACTTTTTTTTGTTTTATATTTCTGCTTCTGCTTTTGCGTGTCCATTTAAAAAATATTATTGGAAAAAAGTTTTCCTAGAATCTTCATCGACAAAACGTAAACTAATGAAACTCATAATCGATTAAAAAAATTGAAACAAACACCAAAAGCGTCCATTTAATCATATTTTCTCCATATGATGGATATTTCATATTGTTATGCTGTTCATTGTGAGTCTAGTTATGTTGCTGTTGTTGTTGATTAAATTTTCATACCGTCTCAATTGTCGTGTGCCGTTCTTCTAATAGATAAATGCACTTTTGGTTGTGAAAACGAGAATCAAAATTCATACAACGCTTTAAGATAAAAACTCGAAGCTGTTGTGAGTTAGAGGATTATTTAGAGCTTATTGACATTGGCTATATTGAGAGTGAGAGACGAAAAAAGATATCAAATGGTAAGATTTTGTTCATTGACACATTTTTAAGGGGTGAACGTAAAAAAGTATATTGAGAGGCTTTCAATCCAGTTTCATTGCAATGAACAACAATTTTGCACAATATTGCAAACGATTTGCCTTTTCTCTCGTTCACCTGTTTCAAATTTTTTTCTGCCTTCCTTCTTTTGGATAAAAAAATAGCAAAAACATGCCAAAAAAAATTGTGAATTCAGTCGATTGCGTTTAGTTTTCACTCGCAATGTGCATGATTTTTTTATATGCTGCTCGATGTCATACGATGACAGTAGAAAAGCAAGCAATCGAAAAACAAAAAAGAATTTTATTTCGGTAGAAACATTTTCATAACCTACTTCAGTATTTATTGAGATTAAAAAGCATCAGTTCAGTCTATGTGCATGAACATTGACAGCATTTAAAAGCACACCCAATGTGCAATGAAATGGGGAATAGGACGAAACAAGTGACATAATTTATTTAAGGGTAATTGCTGCTCTTCGCTGCATCAATAATGTCCAAGCTAACAAGTGAAATTTTATGAGACCATGACTTGTACTCGAAAGCTAAGCATATTAACGAGTATAAAGTTATGATTTATGTTTTTATTTACTCGTCACACGATGCAAAAAAAAAGAATACTTGCAGTTGAATGAATTTATTGTCATTTAATAACTTTGAAATATTGAATTTTTACTTCATTTAAAAAAATCTATTTAACAAAGTTAAGCTAATTAAATGAAGGCTTTAGAATCTATAAAGATATTGGATCGTGAAATGGAAACCTTCAGGCTTAAGTTGTTGCAAACACCAAGCATTCGCGTAAATTGCAGTTGTGTAATAAAGAAAATATTTCTTTAATTTTCTTCTCAAGCTTTTAAGGCGTTCACGAGCTTAAATCATTGTTAATGGACATAAGTTGTTGATTTTTTAACTGAACTGTTCATAAATCACTAAGTTGCATAGCAAACACACTGAAATACCTCGAGATTCCCGAAATCTATTTGCTGCATTTACTTAATGCTTTTCTATATTTTTTTCCTCGCACAAAACATTAAATAAATTGAAAAATTTACATTGTATTTGGCAACGTCTCCATTTCCGATCCAATTATTTCATTGATTTTTTTTCTGCTCTGTCGCTGTTACCCGCTTCTGACTTCATTCACGCAAATGAGAGAATCTAAAATTCAATTCGAAATATATTCACACGAACAATTGAAAATACGTAGCTGGACGATAGACGAAACTATATTTGCTTCAAAATTGCAATCTATTATTATATCATCAGCAACAGCAACAGCAACAATAATTAACAATGTTAACAGGACAAAAAAATATTTATCGACAGGAGGAACTTCAAGAGGAATTATATTTAAAAATTAATTTTATATAAATCAACTGAAATCTTCCGCGGATGAACATTTCTTAGCGGCACAACTGGGCACAACTGGGCACGACGAAATTCTCAAGCATTCGCAATTTTCACACTTTATTCACAAATGACTCTTTTTCATCTTTTTAATAGTTTTTATTTATTTTTTTCCTCATGCATCTCATGATTCTCGTAATTCTTTTTTTTTTCGCTGCACTATGCACACATGAAATTATTTTCTCGTCATCTTTGTGAAAAATATTTTTAGTTTCATGTTTTTTTTTCTTCATTTGAATTCTATTTTTTTTGTATATTTAAATCACCCAAAAAAAAATTTTTTGTGAACTGCGAACCTTTTTCTGTCGTTTCTTTTTTTCTTAGAGAAACAAATGAACAAAAAAATGAGTAATTTTCAATAATTTAAATAGTTACTCGAGACTTGACGCATTTAAACTTAGTTGGATAAGATACTGAAGTAAAATAAAATTTATTTAAATCCTAAGTATTTTTGCGGGAGACTTGCAACTTACAAATGCGGCCGAGTTGAGACTTATTTTGAAACTGACGTTTGGTGGCATATAGAACGCAGTTGACTGCGTTTTCTTCAAATATCCAGAGAGATGCAGAATGTAGACAGTGAGCTCGTGTTGTATGTACACAGACGAAACGTATACGTAGCAGCGAGAAAAAGAATCGGCACACACATTATCAACTGCCATCACGTCGAAACGCAGAACGAAACGAGACAAACATAGGCGAATTGTTTGAGTAAACTGGTGAACTCCATGCAGTTAACGGCAAGCGTAGAAGTTTCGTGTAATACGAACGTAGTGGATTATCCATTTCGACACAATCATATCGTTTAGAAAGAAAAACTATGCAAACTCACTACATAGTCAGTAATAATTTGATTGTGTAGCTACAGCTTTTAGAATGAAGCAACAATAATAATGCATTTCATATCGAGACAAGCTATGAAGTATTTGCTTGTGTGCTGTAAACAGTAGACGGTGGTATGGTGAATCTCCTATCTACATCCCGAAGCTCTCGTCAAAGCTCATGCGAGAATGATGCGATAGTGTGAGTAGAAAAATGCGAAAGTTGAATGTGTGAGTGTAGTTAGACGAAAACGATTTTTTGCGCGTTTTTTTGCATTTGTAGGGAATGCGCGAATACTATCCAAACGCTACGCTACGTACACTACAGATTGAGAATGCATGGAATGAATATAAAATTTGTTGAGTCACTCGACAGTGTGAGTTCGAGTGTTATTATTTTAATATCATCAAAAAAGGGGGAAATGATGTGGAGTGGTTTGATGTATTAGCGGTGGCAAAAGAAGGAATATCACAAACACACAGAGACTTTCAAATTCTACTCATTCTTCTCTTTCGGGTGCTTTTTTTCTGTTCTTCTTTATTACGATTTATTTGCTTCGCTCTTTCGAAGCGTCTTTTGCTTTGCTATCCAAGGCGAAGGTTTTCACTACTTAGCTCAAAGCTTTACGTTGTGCAATGTTTGGGGAAATGTATAAACAGCTTGAATGTTCCTCGTCAATATTTGTTTGAAAATGTTAAGCTCGAATATGTAAAGTGTTTTCTTTACAAACAACACATATCGGCATTATGTAACATTCGCGATTATTTGAACAGTTTTAAAATTCACATTCGATTTGATACGGTTGGTTAAGCTTTGCGAAGGATGTCAAATTAGAAGTAAAGCCTCGAATAATGTTACTAACTTTTGCAGATTCCTGATTAATGTGTCAGCATATAAAACTTATCACGAATAAGTTTTTTAACAACAGTTTTTAAAGAAAAACTACTTAGATACAGTCTGTTGAACTTCCACGACTTTTCACACTTTCATCATTCCCATTTTTCACTTCTCCAGCCAATTTTGTTTTGTTATGCATCGCAGTATCAAAAGCGAGATCTTATAATGGTGATAATGGTTAGGTTTCAAAGAGTGAAAACGCTTCTCAACATTCTTCTCGCCCCGTTTTTCATTATTCAAACAGCAAAATCGTTTCTACGTTTAAGATATGTGAGATGCCGTAGAGTGCATTATTGCAATCGTACACACAGAAGCTGATTTCCATTACTAAGAAAATAATACGAGGCTTTATTAAAAATGAGAAGACGAATGTGTAACTCAAGAATTATTATTAATGATGGGAAAACAATCCCAATGAAATGAGAGCGTTGCGTTTATGTATGCAAGGAAAGAAAGACGATAAATCATCAATAACGTTTATATACAATGAGCTTCTTGAGGTGCGCAATTGCCACCTATTATTTCTGTTTTCGTATGTTCAATAAACGCCACTCGATAATATTATGCTCTTTGATCTGCGCCATGCTGTGCCAGTGGTCATTTCACAAATTGAACAACGTTATTGAAAGCTCCAGTTGTTTATACTTGAGATCCAAGCTACTCTCTGTTGTTACTTCATCTGATCTTAGTAGTCATTTTGATCTCGTATCGATGCGCCAAGTTGTGCGTCGTCTTACATAGAAATTGCAAACGTGACTTAAGTTTACGCTATAAATTTCATAACGCAAATTATTCATCTCATTTCTCTAATCTATCAAAGAACAGTTTCATGATTTTATATCCATACATAAAATCAAATATTGCAACGTTGAAAGTTCTAAACTTGTTTGAAGGGAAAAGTTTAAGTCATTCAGGAAATTAAAAGCTCAACTCATGGACTTCAATCAATCAAACACGTTAACGTGTTATTTCAGACTTTTCCATTTCATATCAAAATATTTTCATTCATAAATTTAATTCAATTTAAAGTGCTTAAAATTGCTTGTTTAATGGAGAAATGAATAAAAGGCGATTCCAACATGAAACAAATTCCATTACAATGTTTTCATGATGGAAGAGCGTATCTAAGTACACAAAAGTGCATTTTAATTGAACGAGGGTAAACAAATCGCAGAACAACATAAACGTATGAACTTATGTTGCACACTTTTAGTGTCGCAATTGCAAAAAAGGGTAATGAAAGGAGTGGCCTATGACTTGATTGGTAGTTTCGAGGTTCATAGCGAAAATCAAAGAAGAAGAATTAGATGGAAATTTATCAAGATTAAACAAGGGAAATCGATAAACATCACGTTGGTTATCACCAGTTATCAATTTGCGGGTAATATGAATCAAGAACGCTGTGAAAAAGATTTCTTGTTATCGCGCTTTAGTTGACGTTAAAGATTAATAAATCAAATGATGCTGCACAATGAGATTTTGAAAGTTTTCGTTCGATGAGTACAATGAAATCTTGAGCACAAAGAAATCCAATTACTTTATCATTTTCCAGAAATCTTCGTTTTTCAAGGCGCTAAAAGTTCTCTTAAATAGCTGTTGCCACTGCTCTGCATTATTCTCATTTACTCTTGTCTCACCATCTTTTGAAGCGGTATGACGCTTTGAAGTTGAAGAATCCTTCACTTGATTTATATATTTGTTAAGAAAGTCTCATGAAAGAAAGCTGCATTAATTCCCATCGTTATTAACATCAATGATATTCAATAAATTTACGCGATACACTTAAGTGACGCAGCTTTATGTGCAATTGTTCTGTAAGATGTTTGAAAACAGCAGCAAGATGAGAAAAAGGTCAATGACAGTGAAAAAAAGCTTTTATGCTTTCAATTCAAGCATTATCCATTATTGTAAATTATATTTTCAATATTATATAGTTTTATTCAATTCGAAATTAATGTAATTTATCAAAGTGTTGTGCATCGCGAAGAGAACAATATAAAACAATTTTCACCAAAGGCACACAAGAAGTGGAAATAATGCTGAAGAATAACGGCTCAATATGCAACCATCAAGTCCATCAGACGCATAAAAACAACAGTTCACAATGTGAGAAAGCAATGGATGGAAATTAATGGTGTGAAAAAATTCTTTCATCCACCTCAACAACTATCTTTGATTTGAATCTCATCTCAATAATGCTTATGGAAAATGTAAAATAAAAATGTTCTTGAAAGCCTCTCGTGAAAATCAACAAACGTAATTGAAAACATTTTTCAATTGCCGCACCATTGGATGGCAAAGATTAAACACAACATGTTTTGTAATTACTTTTGTTGCAAACATACAAAAATATCATTTTCAAAAATGCGACAAAATTATGTGCAAAGATCATGTAAGATTCGAATGTTTTATGAGAATTGCATTTTATAGGGATCTGTTTGGATATTCTGTCACAACATTTCTTTATTTCTGTAAAGTTTTCTTCGTAATAAAACATAAATTCAAATTGACGATTATTATGAAGAAACCCAACCAACATAAGCTTCGCATAAAGTCATAAAGAGAGTCATTAAAAATATAAGTTTACAATCAGTCTCTGACTTCATGCTATGACAAATTATGGCATTCACGCACTTCCAAGTGTTATTTTTTAAAGTCAATTTCAACAATAAATTACAGAAAAGCGTATTTTTCTCTTTCCTTTTAGCGAACATCGTTGCATCATTAAACACTGCGCAGAGACGCTTCATCAAAATAAAGAAAAAAAAGAATGCAATTCATAAATTAAATACTAAATGCATTAATTTCTGCGATTGTTATTATGTGTGTTTTAATGGGCTGTAAAAAAAGTCGCCGAAGCTTGAGAAGTTCGTGGTGATTGCCGATTGAAATGTTCATGGAATGTACATTTAATGTGGTTTGAGAGACGAGAATCTCCCGTTCGCTTTGCCATCGTCTCACACCAAATGAAGTAATTACGATGAAGATATCGGGAGATGATTCGAACACGCTTCTTATTAGTCAGCCATGCGCGCATTCGAATGATAAAGAAAAAAATGCGGCTTGATGTTCGCGCTGTCTCAAATAGCCGACTTTCCTGGGAAATTAAAGAAATAAACCTTACAACCTTGTACGCAAACACAATTCCCTTAATAAATTACATAATTAAGCTACAATAATAGCTTCATGTTTCGCATTTTTACGTGCATAAAAAAAGAAGTAATTAGGCATGAAGTTTACGCTGTAAAGATTTATGTCACTTGATTTTAAACTAATGTTAATGTTTAAGTTTTTAAGAAGCTATTTCAATTTTCAAATCAACCGCTTTGCTGATGTATTGCGACCTCCTACAAATTATCTTTTAAACTTCAAAAGAAATTCATCGTTTTTTATCTCTCAGTTCTTCGGCGCATATATGAGCGAAGTCAAGAAAAAAAAACAATAAATGTCGTTATAAAAAAGTCAATACAGTATGTAAATGTCTTGTAATTTCTGTCTCGATGCCTGATGATCGGTGACCATGTTCATACAGAAAAATATTCTTTTTTGCCGCTTTGCGATTAACTTTTTTTTTAGCATTGAACGTTATGTTCTCTTTGTTTCATTTTTCTTTTACTTATGCAGTTGATTGATATATTTAGTGTCTTTGAGTTTTTGTTTCAACAGTTTCTTAGAAGTGGAAATCTAATGAAATATCTCGTTCTGAGAACTTTTGCAATTTGTAATTTCGCTTTGATTCTACACAAAGTTTGTGAATTAATTAAATGACAGAAAGCATTCTAGATTAACAGGAATGAGTTACAAAACATCAATACGTATTCAACTCATTGCAGTTTTGTAATCTGATTGCCATTCTTTAAGACATTATCAATTAATTTCATATTATAATGTAATGATAATTGTGCCGACCGCAATCAGTGTTTCTTCCTCGTGCTGCCAAACAAAAACAAAAACATAAGTAAGGGAAACAAGAAGAGAACCGTCCGACAGTTGAGTTCGATAAAAACAATTAATCTGATGATTTTGAAGTGCATTAAAGGAGAAATACCTGCAGAGCGGAACGAAGGCATAAAAACGAGATGAAATTGTTTATACGTGGAGTGTACTTAGATTTCAATTGATAAGAAACTATGTAATTTTAATTGATCTGATTCATTTAATTTCATACTTTACTTTAATCTTTTACCGACTGAATTATATTTCAATATGTTGGCTGTTTTTTTGTGTTGCGTTGGGAGGGATTAGAAAGTTCAGTCACATTCCATAGATTTTCAATATTAAATTATTTCATCATGTAACAATTTCTTTTTGTCACGAGCATAAGTGAGAGGAAAAGTTTAACTTTGCTAATCAGAATTTAATCCGTTACGTCATAAAATGATAAACGTTTAAGCTTCAAGTTACTGAAAACATTATCACGGCACTTTAATCGCTAAATATGTACATTCATGAAGAAATGAATCTGTAAATGAAATCGATAAGTAATTAAAATTTATTAAATTGCGGCAAGTATTGAATAACATCAGAGAAAGAATTCAATTAATTGTTCTTTCTTTTTTTATTTGCATTTTTACAGGGCGATGAGAAGAAGATTTATACGAAGTATTTATTAATATAAAGTAAGAAAGAGTTGTCGAGAAAGGTTTTGAAATTAAATATTTAAGATAGGAAGAAATTGGAAACTTCTAAGACAAAATTCTAGGCAATAAAATGTGATTTGATAGCTTGATTTCTATTTTCCCAACGCAAATCTCAACTATCAAATCTCAAATTGTTAAAAAAACAAAAACAAAATGTTAACAATTGCACTCGTGTGATCTATGATCTCGTATTATTGTTTCAAGATAAGTTGAAATCTAAAAATAAAGAAACAAAACGAGCATGAAGCGAGAAAACGTGTTGAAGAAATAATTACGCATCATTTATGTTAACTTCACTTATAAAAGGAAGAGAATGAGTTGAAAGACGACAAGAATAGCGTGATCCAAGACTATCCTACGTCAATGGAAAGAAGCGCAAGAAAATTGGTTCAAAACTATTTCTTTCAAACCCAACTGCTATTTCGTTGTTTTCTTATTTCTTATTTTTTTGTTTTCAGCTTCACTCAGTAAAAGTTCAAATCAATATTTTAGATCGCAGATGAGATAAAATGCAATTTTCTACGTTTTCAATTCGATAAAAGAAAAAAAGAGTATTTCTTGACGTAATGACTGTCTATTTTTCACGAATGATTAAGGTTTTGTATCACGGTGCAATTTAAAAGATTGATAGCGAATGTTTGAAACGATATCTCAAAAGCTTTCTGCTGTCTAAGTTGCTGTTATTGTTTTTTTGCATTTAACTCTGCAACCATGCTAAGAAGATCGTTGAATCGAAATTGCAGGTTAAAAGTATCGCTGCTAATTTAATTTAGATCAAAAGCGTGTCTAAAATGCAATTTCATTTTATTACGAAACAGCAAACGTCGTAAAAATAAATTGCGAAGCTTCACTTCTATCAGCCGAAATAAAAATGAAGAAAATTTCATGTAACGTGGTCATTGACATTACATGAGCCTGTCTGGCACACCGAAAAAAATAACAACCATTACAGATTATTTCCTGATCAAAATCTTCTATTTCGATTCCAATTTCTACTCAGACTGAGTGGTATGATTTCATTGAGCTTTCATTTAACCCTCTTTCATTTCCTTTTCTAGTTATTCCTTCCTTCTACACCCAAAAAAAAAAAGAAATAACCAGAAACGATAAAAGAAGAAGCTTTACGAGAGAAAAATACATTTAGAAAAGCCAGACAGATTTTCCTAAAAAGTTTATTGACACGCAACATGTAAACGTCGTCGTCGTCGTCGTCGCAACAAGAAGAACTTTTTTTGTGGGAGTCCCTTCGACCTCTTTCCATTTCTGTCTTCAACAGAGCCTCTCTTCATTATGCTCGTTATGTTCGAAAGGGAGGCGAATTACACACACACACATAAAATGAGTGTAAAAGTGTTAGAGCTTACTTCAAAATGAACAAAACATGCATCTATAGCTTCAGCCCAAAATAAAAGCTTTGCCTCCATGGAAATGAATAAAAAAAAGGTTTTGCGTGTCTCATGTTGGTATTAAATATCTTTTTTTCAGTAAAAGCATTGTGTAAGTCACGTCTTGTAAGAGAAATGTATGTACGAAATTTCTACCCCCGAAATAAAGTTCAATGTACACATAAAATGTGTCTCAGAAATTTTTGGTAGTTTGAGGCGTGGGAGTGAAGGAATAAAGCTTCGTCAAGACGCTTTTCTTTGGATGTTTTTGTTAGCAACGAAAATGCTTAGAGTCTGCTATAAAATCGAGTCGTGTAGCTTGCTATCAATAAATATAATAAACGTTATAGAAAAAGATGCACATTATGCACCTCACTCATTTCGATGTCTTCAAAGAAGATTTCTTTGCTTTATTCTTTATGTAGCACTGAGAATCTTTCTCTGTTGCCTTTTTTCTATATATTCTTATTTTAAAAATCATGGTTCACGCAAAATAATCGTGCATTTACGTTTAATTCGTGACGTCTAACGTAATTTAATACATTACTTTTATTTATTCCGTATTTATTTTCTTTTTTTATGCTCTGCTTTTCTGCAGTCGTCGATGTTGATGCAGAAGAGAATTGAGTGGAAAATAAAAAGAAAACCATTGACGACGACACAACATGCGGAAAGAGTAAACTTTAAAATATTGTTATTAAGGTGATAATAATTTATGACATTCCACTTGGATTTTCTGCTGTTGCTAGAGCAATAATTAAGATGAATTTCTTCGTTTCACGAAAGGAAACGTTCCTAGCTTTTAAATATTTCTTTCTTTTGTTGTTTGATAAGAATCGGAGACAGTTTCATTGTGTTTCTTCACTATGACCTGTTACGACCTTAGTACGATCCATTTTATGTCTTTATATATTTATTATTAATAATAAACTCAATGATTTCGCAATGACCATAAATCATAAAGGGAAAAGAACGAAATTTCAACAATATATTGAATTCAATTGTTCAATATTAATTTCATTTTTCCTACCAGATAAAAATATTTATAAATTGTAATGGATGTGACTTCGTTTTTCAGAATGTGAATTTTTCCAGTTTCGTCATGATGTGAAGATTCATTAAAACATCGGCAAAGCTGAAAGCAATATGTATCTATGAAATTTGATCACTTTTGTAATAATATTTACGACGTGACGAAACCAAGAAATAGTCCAATAATATATTTATTGTGAAAGAAATGTGAAACAAAACAAATGATTTATAAAGTTTTATTCAAAGAAATAAAAATGCATTATCGAAAATTTCCAATCGCTAACTTGATTCTTAGGATGAGATTTTTTATACAAGTAAAAGAAAAAAGTTTTTAAATCAATTCTTTTCGAAATAAAGCTCCAATCATGAGTTTGGAATCTTTCATTCTAATTATGGTTTCGGCCTAATAAAATTGTTCATTAATTCAATTAAATTTCTTGTTCTTTTTCATGTGTGCACTTTTTTTCGGTATCAGAATCAATGCAAATTCTTATAAAAAGCATCAGGTTCATTAAGATGATTCTTGTGATTTATAAAGCTCATTTCACTTCGTAGTATCAAATCAACATCATCTCAAATTCGTGAAAATTGTTTTAAGTTTCGTATTCGTTCTCTGCGACTTCAATTTGTGTATTTGACTTTGTTTGTTGTGTTGCATATTTATTTATTGCGCATGCAAATGAGTTAGTTGGAAAAATCACGTGCAATAAAATTTTATTTAAAAATCTTCTGCACAAAACGCAATGTTATGTTGTTCTCAAGAAAAGAGAAATACATAAAGATGAAGAGAAGAGTTGGCTGGTGCACGAATGATGATGGGAGCGGAAAATTGCTGATGACAACGCATTTTGCGCATCATTAAGTTCTCAACGTTTATTCTTTTTATTGCCCAAATTTACATTTTAACTGCGATGGATTTTTGATTGATTATTTTCTTTTTTTCTTCAACATTACATTCGATCCCAATTATTTCTGCGCGAAAGCTCAACCATGCGCATTTCAACTTATGTTTGTTTCAGCTAGTTCTTGTATTCAATTAAATATTTCTTTTTTATGCAATCCTACAATGGATTTGAACACGTAGCAATTTTCTTCTTCAAAGAAACTCAGCAAAGGTGAACGCTAATGAGATTGTGGGAGACGATGTAGAGAAAACATCTTGTATGGCATTTATTTACTTTATTAAATCAACGAAGTTTCTTATGACTTTCCTTCCCAGCTGATTCTTGAAAATAATTTTACTTGTAAGTACATCAATCACAAGAAATCATTATAGCTGGGAGAAAAGTTATTATAACAAGCGGGTATATCAACGAAACTTTTCTTATGGTAGGTAATGGTACATTAAAGTGTTAAAAAATCTCGTGACTCTCTTACTTCTGATTTCTTTATGAGAGAAAAGTTTTTCTCAAAGGATGTGGTTGAGGTTTCAGTGAAAATGTATTTAAATCATTTCTCTCCATTATTCTGGTAATAAATTTGAAGAATATAAGATAAAGTTTTTGGCATAATGGAAATCTCATTTATTATTTTCTACAATCGTTCTTTACTCTTGTCCATCATTTATGTAGCTACATACAGTTAAATATAATAAATATACTGTGACAAGATTTCTCTCAAACTGACAACTTTTCTTATTTTTTGTGTAATTGATTTGGACCTCATCCAATTACATTCCTAAACCAATGCCGATTGCTAAAGGGTGTGGCTTTCTCGTGTGCATCGTGTTGGTGTTTGCTTCATAACAAAATCCCCCATCTATACAATTCGGTGCATGAACGCAGCTACGAAACTGCATCGAAGCGATATTGTGTGTGCAACAAAAAAAAAACGAACCCAGAACACGTAAATTTCTTTTTATTCGCATCGGGGAAGAAAAAGCTTCACCATCTGCCATCGAATTTTCCTCTGCAATTTTCATTGTTCATGCGTCGGCCAGAAATTCCCTCTCGCTCCGATGCAGGAAACTTTTACACTAGCACAAAAGTTTTATATTGATTTTTAAGTTTTCATTTTTGTTTCAGACTTGGAATTCGTAGTCTCAAAATGTTTTCATTTAATCTTGTATTAATTGTTCTTCATTTGGTTAGAGGACAAACTAGAGAATGAAGCAGCTTTCACTTTTAAAGATTCTTTAAGTTTCATTACCACAATGAACTCCAACACCAAACAAGAACTCGTAGCATAAGTGGAGAGCTACGAAAATTAATTTCATTCAATTGCTCTTGAATAATTTGCATTAAATACTTCCAGATTCTTGTTCAACAACTTAGAATCTTTTACGGAAACAATTATTGTTGACTGACATGGAAGGCGCGAAAATAAAAACAATGCTTTAAAAAAGCATTTGGACAATACGCAATTTATTATAAATTCAATTGTTGCAATACATTTAAGTATTTCTGGAGCTAATATGAATGAAATGTTTATTATTCTGTTCTGTAACCATCCAGACAAGGTCAAAAGTGCGTTGCCATTAACAAGACACGCAAGAAGAGGTGAGTAAGGTAAAGCATGAAAAAGAAATAATTTTACACTAACTAAAACATCAGGAATTCACTTTACCTTAAGATTTTATTCACATACAAAATTATTTCTTGTAGAATGGAATCACTCGAACTTAGCTTTAAAAAGATAAAACTTTATTTTGGGAATATTACGCATCATAAGAAATTCTGCACGGAGAGAATTTTCTTCCAAACTCGACAATTCTCGATAATTTTTACAATGTCTAATAATTTAAAATAAATCTTAAAAACGTTTCTAATTAAATTCTTGAAAGATTTTATCAAAAATTTCTTATTAAGAATTTTTGAAAAAAATGATGCCAAAATGGCTAACTAGCGATGTTGCGTAAGATTAGGAATTTCTGTTTTGTTTTGATTCTCAATTCATTGAACCAAAGGTGCGTGAACCTTTTTACATCGTCTCTAGCTGATCACAACGACTATTTGAGAATGCAAACCCGTCTTGTATGCGTAGATCACACATTCGCACTTTTTTACGCATCTTACGCACACTGATCATTCGACTCAAGTCACTAATATTTTCGCGAAGCGTCGGGAATAGATAACCAGAAAAAATACTCAAACGACCTTGGCCCATATTTTACGCATCTTATGTGTAAGTGCGTGCATAGAACAAGAAAGAAAAAAATATTTGAAGAAACAAAAAAAAACGCAGAATCATCTGTGCGCGACCTTCGCAATTCAATGCCATTGATGCCATGCGTAAGCAATAAACAGTTGCGAATTTCTCCGAATTCTAATTTAATTCATTAATTGTGATTTATGTTTTATGATTTGGAAGTGTTTTGTGAATTTTGTCACTAGGAAAAAGAGGAAAATTCTTAAAGAGGCTTGAAAATTATTTGCAGTCAGATTCCACCAACAATTTGATAAGAACTAAGAAAGAAACGCATCAATCAAGCATTAAAATCGTGAAAAGCCATCAAGAGTGTCCTTTATTTTATGAAACATTTCAATCAAATTTTTTAATTATTTTAAAAATCTCCATAATCACCTAAAATTATCTGATCAGAATCTCAACTTTTATTGTTCACGCATATTTTATTTTCATACAATTTTTGTCATAAAGCGAGATTTCCGTACCTAGGTAGCAATTCAATTCAATTCAGAGTATCTATAAAATTTACAATTTTTTGCAAACTCAACTGCCAAGGCCGCGGTTCCGCTGTTTTTTTTTCGTAGCGTGTTGTCAAGCATGTGATATACGCACAAATACACTTCAACGCAAAATTTGAAGGTCAATATAATAAAAAGAAATATTTTTTCGCATCTACACCTACAGAAAAGAATTCTTAAGCTCGTATTTAACAAAAAAATGCGAAAAAGAAGGAAGAAGGGAAATCAAAAGCGATAAAATATTGGAAGAGTGTTGCGAGTTGATTAGTCACATTTGAGATTTAGAAAAAGCAGATATCTGAAAAGGAATAATTTATGATTGTCGTTAAATAACCGCCAAACATATATTGTTGTTTCTGCTTGATCTAAACTTTAAAACCAAAACCTATCAGAATAAGAAGATTCTTTAGCTCGATGTTCTGAAATTCTATTTTTAGTTCCTTCTGAAAAAAAAAATTGTTCTTGATGAACAGATCGTGAATAAAATTTCTTTAAACATGAACAACACACATTTTTTTCCTTCGATAGAAGAAGCTGAAACGCTTCGCTCACACGCAGAGAATATGAACGAGATAGAAATACCTTTAAAAGAGTTTTTGGCTGTATCGAAATGTTTTTGTTTCAAATATCGATGTCTGATGCTTTGCGAAATACCATCAAACACATTGCTTTGTTGGTGCTATCTTTCTTGCATCATCAATAGATAAAACATACGATAAATATGAACTTGCATTACTTTGGTAGACCATTGATATTTATTTGCCAAACCACCCACGCTTCATCTCCCCAAAAGCATCAGTTACATGAAACCAAAAGGAGAAAAAGAAGAAAAAAGCTCGCAACACAAAAAAAGCTTCACCGAAACTTTTAAGTGTGTTAAATAAGAAAACACAACCAAAATATTTTGTGAGAATGCGCGAGCATTGATACTGAAAATATTTTCGTATGTATCAGTGGTGGAAAAAGAATACTTTTGGATGTAGATCGACATAGCGTTTGTATGGAGCATGAAAAGCCACACAAACTACACATTTTCGTAGTTTTGTACTTTATACATATTCTATAAGTTTTCTATGTCCGCTGTGTCTCGAATCAAAGCGAAGAGTTCGCGTACAGGGATGTGATAAAAGATCCAGAAACTCATTAAGATACCAAACTATGGCATCATTCATCACACCTGAACTTTCCTTGAAGGAAAGTGCCATTTATTTCAACATATATTTCGCAAAAGAAAGCATCTTTGAAACATGCTCGGAAAATTTGATTTCAACTTTTTATGAAAGCATACGATGAAGATAATGCACAAGTTCATAAAATATTCTTCATAGAAACTTTTATCACACTCTAAGCGAGTGAATTGAAGGCGAAATAGTTTTAATTCGGTAATTATCAAACTGAGTCGGAAGGATCAATTTACTTTGAATGACATAACGTTGCATTGTGTATTTAATTAAAACGGTAAAGTTTAAATATCGTCAGGTATTTTTGCATCACTAGGATATCGGGTGGGCATAAAAGAAAGACGAAACAATTATATGATAAGAAACATCGGTACTTAAAGAAGTCACATAAAAGCAAGCATCAGAAATGTTTTATTCTTCATAAAATTGTTCTTTCCTTAAGTTCTCTAGTCAAATTACATCAATAATAATAATAATGAATAAAACTGTCACATTAAAAAGTTTAAATAAAATAAAAGCGGTGACGTCTGCAACGCAAAATGTTTAAACGAATTGTCAATCTTCTGTTCCGTTTACCATTTACTTACTTCAAGATTTATAAGTTGAATTCAATCTTATTTTGATTGATATTTCATTTTACTTGCACTGACATAAAAGCAACTTCTGTCTGTTATCAAAAAAATAAAGGAAAAGTTTCTCGATTAAATTTATAATATACAATGCAGAGAAGTTGTCTGTGCAATTATTTTTGATTCCATCATTCATTTTCTAAGTTTTCAATTTAATTTCCAGTAAATGTTCGTGTGCTTTCTTTTCTTTCTTCCTTTCTTGCATTTGGAGTAAAGACAATCAAATTGCGTCATTCAAAAGCGCATCAAAGAATTTTATCGAAGTTTTTCCTTTTATTCATGACAACATTCAACAATTGATTAAAATACTTTTGTTGCTTTTGTTCATGTGAAAGAGAAAGAAAAGTAGCAAGAGAGATAGAGAGAGAGGTAAACGGCGATACAAATAAATTATATTGATTCATATGATTATAAAGTCGTTGTCAACATAAAAATTATTTTACAATAATTTAAAGAGCTGAACGAAAACAGAAATAATGCATAAGCATAATAGGCCCAATTACGTTATCGATTATAACTGATCGAAACTTCATTTGCGAGTATTTTATTTTATAGCCATTACGTCGCAGTGCTGGCGGTCGGTAAATAAAAGAACTGACTATCGGGATTTCTTTTGGGTTCTTATCTCTCTTCCTCCTTCTACCCTTTTTTTTGTTTCAATCGTACTGTTTGGGTGATAATTGACAACGCGGATTATGAACAAATGAATATTAAACAATGCTCGGGTTTTTTCTTTGTCGAAGAACATCAAATGATTTAAAGTGCAAGATTCTTTTATTTGGCATTTGAGATAAAATCTAAGATTTATGTTGTCACAATGCAAAGATATCAGAAAATTTTTATTTTCACAAAACGATTTTGCTGCTGTTGTTGTAGTGCGTGTCTGCTTCTTAATAAATCTTACGAATGAAGGGAAAGAAATTTTCTTGTCGATTATCAAGGGTGGAAAGAAATGTCCTTTATAACGACATTCAAAACAGAGACGAAGAAGTTTTTCATGACCTTCCAGTAGGCTTTCAAGATCAGCCTCTATTTTACCACCCACGAAATGTAAAGAAGCGAAGAAGAAAAGTTTTGTTTTGTGCGTTGGTATTTGTTTCGTCTGGTGCGAGAGGTGAATGCTCTCGTTTCGCACACAAAAGTTCATACGCACATTTTCGTACATAAATATTTTCGGCTGTTGGGTGAGTTTAGTGGGCAAGAAGCGTATGGAATGAGAAACGTCTGCTGCTGTTGTCTGAAGGCCAAAAACCTTTCATGTCTATCGTCTGACGAAAAAATTATTATTACACGACCTTTTTTCGTTTCAGACACAACAAATATCTCGTGGCAAAGGAAAGTTAATTGAACTCGTTGTCTTTCTTTTTTTGGGAGGGTTTTATTGATTAGTTGGTTTAACGGTGATGCGAGTGCTGTTGATGGGATTGAAATGATGTGTGATGACTGAAGTAAATTTCGTAGACGTAGAGTTCATGATATTGCTTAATAGATATCTCGGTATTTCGATGAGTTATTTTAGGAAAAATAAATAACAAATTTCGGGGTCGTTGACTTCATTTCACGAGAATATGACGCAGAAAAGTGATTTTCGCTCAGACAATATTTTGATCTAATTTTTTTCCTTTTATTAATGATCCAATTAAAATAATTCAAAACATAAAACGTAAGAGAAGTTTAATGAAGTTCTATAAAATGCATCTTAACATTAATATATTTCTCAGGTTAATAAGTATGACCCTAAAGCGAAGTGATACAATGAATAATGGAGCTAAACACAAAATGAAAGAATGTCTAATGACGATCGTAACTAACAGCTGTCTTCTAATCTTAAAAGACGTTTCAAAAGCCTTTTTATGCACTTATAGTGCAACTCCTATTAACTCTTTTCTATTTCCATAATTTCACATCGTTCTGCACTATTAAACTCTCTGACTGCTTTTAATTCCAAAGTCTTTTTCATATTCAAAACGCCACTTTCTTAAAATCATAGAATCAAAGAGTGTTCTAACATGTTGATAGCATTAAATTGAGATCGTATCGCAATTGAGTATATTAAATTATAAAACTACACAAAACTAGTGTATAAAGTTTTCCTTTCTTCTGCTTGATGCAATTTAATGGAATTATCTGAAAATTAGTTCTTCTCGCTTTTATCTTTGTTTCATTTCTTGATGATATTTTAATAGTAAGTTATTTGAATTTGTTATGTTGCATTCAGATTCTAAGATTATTCGAAAACATTTACTTATCAGTGATGCAAATTCTCAACTTGAATTAATTATTTTTGTTTGAAAATGTTAAAATGATAAAAGTTTGTTGAGTAAGATCAAGAAATTAATCGTCTAATCATTTAAAAAGATGTTATGCTTGCTTGAAGTATTATGTACGAGCTAAAGAGCTTTTATAAAAGTGATAGAAACTCCGAGAGACGCCATGAACGAGCCTGTAGGTGCCATCGAGCATATCACGAGACAGTTCATGACTTTGATTGGCTTTTGTTTATTCCTCGTCTCTTATCCCCACTGCCATAGCATTAAATGCCTGCCCGAATATCGAACTTGTTATCTCGAATGACTTGATCTTGTTCTACATTAAAAACGTGATATATTAAATGCTGCGCCTTTCAAGTTGGAAAATATGTGTTTGTGTGTAAATGCCATCAATATCACAAACAGATTCAAAGCATGCAAATATGAGACTTTTATGAACAATGACAAAAATATGTTTCTGACTCTGCTTCTTTTTCATGAAACTGTAGAAAAACTTTTCATTCCTTTGAATTTTAAATATCTTTTGAAGCGTTTTGTAGAACGCTGGATAAAAGACAACGTTCAAACGTAACTGCAGGAAAAAAAAGTTGAGATGCTGTAGAGCGTCATGAGAACTCGAGAAATGAAGGGAAAAGAGCAACAAAATAAGTTTTCGTAAAAAAACGTGATTTGATTTTCTTCTTCTACATTTTTTCTTCCTTTGATTTGTGATTTAACTCTAGTTTGTTACATTTAATTTCAATAAAAAAAATGATGCTAAAGAAGTTTGTTTGAAAATTGTGTCACAAAGTTTTGGATTCCGTTGATACATAAATAAGTAATTTTATGAAAAAAAAACGAAATAAAGATTGAGGAAACATTCCTTTTTAAATTAATGTCAACAACTTCATTCTGCATAACTTGCATTTAAATGTTGAATGATACTTAACTTGTGAAAACGTTTAACGTTGTAATTTAAACATTCTTTCAACAACTGTTCACATTTTTTACGAGTTTCAAGACTCCCACGGATGTTCCGAGATCATCAACTTATGTGCACATCATCAGGAGATGTTCGGTAATTATCAAACTTTTTCCAAACAACACATTTAATTGGCTTTCTCAATGTAACAAGGAAATTAGATAGTAATGGAAGAAAACATTCTGTATTCAAGTCAATTAACGATTTCTTTCCATTGACTTTCGAAAATCTCTTCTCAAAACATTTTGTACAATAAATAAAGTAATTTCTAATCGTCTCGTAGCTCATTTCATTATTTCATGTAGGATATTGGAAAAGGTCAATAAAACCATCTACTAAATACAATCGTTATCAGTTCTCCTGACTCGTTACAAATTACTGAAGGCAAACAAAACGAGNGTGATGAATTTATTTATTTATTTATTTATTTATTGTTTATGCTCATTCGGTGTACAAATAAAAGCTTCGCTCTTTTTCAATTTTCTTCAAATGAAGGAAAATTTCTCATATACACCGTTGTATTCTTATTGGAATTTCGTAGAAAGTTTTAAAGAAAAAAAAATAAATTTTGTTTATAAAATCTGATAACATCGTCGCTTGTCATCGACCAGTCTTTCGTCATCATCTCTGTAAGAAAAAGGAAAGGGTGAAATTGGAATATGAGGAAGGGAAAATGTTTATGTATTATGTCGATGCGAAATGCAACCAAGATTGTCTCTTAAACTCAACCGTAGAGTCAAGAATTCTAACGTCTGAGGGTAATGAGTTCCAAAGGCGAACTCCCATACAAAAGAAAGAATTATCAAGCTGCCGACAATTTCTTTTAGCTGGAAGACTTAATGTTCGTCCTCTGGGAAATCTAGGGAAAGTAATATTAGAATATAAGTATTGAGGAAATTTATTCTTTAGAAGATAGAACATAGAAAGACACGCTCTAAATTTAATAAAGTTTTCCAGCGGACAACCTAATATTTCATTTCTATATCTGGAAATTCTCTCATACTTTTTCAAATCAAAAGCGTATCTAATGCACGAGTTAAATGTTTTCTCAATTATTGCCCAGCATTTTCTATTGCATCCTAGAAATATATTACTGCAATACATAATTCGTGGTATAATAAGAGCTTTTACTAAAAGCTTTCTTGTATTTAGTGGTGTGATGTTCATTGTTTGACGTAACATGTAAAGAGTAGAATTAATTCCGTGACATAGGTTTGTTATATGGGCTTGCCAGGTAAGTTGACAGTCAATAATAAGCCCAAGACTTTTTACATCTTCACTATAGGGAATAATGTCAGAGCCGATATATATTGGGGGTGGATTCTGATGTTTTCTTGGACTAATTAGGATTGTTGAAGATTTTTGTGCGTTGATTATAATTGAATTCTCAGAAGCCCATTTTACGACCGATTGTAGAACATCATTCATTTTAGCGACACAGGTTACAACATCTGGTGAAGAGAGGTAAAGCTGGGAGTCATCGGCATAGAGATGAATATTACAATCTATTGCTTCAGGTAAATCGTTAATATAAAGAGAAAATAACAGCGCTGATAAGATTCCACCTTGTGGGGTTCCAGAAGTGACAGGTGTTAATTCTGAAAACTCGTCGTCAATACGTACTCTCTGTAGTCGATTTGAAAGGTAAGATTTAAAAAATTTACATGATCGTGATGAGAAATTAAATTTTATTCTAAGTTTATCAAGTACCTAGTTTTTTATGATCAACTAAGTCAAATGCCTTCTTAAAATCTAAAAGTGTTAGGACTGAGAAATAATTATTTTCTAAAGCATTAGAGAGATCATGAATAACTTTTAATAACGCGGTGTTTGTGCTGTGTCCCTTTCGAAACCCTGACTGACACTCGAATAACAAGTTATTAGATTCAATGAAATATTCCGTTTGATCTTTAATTAAACGTTCAAGAATTTTTGACATACATGGGAGTACACTAATAGGTCTATAACTTGAGAGTTCAGTTGGATTAATTTCTTTTGGAATCGGCCGAATGTTTGCGATTTTCCATTGAAAAGGAAAAATTGATTTTGTAATAGCATTATTAATTATATGAGTGATAAAGGGAATAATGAAAGGACATAACTTTTTAATAAAAACTATCGAGATTCCATCTTCACCTATTGCTTTAGTTTTAATTAAATTTAATGCATTAAAAACTTCATCATTCGTGACGTTCTCAAAATCAAGTTCTTGTATAACATCATTCGAAAGATCTTCATTTGAATCGCAAAAGGAATCTATATCTGATGGAGTGAAAACAGAGCTGAAATAATTATTGAAATCTGTAGAACTAAAGCTGTCACTAATAGTAGATTTAGATTTTGTGACGCCAAATGTATTTAAATTTTTCCAAAGAATAGTGTTAGGTAAGTTTACATCCATGCGTTTCAGGAGGCATTTTCTTTTAAGATTACGTTTCATTACATTTACACTATTTCGCAATTTAATAAACTGTTGTTTTAAAAATAATTTTTCTGTTGCATTCTTTTGATTCCTTGCTGCTTCATAGAAAAAGTTTCTCGCATTAATCAGCTGTAAAAGCTTATCAGAAAGCCAATCAGGTCTGCAATCATTGTTGACCTTGCAAATTTTGATAGGACAGAAAAAGTTCATAAGTTCTAGAATCAACTCATTGAAATAATTCACTTGTTCATCAACGTCATCTATGTCATAAATTGTATTCCAATTTTGTTTTATAGCAGCTGCATTTAATTTTTCGGAACAAACATTATCAAAATTTCGGACACTTTTGTGCATAATTTTATTTTTATTTATCATTGCGATATTGTATGAGCCAAATATTAAATCGTGCGTCGTGTAACTACCTAAAGGCAACTGAGAAAAACGTTTTAATAATTTCAATAAAAAAAAATGATGCTAAAGAAGTTTGTTTGAAAATTGTGTCACAAAGTTTTGGATTCCGTTGATACATAAATAAGTAATTTTATGAAAAAAAAACGAAATAAAGATTGAGGAAACATTCCTTTTTAAATTAATGTCAACAACTTCATTCTGCATAACTTGCATTTAAATGTTGAATGATACTTAACTTGTGAAAACGTTTAACGTTGTAATTTAAACATTCTTTCAACAACTGTTCACATTTTTTACGAGTTTCAAGACTCCCACGGATGTTCCGAGATCATCAACTTATGTGCACATCATCAGGAGATGTTCGGTAATTATCAAACTTTTTCCAAACAACACATTTAATTGGCTTTCTCAATGTAACAAGGAAATTAGATAGTAATGGAAGAAAACATTCTGTATTCAAGTCAATTAACGATTTCTTTCCATTGACTTTCGAAAATCTCTTCTCAAAACATTTTGTACAATAAATAAAGTAATTTCTAATCGTCTCGTAGCTCATTTCATTATTTCATGTAGGATATTGGAAAAGGTCAATAAAACCATCTACTAAATACAATCGTTATCAGTTCTCCTGACTCGTTACAAATTACTGAAGGCAAACAAAACGAGCTGATTTCGAACGAAGCAATTAAAACTTTTTTTTTTCAACTTGCTATTTTAAAAAGCCTGGTAAAAAAGGTAAGCAACATTTCATTACACTTGTAAAGTTTTTTCCTTCTCTCTTCAAAGTTGCGCGCTCGAGTCGCTGTGTTATCGCACATAGAAATACAATTTAATGATCTTTTTCATATATCACAAATCACGAATTAACCGCAAACGAAATAAAAGCGAAAGAAAAAGCGGAGCAGACTCTTGTTGCGGATGGGAAATTATTGAAAGCAATGTTGAACGGTTTTGTTGGAAAAATTTAGTGCGCACGATTATTTTGCGTGAACCATGAATTTTGATTACAAAATCTCGTAATAAAATATAAAACAGAAAGAATGATAGAGACACGATGTAATATTCCTTATGAAGTTCTTATTTATTTAAAAAGAGAAATAGTTTCTGAATAAAATCGCTTCGATTTATTGTAGATGTAGAATAATTTCAAATCTTATCTTTTATAAAAAATATGAAAATAATTTGGATTCAAGTAGGTAAAAGTTTTATGTTGCAACATAACTTGAAACTGGGTTTATTTGAGTAATTTTATCAAGAATTATTATCTCAGTTTAGTTTAAGGAAATTGTTTTGTTAATTTAATTCACTGTTGTTCAATTACTAAACAGTAATTTCAATTGCTAATTTAAGGAACTATCGAATCATTAATAATAATTCCAAAAAGTCCTAACAGCAAACTTTAAATTACTTTTTTCCTTCTAAATATGAAAGATTTCTGAAATTATCTATGAAGTTCATGAAACTTATGGTTTTTATTACTACACGGTTTTAACTTCAATCGAATATAAGAACATTATAAAGCTTTAATAAAAGTAATGTCGAACGATAAAGAATTTTCACAGGCTAATGATTCAAGCACAAAACTAAATAGTGGGCTGAGCTAATTAGAAAGAAAAAAAAAATGATTATTGTTAATTATCGTAAACTTTCATTGTAAAACATACAAAAGAAATTGAAAAAAAAATCTTTTCAAACAATGCAATGCATAATCTCAACATTATATGTGTGCATGCATGAGCTCAAGTTTAATTATTTCAGGTAGCTCATGAGCGATTTGTTCGACGGTTTTTACTGCACTATCATATTCATTGCCAGCCCAAATCTTCCAATTTAAGGAAAGGATATTTAAAATGATTTTAAAATTTAATTGTGCTTGAAAACGCAAAGTTAAATTACGTTAGCTCATTCTCGTATGCGAAAATGCAGAACTTAATAAAATTATCCACGGGTTTTTTTTGGCTTATTTCTCATTACTTCTTGTCGTTATTTCTTCGTTTCTCGTCTGAAAGACACGAAAAAAAAAAGAAGAGCGCTCAGTGCATGGAAAGGAATTAAGAGGAATTGAAGACAGTTAATAAGACAATCTGATATCATAAATCAAATTAAAGTGAAATGAAAGAGCTTCTGCAATGCGCTGTTTACAGGGAGACAGAGAAAAAAAGCGAGCAGGAAAACATCGGTTGGTTGGTATTAACGGTTGTCGAAATTGATGAATGTATCAGAAGCAGTTAAGTGTCATTAATGCAGCTTCTTAACGCAGATACGCAGATTTAATCCTTGCTGATTACCCGTACGACAAGTAATATCACATTCCACTCAACAAATGTCATCAAAACATCAACTAATGCATCAGCACTAATTGCCATTCGTCGCATTGATTCTAGGAAATGTTTTTATATTTTGCTGAGGCGCTAAAATCGTGTCTTCAAATGTGTAACGCTGATATTTATGTATATTCATGCAATTAAAACCTTTTTGCAAAAAGTTATATTACGTTTCCATTTTAATAGCATCAAATCACATGTAAAAATAACAAATAAACTAAGAATGTCATCAGATTTGTTAAAACATGATTCGCATTGCATAAAAAGTTAAACTTTTAATTTGTTTATTTTTCAGATGAATTTTCAAAAGGGAAACTTTAATTGGGTTTCGGTTACGATGAAGCATCGTATTTCATACGTCATATGAGCTAATTGCCGCCTTCAATTTTCTATGAGGAAATAATTCTGGGAAGAACTTCGATCTCGCTTAGTCTACACAATTTATTTTCAATTCACTTTAAAAGAATTTAATGAAGTTAATCTGATATTTCCTTTGACACATTACTTTGGATAATGAGGAAAGTGGGAAGAGTTGGCAAGGTGAGAAAAATATTTTTATCTGCCATTGAAGGAAACAATTTCAAGTTCATTGTATTAAATATTTAGAGACGAAGTCGTTTAGTTTCTTTAATCATTAAAATCCTTTAGTTTGAGATTAATTATTCGAACTTATTTCATCCATCACAGAAGATTTCTCTTGCATTGTAGCGTAATTGATTTGGACCCTTTTTTCTAGCTGACAATCGACCCAACCAATCCGATTGCCAAAGGGTGTGGCTTTCTCGTGCATCGTGTTGGTGTTTGCATCAGAAAAGTGAAAAAAAAATTCATCCATACATTTCAGTGCATACACAACGCAACAACAAAACTGCATCGAAGCGATATTGTGTGTGCAACGGAAAACAAAAAATAAAATAAAAACACACAACGCTTGCACACGTTGGTACAAAAGAAAAGAGAAGAAAAAAAATTCAGTTTTGAAACGACGAAAATCCGAAATAGGCAACAAATTTTCTTTGTTCATGCGTCGGTCAATTCTGATGAATCTCTTTTTCCTTTTCCATTATTGCACGATGCAACTAAATGAATGAAAAGCTTTGTGACATTCCAGGAAATTGCGTAACTTTCAAAGAACTTTTCTTCTTTTAGTTATCAACCAATTATCGTAAGAAAAAGAAACTTTTCCATCGTTACAACTTTCGTTACATCAGCAATGAGAGGAGAACGAAAGCATCACGTTAAAAGTTTCATATTTTCGATGGAAAAGCTTTAACCAACACATCTGTAAGTTGTGCGGGTGGAAACACAGCTGCATTGATCTCCTTCTGATGGAAGGGTAAAATGGTGGCTGCTACAATAGACGAGTGAAAATTCTGTAATTTTCCATTTCGTTCAAAAATATGCAAGTTTCATGCCAAAGATGAATCTCATGATTTGTACGTGAATATGGAAGAAAAGCTTTTGCAAAAAAGTATTTTTTGTACTTCACATGGAATTTTCATGAATGAAAATTTATTTCACTAAATACAATTTTATTTACATAATGTAAAAATTATACATCTTGCAGGGAAACTCAAAGTGGAGTGGGATAAAAATTTAACGACAAACAAATATGGGAAGAAAACTTTTCCACAAACAGAAAGAAAAAAGTTTTCATTTCGAGGACAAAGTCTCAGCTTGTAAATATCATGAGACCGTCCATGTTTCGAAAGAAATATTTGATGTTGATAAATAAAAACGTATTTCTGAAGTAATCTATTTATTCATGCATTTATGATTTCGAAAAATCCTTTCAATGAAAATATTTTGTAACTTAAATAGAATGAAGGAAAATTCTTTTCATCTCACTCTAAATTTTCATCTAAGTACAAACATCCGCAAAAAGCTCACAGTGTTCTTTGATTATAGTCTAGAGATAGAATTTATATTTATTTATCAGTAAACTACAACATCGTCTGTTCTTTCCTACCTGTTCACATGAGATGCTTCGTTCAGTTTTTATTTCAGCACGATGCTGGGCTATTCACATAAATGAAAGATGAGAAAGAATCATAAAAATTAATGAAAAAAAGGAGGAAAAATTTAAAATCAATATTTTTTCTTCCCGACTCCCTTCATTCCGTTGTCCACTACATGTTCGTTGATCTAGCTTTTTTGTTGTTGCTTGGCTGTCTCTGAAATAAGAGACGATGGTCATTCGATTCAAAGTTTACACAACTATCGATGTACATTCAGAATTGGGAGAATTTTCTTTTTTTTCGTTATTTTCGCAAGAATAAGCAAAATTGTAAGCTTCGATAGAGCTCAACATATGCAATTTCTCTTTCGCTTAGCGTTGCAACTTTTTTTGCGCTTATTTCTTGGAAAATTTCTGCCTGAAACGAAGAAAAATGGGGAAACATTCATAAATAATCTGCACGATACGATAAAAGAGCGACTCGAGAAAGGTATACAAACTGGGACTTATTTTAGTTGGAAAAAATATTTTGCTTAGTTTCCACCCACACCCAACGCTTCCTCGGATTATTTTAGACATAATTTTTTTTTCAAAGCACAATCTCTTTATTGAACGAGATTTAGTTGGCGTTGAAAAATGTCATACATATATTGAATGCGAGAGGACTTTTTAATATTTTCTATTTTCCTTCCTTTCACATTCATTCGACTCATCGAGATCTATGCGAAAGATAAATGTATGAACGTGCGGTTAGAGCAAATAGAATCTAGCCAAAATTAAAATTTACAATTCAAATATCTCATCCATTTGTACGTGAATTGGAGACGATAAAAAGATCTTTTTTTAACTGTAGCCGACAGCGTGTAGATGAAGAGCATGAAATCGTTATTGAACAATAGACATCGTTCGTCGATAGCAAAATAAAAAAAGTCATTTTTCTCCTTTTTGTTGTTTCTTTTTTGATTAAAATCCAATTAAATGTCGGAAACATAGAAGCAGATCGTTTATTTCATCTTTGCGTTCATTTTTTAAATGTTAAACCAAGAAAGAAAGCAGAAAAAAGATTTAAAAAAACTTCTTATGAGAATGAAGAAAAACCTTAACTTAAGAAACGATAGGATAGGTCATGGAAGTGAGCTCGATGTTCATTGTTGAGAAAAGGAAAAAGAAAAAACATCTTCAAGGCATTTACATGAGACTTGCATTCAAATCCCATGTGCATGTGAAAGTTTTAATTGGAAAATTAATAAATTTTATTTACATAATTAAATTTGTTAAAATTGTGTTAGATAATTGATCATGAAGCTTTTCTTAAATTTATTTTTTTATTAAAGTTTAAGAAATGACCACAATAAGCTGTCAAATTTCTCGGTTAAATGAAAGTCTTAAATTTCTCAGATTCCATGTTCAACTCTTTGTCAAACTAGGTTAACTTGCAATAAAGAAAGAAGTTTTTCTATCTCATGTATACTTAAATTTTATATCAAAATATATTAGGAAAGCAGCTTTGAGAAAGAAACGAAGACGTTTGCTCAAACAACATACACATGATGCACAAGAACATGAAATGAATCCTTGCAAGTGAGCGGTAATATTTCGCATGCATAGAGCGCAATCACAAAATTTATCGAGCTGTTCTCCCTAACATCATATAATTAATTTTTTTCTTTCTTTCAGCGATATTGCATTAGGTCAGGGACGAATTCCTTTTGTTTTATATTCTTCTTTTGTTTTACGGATGTTCTACTATGTTCCTTTTAATCGGTCATTTCACTATTCAGAGAATGAATGAACCGTAACTTGTTTCAAAGGCATGAGAAGGTTACGTACAAGGAATTTTCCTACAACATTCAAATAAACTTGAATCGTATTATGGAACGTTGCACCGAAAATATAAAATTTCATATTTAATATAATTAATCGTAACCTCGTTCTCGTTTAATGTCATCGTCATAAGGATTTGCGCTGCTGCTTTTCTCCATCCGCACACAAGGATAAAAAGTAAATTCTTTTGCCTTGGAAATGGAATATTTTCTCTTTGTTCGAAGCGAAACTTTGTGGGTGGCTTTGGTAGAGCAGAAAAGTTTCGTGTCAGCTGAGCTCGTTTATCGTGTTCGGTGTGTGTGGGAAGTTTCAGAAAGAAGGCAAAAAACAGAAAAACTTTTCTCCAAACGCTTTCAACTTGCGCTCACTCCATTGCTTCGCTTTTGCGAGTATGTGCAGAGGATGGAAAATGGAAAAGTTGTGTTTTTGCACCAACACGTAACTGATGGGGAATAAAGGAAAAAAAATCGCATCAGTCGAAAGAACTTTTTCTCGTCCTCCATTCGTCCTCGTTTTCAACCCTCAAAGTCATCATTCTCGCTCGTAGTTTTTTGTCCTCAATTCATGCTTTTTTTTTCTAATCCAACAAATGCTAGGAACTGAATTGAGGAAAATGAAACTCGAAATTTTATGTTGTCGTCATAAAAATATTTATTTTTATCATTTTTGTTCACATCGCTTTTCAATCTCATCGTGAATTAAATCGAACAAAAACTAAAGATAGAAGTTGCATGTCTTACTTTATCTAGAACACAAGAATCAAGTAGGGATGTTTGTTGACAAGTATAATTTATCACCAAACGTTTTTGTCGATGAATTTCTATTCAAAATTAACTTTGAAAGTAAATTGAAGAGACCAGTCAATTAGCTACTTGACAAAAATAAATTATTTAAATTGTCGCATCATTGAATTTGTTCCACATTGTCAGTGTAAAGTCGAGGAAAAAGAATTTAAAGAACTTTTTCATATCCTTGCTCTCAATTTTTTTCATAATGCAACCCACTCACACACACACACACTTCATCGTCTTAAGAGTTTGCATTTTAAGTGTGCATAAAGAGTCGAAACATTGCACAACTCATTCGACTTTGTAATTTGCATTTCTCTTTCCAATCCTTCACACTGTGTAGATTAAGTGACGATGGAAATGTGATATTAATGATAATCGACATTGAAATGAATCCCATGGCAGAATGAGAGCTGTTGTTGATTTACCAACAACCAGAGAGTGTAATCTGAAGAGGGATTGAAAATGACATGAAAATTATCGAAAAACTTTCTCATTGTCTCGATTTTACATTTACACGAATCGATTTAAAATATTAAAATTTTTATTGTCAAACTCTTGTCGTGGAAAACAAAATTTTGTGTTTCGAAAAGTTTTCTCTATTTTCTGTCAAAATCGTAGTAACACGTTCGTCTTTAATTTCGATACTCGTTTATAAATCAACTATTCCAGCCATGTTTAACTGAAAATTTCCATTTATTACAATAAACTCAGAGCCAGCAGAATTCCTGATGAAGGAAAAAATAAATTTGCATTTAAAATGACTTCTTGGATGATATCGCTCGTTAATTTGCATTGAAATTTTTTTAAGGGTTGGAAAAAGGATAAAAGTGAAGTTTAATGATAATGACGCTCATTTTCTATCAAAGAAGTGCCTTGAAGCTAGTTCTAGAACTCATGATAATAAAAATTAATGCCTGTGTCTGTCTTGCCAGCATCTAAGGAACAAAAATCTTCCTTTAACATTTCCCAGATGCACCATGATGAAGTTTTGAGTATGAAGACCGCAGATTTTAGTCAAAATAAAACTCTTTGCTTGTCTAATGTTATTCATGCTCATATTGATTGTTTCTCATCTGTACATATTTAAAAATGCAATAATGTGAAATTTAAATAAGAAAGAATTGCGAAAGTTAAAGTAAACTTTCTTTATGAACAACATACGACCGACCACTTGACTGATTCTTCTGTTATTAATAATCTTCTCTTTTGAAAAAAGCAAGAAAAAAACATTATTTGAATTAATGCTTTGCCATGTTGGATGATTATGCTTGTGGTGGGGTTAAATATGATATGAAATAATCTTCAACTTATATGAGAAAGAACATTTCAAATAATCTTTATTCTTTGCAGTTCTTACATCACTTAAGAACAACTTCTGTTAAAACCTTACTTTAATCTTCCTAAACTCTACTAAAACAGTTTTATAGTTCATTCTTTATATTAACAATTCCTTTTCTCCTTTTTTCTTCTTTACTGCTGACTTGATGTAAGAAGCAAAAATTGTAAAATACTGAACTACTCTCAAAGGCGAACGAGCGAGAGGGAAAGAAGGCAAAAACAAATTACAGCAAAAAAAAGCACATTAAACTTCATACTTTCAGAACATAATAGAGATAAAGAATGAAAATGGAATATAATGCCACATGGAGAAAAAAAGTGAAGAAGCATCGAGGAAAATAATGAAATGATGTATTTTTATCTCTCATGCATTCATTTGTAATAGTTGCTTTTCATAATCGTTTTGTTCTTGTTATTAAATAGCTTATTACTGTGGCAAATATGCTTTTTCATATCGTAGTGTTGAACGTAAAAAACGTGGGTAAAATTTCACTTCTTAGTGGCATCAATTCATTTTGAAAGAATTATTTAGAAACTTCCTTGGTGGGAAAATTTAACGCTTTCGAATGTTACATTCGCCATTGCACGAGAAACCTGTGAAATATGTCTTACATAGAGATCGTTACCATGTTTAATATTAAATATGTCGCATTCTATGGCAACACATCAATTTCGATCAAGTCAAATGAAAGAAGCTTCCGTGGATGAAGGAAAAAATGGAAAGCATGCAAGCACAAAATAAACAAATTTCGGTTGACACATAAATTATTTATTTTGTGTTGTCACACGAGCATTCCTTGCTGCAAATCGTCTCTTTTTCTACGAACTTTATGTTACACAGCTCTTGAGTGCTTTTTGCCATTGCCATCCTCGAGTTTTCGTGAGCAAGACGAAAGATAGTTTGTGCCTGTCTTGTGCATTTTTCATATCTTTTTTTCTCTTTTTTGTGTTTACCCTGAAAACAGTAATTTATCATCTTTCAAAAATAAAACAGACGAGAGAAAGGAATGGGATGCGGGGACTATAGTGGAATAATATAAAATGGCTTGGGAGATTAACCGCTGAAAATATTGCAACTTTAGGCGAGGGTGGAATTGGTTGTGGGCTTCTGACACTGCAGCTACACACATACACATTTCCATTGCCTTTTTCTGGCGTCTTCTGTAAGAAGGAGAAATGATGCTACTGCCATTTTCAATCCACATCAACCCCCGACATAAATGTTTGTTGAGTTTTGCAATGAGAAACGAAGAAAAAAAGAGTAAAAACAACTATAATAAATGGCTCAACCATAACTTCAGAGAATTCTTTCGGGGCTGTCAAGTTTTGTGTGTGAAAAATTCTTTTCCGTCGTCTTTTTCTTAAAATGTGAAATAATCATTTATTGTGCAAGTGTTCAAACTCCTGCACTTCCTTATGCCCTTATCATGGTATGAGACGACGATGAAGACGATGAACACGGCATTGCATCTCGCTTCTCACAACGAGAGCCATAAAAATCTATCAAAGCACAAAAGCGTACCAGAAAGGCTATAAAAATAATTTTTCTCTTTCTCTTAAAAAGTTCTACCAGCATCTGGGAAATTGAAAATGCTTTTCAACCCTCGCCTCGTTTGCGGGAATTCGAAGGACTTTAATGGGATTTTCTGTTGAACACGAAAATTAAACAGAAAACTCTCGGTGCAAGAAATCGTTTATGCGTGGATATAAAAGATGTGAACAGTCTCAGGTTGGATTATATTCGGTGGGAAATGCATAATGAAAGCAAGTAGATGTATTATGCTTCTAGCCTTAAATGAAAAATCTACTGAATAATAAATCTCGTAGCTATAAACTTGATGTCATGGACTTTAAATATCAGAAAAGTATTTTTCTCTCTCCTTCTCCCTCTTCTTTGCTGCAGTTCGTTTAATAACAAGACACAACATTAAAACAACATTTTCATCCATCACGCTTGAGTTGCCCTTAAGACTGTTTTTGAATAGCATCTCGCTCTATCCTCGACTCTAGTTTAACAAAGAAAGAAGCAGATTTCAGTTTTCTTATTGCAATAATATAAAAGAAATCTTTGTTTTGACATTCGATAATAGTAGTGTGGAAATTGTCAATTTCAACTTTTTGGTGCATTGATTAAGATGTCAATTAATTGAATTTGAAGCTTTTTAAAACTATTCAAATTTTTCACTCTGAACGTGTCAGAATTCTAAATTTGAAAGTTTTATCAGTTAATTGACTGAATGTTAAATAATTGTCAATTAATCGATTCAATTATTTTCCAACACTACTTAAACCAAGAGAAGAGAAGGAGAAGAAATGAAAAACTTCGCTATTGATTATCTTTCAATTATCGAAGCCTTTTCAAAGTAAAAAGTTTTTTGCATTCTCTGCAATTTTATGCATAAAAAATTGTTTTTCATTTTCATTAAAACTGTGGGGAGAGAGAAAGCAAATATCTTTCAAAATATATGACAATGATAAATTTGTTTACTTGCATTTAGTTTGAGCTGGGAAAGTTCGCTTTTTTATATTTTTCTAAGGGATGATTTGACATTTTTGTAACTCTTGTTATTTCATCTTTAAGATTTCTTACCGATATTATTAAAATGGAACGTACAATTGCACCCCATTGCATTGTTCCCCACATTACAGTTTTTTCTGTCATTCTGACGTTATTTATGAAGCACTCAGGGAAAAACCATCAATGCTTTTTCAGCTGCTATCACAAGGAAAGTTTTCTTTTTCGTCGAAGTTTTCCTTTTTGAAGACTATAAAGTTTACTTTTTATTATAACAGAGAGGGCAGCAAAAAAATCCATTTCAGTTTTTTACGAGAAACGAGAATGAAAAATATTGATGTAATCGATCTCTTCTGACTCTAAGGACATAAAAATATATATCTATGGCTTTTCCATTCAACATCATCGAGGACGAATACAAGCGTTTGGCCGATGGCCTCTGAAGCTCAATTTTAAAGCTTCGCCAGCCAATAACGGTCTACTGTAGTAGTTGGACGTAGGTGTGGTCTTCCACCATCGTGCACTATCAATACACGATTCAAAAGAAGATATTGCAGAAAAAAATCGGCATCAACATATAAAAAATGTACAATAAATGCTGAGAAGTTCGAGCAGAAATTTATGTGCTTGAATTTCTGTATGTATCTCTAGCGAACAATCATTTATCATTGTCCACTGAACTCTCCTTTGTCCTATAATCACCATTGATAAAATTGGTTTTTGTTTCCGTTCAATCTCCAGCTCTTATGCTTCTTCTTTCTTTTTCATTATTTTGAGTGAAATCTCGTTGCACAAAAGCTTAGATAAGTCGAGGGGAAAAAGAAAAAAGATTGAGCTTCGATGAGAAATGTTTCTCACTTGTCATTTATTTCTAAACTAACAATAAGGAATTATTTTAAAAATTATTCGATAGAAAGCTTACACTAAAATTCCATTATTGAAATCGTTCATTGTTGATAATGTCGAGTTTTTCCAAAACAATAAGCATAGATTTTAATGACAATTAACTTTACTCGTTTGTTCATTAAACATGCACTGAATTTAAATGTTTCTTATGTAAAGGAACATTTGGTACGATATTTCCCTCGAAAGTTTCGCTGTTCACATCAATCAATTAACGAAATTGAATGAGAAAAGCAGTAGATTGTGTAACATGCTCATGTATGTGTATGAAAATAATTGCATTAGATGAAAATGCACTCAACACAATTTCCACCTTCAACTGTGTCATATTTCAATTACAAATGAAGTCACCACTTATCAAAGCATGTAAAATCTCTTTACACGTCGACTAGTTTGGTCCACTAACAAACTTCGAAACGAGAAAGCAAACGCAGCAGAACGATGAAAAATTGCCTATCAAATTGAAGCAATTAGGCTTAATTGTTCCCATAAATATTGTTTTTCAACGATGATAGCCAAGTCTCTCCACTGCAATGTGAAATCGCGATGTGATTTTTTTGTTCTTTGCCTTTCTGCCTCAACATTGCATATGCACGTTTCTGTTTACGATGTTCTTTTTCTCCATTTTTCGAAAACGACGAGAAAAATTTGCACACTCGACTACGTGCGGCATGCCATCAAAAGCACTTTTCCGAAATAGCCACAAGTGCAAATGCACACGTTTGCCGGAAAAAATTAAATCTCGCCATATGAGTGAAGATTTTTCACACACAAACTTTAGCAAATGATATTCAGTGTTATGGAAAAGGAGGCCGAAACATGAATGACTATTGGCTTGGGGGGCAAATGCAAGCAAAACGATGTGAATTTACTCTTTTTCGAAACGCGCAATGAAGAGATAAATTGGTAAATTGTCATTGTTTGACAATTGATTATACACCCAAAACAAAAACTAGATAACTGCATGACAGAAAAAATGTTACGCTGATGCGAGAGGCTGCACTTTTTCCATCACTTTTCAAAACATCGCCGATAGCGGATGAACATTGTTGAAAGTTCGAAACAACTTGATTTTTATTTATTGTCCTTTCATCAATGAATTACCAGCTTTTCAGTTATTATCACTCTCGTTTTGTCTTCCCTCTAACAGCGTGCGATGTGTACATTGTGCAATTCCGTCTACTTTTTATTATTATTTGAAGTTTGAAATGGTAAATTCTGTCATCATATAAAACGCATTGCTTTTGTTCAAATACTTTCGCAAAGATATGTAGATGATCTCTAGTCATCACTCAACTCTGGTATTTTATTGCCTTTGACACGCGGGATGTGCAGACATCAAATGAAAATTTATTTCCGCCACTAGAACTATCAACGCCCGATGATTTAATAATTGAAAATACGTGTTGATTTTCTTCTTTTTTTAATATTGCACAGAACAACGCATCACGATGACATATCAACAATTAAACTAGATACATGGAACGAGGATATTCCATCAACCTAAATAAATTATGCAATTCTCTTTTTTTAGAAGTGACGTTGAGAAAAATCAACATGGAAATTCAGTTTGCATTGTACTTTCATGCAGTATTTATTTTGATTCAATGTGAGTTTACATATCTACGAAGTGAGATGTTTGACATGAGATAAAAAAAAAATTTTAATCGATTATTTGTTATGAGATTAAAGTGAGAATTTAATGAAAATTTTGTGTTAGTAAATTTCAGTTTTTATGGAATTTCAAAGACTTTAAGTCAAAGGAAAAATAATTTTCCGCATTATCTGATGTGTAACCGACGAAAGTTCGAAGCATTCACATAAAAATAAAAAAAAATTCCAACATAAAAGTCAAATCGTCATTCGAATCTTATACTTCAACTTCATTTATTTAACGATGTCTCCACGTATTTCCTTGGAAGACTTTACAACCGTCATCCGTCAGATGCATCAGAGCAGAGAATAGAAAAACGAAAAACTTGTTTTTATGAGCAACGAGAAAAGCAAGGGGGAGGGAGAGAGAGAGAGAGAGAGTTTTGTTTCATTTGTAAATATTTAATGATAGCATCCATGTTCGTTCTTCGTGAAGATGCTTCTTTATATTTTCCATGGCATATTATCTTTGCTTCTGCCACCATTTAGAATGAAATGCAAAAAGAAATGCATTTCTTCCCAATTTCATGTCTTATCGTTTTCGCTCGCTGCATTCTTTGAATTTATGTATGAGTTTGAATGCTTCGTATGCTTCGCTTTGGGGAGGCGATATTGTAAGACAAGTATGAAATTTTAACGATCGAATTACGAAACTTTATGCCAACTGAATGCTGAAGGATGAAGTAAAATAATTTTGAGAATTATTGTGACATGTTGCACATGAAGTAAATTAAACCTGAAATGACTTTTCACCATCAAAAACATTCCTGACAACCAAATTTTCCAATGCCAATTTTCAGTCACCGCAATTTTATAAATATCTATAATAAGTAATAAAAAAAAGCTGTAAAAGCAAAAACTCGAAATGTAATTGATAGAATTTGCAGTCTCACGTAGACATTTACATGATGGAAAAAAAATTCTGTCTCAGAATGAAAGCAATGAACGCATGAAACGTTTCAACACACACAATAAGGCCCGAGAAATGAATAAAAAAAAAGTTCCAGACAAAACTTATCGATCCGTTTGCCTTTCTCACAAACATATTTCTCTGTTTATAGCTCCTTTTTTTAACATTTCTATATTTAAGTAAGTAGACGTTAACAGAGAATGAACGCAGCGTCAGAGAAAAGTTTTTCTTCTCCCTGATCTGCCTCAACATTGAACCCCGAAATATATTTTGTGTAAGTGTATAGTAATGATTCTCGTTCCATTAACGTCTCGTGCCACCCACAATATATCCTCAAAAACAAAACCACCCCAAAAGTTCAACGCTTTCTGAAAGCAGCAGAAGTTTACACTTTACATGTAGATAACTGTTTAGCGTAGTAAATAAAATTTTCAGAAAAAACTCACACAGCGCGATGAAGCTTGAGGCACAAGGAACTGTTGTAAGGGTATTCACACACAACAGTTGGACGGAAATTTCTTTCTTTCTGTTTGTTCGCCTCAAAAACCTTTTTCGTAATTTTCCTAAAGTTGATTGTGCTTTTGTACAGAAGTGAGTAGTTGCAGAGAACGAAATGTTGTAAAAGTTTCTGAACTCTTTCCTGACTGCAGAAAAAACGGGAATGTTGTGTAAAAACTCTTATTTTGCTTATGATGGTGTTTTGGGTTGACGGCAGGATGGGAAAGGGCATTTATTTGCGAGAGTGTGGCGCACATCAAGCGCAAGAAAAAAACATGAAAATGAAAAATGATGGAAGCTCAGAGCTCCAACTATGCTTTTGTTTCCTTCCACATTTATTTTCCTCATCCTCATTCCTTCTTCTGCAAATATCAAAAGCAGTATAGCAGTTTGAGTCTTCTCTTTGCTTTCCGTCTTTTTTTTTGTGCATGAGCATTTTGTAATTCTTTTTTATTATCGCATAAAAATATTTCATCAATAAAGAAACTTCTATGATGGCTCTCGCTTCTCTTTTTCGCTCCATCGACCATACCGTGCAGCGTTCGCGCCATCAAGTGGGATTAATTTTTTGCGCAAATGAAATTTGCATCGAAAAGTCTTCAGTTCAGGAGAGAAAAAACATTCATAGTGAGATCTGAAAAGGAAGCTATAACGAAAGTTAGAATGCAGGGTTGTTGAATGTCGCTTTTTTATAGTTTTGTCAACAATAAAAAGCTTCTACGTTTAACGTTCCTTCTTTCATAGCTTCCAAATTTAAATTACCCATCATTTTTCATTGGAATACTGAATCAGGTTCATGCAAAAAGCGTCTGATGAGATCTTTCGGGCTATGTGCATATTCCATGCTATTTCGTTGTTGTCTTTTTCAAATAAGCATAAACGAGAAGTTTTTTTTCTACGAGATTCTTGATTTTCTATCCAGGAGGGCATCATACTCGTTCTCGAATTGATGTCAATGAAGGACTTTTCCGCTATCAATTCGTTCGCCATTTGCTTCGAATTTTCCTTTTTCATGTTCATTTCAATGAAAGAGATTCGCCCTTTTCTCTTTTATCTTTCTTTCTGCGTCTTTTCATTTAATATAAAAGCAAGAAAAACATCGACATGAAGGGAGATCATCGATAAACAAACCCCAAGTAAATTTGTTTTTCTTCTTCATCGACTGAATTTAAAAACATAATTGAACTTATTTCTCCAACTTTTTTTCTGCTTTCGATCGTTTCAATTATGTGTTTTTGTGAAAACGGAAAACTCAAACGAATCTCTTGGCAATATTGAAAATGAAGAGAATTTTGCCCCAAAGATGTGTTTTGGAAACTGATGAGGACGATTAGTCTCTAGATATGTAATTAGTACATGAAAACTAGTTCAGAAACTTAAACTTTAATTTCAGTGAGTTTTCCAATTCACTGTCAGTTAATACACGCCACAATATAAATTTTTAACTTCCATTCACATTCTTAGATTAAGAGGAATTTCTTTTAATTCTTCACCGACCCGACCCGACTCGGTGGAAGTTATAAAAGTACATTTAATTTCAGTCTAATTTGCATATTAATTGGATGGAAAACGAGATGAAGAGTAATGCGAAATGCAAGACGGAAAATTTAAATGGACTTTACATGAAGAAGTGAGAGTTATTTGGGAATTGCATCTGGAAGTTGAGGTTCATTTATAATTTAATTTTTATGGAAGAATGCTAAGTGATTGGAAGTAATTTTGTGACATGACATCAGCAATCCTCCCATAACTTTTTTTCACCTTCAACACATAAAGGAAGGCGCAAAACTTTTTCTTTTATTCTCATCAGACACCCATTTCGTTTCAATTGAATCTATCGCGTAATTGTTTTCATTTTTTTCCCTTCGCTCGTTTTTATTTCTCATATCATTAAAAATATTTCGTTCGGCATACATTCGATCGTATTTTGATATTAATCGTTTTCTTCTTGTGCTTCTTTATCCACAAAGCACCTTTAATTGAAAATTTGCTTTGAATGCAAACGACTTTTTAAGATATGCATAAAACATAAAAAGCATGAACTTATTATTCATCATTCTCAAGTATTATAAATTTTTGATTGAGATCATTTTGTAATTATTGTCCTCAATTAAGCTACTGCAACTTTTATGGGGATTTAATTACATGATGTTGTCTGTAAATTTGTTTTTTTTTCAACCTTTTAAGATGCAAACTTCAATTTATCAGTTTCGTTTATTTAATTTAACTACTCAAAATAAATGGTTGATTAATTGTATCATGTTGAGTAAATATTTGATTACGATTACAATTCAAGTGAATTTAATTAACGAGAAATTGGAAAAAGATATTTTGCTGAGTAGAAAACATTTTATCGACTCGATTTGTTTATTCTTTAGAATAGTTAAAAAATTGTGCAAAACTTCAATTTTCGTGCGAAAACATTCCGCTGAGCAACAGAAATCTTCCGAATGTATGATAAATTGAGATCTTTGACTTCCATCTGATCAATGTTCAATAGATGAATGCTACTTTGTATGCCTCCAGCCTTAAATATTTCATAGACATGAATGTGAAAGAAATCCTATCAATATTTCAATTACTTTTCCATTTCTCTTTGAAACGGCTTTTTCTGTCTCATGTCATAAGCAATCAACAGCAACAGCAACAACAAGTCAAGCGCAAGTTTGAAAAATATTATATGCATTTGAAATGTGCGTTAAATTAATATTAATGACCTGAGACAGAGTAGCGAAAAGAATTTACATAAAATATGATTTCTTTTGAACACTATAATTGAGATAAAGCGCTATTGAGTTCATTTAAATTGCAAATCTTTTCATTCCATAATTTCTCTTCAATCAAAACCGCCACACGACAAGTGTAAACATTCAATTTATAATCGGCAGTTAATTGATTGATTACACTCTTTAATGAATATTAATGAAAGCTTCAATTACGCATTTTCCTTCACTTCGTCTCCAAGTCTTAACGATAATAACTGGCTGACATTTTCTTGTGATTGGATGACTTAATTGGTGACAAAAGTAATTTATGTCATGTAGAAATTTATCGTGTAAACATGACAACTTAACAAAAGGAATTTCTTTTCATGTTGTTGAATATTGAGAGAATCTTAGATAAGTTGAGATTGCATTGAAATGTTTATTCGGTTTTAATAAATTTAAATAAGTTCTAAAAGTTTTAGGGTTCAACCTCAACCGGCAATTCCATGGAACAATTCAAAACTTAGAAAATTATAAATTGCGAAATATTTAAATGAATCTTCATTGACATGAATTAACTACAGTAAGTCTTGCATAAGTAAAAAAATTACACATTCTTATTATAATTTATTCTGACATATAATAAAAAGAAACGTTTCAATTTATTATCATTATTACCTCAGAGAAATTGTCAGTTGATCAACTGTTAAGATCACAAATAGTATCCTTTGTCCAATCATTACAAAAGATGGTATTTCTCTTTTTCATATTCTTGATTATAAAACTGATATCATCGACATGCGAAGCTTACCTTAACATTCAACATTATTGCATGAAACAACATCCATCAATTACATATTCCGCTTTGTGATATTTTCCTCGTAATTGTAGCACCATAAACAGAACTTATTTTCCACTCTCGTGTTTCAACGCACTTTTTTTTTCCACACGTCTTTAAAAGAAGCCGCGTGCCATTCCCGAAGTATGCGAACATTAAAACTGCATTTACATAAATGCATTTAAGCTGCAATTATTATCGTCATTACTCTGCAATGTGTGCGTCAAGTCGATAATGACATGTATACATGCGGAAAATGAATGCGCTTCGTTTGATGCTACAATGTGACAACTTTGTGAGCTTTTTCTGATATGTGTAATGACTATGCTATCGGAAACCAACACATAAAATTATAAATCTTTGTAAGTATCCATGAAAATATTTCATTGAACACTTTTGTTAAATGAAAGTCGTGAGTTTGCTAGAACGGAAAAGTGGAAGAATCTACTTTGAAATGCTTGCAACGAAGACTCTTAATGATGTGCATTGCACGCATTTTTCTCTTCCATCCATTTATGTGTTAAATAATTCAGTTATCAAACGGAGTGGAATGTCTTTAAGTCTCATGCGCTTCACATGCAACACAATGTTCGAATCTTGCCTTTTATGCATCATTGTACATCTATGGCTTCGTTTCGCGTTTCCAGCGCGCTTCAATTTAACAAGAGCTCTGAAAATGCTTTCTCACTATGAATTCAATTCTATGCAGTGTGTACACGTGTGGTTAAACATAACTATAATTGAATGTAATAACATTTCATTATCTGTTCTATGCAGTAAGTTCAGTTAAATTCTTTTAAAAGTTCGAAGGTGGAATGAGTGAAAAAAGAGTTCGACTGATGGTGTCATGAAAACGGTTGAAAGCTTATAATTAATGTTGCCTTATAAACATTTCCCTCAACATTGCATTAAATCGTAAAACCACACATATAAATATCACCTTTTTATGGAAATCGCACATGACACCTGAGTTGACATCTTGTTTTCTAAAACACATTTCTTTTTCAATTATCTACTCACAATCCGCTGACTCATAAAATCATGTAGAATTTTAATGTAAAATTTCTTCTTGCGAACAAATTTGAATTGTTTTGAAAAAGGATTTTTTATATCTCAATTTTCAAGACGCGTTGTGAATGTTTTCACAAGCATAAGAATCGATAAGAAAGAACACGAAGAAATGTGGCAAAAAAATCTCAGACATCTAAGCTTCTGAAATTGATACAAAAAAAAGCGAGGCAGGCTTTAACCGTTGAGACATGAACTTGTGCGAAGATTTGTTTACGAAGATATGGCCTTGTCGCAACTGAAATTCCCATCAGACTGAAAACAAGAAGGAAAAATCGTTTCAATGTCTACTGCTTTAAAAATTACATCACGTTTGCTTTCATGATTTTTTTTATCATTTCCTTTAACTCATCATGAAAAGCTTTGAATCCGTTTGTCACCATTTGAAAATGGCAATTTTTGGTACCACTATGAAAAATAATGAAATTTCTCCCCCGCTTAATTTTTATCGTCTTCAAAGGCCAAAGAACTTTTCAGCGGCAATTGAAATGGAAAATTGTTTTTCCTATTTGTGTCGTTCGGTCGTTCGTCTGTTTGATCATTGCACGTCTTCTCTCCCTTTCCTTTCTATGTAAGGACCAACAAGAACAATTTTCAAAGAACACGTCGCTTTGAAAATCACAGAAGCGTCTTTCGTCTGGCAGGCATTTTTTTGCAACGTTTTAAGTCGAAAGCAAAAAAACCTTTTTTTCGATGAAAATGTTTTTCGTTGAGGTAGATTGTGGGTGGAGATGTCTGGGAAAATATTCTTTGACGGAATTTCTTCTTACTGACAATTCCTTGCAATGCACGAGAACAAACAAAACAACATCAATTTTCCATGGATTCAACTACTGCTCTGCCACAATGTGTGGAAGTCAAGAAACTAAGCAAATGAACTCGAATGAACTTTTCAGGGTGCGAGAGAAGGGAAAAGCTTTTTCCCAATGTTTTTCCTTTACGAGTTGTCTTCATTTTTTCTTTTTCGGATACGATGCTTTTGCGTGGGTGGTTTGGGAAATGGAAGGGAAAAAAGGTTTCTTCGATATCTCGCTAAACGACGTCAACGATGATGTTCTCTGGGATATTATGCATATTTCGTGTATTTCGTTAAAGCACAAACCTGAACAAGACTAATGAAATGATTTCAATTCATTGATTATTGCTCTCGTCAATATTTTTTTTTGTTCTTTTCGCTTCACTCGCCTTCAACATTGCCCTGTAACCATTCAGTTCAATGAGATGAAGAAAGAAGAACACAAAAAAAATAAAAGTTGTGCAAGCAAATTCTCAATTTAACTGCAAATTGAAAATTAAAATGTTTTGCTGATGGTCTCGTACACATTCGATTCCTAGAAGAGCTTCGATTTCTGTTTGTTTTTTTTTCTTTTATTTATGCTACTGTTGCTGTTGAATTTTATGCATACTCCGCTTCATTTTTAATTAACTAGAAATTTGTCTTCGTTTTCCTCGGCGTTTTGAGTTTTCGTCTCTTTTCTTCCCCGCCTTGTTTTGCATATTTTGCAGATATGGCTCGAACGTTGCCCATGGGAAATTGAAGTTAGTAAGTGAATGAATGCGATAGTAGAAATAGAAGTTACGCGAGTCCCACATCGTTACAAACTTCTTCGGGATAGCTTCAGGGCATCATTCGTTCAATTTATAACAACATAAGTTACATGAAAGATTCTTTTATGTTCTAGTTTGTCAGTTTAAAATTAATTTAAAACATAAAATGCGTTCATACGACGAGTAAATCACAGACAGAGTCAATCAGGTTTTTGTTTTATTTTTTTATCATCATTCTTTAAGATCGTGGAAAGACGTGAATGAGCTACACAATTAATTGAAGATCATTTTATGTAGATAGATCCGTTGACTCTTCAAGACCATTGCAATGCTCTAGATGCTTCTCTCGCTTACATTTTTCAATTAAAAACGTGCAAGAAGACTTCGCGAGTTCAATTACTGCGTGGGTTGATTCACGCTTTTTTTTATGATTTCTCATCTTACTGCGTTTCTTTTTTCTCTTCTCATTTTATGCAAAAAAATTGTGTGTAGAGAAGTTGATGAAGAAATAAAAGCGTTTAAATTGCATGCTAGAGATGATTTTGAAGGCCAACATCTTTATGAAAAATGAACTATCGCAAGAGATTGCACGATAAGATCTATGCGCGGACGTGCAGGAAACGCTGCTAAATATCTTCGAATTTAGTTCATTAATCTAACCGCAGTCATCATTCGAAAGTTAATCGCTTAATGCCCACACCTTTTGCTATTTCGCGCCTGATGTCGTGTAATTCATTCTGCAAATGCAAATCTATTTGTAATCACCTAATGCTGATTGCGTGTTATCGAATTCTAAATTTGCACATGCTTTAATTCCACCGCGAGGAGGCTGATGCCGTTATAATTCAACATTGAGACAAGTTTCTTTCAAAGAAAAACAACAACTTAAATAGCAAATCTAACAGCAGTTTAATGAGAAAATTATTCAAATGTTCGCTTAAAAATTAAACAAGTAAATCAAAAACTATAATTCAAGTTAATTTTATTTCCTTTCAGTTAATACTTTGAGAAACTTTAGTTAAATAATGTTAGGCAATTTTATGCTTGTTAGATTTAATTATTCGATTTTTCTTCTTTTATTTTATCAGATATTTAAACTTCATAACATGAGCATATAAAAAAAACTGAGATGGAAACTTTATGTTAGATATTCACAAGTCATCTTAGACGATCTTAAAGTCATTTCAAAATTGAAATTTAACATTCAACATTAATTGACCGATATGTAGAGATGTCTTTGATTTCCATTCCTTCCTTTTGAAAGAAATAAATAAGTCAGCAACATCACTTGCATTTCAAATGTTATTTAAATAGACAGACAGTTAAAAGTCAAACAAGGTATCGAAGAATGCAATGAGATCTAACAAAAATGGGCAATAAAAGAAAATTGAGAAATTGTTAGAGCGAAGGAGACATCTTTGGTTTATGTATTCAAATGTGAAGTGTAAGTTGCAAGAGAAAATGTCGATCATAAAAATTCAATTATGCCCAGTTGGAAATGTTTGACAATTACGCGAAACCTAAAATAAAACTTTTTGCAAAGCAACAATTTAAATTTCAAACTGGAACATCGACATGTGAAATTCAAAATTTGTGCCTTGTCTTCGATATCAAAGGAAAAAATCTAACATCAGCTGCACCTTGTGCATTAAAGGTTTTCGTTGCGCTCAATCAACCTGCTTTTATTCATGCATTTTACCGTTTCTCCAATAAAAGTGTTTGTAATGTTTGAAGAGAAAAACAAACATTTTCGTAAAAGTCATTTACAAGAAAATTGGAATTTTTCATCATTGCCCTTTCGTTCTATGGCTCAATAAGGCATTCCAATTCGCTTTTGTTAAAGTCCCAAGTCAAATGGTGCCGTTGTGCTAACAAACATGGACAAAGTATTTCGATTGTCTACACATTCACATAGAATGGTGCAAGTCGAGCAAGATGAAACAAAAAAAAATTATAATAAAGAAAAGAAACAGTACCCACGGCAAACACGCTTAATCTTATGTTAAATCCATAAGAAAACATCGAAAAACAGCAAATAAATAATTTTCCGAATGTACACAAACAAGACAACATGATGCATGAAAATTAATTCCCCATTTGTGATTTTATTTATTTAAATTACGACATCGTTAAGCGACACAGAATGGAGATCTGCTTTCGTAGGAAATTTAATTAATTAAAGTTAGGTAGTGCTTTATTTCTTATTCGTTCCATTAGTTTGGCGAGTTGTAGAAGAAGAAGAAGAGGAATTTATTTACATGGAAAAATTGTCATTCGGAAATTGGAGATGTAAGAAAAAGTGAAGAAATGAAATAAGAAAACAAGCTTCAACAACGATAGCTTCAAAAGAATCGAATCGTGAATTAAGTAAAATCGTAATTATTACATTTTTTTTATGGGATTCGCGAGTTTTCATCTCAATGTAAATAAATCTGATGTTGGATCGAATGGAAGAATGATTAGAAAGTTTTAAATTTATTTAAAAACCATTCGAGAATTCTTCCAAAGCTTCAAACCATCATCGTTGAGTAAGGAAATTGCTGCTGTTAGCTTTGACTTCTTGAATATGTAATAAAAAAAAAGAAAAAAAGCTTTTAATGAAATTGATCTTAGTGGTAGGTGCTCTTAAGAATTGATGTGAATTTAATAAACGTCATCAATGATGTGGAAGTTCCCATGAATCTAATCTGATTAATAGCCTAAGCAGCGTTGGCGCGATTATGATCAGCATGCAATAAATTTTCAACATTAAACGACATAAGGAAATAAGCATTTCAAATGCAAATTGTGAACATTTTTCATTCAGCATGAACTGGGAAATTTATTGAAAGTCTTACACGGGTGGAAAGTCGATGTTTATTTTCGACGTCGTTGCAACTACAGTTCAAGATCACGTAGCTTTCATAATCTTCAAAAGACGATGCGTCTTTGTCTGGGATAGGATGAGCTGCAGGTAAATGTATGATCATCTTGTAGCTGAAAATAAAAGGAGAAAGAGTCGATTGCAGCCCCCCAGCTGCGATACAATGCAACGATGCAAATAAGTAAGTGCACTTTGCCATCATCACGATTGTTCGTATGCAGAAACCTCATTGAATTTTATGGCGATGATGTTTGGTTCATGTGGGAACTTTGATGTTTTAGAAATTATCATCAAACATTGCTAGACGAATCGTGAAAAAGAATATTTTTTTGGGACTTTTCCGCCCATTTCATTTCCGTCAAATGTTGACATGCAAACTTTTTCTTTTTCCAGCAAAATTTCCTTTTTTTAAACACATACAAAATAGAAAATTGTGGTAGCATGATGAGCACGTCTGTTATAATTTTACATTCACATATCTACTCAACAATGTAAAAGTTGTTTGAGCGTGAGGGCAGTTTACTTAGGCAAGAAATCGATAAAAAATGTCTGGACGTTGTCCTCGATCCAATAAGCTTTTATTCTGTTTCACATTAATAACAACTCGCTATACGTTTTCGTGAGGAAGACAATCGTAAAAATGCTGAATTGGAATAAAGGAAAATACTTATTGTCGTCGTGTCTTCACACATTCATGATTTTTTCGTGCGACAATTTCTTTTTTTTCGAATACGGTGAATGAACGAAACAAGGAGCACGAACAAAGGTCAAGGAAATTTTCCAGGTGCTCGATTTATGTGTTAAATAAACAGAAAACGGAAGAATTGTGAGACTTTTAATCAAATTACACGATCAGGGAAAATTTGTGATATGCGTTAAGCTTCAAGCCATGAAGATTTTGATAATTTCCAAACCTCCGAAAGTTTGTCTCTTAAGAGAATTTAAATGATAATTTTAGGTGCAGATATTATCATCATAATCAATTAACAATTAAACTTTGAATTTCTTATCAAAATATCTCATAAAGAGCGCAACAAATGAAATATTTTTGTAGTTAAAAGCTTTCCCGAATTTTCAAAAGATGGAGTTAGTTAAGAAAATTGGGGAAAATAGAAAATTTGATTTCACTAACCGTTAGATTTTCATTTGCGAGTTTAGGAAACTCAATTCTTACTTCGACAAATTTATATCGCAACCAGTTTATCACTGCAAGTAAGTATAAACTCATAAAATCGACATATTTATGCACTCTACTGAAGACGCTCAACTGAGATTAAACCTAATATATTATATTACATTACTTCAATAAATAAATTAACACCACCAATGCTACAAATTATGTTAAATAATTATAAAATGAAATATGAAAGGTCATAAAATAATACCAAATAGATTAACTTCTGACGCTTTTATTTAGTTTATTTCATAGATATTTTGCGAAAATTTATATGGATCGCTGAGTGTAATTAAAAATCTATTTATTATCTTGTTTCGTTAAGAGTCATAGCAAGACTCACACTAATGGTTTCAATGGTTTTTATTAAATCTATTAATCTGTCAGATAACTGTTAAATATTTCATCTCATTCACACATTTTTAAGTATAGTCAATAAATTTCCTCAATTATCTTAAAAGTTAAGGATTAAATCTACAAATAAATGATTAAAATTATTCTAAAAATCTTTTTCCCTTTTAATTATTAAACCGATTTTATAAATCTATCGCGTTTCTCGCTTATTTTTGCAGCTGACAGCGTTAAACTGCATGGAATTTGAGATGACGCAGTAAGTGCGATGAATTTCTAAAAGTAACAAGAGAATTTAATTAACATTCCATTTCTATCTCCAACACAACCTCCGCTTACCTCTTTCTCTTTATAAATATGTTGCAAGCATTCTTTGAATCCAGCAATGAATTCATCGACATTTTCCTTATCGAAAACCATCGGTGGCTTTAGTTTCACAACGTTGTCATCGGGACCATCAGAACTCACAAGAATTTTATGAACATTCTTCATACGATCAACGATAAAATTTGCTTCTTCAGTCGCTGGTGTTCTCAGCTTTCTGTCCGTTACCAATTCAATTCCGAAAAATAATCCCATTCCACGAACATCGCCAATCAATTCAAAATCTTTCATAAGATCGCCAGCTTTCTCCAGCAAATAATTTCCAACAACCAAACAGTTCTCTTGAAGCTTCTCCTCATCGATAACTTGCATCACGGCATTAGCAATAGCACACGAAACTGGATTACCTCCATAAGTGTTGAAATATTGAACGCCTGTTTTAGCAAAGCTATCAGCAATTTGTTTCGTTGTAACGACAGCACCAACTGGATGTCCGTTGCCCATCGGCTTTGCGACCGTTACAATATCTGGTACAACGTTTTGTGTCTCAAATGCCCAGTAATGAGTTCCAACTCGACCGAAACCAACTTGAACTTCATCAGCAATGCAGACGCCTCCAGCTTTTCTCACTGCTTCGTAAACTTTTTCGAAATATCCGACAGGTGCAAATATTTGTCCACCACAACTTTGCAAACTCTCAGCTATAAATGCACTGACTCCTTTGTCGTTCTGTTGAATCGTTTCAATGATTTTCTTAACGTCATTCGCATAAAGATCGGAAAGTTTCGAGTTGGGATGATCAATGTTGCGATATTTTCCACGATAAACGTCGGGACATGAAGCCTAAGAATGAATGGAAGATAAATGGAAATTAATGTCACAATTATGTCACATAAACGTCAACGGCTGTTAAAATAAACTTACGACATGCACAAAATCGGGTTTCTTCACGTCAATATTGCCGGGCCGATTAAATTTGTAAGGTGAAATTTCCATACACGATATGATGTGACCATGATAAGCGCTGCAAAATGAACATGTTCAAAGATAAATACTTAATGAATTGACAAGACGTTCACATACATAAATAAAAATTGAGCCATAATTTAATCACTCAAATCACTCGAGGCAAATTATTTCTTATATGGTGAGTAAAATATTTAAAAATAAAAATTGCGTTGATAATTGGCAGATTGGAAAGAAAAGTTGTTAATGCAAATTGCCTTGCAAGTTGTTCGATAAATTATTAATTAACATTTTGAGAGTGAATTGAGTTTACATAGCGAAGACATTTTTCTGCATAAGTTAATTAAATATTTATAAAGTAGTTTCTTTTAACCGGCTTAACACGTGCGTGAATTTAATTATGTTTCTCATCAAGACTTGATTAACTGATCATTTTCTTATCTTTCAATTTGTTTTTCTTTTCCCTCCTTATCATCGTTATTACTGAATAAATAGATATGTTATAAATCTCTGATTAACAATCATCAAATGACATTAAAACAATATAAACAGTCACGAAATGATAAGAAGTTCCAGATTTAAAAAATGTTTTGAAAAACAAAATCATATTTCAACTTACTGATCTAATGTGATGATGTCTTTCTGTTGTGTATGAGCTCTCGCCAAACGAAGTGCTAAATCATTAGCTTCACTCCCACTGTTGACAAAGAAGCAAACTGATAATGAGTCATGTGGCATTCTCTCGATGAGATTTTGGGCGCATTTTATAAGTTCATCATGAAGGAAGCGATTGTTTGTTGATATTACTGACATTTGACTCGAACCCGCTTGAACGACTTTTGGATGGCAATGACCAACTGAAAATGAAAGGAAACGATAAGTAATTTTACTCGCTTGTTGTTATTTGTTACAAACATCACGAGTCAACATGGTGAGCACGTGAAATTTCATTATCAGTTTAAAGTTTTTAAGTAAAGTCAGTCAGTAATCAGCCGATAGCGAGTTCTCATTTCTTAGCTAAAAATACATTGGAGCCATGAAAAAACGAGAACGACCGTCAAGTGCATTCATAAATAATATTCCTGCGTCATCTATAAGCATTCTCTTTCTTGATATTTTTTCGAAAGATTATTTCATGGTAAAACAGAAAGGAAGAATAATTTTGATAAGACGCACGATTCTTTCTTGTGTTTATCACGTGTACATAAAAATGGAAAAGGGAACACTCTTAACAAGCAAAAGAACAAAAACGAATGCAAGAAGAAGTCGAAATGCGGGAGAACTTGAGACATGCGATATTGATGATTTATTTATGAGGCTTTCTGTCTGTTCTCGGTCTACGTTTTGTGTTTTGCTTGCAACTGTTTTTCTTTCTTTGAGTAGCTGTTTCAATTATGTCAATTTGCTTACAACTTCATTAACTGAGCTTTGTCGCGATGATCAAATGATTGTCGCTTCCTGAAAAAGCTACCTGAATTATGTTGTGGGTAGGGAAAGCAAATATTTGCTGAATTTGAAATGAATTATAAAATTAAAAAGAAAACAACTGGACAAATGTTTAAGGTACAAAATGATCTTATATTCGACCAAAAATCCGAATATTTACTTTCACAACTTGTGGGTGGTTTAAACCACACAACATGTTAAGACGAGATTTACAATTTGTCAACGAGAAATTTTAAAGTTTTAATCGCTATTTTAATGAACGCTTGTTTTATGCGTTATTAAAAAATCATGCACATCGTAAACCAATTAAAATCAATAACTTTCATGACTTATAATCAGCTTTTGATCTACAAGTTTTTCATGAGACTCAAAAGCACCCGTGGCTGTAGAAAATTGGCGACATGTGTTGTATGTAGTCAACTTTATGGTAATTATGTAGCTTGGTAATGACATTATTATGATTATCATCTGATCTTTCACGTACTTTACGAGAAAACCGACTGATAAAGTTTGTTGTGACAGTTATAAAATATTCCAATTACAAATTATCTGCATCACAATGTTTTTTATGATTTCAAGTCAAATAATTATTTTTAAAACGTGATGAGCGTAATACGAATGAAAGTGATAACAACAATTTTATTTTTGTATATAAATTATTCAATTACGCCAATATCACGAAGTTCAACGATCTTAATATTTTGCCCTTTTTTATATTGTTGATTCAATCACACGTGGACAATTTTTGTTTGTTTGTTTTCTATCACTTATGTTGGTCAATTAAATGTGTGATAAAAAAATGGAACACAAATGATTAAGTTCCTTGATTGATTGGTTTAAAAGATTATTTCGCAAGTTCTTACCCGTTGCCACATTATTGATACAGTCGAGATAACGAGTTCCTTCTTCATCGTACATGAATTGTCCCTTTCCTCGAACGATCTTAAGTGGATCGTTTTTGTAGAATAATTGGCAAGACTTCCTGTTTTAAAGAATATATTAATTCTGACGATATCAAAGCAAATATAAACGTGAAATCAATTTTGATACTTCTGACATTTTTTTTTGTCATCCCTTTCAACACATTTTGATATCAAATTTTATAGTGGAAGTAGCAAAAAATATTTCACGTTTGTCAAAAGCGTTTTATAAATATTTTTATAAATTCGCTGACTTAAATTTTTATCTTGGCACTCACCCAATAATCTTATTACGAAGCTCAATTGTTTCGGACTTAGACATTTGTTCACCAGGGAATTTCGACATTTTGATAAGAAAAATAGTTAATTATGATTTAAAAATAACTTTGAACTTTAGAATTACGAAGAACAAACAAGATATAAACTAATTTATGATATTAAGAATATTAAAATTCGCTCATTTTTAATCTACAGAGATTTAACTATTTCTTCTATCAATTCACAACAACAAAAAATGAGGCACGTTTTAAAATTTACAACCGGTCAAAGAAAAGAGATCAGCTGTACTGAACGATTTGCCAAAACGAAGTGAACAAAAATTATTGTCAAGTGATGTACTTATATATATTTTCCTTCTCTCTTTTGCGTTCGTATTAATCGTGCGAGTTGTAGAGTGTACACATATTGTGTTCGTTCGGTTATTCACTGATAAAAAAGCTACGAAATTCATAGTTGTTTACCAATATAAGATTGCCTTATGAGCTCCTATGGTTAATGCAGAATTCATTTTCTATTTTCGCATTTTTCGTGAATACAATGAAGAATCATCATTGAAGAGCTGACCCAAACGGCAATGCATCAACGTGCTTTCCCTTTTTGTTTGATGAATTATAATTAAGTTTAAGGAAATCCAAGAAAGATTTTAAAATTTCGTCACAAGATTAAGTATGTTAATTAGCTTTGGCAAATATTTTTATTTATCCACCTCTTACATACGTTTTTGATTCAGTTTGTTGAATGTTTTTATATGAGATTTGAACTCTTAAAAAATTTAAAATGAAATTCATAAATTCTTCCGTGAAAGTTTTTTACTTTTAAAAATTTAACGGATTTTAATTATTCAAATTTCAAAGTTCAATGCTTCATCAGAATGTTTTCCTCAAACAGAAAACATTGTAACAATGATTTGTATTGAACTAGAAATTCTCAAAGTTTTCTTGTAAGTTCTCAGAGACTCTCAAACCTTTTCCCTTACTGTTGCATTAAACTACATATTATTATTAGAGAACAAATTGAAAAATAGAAATGAGTGCAATCCCAAAATAATTTTCACTTTTTAATCAGACAAAGTGGAGTAAGAGGGAAGACAAAAAAATACGAATAGACTGCTTAAATTAAATTTTAAATCTTGGTAAATTTTAAATAAAGCACTTGAAAATATTGATTGCGAATGATTTGTTCATAAATGTCTGAAGGATTCTCGTATTATCATTGATGAAAATATTTTGATGACAAAATATCTAATATAAGAGAAGATTAAAACTGTGAAAAGCATTTAGTTAAAATTGGAAATTTCATTTATCAAGAAAAGAATTGTAAAATCAAGTTACCTTACACCATCCAGATTTAGAATATTATTGATTGACTTATTATCATGGCTTTGAGGTTGACATGATAATCCTCCTTTTGCTGATAGTTTAACAACAGAAAAATGAATAAAAGTCAGGTTCATTCTTGCATTCGTTTCAGTTTACATTTCTGATCGATCCCATTTAGTTTCAAACCCAAAGTTTTTGTTGCTTGAAATTAAATTGAAAAGTTTTAACATTGATCAACGATGTCAGAAATTGATAAGAAAGAAAGTAAGATAAGAATTTTTTCGAATTGGAGCCTTAAGAATATTTTGTAACGAAAAGAAATTTTTGATAATAAATTTTTAAAATTAAAGTGATGATCTGCTTTAATAAATCTAAAGCAATTAAAATTAGAAACAAAATTAAAATGAATAAATTTTGAAGTTCAAGGCAATAACAAAGCAGTTCAAATAGTGATCAATCAATCAATTAAGAAACATTGGGCAATATTTGATAACAAAATGTGATTTGTGATACTTTTAGAATCGCCGCCAAATGACTTAACTGATATTCCGCCAAAGGATGTCGAGAGCAGTGGTAAAAAGTTGAAGTACCCACGCGCAATTCCTTTTATCATCAGTAATGAATTCTGCGAACGTTTCAACTTTTATGGAATGAAAGCTATTTTGGTTCTTTATTTGACGAGAAAGCTTTTGTATGATGATGACACCGCGACGGTTCTCTATCATACTTTCAATTCGCTTGTTTACTTTTTCTGCATTTTTGGGGCAATCATTGCTGACTCATGGTGGGGAAAGTATAAAACAATCCTTTGGTTATCAATAGTTTATGTTGCTGGAAGCACTGTGATAGCAATAGGCGCAATTGAACCGTGGAATTTACCAGCACGGTAGCTTCTTAAACTTATCAATATCGAAAATAATCTTATCTTGTTTGATAATTTTGATTTCTAGTGCTTTAACAATACTCGGATTATTTTTGATTGCCCTTGGTTCTGGTGGGATTAAACCTTGTGTCGCTGCTTTTGGAGGCGAACAATTTAAAATGCCAGAACAAGCAGCACAACTTGCTGTTTTCTTCTCTCTTTTCTACTTCTCTATCAATGCTGGTTCTCTAATATCGACAACAGTTACGCCAATCTTACGTGAAGATGTTCAATGCTTTGGAATGGATGATTGTTTTCCTCTTGCCTTTGGTGTTCCTGCTGTCCTAATGTTCATAGCTGTTCTTATCTTTGTTGGTGGAAAATTTTTATATAGAATTCTACCAAACGAAGGCAACATGTTGGTGAAAGTTTTCAGTTGTATTGGTGTAATTAAAGGAATTTTTTTCATTCTATTCTATTCAATAATATCAATTAATTATCTTTAGAGCGCATTGAAGCTTCGAAAACGTGAGAAACGAACAAATCCAAAAGATTATTGGCTTGAATATGCTGAATCTACTCATGGCAAGAAGCTTGTGATGGAAACGAAGATTCTTCTTAATGTTTTGGTGCTTTATCTTCCACTTCCAGTCTTCTGGGCCTTGTTTGATCAACAAGGATCTCGATGGACTTTCCAAGCAACAAGAATGAATGGAGATCTTGGTTTCTGGGAACTCAAGCCTGATCAAATGCAAGTCATCAATCCACTCTTAATTCTTATCTTCATTCCATTGTACGAAGTTGTTTTCTATCCACTTCTCAATCTTATCGGCATTCGTCGACCATTGCAAAAGTTGACAATTGGTGGAATTCTTGCTGGCATTGCCTTTGTGATTTCTGCTATTGTTGAGATAAATTTGTCACAAACATACGCGGTCATTCCAGGAAATGGTGAAGCACAATTGAGAATATTTAATGGCAGAAATTGCAATTACGGTTTCTCTTCAAATATTCCTGAACATTCAACATTTTCAATTAACGCAATGAAACATTTTGAAGATGAATATGTGAAAGTTAATGGCGATGAAAATTCTTTTCAAATTAAAATTGAATCAGCAACGGCTGCATGCGAAGATGATGTTGGATATGAGATAAACTTCAAACTCTCTGAAGAAATGGCTCACAGCTTCTTCTTAAAAGGAACACAAGGTGACCGTGTAAGTTATGAAGAATTTGAAGACAACCCTGAAAAATCTCGTCGTGGTTGGCCTATGATAAGAATTCTCGCAAATATTCGAGATCCAAATGCAGAAATAATTTTACTTGAGAAAGGAAGAGATGAAAGATTCAGAGGAAACAGCGGCACAACCACAACAAACCAATTTGATGTTCCTTCAAACAATTATGAAGTTATGATTAACGATCAATCGATTCTTATAGATTTGGAACTTAAGCTTGGTGGCGTTTATTTGTTGATGATCGATGAACGTGAATTGAATGAATTTACAACAAACTTGGAAGTGATTACTGACCCAAATTCAATGAGTATGCTTTGGTTGATACCACAATATGTTGTCATAACATTGGGAGAAGTCATGTTCAGTATTACTGGCTTACAATTCTCCTTCACTCAAGCTCCAGCAAGTATGAAATCAGTTTTGCAAGGCTGTTGGATGGTGAGAAGATTTAACATTACAAATCGTTTAACATTTCTTAAAATCAAACATTTCAGTTAACTGTTGCATTTGGAAATTTGATCGTTGTGATAATCGCTGGTGCCAGGTTCTTTGAATCCCAAACTTATGAGTTCTTCCTTTTCGCTGGTTTAATGTTTGTTGACATGGCTGTCTTCATGTGGCTTGCATATCGTTACAAAGCAATTCCACTCGAGGAATTAGAAAAACTTGATGATGAATTGTTGAAGAATGAAGAGAAAGCTTCACCGTTGGAGTTCAAAGCCGCGAATGATAATTATGGACTTGATAACAAAGAATGAAAAGTAAAATAAAAGTTATTTTCTCTGATAAGAATTTTCCACAACATCCACATGTGTTGAAATCATTTAATGTTAATGTCTTAGCTTTTTCAGCAACACAATCAAACAGAAGTGTGGACTTGAGGTCCAATGTTCGACGAGCTCTTATCACTGGCTTTAAATGACAATATTCTGATAGAAAGTTCGTTTAGGGAGTTGGCAGCATTTACTTAATTTGCTGTTTAACGGAGTTGTCGGCTTCAATTTAATTTATGTTCATTTCTTTATTCGATTACAGGATGATTGCTTTACTTACCTTGATACGAGATTTTTTTAATTACTCAATATTTTGTTTTGAAGACGCAATTGAAAGATTAGATAACAACGCACTTTGTGAGAGAGTTGGACATTAAATGAGTGAACGATTCGACAGTTTAATTTAGTTCGAGATTGATTGTTGAGTTGATTGGACATAATCCTTAATTTCATCGATTAAAATTGAAAAAAAAAAAGAAAATTAAGCAATCAGCTGACTAACCTGAACGTCAGAAGTTCTTTGGATTAAAGTGGTTTAATTAAAAATTTAAATTACTTCATCATGTCTACTGACGAGAAAAATGGAACAGGTAAATGAATTTATTTGACGTTTGTCATTAATTGAATTAAGAATTGAAATTATTTTTGAAAAATTTCCCATCGATTTCTTAACAAGAAAAATTTTTAATTGGTTAAGTCATAAAATTTTAATTTGACATTAAGAAAAATCAATAATTTGAAGTCACGAAAGCCACACAAAGTGAGCCCACGAAACGTTTGTTAATTAAATGCCAAACTGATAAAAAAAATTAAAAAATTCTCTCTTAAATTTCTCAATTTTTTCTACATAAGTAGATATTTCATATCATTTAATTGAAACAGAAGTTAAACAAGCAATGAAATCAAAGTCGAATTATTTATCTTGTCGATCTAATTAATGGCACAACTTTTCATGTAGAAAATAAAATTTTGTAGTTCCGGTGGCTGATGATTTGAAAAATGAAAGTTAAATAAATTTTTGACATTTTCAACAAAGCAGTAAAGAAGCAGAAGAATTTGATAAAGTGTTGAAAGTGAAGAATGCTTAATAAGATGTAAAATAAATGAGGAAATCAAACATGATGGTGTAAGTTAGCACTTGAGGCTTTCACGAAGTAAACGTTGAAATAGGATTTTTTTAAATCAATGGACGATAAGATTACAAAATATTTGCTTTCCATATTTGAAACAATTATGACTCTATAAATTCTTCAGTCTGAAGGATTGTAAAACATTTTTAATCTACTTGCTGTAGTGTCGTGTATTCATAAGATACTTTAATTTGTTGTTAATATCAACAATTCTTGTGATTATTATTTAAGACTTCAACAATTCTAGTTAATCTATAAAGTGAAGTTTATCTTATCAGTTGAAAACAATAGAAACAATTGCTGATAACATTGATTAATTATTCTATTTTCGAACACAAAATAACTTAGTGGAGACTAATGGTGATCATCAAAATGGTGACGTCGAGGAGAGGGAAGAAAAAGTTAAATATCCACGAGCCATTCCATTCATCATTAGCAATGAATTTTGCGAACGATTCAACTATTATGGAATGAGAAGTAAGATGAAAATTGAATATTGCCTCAACATAATTCAACATAAATTTATTTTCTAGCAATTCTCGTTCTTTACTTGACAAGAGAATTAGAATTTTCTGATGACACTGCAACAATTCTTTATCATGGCTTCACAACTTTGGTTTACTTTTGTTGCATTATTGGTGCCATCATTGCTGATTCATGGTGGGGGAAATTTCACACGATTTTATGGCTTTCAATGGTTTATGTATCGGGAAGTGTTGTCATAACTCTTGGTTCAATCGAACCTTGGAATTTACCGGCACGGTAAGTGAGAATCATAAAATTACCTTAAAACTTATCTTATCTGATCTCCTTCTTGTTCCATTGAATAGCCTCTTAACATTTATCGGTTTAGGTTTGATTGCGTTTGGTTCAGGTGGTATCAAACCATGTGTTGCTGCTTTTGGTGGTGAACAGTTTAAACTTCCACAACAAGCTAAACAATTAGGATTATTCTTCTCATTGTTCTACTTTGCCATCAATTTTGGTTCGTTCATTTCGACATTGGTGACACCAATATTGAGGGAAGATGTTAAATGTTTTGACATGGAAAATTGTTTCCCTCTTGGATTTGGATTACCAGCAGCTTTAATGGCAACTTCGATTGTTATTTTTCTTGCGGGAAAATTCTTGTACAAAATTCTTCCCCCACAAGGCAACATGTTACTTAAAGTCTGCAAATGCATTGGTGTAATGACAAAAAATTAAACATTGTTAAATATTTAATTACATTTAACATCTTTCAGAATGCTGTAAGTACAAAAGGTCGTGAGAAACACACAAATCCAAAGGAACATTGGCTTGACTACGCTGAAAAATCTTATGGCAAGAAGCTTGTGATGGAAACGAAGATTCTTCTCAATGTTTTGGTGCTTTATCTCCCACTTCCACTTTTTTGGGCTTTGTTCGATCAACAAGGATCTCGATGGACGTTCCAAGCAACAAGAATGGATGGCGACATTGGATTTTATACAATCAAGCCTGATCAAATGCAAGTCATCAATCCACTTTTAATTCTGGTCTTCATTCCATTGTACGAAGTTCTTTTCTATCCTATCCTTAATCTTATCGGAATTCGTCGACCATTACAAAAAATTACTCTTGGTGGAATTTTTGCGGGGGTGGCGTTCTTGTGTTCGATGATTGTTGAAATAAACTTGGAGGGAACGTATCCAGTACTGCCAAAGGGTGGCGAAGCACAATTGAGAATCTTTAATGGATTGAATTGTGAATACACTTTAAATTCACCAATCTTTGAATCAGCAGTGAAAATCGAACCAAATTCTCGATTTACTGATATTGGCATAAAGTTGCAAGATGAAGTTGTTGAAAGTGATTACGTGTTCACGACATCCACAAATGGTTGTGTGGCTCCAGAACCTGGCACATTCGTTCTCCAATCAGCAACTGCTACAAGTCACTTCATTAAAGGTTCAAGAAATACTCCCATGCTTGATGTTTATGAAGACGACCCAGACAAGTCACGACAAGGAACGCCGTTAATTCGCATTTTAGCAAATCTCATGTCAAGTTCAAATGTCACTTTAAAAGACAAAGATGGTGAACAGTACAATGAAGATTATCTTGCAAGAAATCTCACTGATGTTCAATCAAATGTTTATCAAATTTTCGTAAAGGATAAAATGATAAAAGAAGATGTTGATCTGAGACTTGGTGGTGTTTACACAATTGTTATTGAAGAAAGAACTTCTGGAAACTATGTAAGACTTTCAGTTGTTGTTTAACTTTTTCAAATCTTTTTCTCTTTCTAGTTTGCAGAAGTTTTCATAGTCACTGAACCCAACTCTTTCAGCATGTTGTGGCTAGCACCACAATATATTATCATGACTCTAGGTGAAGTCATGTATTCGGTGACTGGTCTTCAATTTTCTTATACTCAAGCACCTGAAAGTATGCGTTCTGTACTTCAGGGCTGCTGGTTATTGACTGTTGCTGTTGGCAATCTCATTGTCACAATCATTGTTGGTGCGAAGTTCTTTGAGTCACAAACTTATGAATTTGCACTTTTCGCTGGTCTAATGTTCTTGGACATGGGAATCTTCACGTGGCTTGCATTAAGATACAAAGCTATACCACTTGATGAACTACAAAAAATTGACAATGATGAAGTCGACGACTTTGAAAGCACGACAAAGAAACAACCGTTAGACTTTCCTGGTTCATCAAATGGAGACAACTCAACAGAAAACCATGGAACGCAAAAAGATGATTAAAATTAACAAATAATTTAAAAATATCAACATTAAGTTTTATTGAAATAAAACTTCTTTAATTATTGTAAAAGATTTTGATTTGTTTCAATTTAGTTATGAAAAAAAAGTTATTTTTAGATTGCGCATAAATTTTATATCAAATCGCATTGAATTGAAAAGTTGTCGCGTGATTTCTTCAAAAGTAATGGCGAGTTAAAGGATTTGAGTGTCATTCTGAAATTCAATCAAAATATAAGCTCAAAATATTTTCCAGTACACTACGAAAGTAGAAGAAATGTGATATGAATCACTTGAGTCAAAAGGATGGCTTCCAAAATCCTATAAAGAATTGTAGAAATCTCGAAGCATTCGTCATGATGAACTGTAAAGCCTCGGATAACAAAAGAGTTTATTTTTGAAATAAATTCAATCGATATCAAGTTAAACAACTCAAGTTTGTTGTACATTGTTGAACTCCAACAATACTAACATGCAATGCGCTTAGTAAAAGTTTTCATAATAATAACAAAGCTTTAGAGCTACCATGTAAATCCTCGAGATTCGTAATTATATTTAATTATCTGCAGGTGGTTGTCATCCCAGCAGCAAGTCTTTTTTTATTCAGAGCAGTATGTGAAGTAAAAAGGCGAGTTTTGATCATGATTTTATTTGAATAATCATTCACAAGAGAAATTATCATGAAATTCAGGTCATGCTTTCATTTGTGAGCGGAAAAGTTTCACCTTCACTTAATCAACCATCAGAATGTATGAAGGTTTCTTTCTTTCATGGAAATGGAATTTTAACCTAATAAGCAGCGTTAAAAATTCCCATGCTTGTTTTATGAAGTAACCGAAATGATAAAAGTAAAAAGCCAAGTCACTCAAATTTTAATTTCCATCTTTAAAAATATAAAAATTTTCATTCCTGAGTAAGAATTGCCTTGAGAATTGCGTTCGACTTGTTCAACAATGAATGAATAAAATTTAATGAATTTTGATGTGATGATTTAATTTGTTTTATCTTTTTTTTATCTATTACTAGAAATTCATTTAGATGATAAATCATAACAGCTGAAAGAAAGGAAACTCTAAAACTTGACTATCATAACAAAATCGAACTCAAATTACGATTATTGTCAGCATATGAAAATTGAATCGATACTTCTTAATTATACGTTTCATAAGCCTTTCATGTCAAATCAATTGCACGATATTAATATCAATCAATCATTAAGGAATGAGTTTCATTTATTCTGTTCCATGTCCATGGCACGATTCAATTTTCTCTCTCGTGAATAACAGCTTAAGTTGTTGGCTAATGGAAAAGCAACATGTACATTAACTCTCGATTTTAGTCTCTCACACGATCTCATAAAATTTTATTTGGAAAATGTTAAGCTGAAGTCTGCGCAGGTCAATAACAAGCAGTCAAAATTCTCTGAACTTTTAACTCATTCAATTTTTTGTAAAAGCCATTAATGTTGTACATTCAACACTTCGCGTTTTAGTCTGTCGACGATTTCAAACGCGAGAAGCTAAAAATTCTTCAGTGAACTCTTGTGTGAAGTTCTGATTCTCTCTTAGTAACGAAACGTTGTCTTGTTGAGAAGCATGCTTTCCCGTTTCGCAGTTGATAATTTTTGCTTTGATGTGTGTTTAATGAGTGAATCAATAGAAGTTAATGATTAAAATATCGTGTTGGTGAAAGGAGAAATTTCATGAAAAATGCCTTCAGGCTTTTGGGATTATATTCATTTAGGTAGGACAATGTCTCAGACTGACAATGACGACGATCCGAAACATCATAATCTTGAAGAAGGTTTGTTTCAAATTGCATCACAAACCTGTAACATTCTGGTTCAAGTTAATAACACAAACAACATTAATCTTGGACCAAACTTTCAATACGATAACTTTGCGAGTAATTCGAAGTTTCCAGAAGCTACGACTTCATCAAGTACAACTCGTAAAGCAACGTTCTTCGATATGGAACAAAGTGTAGTTTTACTTCAACCTAAACAGAGCAAACCACCCACACCTTCTTCTGTCAATAAAGGAAGATTTCATCGCCTCTCCGAATACAAAAGACGCTTATCGGTAAGTTATTTTCCATTGCAAAATTCATTCCAGTCAATTAAATGCATTTCATAAATAATAAATGAAGTGATTATAAAAAAGGAAAAATCCATCATAAATTTTGTAAAAATGTTTGACGGCACGCGATTTCCTGCCCGATCTGTTAGCGTGGGAAATGAATGTGAACTTTATTTTTTAGTTAATGGTAGAAACTTGACTCGGAATTAACAAAAGTTATCAACATAACAGACTAATAGGAAAGGTTTCCAAAAAAAAATTTTATGGTGTTGCGTGACGCTTTGAAATGCGAAAACTTTTTTATTGCATCGTGTGAAAATGCGAAAATTCTTTTTAATTTGGAAGAACCTTGAAAGGAAATTTTTTGAATGGAAGCTTCAATCATCATAATACTTCTTCAGTGACTATCAAGATGTTCTTGAATTCCATGATGAGTGATCTGACCTTTCACAGAAACCCAAAATCGATTCCTTTTTCAACATATTTGAGTTATTCCTATGAGTCACTAAAAGGAAATTTGTGAAAGTGTCAGATTTTATAGCTTACGAGAGATTATTTGTTTATTTTGTGGGGGTGTGGACACATAAGTTATTCCCTTGTTCACAATTAAACAACTTCCTTCTGTCGACGAAATAGTAAAAGAAAAACCTTTTTTCCCATGTCACCATAATAAATAATTCAACACTGCCATTGACAGTAAATCAATAATGATCGCTTAAAGTTGAACCTTGAAGTGTTTTATTAAATAATAAATTCTTTTTCGAATTTAATGACATGAAATCATCCCTTAAGAGTCATGTCAGCAACAGATATTATCTTTTTGATAAAATTTTAATTTCATTCAACGTACGTAACTTGAGATGCATGCTAAAAATATCATGGAAAATTCTCGCAAAATTTCATTCCATATTTAATGTGAAAATTTCTAGGAAAGTTTCGATTCCTGTTTTTTGTTTATTTTCTTAATTAAATATTTGAACATTAAATCTTTTAAGCGAAAAACCGAAAGAAAAGCTCCTAGAAAACTGAGTAGAAGGGAAAAAGGAAAAGTAACCGAAAATTTATAAATTTTCTTCGCACACAAATTTCATAAATATTTTAGTAAGTAAAGAAATTGAATAATATTAACCTTGGAAGTAGATAGAGAGACCTAAGTTTATTAGAAACGTGATTATGACGAGCTCTGCAAACTTTGAAGTTTTCCACATTAAATATGATTTTACTTGAACAATTTTTATCAAGCTTTTTGTTTTGTTAGACTTAACAGTGACAATAAAATATTTTCCAAAATCTACAACATGACAAAGTTGAGAATGTGAAAAATTTTCAAAGGAAAAAGTTCAAATATAAGGAAAAGATAAGTAAATTAAATAACAAGAAAGAAAGCGAGCCATTAGCATGAATCGTGACCTGACAATTAAAATAAAAAGAAAAACTTGATATTTTAGGAAATGATGAATAAAAAATTAACGGAAGTCTCAGAAGTTCTCCTCTAAATACATTTCTTACGGCATTGAGTTCATATATCTACATTATTGCAAATGCTTTTTCATGTTTTTTATTTTGATGAATTTTCCGACTCCATTTCAAAATGAATCAGCATAAATTTTTAAAATTTATTTCATGCATTAAAAATGTTTTGTTTTTCTACATTCATTTTATTTTAATTTGATACCGTTCGGTAGTCGAACGAGTCGAGAAACGAAGTTGAGACGAAAGAAGGAATCATCATAAATCTTACTGTGAGGAGTCACGAGGGAAAAAGTTGTTCCAGTCTCCGATATAAAGTCGACGTGAACAGAGGATAACATCCAATTGTGATCAGAATTTCGTGAATTATTAATCGAAACAAGTGTTATTGTACATAAATAAAAGGAATTAAAGGTGATTACATGAACTTTGGAGGTTTATTTTGACATACATAGGTACATCCAAATAATTCGTAAGTTTATTTAAATCCTTCTACGAAACAATTTTCATTGTCATGTTGCTTCAAATAAACAAAAGGGAAACATAATTAATGTTTCATGTGCTTACTTAAAAACTTATTTGTTAAAACGTTCAAAGTAAGCAATACTGACACACATGCATGAACAACGAAATTTTTAATTATCGAAAAAAGCTTCTACAATTCATACATTTTTCATTTTTATTTTCCATGATTGTTCTTTGATTTGAACTTTTGTTTCCATGTTAGATATAAATTTGTAGTAGATGAATGACATTGACTTCTTATTGCTTACGAGCATTCAAGTAATTACAGTGAAAAGTTGAAAAAAAGGATTCATGTGACATGAACTAGTTGACAATTCAAGCATATTCTCGATAATCGCATTGTGCTGTTTAACATGTGAAAAGAGTTCGATTTTCACCCAATCCAATAATCATGGTTTTGAAAAGTAAATTGAAATTTCCTCTATTGTGGCAAATTAAATTAACATTCAGAATTGCATAAATGAATGTATAAAGTATTGGAGCAACGAAGTTAAATTTAAAAATAAACTTTTCATGTTATTGACAATTGCCGGGGGAATTTTCAGTCATTTTAATGTTAGAATTGTTTTCGGACTTACATTTTTTAACAATTTTCATCACAATTAAAGGAAACGAAATGTGCTCCGGCTATACCTGCTTACATCCCTACAGACCAAAGTAGCTTGCTTGTTTATTATTTATGTACGTTGCAAAGAATAAAGTAAACAATTAGGTACATGTCAACATGTAAAAAAATATACAGAAAAACAGGCCAGCAGCATAACATGTTGCTTTGTTAGTCAGTTGTCTGCGAGCGTTTCAAAAGGACAAAGGAAATCTAAAAGCGTTCTCGTTTAGAAGTAGAAGGAAATTAATTATATTAGAAATATCGGTACAGGATAACTAAGCTTGACTTTCTAGCTAGATTTTGTTTCTCTCGCAATTTTATTACATCCACTCACACTACTAAACATGAGAGAGACTTTTGTGCAAATTTTACAATCGGGTTAGTGTGGTGTTTATATGTGTTGGAGTGTACGCTACCCGCATGCATAAGGGAAGAAGAAGAAAAGAAGTAAAATAAAATTTCTTGTATACGCTGATTCCAACTAAAAATAAACAAAATCAGCTGTTTAGCGGAAAAAATAATTCGCGATTTAGATTGAAAATATTTGTGACTTCAAGTTACAAAATTTACAGAATTTCTGAATAAAAAAAGTTTTTTACGGAAGAGAAATGAAGATTTTTGTGTCCCAATGCGACAATCCATTGTCAGAAAAGGATTTGGATAAGTTTGTAAGTTATCTGTTTGTAAATTGTTATGCATAAGGGTGAACAATATCGTTCTGATGAAGTTTTGATTACATTTCGTAAACTTGCGTGTGAACAATTTCTTTCTAATTTTAAAGAAACTCAACCTGCATATTTTATAAATGATTATTCTAAAGATTCTTTAGAAGAGGATTAAGTTTTATAAGATTAAGTTAATTAAGAATGGCTTTTCTGTGGTTTCTAAGTACTTATTTCTAATAAGCTTCGAAAATAAATTGAATTTCCTCATTTTCCTCCTTTAGTTATGTTTTGTGCTACTTTAAGTTATGCAGGACAAAGTTAATAAGAAATTTCTTGGTTTTATTTCTTCACAGACCGTTCTCGAGTCATCAAATCGCGATTCAATACATGGCCCAGTAGGTGACGATGATTTTGAGCTTTGGGATCATAGTCAAATGTTGAGGAATCAGCAAAGATACAAGTGGAATCAGAGCAACGGTGTCGTTTGTAAACCGTCATGTATTCCTATCATGTTCATCCTCATCCTCATCATTCTCGTTGTTCTTCTTCCCTTACTTGACTCGCAGAACGATAGACTTGCGGGTCGCCACAATTCATCGCTTGTTGGTTGGAATTGTCATGATGATTGCAGGTATTCGAGTGTTGTTTGCTTAACACAAAGTGTCATCGCATGACATGTCAACAGATGTTTTTTATTTGATTTGACATGTTACGCAATTCGTGCTTTAATTTGCAATCTGGGAATACAAATCACATATTCATCTATTTTTAGGATACAACTGGTCGAGTCGATTCCGGAAGGGCTTGTGTTTGACCCTGAAAGTCCTTCTTTTATGTCAACTTTTGATGCGTGGAATGTTCTGATTAATGAAGCAAAGAAAACACTTTACATTGGCTCGTTTTATTGGACATTAAAATCTGATGAAGTCTTTAATCATTCATCGTCGATTTATGGTGACAAAATCTTCCATTCATTGTTATCTGCGGGAGTTGATAGGAAAATTGATATAAAAATTGCACAAAATATGCCATCACAAGTCTCGCCAAACATTGACACGGAAATTCTCGAAAAACGTAAAGCAGCGAAGGTTCGTTCTGTGAATTTCATGAAACTACTCGGAGCTGGCGTGCTTCATACGAAAGTTTGGGTCGTTGACGGTCGACATTTTTATGTTGGAAGTGCAAATATGGATTGGCGTTCATTGTCACAAGTTAAAGAACTTGGTGTATTGGTAACGAACTGTTCATGTCTTGCCAGTGATTTAACAAAGATCTTCAATGTTTATTGGGATTTGGGGAGAAATGATTCTCGCATTCCACCAAAATGGCCCGACAAATATTCAACAAACGTCAACATTGATAAGCCTATGCTTGTTAATTATAATAATGGTGATTATCTATTCGCTTCTTACTTCTCATCATCACCACAACCTTTAAATCCACGCGGAAGAACAAACGATTTAAATGCAATCATTCATACCATTGAAAATGCTGAAAAGTTTATTCACATCTCAGTGATGGATTATTTTCCATTGGAAATTTATTCTCCCAAAATTAAGTGAGTTACGAAAATCTTTAATTAATTATTTAATAATTTTAATTATATTCTCCAGATATTGGCCTGCAATCGACACAGCATTAAGAACAGCTGCCATTGACAGTAAAGTTTCAGTGAAACTTCTCATCTCGTATTGGAATCACTCACGACCATCTGAAGATTATTTCTTGAGATCACTTACAGCATTAAGTGAATCTTATAAAGGTGTTGATATTCAAGTTGTAAGTAACAACTTTAATTAATGCGAGTTTGAGTAATAAATTTATATTATTTGATAGAAACGTTTCATTGTGCCAGCAAGTGAAGATCAGAAGAAGATTCCATTTGGTCGTGTTAATCACAATAAATATATGGTGAGATCATTAAAATGCATTCTTAATCCATTGTTTATATTTTATTTATAACTGCCAGGTCACTGATCATATTGCATATATTGGAACTTCCAATTGGTCAGGCGATTACTTCATTAACACTGCAGGAATTGGATTTGTGTCACAAGACACAGTACACGATCGAAGTGAAAACGCGACCACTCTAAGAAGTCAACTTGAGTCTATTTTTGAACGTGATTGGAACAGCAAATATGCAATCTATCAGAGCAAGTTTGATAATTAAACTTTACTCTTTCTCATAGAAATATTTTCCTTCTAATTGTATCAAAAGTTTTCAATTTTTAAAGCATTATTGACAAAATTCTTTCTTCTCAAAGCAATAACTTTAATCTTAAGTCGTTTCTCGACCAAATTCGATCTCGTAAAGCACAAAAGTGAAACATTTTCAAATAAATAATTGTGGAAATTAATCATTTGGAATGTTATAAAATCGTGTAGTTAGTTTTTGAATTAAAATTTTTCATGATCCAATGTTTTCTTTGATATTTCTGGGCATTGAAATGTTTCGTAATAAAAATGTTTTCAAGAATTTGAAAGTTGAAAGTTTTTTTTATTCTATTTTAGTCAGTTTTTTTAGAAGAAACTGATAGGATTATGTGGACAATTTAATTTTCTTACGTAAAAGAATGTTTATGATTCTATCAATTCAAGATGTTTTTCAAAATATTCGATAAGTTTGATTGGCCATTTCTTTTTGACAAAGTCGTAGGAAACCAAATCAATTTTGTTATCCTCCCATTTCACCAACAAAACGACTTTTTTTGATTTTAAAAGCGTTCCACCAATAATGAAATCAGGTTCTTTTAGTTCTTCAGTTTTGGTCTCTGGACAAGCAGAGATGGAAGTTCGGTTTTCAAAGTCTGCTATTAATTTTGGGCAGCTGAGATTTTCTTCAGGTTCCCAGCTGTTTTCTTCATGACTATAATATCTCCATTTAAGTAAGTATTCGATCTGAGATAAACAGTTTTTTTGAATTATTAATCAAGGGAATCCATTCAAACAAGTAAAAAATGTCATTTCTTAAAAGTCAACTTACTTTTCCATTGCGAATACGTTTCTTTAAAACCTTTTCTACCGTAAATAATTTAGGCTCTTTTTCAGGTATTTTGATATGTTTGCTACCTTGTTTCATTTTCAATAATTAGTGAGATCTTTTCTTATTTATCAACTTATTTTATTTTTCAAATTTAGAATTTTTTAATTTTGCTGTTCGAGTTTTCAATTCAGCATAATTCAGCAACACATTCAGCGAATCAAATTTAAATCTTAATGATGATTAATGATGATTTTAAAAATATTTAGACACCCCTGCAGAGCCCTGCGAAAGCTTAAAATTCATTGCTAACGATTTTTCAATTTCTTATCATTAAAAATCAATTGAGATTGACTGTGAATCATACAAAACAAAACTATTTAGTGCATGAATAATGGAAAAATCTAAGAAAAAGAATGAAGACGAACAAGATATTTATTTCGTTGAAAAAATATTAGACAAACAAGAAATTGATGGAGAAGTGAGACCTATTTGATATTGCTAAGTTATAAATGATTTAAAGTTTCTTCCGATTAGATTTACTATTTACTGAAGTGGGCTGAATATGATAATAGTCACAATTCGTGGGAACCATACGAAAATATTCTCAATCTGGAACTTGTTGAAGAATATGAAAAACAACTTACGGCGAAAACATCACAAAAAGGTTTTTAACATTTAAATTTAACAATTTGATTGCTTTAATCAATTTAACTTTTTTCTAGATTTGATGACATGTAAAGAAAAAGTGACGAGAAAAAGAAAGAGAACTAAGTCTCCATACACAAAACCGGACAAGAAAGAAATTCAAGCTCAAATAGAACAATTTAAGAAAACGAACTTTTCATTCAGACAAGAACCTTGCATTGTTGGTATTCACAAGCCAAAAAATTCTTCACAATATAAATTTCTAGTCCGTTGGCCAGATAAGGAAGCAGCTGAGTTAGTTCCACGAAAAAAAGCGAATGAATTCTGGCCTCAAACTGTAATAAATTTTTATGCGCGCCATATAAAAATGGATCAACCAAAAAAATAATCCCAAGCTCAAAAAATTAGACAAAAATAATTAAAGATGATTTAAATGTTGAAGGCTTAGATAGCTCTCTTTCAAACCTTACACTAATTAATTAGATAATTATTCTCTTGTATCAATTATTTAACTTTCCCTTAAAATGATTAACCTTTATAACAATTCCTTCAATATGTGTAATGTTTCTAATTCTTCCTTTGTAATTAAACATTTTAAGCAATATACTTAATGATTTGATAGAAACATAAAAATTGTGTTGTTACTTATAGTTTTATTAAATCTATTAAATCTTATTTCATGTACACAAATTTATTTGTTAAACATCGATGAAAATTTTTAATTTAGTCAATTAGATTTGATTACGATTCAATTATTGAAGTGGCATTTAACCATGTGTAGTGTCATCTTCAACAAAATCCCTTGCAACTTCTCGAGTTACGCAATCAACATGACTGACTTTGTTTCGGAAACGAACGCCATAAAATTTGTGTGCATTCTCCAAGAGTTCAGGCCGGAAAGTTGTCGTAATAAATTGTGCATTGTCTGAGAGTTCATGAATCATATCAGCAACAGCTTAACGATGCTGTGCATCAAGTGCCTGATCGATTTCGTCAAACAAATAGAACGGAGCTGGATCGCATTTTTGAATAGCGAAAATGAGTGCTAAAGCCACAAGTGACTTCTGACCACCACTCAATTGATTCATTTCACGCATTTCAGCATCACCGCCAGTGAAAGAAACTCTGATCCCGATTCCCGTAAAGTCATCAGACGTTGAAACTTCACCTTCTCCATTATCACCATTGTGATCTTTTGATGTTCTCAACACTAAATGTCCCGAACCATGAGGAACAAGCTTCTTGAATACTTTTGTAAAATTATTTGCCACTTGTCGGAATGTAAATTGAATTGCTTCAACTTTACGCATTTCCAAGTTTTGCATCAGTTCCCTGATTAAAATTTAATTAATTAATTTCAAAAAAAGAAACAAATTTCGTTCAACTTACTTGATCTTCTCATCACCAATGTATAAATATTGGATCGTGAAAATGGATCGCCGATCCATGGGAAAAATGGATCGTGGATCGGATCGCCGATCCATGAAAAAAATGGATCGATGATCCGATATTTTCCATGTCCTTTATTCTTAAGGGTCAGAAAATGCAAAACATTTACCCCTCAGTGTTTGAAGGGGCAAAACTACAATTTTCGCCGAAGGGTAGGTAGTTTTGCCCCTTTGAACGACAAGGGGTAAAATTAGCAAGTGTGTCGCTTTTAAATGAGGGACTTGGTATTTATTTTTTTTTCTATTGAATCGTGTATCGGATCGCCGATCCATGGAGAAAATGGATCGGCGATATGGATCGGCGATCCAGTTTCGAAATTTTGGATCGCTTAACTGGATCGGCGATCCAAAAAATTATTGGATCGCCCAACTCTGGTTATATCCATAGATTCATTTTCCTTCAATATTTCCATGGGTTCGTTTTGACTGTCGGTTGTAATGTCCATCGATTCAGCTTTATTGATTTTTAAATCTGTCAGACGTTCAATATTTGAAATTAACATTTCATTGTACTCGTGGTACTTAATTTCCGAAATTGATTGGATAGTAACTTTATATTTTTTTTATTTTCGTATGTTTCCATACTGGATCTTACTTTAAAAACTCTCTGTTGGAATTTGAGGTCTTTGATTACAGTATTAATGCTGTTGTTTCTGATCATTTCAATGATTTCATTTGAATTTTTCTTGAATAATTTTTCAGAAACTTCTGAAAAGCCTATTGCCCCACATTCTGAAGTCCAATCATCAATACACATATTTATCAGTACACTATATATGAATTCTGTACTTTCATTGTTACATTTAATGCATTTGTATGTTCCATTTCTTTCTGAAACTTTTTTGTAACATCCAGTGTTGATGCAAGCTTCATAATAATCTGGAATGATTTTTTTGATTGACGCTTTAATTCGATAAAAACCTGGTGATTTAGATTTAAATTGACCGGATGGATTTATGTCATTAACAAATGCCCATTCTGTGAAGAAGTTTCCGTTGGTGCAAGAGAGTGATTTAACATCTTTTTGATGTCCACCAGTTTTGAACCATTCAAGAAGGTTATGACTTTCAGGAATATCAGGATTCAACTTCATTGTACTTGCACCAAGAGTTTTTCCGCCTGCAAATTCCCCAATTTTTGCTCCTTTAAGTAAAACGACTGGTTGTTCAGAACTTTTAAATTTTTGTGCTTCTTCACCCCACAGTGTCCAAATGATTGAAGCGCCACTTTGATCGACCAAAGTTACTTCACGCTTTGTCAAATCTTTTCCAGCTCGTGATACCAGATTGATGACATCAGTTGCTTCCTTGCAGATTGCAATAATATTGACAAAAGTTCCAACTCCTTTTGCTGTAATGTCGCTGATTGGTACAAAGTCATATGTGAAGTTTGGAATGATGGTTAATTCATCACATATGTCGATGACGGAGTCGTATTTCAATGTCAATTAACAATTATAATTCATTCTGGCATATCGACTGTTTACTAATTTTACCTGACATCTTGAAATAAGGTAAACTTTGTTGACTTCAATTTTGTTAAAAAATTTATCAACTTGAATGTTGAATCCGGTTACCCGAATTTCGCCAGTTGCATCATAAATGTCAAATATAAGTTAATAATAATATAAGTTCCAACATTTATGAGCATTCTTATTCAAATAACATTGACAAAAAAGACATCCTCACATCCTCCATTTTTTTTTTGCGCTGGTGGAAGTATCACTTCCTCACACTTTGTGCTACGTGGTAGTACTGCAAAAAAAATGGTTACGCAAGATATTTTTTGCAGTAAAGTACGCTACCAGCGCAAGACATGCCCATCTCTGGATACGCATTTGTGCGAAGAACACTTTCCGTTGAAATTGGAGACACGCAAGAGTCATCGAATTGATAATAATTACCGTAAGGAGTCAATCCAATCCAGAGTTGGGCGATCCAAAAATTTTTTGGATCGCCGATCCAGTTAAGCGATCCAAAATTTCAAAAGTGAATCGCCGATCCGTATCATTTTTCCCATGGATCGGCGATCCATTTTTACGATCCAACATTTTAATATTTGGATCGGCGATCCGATTCAAAATATTTTGGATCGGCGATCGACTTTTGGATCGCCGATCCGTATCGGAAAATGGATAGTGAGGGAAAAGTTGTCGTTCAAATCCCATGAAAATTTTAGAGAATAATTTTGAAACGATCCCTAACAACTTCTGAAAGTTTCAGAATTTTCCATCGATTACTTTTAAAACATTTTTATGTCTGCTTACACTGAAAAAGCTCAAGAATGAATTTTCACAAATGTGCTTAAATTTGAAATGAAACACTTTTTTCATTATTTTTGATCATTTGTAACATCATTCTATTGAAAAATGAAGGAAAATATGTTTGCTTAAAAAATTTTTTTTATTTTGATATTTTCATGTGATCCCATACATTTCGGATATTAGGAACGTTTTTCGTTCCTCTTATAACACGTTTTGACATCGCAATTATAAAAAATTTTCCCTCGGAACATGAAATTCTAAGTACGCCACAATTTAGTACTTGAACCTAAGTTACATTTTGGAAAATATTAGCATAGGTTGTTTATTAAGTTTCGGAGAAAATGAAACTTATTGTTGTTTTCGTTACTCTTATAACGCGTATTATTCCATTGCCTCGGAAAAAAAAATTTTTTCTAATCAAGCAAAGGAANTTCTAATTCTTCCTTTGTAATTAAACATTTTAAGCAATATACTTAATGATATGATAGAAACATAAAAATTGTGTTGTTACTTATAGTTTTATTAAATCTTATTTCATGTACACAAATTTATTTGTTAAACATCGATGAAAATTTTTAATTTAGTCAATTAGATTTGATTACGATTCAATTCAATGAAATGGCATTTAACCATGTGTAGTGTCATCTTCAACAAAATCTCTTGCAACTTCTCGAGTTACGCAATCAACATGACTGACTTTGTTTCGGAAACGAACGCCATAAAATTTGTGTGCATTCTCCAAGAGTTCAGGCCGGAAAGTTGTCGTAATAAATTGTGCATTGTCTGAGAGTTCATGAATCATATCAGCAACAGCTTAACGATGCTGTGCATCAAGTGCCTGATCGATTTCGTCAAACAAATAGAACGGAGCTGGATCGCATTTTTGAATAGCGAAAATGAGTGCTAAAGCCACAAGTGACTTCTGACCACCACTCAATTGATTCATTTCACGCATTTCAGCATCACCGCCAGTGAAAGAAACTCTGATCCCGATTCCCGTAAAGTCATCAGACGTTGAAACTTCACCTTCTCCATTATCACCATTGTGATCTTTTGATGTTCTCAACACTAAATGTCCCGAACCATGAGGAACAAGCTTCTTGAATACTTTTGTAAAATTATTTGCCACTTGTCGGAATGTAAATTGAATTGCTTCAACTATACGCATTTCCAAGTTTTGCATCAGTTAAGTTCCCTGATTAAAATTTAATTAATTAATTTCAAAAAAAGAAACAAATTTCGTTCATCTTACTTGATCTTCTCACCACCAATGTCAAGTTCTTCTTTTCTTTTGTACAATTTTTCCTTTTGCTCTGAAAAGCTCAAAAACTGATCCAAAGCTTTCTTATTAACGTGATTATACTTCTTAAGATGATGATTTGCCTTTTCAAGTTCTTGGAAAAGCTGTGGAAAAGAAAGAAATGAATAAATTTAACTTCAGAAAACATTCATTAATTAATTTACCTTTTTCAACGACATTTTCATGTAATGATTGTCGACTTGAGGAAGCGCACCGAGATTGGAAATTTTCTCAGTAAATTCGTCAATTTTTTGTCGAAACAAATTTTCCTTCGCAGCATATTTTTCAGAATTCTTCGAATCTTGATCAATTTTATCTTGTAAATCACGTTCTTTTTGCATTAAAATTTCCAAATCTTTCTGATGAGTTTTTTGATTCTTGACAGCTTTGTTAACTTTGCTCTCCATGTCGTTCAAGTCCGCTGTCACTTTCTCTATTCGTTTCGTAACATTTTCAACATCATTTTGACAATTCGTCAATTGACGTTTACGATCTTCAACGGAAATTTCTTGAAGTGCTTGCATCAATTCATCTTTTCGTCGAATTAAATTATTTGTCAATAAATTCTCAAGTTTATTCTTCGTCACTTCAAGACTCATTCGAGAACTGAAAGCTGCTTTATTTTCTTGATTGAGACGACGAATATCGTCATTAAGTTGATCAACCTCACGCTGATCTTGCACTGACAACTGTGCCATCAATTCCTGATGCAATTCGCTTTCTAATCCTGACTTTGTACTGTTCATCGCTTCCAAGTTCGACTTGCATTGTGCAAGCGAACGTTCTTTTGGCGAACGAAAACGTTCAATTCTCGTCAATTCTTCCTTCATCAAACGAATGTCAGCTTGAACTTTCTCGAAAGCATCTTTTGACTTCCCCAATTTCGTTTCTGTTTTCTGCATCTCACTGACAATTTCATTTATCTTCACTTCAGTTGATTTAAGCTTCACACGAATCTCATGTAACTGATCTTCAAAATCTTGAATCATTTGCATGTATTCAGTACGTTTCTTTTGCATTTCCAATCGCGATCGTGATGTGTTGAAGAAGCCACCAGTGAGACATCCTTTTGACGACACCTGATCGCCTTCTAATGTCACGCAATCGAGCCCAGTTGTCTTTGCTAATTCCGTTGCACGTTCAAGATTACGACAAATTAAAGTCTTTCCAAAGATATAACGCAAAGCTTTGTCGTATTTCTCTTCGTACTTTAATTTGCTGATCATTGGAATTGAATCATTGTTGTCAGGATAGTCGTGCATCTTAAACTGAAGTCGATTTAATGGCATGAATGTCACTTCACCTGGCAATTTCTGTTTGTTCATCTCTTTCAAAATTTGAGTTCCAACACGATCTGATTCTACGATGTGATGAAACAAACGATTTCCAGCTGTCACTTCAACAGCTGTGTAGATTGTCTTATCGCAATTAAAGTTCTCAATCACTGGACCGTAATAAGCTTTCGCTATTTTGGCATGTTCGCCACCACGCTCCATAAACATATCAAGAACTTTACGGACAGAATCGCGACCATTTAAAATCGGTTTTCCAGCCATCGATCGAAGAGCTTGATCTGCTTTTGATAATTCATCTTTGTGCGATGTTAAAGTTTGTTGAAGTTGCGTTTCTTGACGCCACAAATCATTTCTTATTGCTTGCTCGGAATCTTTTTTCTTCTTCAACTCATAAAAGTTTTTATTGTGCTCATCAATCTCCTTACGCAATTGCTCCATTCCATCATTATTGTCTTCAATTTTCTTCTCCAATTCTTGTTGCTTCACAGCATCGCGCTTTAAATCTTCCGTAAGCTTATTTTGATGTGAGATTTTGTCTTTTATTTGTTTTGTGAGTGATTTCAATTCAGTTTGAATCCATTTATCGCGTTCCTCACGTGATGAAAATTGCGCACCGCGTCCTTGTTTGGCATGAAGCTCTTTACGTTTTTGTTCTTTAAGAGCCAATTCACGACTGTATTCTTCTTCCTTTCGTTTCATTTCCTCATATTGTGGCTTCACTTGCTTCAATTCTTTTTCTTTCTCAGCAATTGTCTGTTCAAGTCGTTTCAATTCCTGTTCTGCTCTTTCCTTTGATTTATTGTCACCTTGAACTTCATCATTCAAGTCATTGATTGTCAAATCAAGTTTTGTCTTCTCACGAAGTAATTGTTGATGTTCAGCTGTTAACACTGAACGTTCTTCTTTCGATGTCGTCACTTCCTTTTTAGCATCTTTTAAATTCTTTTGAATTGTTTTTATCTTCTCTTGAATCTTTTGGATTTCGTTTGTGAGCTTTTTCTGTTGATCGCCAGAATTTTTCCGACTATTTTCAAGATCTTCAAGTTGTCGACGATTGTCCTTCAACTCAGTTTCATAAATTATGTATTCCAACATTCTTCTCAGCTTATCCCATTTCTGATATTCTTTGAGTTCTTCCTTTTCTTCTTCTAAAGTTTTCGATCGATCTTCGATGGTTTTAAGGAACTCCGTGATTTTCTCAACTTTCGAGTCAGTGTCTTTGAGAATTGTTTTCGATTCTTCTTTACGCTCATCATAAACTCTAGTACCAGCAACTTCACGCAACAATTTCAAACGATGAGCATCAGGAGCAGTTGCCATTTGATTGATCTTTCCTTGTTTGACAATGTAGTAAGGATTTGAATTTGAGAATCCTGCTGATTCTAATAAATTAACGACTTCTGAACGTGGAACATTCTTCTTGTTGAGAAAATACTGATCTTTCTTTGCGCCTATCACGCGTTTCAATGAGATTTCTTCCTTATCGATAGGAACGCGATTGTCTAAAAATAATAAAAACATTAAATGAAATAAAATGTGATNAACATTAGGAACGTGCATGAAGAATTCTTTTAGAGCATTTATTGTTATTTCTGACATTGCAAATACAGAAAAATTGAGTATTTTAATACTTGTGTTGATATCAAATCTCTCATATAGAGGTAGATCATTGGGAAGTCCTACACCAAAGAATGTCAATGAAACAAGTCTTTTGAATTTGGAAAAAATAAATTCAAAGACGAAATCGGGCAATGTGCAATCAACTCCCAACTTTTCAACCGTATCCGAATGGAATTCTAGAAACTTCAGAATATTAGAGTCATTGAGCGTTTCTTTTTCGTGTCCGTCTAATGAAAGTTCCTTCAATTTAAACGGGATGTTTTCAGTAGCAAAAGAAATTTTGAAGAATTTTGAAATGAGCCATCCAAAATTTGATTTTAAAAGTCTTAAACTTTTTAAATTCTTTTGATAACTCAGAAATTCCAAAAGATTCTCCATACTTTGTTCTTTGCAATATTCCACTATTTCCAATGAATTGATTTGGGTCTTTTTGAAATACTTCATCAATTCAAAATCACTTTCCATTAAGTTTAATGTTTCCAGTTTTTGAAGATGAGGCAAATGATCTTCGAAGAAATTGTTTTCGAATCTACCTCGAGTGTCTGAATAACGAAAGCTGAAGTTTTTCAAGTTCGGCATGGAACTCAGTACATCACAGAATATTTTGAAACTTTGGAATTCTCCACCTTCTATAACTAATTTCTGAACATTTCCGCCATGTTTTTCAAAAAAATTCATCAATCGAATGTTTCTCATCTCAGCATATTCACAAAGACGAATTGAGTTGAATTTTCTGTTGCTTTTTAACAGAACGTTATCCCATAGCTCTACTCCAATTTCGTTTAAATTCAATTTCAATTTCCAACCTATTTTGGAGGAGATTTCGTTCCATCTGGAAGCACATTTAAAGCATTCTTTCGTCAAATTGTGAAATTAGAGATAAAGATTTCAACTTACGTTCTGCATGTAAGTGCAGCAGCTTTTAATGATTCAACATTTAGATAACTTAGAATGTTTTCAATTATTTCCTCCGGAAGATCTTGAATTGTTTTTTTCTTATTAATTGTCTCCATTTTTTAATAATAAATCCAAAACTAAACGTTATAGCCTTTCAAGCATCGAGTTGAAATAATCCGTTAAAAATTCATCGAAAGTTGCTCAGTTTGTCGATTTTCGAAATTCCTAGGGCCGTTTTTCGCAAATGATTTGAAAATTCTTGTCAGTTGATTGAGAAGGAAGTGAAAATAAAAAAATTTTCCTCATATTGTGACTTCACTTGCTTCAATTCTTTTTCTTTCTCAGCAATTGTCTGTTCAAGTCGTTTCAATTCCTGTTCTGCTCTTTCCTTCGATTTATTGTCACCTTGAACTTCATCATTCAAGTCATTGATTGTCAAGTCGAGTTTTGTCTTCTCACGAAGTAATTGTTGATGTTCAGCTGTTAACACTGAACGTTCTTCCTTCGATGTCGTCACTTCCTTTTTAGCATCTTTTAAATTCTTTTGAATTGTTTTTATCTTCTCTTGAATCTTTTGGATTTCGTTTGTGAGCTTTTTCTGTTGATCGCCAGAATTTTTCCGACTGTTTCCAAGATCTTCAAGTTGTCGACGATTGTCCTTCAACTCAGTTTCATAAATTATGTATTCCAACATTCTTCTCAGCTTATCCCATTTCTGATATTCTTTCAGTTCTTCCTTTTCTTCCTCTAAAGTTTTCAATCGATCTTCGATGGTTTTAAGGAACTCCGTGATTTTCTCAACTTTAGAGTCAGTATCTTTGAGAATTGTTTTCGATTCTTCTTTACGCTCATCATAAACTCGAGTACCAGCAACTTCACGCAACAATTTCAAACGATGAGCATCAGGAGCAGTTGCCATTTGATTGATCTTTCCTTGTTTGACAATGTAGTAAGGATTTGAATTTGAGAATCCTGCTGATTCTAATAAATTAACGACTTCTGAACGTGGAACATTCTTCTTGTTGAGAAAATACTGATCTTTCTTTGCGCCTATGACGCGTTTCAATGAGATTTCTTCTTTATCGATAGGGACACGATTGTCTAAAAATAATAAAAACATTAAATGAAATGAAATGTTCGATGCAATTTATTATGCGACCTCACCTGAATTATCAAATATTATTTCAACATAAGCTGATCCTAATCGCTGCCCGACACCTTCATGAAGAAGATTTTGTCGTTGTTCTGGACGAAGGTGAGTGAATTCATCACTGAGTACGAATTGGATTGCAGAAAAGAAATTAGATTTGCCTGATCCATTTCTTCCCACCACTACATTGTGTTTTTTATCAAAGGGATCGACAACTGTTTGTTCGCGATATGATTTAAAGCCGTGAATAATCACCTGTAGAAGAGAAATTAGATTTTTCATAAAAGGACACTCATTTTTATGCGGTTTTGAGTTTTTATCGATTTCAACATTAAATTCAAACTCACCTGCTTTATATGCATATTAAATCAATGTTAACAGTTCTAATCAATATAGTCAAATTAATTTTTCTTTGTTATTTATTCGATTCTTTTGTTATTTTTGATTTTTTAAGCTAAACAATTTTCCAATTTTTTGCCAATTGTATGTGATTGAATAACCCGACAAAGAAGTTTTCGGATATCAAAATCAAAACATTGTCGTATCTGAACCAAAAATTTGTTTATTTTATCCGAACAGAATGTTTCGAACAATAAAACATTGAAAACATAACAAAACATTGACTTAGTCCGAACGTTTCATCTGAAATTTTCTTCATTCGTGGTGAGGTTTAAGAACCAAAACAAGAAAATAAATTTCGTTTAATCTCTGTACGAATCAAATAGTAGCTGCCTAAAAAATGATTGAAGGTAACAAGTATTTAACGAAGGAGTTGGCACAACTTATTCATGACGTAAAAGTTGGGTGAGAAAATAGAAAAATTATTATTTACCTTTCGAATTTCATAAATCTTATTGAAATTTCCAGAAAGCTTGTCGGGTCGTATCCTATATCTAAATACATGCTTGAAAATCTGCTCACTATTGTGAATAGCACAACGTGGAAAACTGCTGACGATTTGATGATAATTGTTCGTGAAACAGGGAAAATTTTAATCAACGCACTTCCTCAAGAAGCGATACTCGCCAATATTGTTCGTCGGTGTCTGAAAATTATTAGAGAAGAATATGATGAACTTAACATGCCTCAACAAGCTAAACAAATTGACGATTCTCAAGCAGCTTCACTTCAAAAACTTGTCACACAAAACAGCGAACGTTCCGAGAAACGTTCCGACTATACAAACTCGCATGTTGATCTTCGCGAAAATCTTATCAACCATTTGAATGAAATCGAAAATGAGCTTCATCTGAGTCACGATAATCTTTCTCAGCAAGCTCCTGAACATGTTCATTCATCAGAAATTATTTTGACTCTCGGCTATTCGAAGAGTGTTGAGAAGTTTCTCAAATCGGTGCCTAAAGAGAGAAAATTTGAAGTTGTGGTTGCTGAATGTGCTCCGTCATGTCGGGGTCACATGCTCGCTCAATCATTAGCAAATGCAAAAATTGACGCCACCGTCATTCCTGACTCGGCTATTTTTGCTTACATGTCGCGTGTTAATAAAGTCATCATAGGAACTCACAGTGTGTTAGCTGACGGTGGTTTAAGGGCAGCTAGTGGCGCTTTTACTGTTGCTCTTGCAGCAAAACATCATTCAACTCCTGTCATCGTTCTCGTACCGATGTTTAAGTTGTCACCGGTCTTCTTATGCAATTTCGAACAAGAAGCATTCAATCTTGTGGGCAATACGGAAAGTGTTTTGCCTTACAACACACGAGTCTCGAATGCAATCAAAGCATACGCCCCCGTCTTTGATTATGTTCCACCTGAACTTATCACATTATTTATATCAAGCAAGTAAGTAAAATTATGAAAAAATATGTATGTAAGATAAAGATTAAAATTTATTTTTATTCTAGTGGTGGATACACGCCGTCATACGTTTATCGGTTATTGACAGAAACTTATCATCCTGATGATTATGAATTAAAATAATTGCTTTGAAAAATTATAATTTTAATAAAATTTAACGTTTTTATTAATAAACTGATAAGGTTTCATTATTAATCACCCAATTTAAGGTCATTGTAAGAATCAATGTTAACATTTCTTTCCAATGATTTCCGATTCTCTAAGGATTTCCTAGGTGGCTTAGGAATAAGTTTAGCTTGTTCATCGGATCTGGTTTTATCGTTGAATTCTTTTGCGAATATTTGCTTTATCCAGTCATCTTGTACTCGTTTTTCACTGATTCTTTCAGTTTCAATTTCAGAGTCGAAATATAAAAAGTCATCAGTTTTAACAACGCTTTCTTGTTGTTGATGATTCATGTCATCGATCACTTCATTACTTCGATTTTGTTTGAAACAACCGGAAAGGATCTTCACACGATAGAATAAATTCTGTGATAAAAAGAGTTGATTTTATTTTTATTTAGATAAGTCATTATCATTTAATCACCTGATTTTCATCTAAGAATCGTTCAACATCATGTAATGAAATTTTCATGCATCTTCCATCATCAAGTACGTCTTCCGAGTCTTCATAATGAATGGGAAATCTTTGAATTAACAAATAGCTTGGATCTTGTTTGTTGTAAAATTCAAATTCAAAGCAAAATCTTGGCAATTTGATAACTGCATTGTGGTTGCTGACTTCAGATATTTTGTGATTAGCCAAAATAATCGTCCAAGTGAGAGATGCTGTCAAAAATCAATAAGTTTATGAATAACGGTCGTTTGATATTCAAATTCTGAAATTTAACGAAGATTCGTTAAATATTGTAAAATTGATCTTACATTGTTTAGCTTCATGAATCTGATATAAATTGAAAGTTTCACCATAATTTTGTATTATATAGAAAGCAATGATCGGTCCAGCGTTGTCCTTTAACGACTCAAAATTCCAAACAAGATCAAATGATTCGTGTTTTTCAAGAATCTTTTGCGAATGTTTTTGTTTACAATGTTCGATCCATTTACTCTCACACCCACGCCAATTGCAATCATGCCAGATCTTTCCCATGAAACAACTTGTTTTCTTGTAAATGCATTTTTCCTCATGCCATTTCATCAATTCTAATGGCATTCGCACCACACAACCGTTTCGTAAATTCTTACAAGGAAATTGAAACTTTCCGGCTAATCTTTCGAGTGTACATGAGCGAATGTTGCTGAGTTCACTTTCACATACAGGACATGCTCTCAGTGAAACACGGCAAATACGACAAATAGAATGACCACTCATGCAAATATAAATTGGAGCTTGAAGACGTGAATGACAACCGGGACATCGTAAATCGCAAAGAAGCTAAGAAAATATTGAGTTTCATCTTTAATTCAACTGACAATGAAATTTATTAATAATTTACCTGATCGTAATGTTTCAAGGACACTGTTGATTGATTTCCACATAAAATTTCCTTGTCATTCTCATTATCCACCATGGGCATGCCTTCCTGATTCTTCTTAAATATTTTCAACTCGTAGTTTTCGTCTTCCAACTCTTTAAACTTTTCTTGTAAGAATTTTGAATTCATTTTTTGATATTCTTGATCTTAAAGAATGAAAATTTTAATGTTTTACGTCAATTGAGTGAGACTGACAATGATTGAATGTGTGATAACGATCCGATATCTAACTTTTTAAGACGACCAAACTTACAGAAAGTGACAAAAATTTATCTTATCACAACCGATTAATGATAACTTTTTTTTTTGTTTCATTTTTTTTATTTTATTTATGCTCATCTTCATGTTTCCTTACATAGAACCGCAGCGTCTTGCAGTAAATTGTAAAGATGTTCTTTCATCCATTTATATAAAAAACTGGTTCATATTAATGTGGGCGGTAAGGAGAGAGTGTGGTTAAAGACTTAGAGGAAAAGAAATCTTAATTGGATTTTCTTCAATTTGTGTTTTTTCTTCTTTTTTTGCGTAACTTCTGCCAGCTAAAATTGAGTTTTTCTTTTTCATTCATTTCTTAAATTTATTTCAATGAGCGATTCCTTCATCTTAAATCTTTTATTAAAAAACGTGATAATTTCTCACGAGACTAAATATTTTCGTCAGGGACAAGAATAAACGTGAAAAGATTGACGAATGAATCTCAAGGATCTCCTTTCAGCTAAATCTCTCTAGTTTTTTTTTTTAAATTACAATTTCATTTAAACTTTTCAACATTTCGCTAAAAAAATATTTTTCTTTCATCCACTTTACAAATTTTCTCTGAATTTTCCAAACATTCGTTTTCGTTTTCATCTACCAATCTGTCGAGATACAAAAGCTCTTAAAACATTCATTTATGTATTTAAGTGAGAAAATTTGTGAATCTAATTTTATTAATTCGAATCATTGTCTAAGAGTTTAGCAGTGCACTCAATTGATTTCTTCAAACCTTTAAGCTATGAAAAGTTAGTTGATATTGAACCTAAATTAAAAGCTTCTCAGCTGCTTCCTATCAACTGAGCACACTTTACAATTTCAATTGGTGTAAAATAATTTCGATTAACTTGCTTTGTTGAAAATTGTCATTTCCGACATCATCAAAACTCACATTAAGAAAATTGTTTTATCATCCATTTTTCATTATTATAATTCTTTTAAGCATGATAATCAAATTTCCACTAAAATTCTCACAAAATGTTCGCTTGCATTTGAAATTTTAACAAAAAGGAAAGGGAAAAGAAAAATGACAGCACATCAAAATAAAGAAATGAAAAATGGAGAAAAATTTGCTTCGACGAGTGGCACTGTGTTTTTGCATCTAGATATTAATAATTTCAATTTAGAAGATTTCTTTTTAATTGCTAAAATATTAACTTTTTGAACCTTAATTTGCAAGAAAATATTTTTTTTTTATATTGAAATTGCTAGAATTAATGCTGGTTCTGAATAACTGTCGTCACTCGTCATGCTATTAATGAGAATACTTCATAACAATGTAATTTTCTTTAATTATAGTATGTCTATTAGTTGTTTAAACTTGTAATGAATTAATTGTTCTTGAAATTGATTACTTGACTTATTAATTATTTAATGATTCTGAATGGTTTTGTTTTATCCCTTTTTTTTCTTATTAAACATTTGATTGATTATTAATGTCCGATCGTGACATTGGAGAGAAGATATTTAAAAATAATAAAAGTAATGAATTGAATTAAAAAAGAAACTCAAGAGAACTTCAAATTTAAAAATTATTCCTTTTTAACGAGTGTGTGTCGGTTTGTGTAATTAATTTTATTGAACGATGAACAGTGAAACTCACTCAAAGCTGGCTGTGGCTGGTTACTGCGTTTAAACTTTTATGGCTCTTTAGTAGTCACGGAACATCATGGAGCTGGGCTTGATTAAGCCGCTATCACCTTCCGAAACGAAACGTTTGCGACCACTGAAAAGAGGGAAAACAAAATGTTATGAAAAAGCTTTGAAAATGTAATTTTAAGCTTCACAGTCATGGAATTGAAATAATCAGTTGAATAAATTAGAAGATGAATTGGCAGTTGAATCATTTTGCACGCAATTTGTAACGACGATCACTTCACATGCTTTCATTTAATTTTTACATCTTCTTTTGAAAATTAAAGACTAATTAGTAATTATTCTACTCATCCAAAGCTGGTTATTTGTGCAACAAGACCAAAACGAACAATTATCGAGTATTTTTCAAAGGACAATTGCATGTCATTAAAATTAAAGAACAAGAAGAAATTTTCATCCAGCGGAAAGCAAAACAAAAGAAAACGATTCACTCATGACCTTCAATTTAATCATTCAAACGCGTTAAATTTAGTCGCAATTTCAATGCTTGGTGAAAAACAGACGAGAGAGACAGAAAAAAGAACAAAAAATAATTGAAAGCGAAATGTTTTTGTTTACAACTTTGTTTCATTCCAATATTTATGTTGCTGTTGTGATTTGTAACGAGTTGTTAAGCTTAGAAGGTTAGCAAGCGAAGCTCTCGGAAAATTGCAACACTTTAAAGTTAAGCGATAATAAAACATTTTGTTGTTTGTTGTTGTTAATTTCAAGGTGTTCATTGATAATTGGAACTTTCGCTCAATTTACTTTGTCGTTTTGGTTCTTATCAAATGTTAAATAAAAAGTATTTGATAACATAACTACGCTTATCAAGTTACGCAATAAATGACAATTATCCAACTCGACAATTTGTCTAACGTGGAATAAAATATCGACAAGTTTGTTGTTGATGGAACGAATTGAACAAATATTTGAACTTATTGTTTAATTAAACATTAACAAAAAATTTCTAACTATACCAACATCGTGATACGTTAAAATGATTCTCTTCCACATCGACAATTATTGTTTTCGTCTTCTTTTCTCTTATTGCACAATTTATAACAATAAAATTTAACGTATAGTAAGTGAAGCGAAGCGATAAAAAGCCGGCTGAAAATATTGAAAAAAAAACTTACCGTGACGGCAAATTCTTCATCATTTTTTCGGATAAAACTCCCAAATTGTGGCAGCGTTGAGCAAAACGTTCCAGGATAATGTAAGCCAAAGGGATGTCAATGGAAATATCCTGAATGTCATCATAAACACGTTGGAAGCCTTGCTCCATCATTTCCATAGTAACGACGCAACTTTGCTCCAAAGATTTCAATAATTTCCCCATTGCGTCTTCGATGCTTTCATTCAAAGCTTCTAATGTCATGATGACAATCTAATGATGAAGAAATTTATTTTATTTGATTTACAAACAATGATTGAAATATCAAATCTCACCTCATAAACCAATTCATGGTGGAAGTGTGGAACCTCCAAAGCGATGATGCACCGCTGGGCTTCCACAATATCTCGAGAGAAGATATATTCTTTCAACAGCAATTCCATTTGCTTTGTAATATGATTAACAGGACGTAATCCACCAGCAACACCCCAAACATTATCCAAATGCGTCCAGCCGTTGTGCAATGATAAATGACCTTGAAAAAGTCAACAAAACAAAATAGAAAACAATGTTTTTGTCAGTCAATGAACTCACTCAAGCTCACGAGTTTTACTTAAATACAAAAATAAATTTCTCACCTTCAGCATAATCGAGCGCTTGTTGAGCGTACTCATTTAATGTCCGACCTGAACCGCTTTCTGATTCTTCTTCGTTTCCATTACGTTCGTTTGTTTTTGGCGAATTTCGTCTTCGATTCTGCGACAATTGATGAACATATTTTGGCATCAAGCAATCGTCCGCAACAGCACGAGCAATAAAATTGCCTAGCAAATGGGGTGCTTCAGGCGTATCGAGAATCAAATCGGGCAAATTGTTAAGCAACATATCGAAGCCTTTTTCATAATCGGATTCAATGAGACATCTTGAATAAAGGTCGCTAAGCAGCACGCTTGTCATCTCACGATGGGAATTCTTATGTTCTAAAGCCATTTCAATTGCCTTACGAATGACCAATGGCCGTAATGTTCCACTTCGAATGTGCTCATCAATCTCACTTGCCACTTCATGAATATCCCCATGTTCGAAGTATTCCAACATTATCAATTCAAAATGCTTCAGAAATTCTTCATCGTTGCTGGCATTACCGCCACTGCAAACAATTTCTTTAAACTCGACATTCTCCAAATCTTCATCATCATTGAAGTTTGGATCATTGTGATCAAGTTCGACTTCTTCGAGAAGTTCGCTTCCCATTTTTCCCCAATTTCCGCGTCCACCGCCAGCTTTCTTGGTGAGTCCGCGGCCTTGTCCGTTACGTGGTCGTCGTGAATTCTTCCAACGTCTTTGAGGCGCAACAAAATTTGGTGCTCCTGCCATCCCCAAAGCACCTTCTTTGCTATTTTGTCGACCAAGATTCTTCTTGGTCTTGCGTCTCAACGCACGATGTTCTTCAACAGTCAATGGTTTCTTCAGCAAATTCTTTTCGCCATTATCGACTGCCTTTTCTCCTGCCTCAGTCTCCAAATTATCAGAAACATCTCCGTCATCAGACACTTCATTGAGCATTGCATCAACGTCAAATTTCTTCTTAAAATCCATGTCTTAGTCTTTTTCTATGCACTACGCAAAACAACTTTCAATTTTCAATCGCTTCGTTCCCTCTTTTTTCTCTTCTCTTATTATTCACTTTTTCTTCTTCTTACTGTCGATGCTTAGAGACTCGTTTTGCCGTGTGTTTATTTTCGTGAAACGCAGTTCTCTCACAGTGAAGTGTCTGAACACGTTTTCATGCGTGTTCTTCTCGATGATCCAAGGCAAAGTTCACTGTTTCTCTCTTGTAACCAAATTGAACAAGAATCCTTTCTCATTCAACTTGTGCTATTACTTTTGAGACACAAATGGTTCGACTTTTAGAGCTGTTGTTGTACGAATACGTGCCGTTTGCTTGAATTGTTGTTGTAAAACAGGTCAAAACAATGGAAAATTTCCAATGTAAAACAAAACGTGTCCTAACAACTTCCTAAATGTTTCTTCACTTGAAACAGATCCTTCAGACTCTTAGCATTCAATTTCAATTGATTAAGTTGTAGTTTAAATGGTTTTTATTAGAGTTTTCTAAAAATTTTCTCCAATCACTTTTGATGCGCAATTCTTCCAGAACATTAAATGTGTTGAGAGTGAGTGAGATTGTGGTCGAAAAATTGGAAGAAAAATTACAAAAATATTTTGAATTCACTGCAGTCGTTATGAATCTTCAAAATTATTTTCGAAAAAAATAATCAATTTACTTAAGAATATTAAATAATTTTTAATTTATCAAGGAGATATTTACATATTGTAACTATATTTAGTCTCAAGTGTGTTAATTAAATCTCTGTTATGGAATTGGGGAATTAAAATTTTAATTTTCTTTTATATTGGCTACAATCTTGAATATTATTGTACAAAGGGTCGGAAAATTAAATTGACGTCTTCAAATTAAATCCATCATCACTCATCAACAGTTTATCATTTTAAGTTTATGATACTTAATGGATGATAAAAATAGTTACTCGTTAATGAGAACTCGAAAGAAAGCCGTGGTTACTTACATTTTTAAGGAAGAAAAAAGCAAAACAAAGAAAATTGGCAACGTTGCATGTGTTTCACGAAATCCAAAGGTACATTTCAATGTTTTCCACCGGTCAATGATTTGTCCGGGATTCACTCAAATTCAAATTTTTCGTTTTATTTTCTGATTGAGTAGAAAATGTAGAAAAAAATACGTGAAAATTCTTTAAATGTCAAAATTTTCATCATCATCGATAACTGAAAAGAAAATATTTTAAAAATCTGAATCTCATAATCAGCCACTCATTGATAATAAAAGGAAATATGATATTCGAATGAAGATTTTCTTTTATTTTTTGAATCCATTTGTATGTTATCAGATTTTACAGAAAAAAATTGCTTAGAGTAACACCGTTTGACTGTTCTTTTTTTCTCTTTCCTTTCAAAAATTGAATTTGTGCTTTTAAGTTTTGGTTGGAGGGTCGTGGATAAAGTCTCGCGCTGATTAGATTACTTTTTTCTTCTTATGCGTCTTCAGTATCTTATATTTTATTCAATTGGCTGGGAAAAGATTTTTTTATTCGCTTAAACTGTAATTACATTTATCTTGGAGGAAAAATTTAAAGAACGTTGAGATAATTGTTGCAAAAATTGACCACGTTCTCATAAGAGACTTGAAAACGAGTCAGGTTCGAGAAAGTTTTTCTTTCGATCTTATAAAAAAAATTTAAAAATTCAATTGAATATTTCTGTGGCAAGAAATAAGAATCACTGTTTATTTGTTTTAACTTTTTTTCTTCAGTTCTCTATCGAATGGTAGAGGAAATTCATATTGAATGAAAATTTAATTAATAATCTTTTTTTTATTATTATATCTAATTGGATTTTAAAAGCTTTCGCCTTCGCATGATTTTGTCAATTCTGTCTGTGTATCTTTTTTTTTTGTTTGGTTTTGGGAGTGCTTCATTACACTCTCATCAACTTCATGTAATCTTACAACTAACTAAATGATAAAATTGTCGAGCAACAGAAAACATCATTAAAATCTCTTATTCAATGAAAAACATCGAATACCCTAAAATCCTTTTTAATCTTAGTTCTTTTTTTTCAACATATAATAAAATTTTTCTTTGCCATTTGATTTCTTCATCTATTCGATTTCTTCGAATCTGACCGAATTGTTAATTAAATGTCTGCTTAAACCGGTGGATGTCTCCATTAAAAATAAATATTATATTTTAATTGGTTTTTGTTTTTGGCCTCGCTAATTGACCCGATTTGATTTCGTCTTGCCTTTGTCTCGTTTCTAATTATTGATTTCATTTATTTTTTTTTATTCTTCTTTTTGTAAAACTAAAATGCAAATCCACATTATAAAAATAGATTCTCTTCTCGATAATGCGAATCGGAGTAAATCAGCTGTTAAAACTAATGCACGCAAGGATTTTTTTCATCATTTTTGTTTCTATCCACACGGTCGATTAAATCGATGATTTGTTTAAGCTTAAAGTTTCATCATTAAGTTTCAAACTTTTTTATATACCCTTTTAGGATAGGATATTTCATTTGTCGTTTCACTTACATTTAATTTAATTTAATTAAAAAGTTTCTTATTCATCAGGGATAAATTGAAATGAAAAAGGAATTTTTTTTTTCTTTTGTCCCATGCTCCATCAAGTTCACTTCTCTTAATATAAATCACGTCTAAAGCCATCTTCAATTGTCGGGTCGATGATGTTGGCATTCTCAAACATTTGTAGTTCCGTCGTTCCAAGCTGTTCTAGGAAATTATCACCTGCCAGAAAGTCACGAGCAAAGTCAGAACCTGACGAATAGTCTGATAGAGTTGTGGTTGGGGTTGGGAGAAAAAAAACGAAAAAAAATTAACCTTTAGTTGAAATATCTTAGAAATTGAGTGAAAACAATTTTCTCTTTTTACAAATTATTTTAACTTTTTTTTTATATAAAAAAGTGACCGTTGCAGATGATTTTGATATTATTTTCGTTTTTGGACAAAAGAATTCCAATGAAAAATGATTCGTTCGCTACTCAAAATATTTTCTGAATAGAATCAAAGATTAGAAATTCACCTGAAAAGACAATCTCCGGTATGCTTGTCGTCGTTTGAGTGTTGTTGAGATGATGCGATGGCGATGTCTGTGACATCATGCGAGTTGTTTGGAGAGCCGCACTACTCGATGTTATAAGTTTTGAACTTGAATCACTTCCTAAGCCACCACCAAGCATAATATCATTAATACCGCCATTACCACTACCAACACCATTCATTAAAGCACTGTCAAGTGCCGGTGATCCCAATATCAGATTACCCCTCAGACTATCGCAATTCATGTTGTCATAATTTGAACCTAGCATCGAATCATTACTCAATGGACTATGCGGACTACCGTTACCGTTACTAGTCTGATGATTATTACTGTTATTGTTCGTCTGATGATTCATATGATTGTTGCTGTTACTGCTCCTTGCATTGGTCCGCGATGGTGTGTTCGATTGGTTTGTAGGACTACTTTGTCGATTCGGGCTTTCATCCATCATGGCATTGTAATTGTCATTCATCTGTTATGTGATCATAAAGAAGAGTTTTTGTTATATGTTTTCACTTGAAAACAAAAAGAAGAAAAAGAAGCTTTCTTAAGCACACCTGTGAATAATTCTGATCACTCGTTGATGTGATGTAATCGGGAAGCGGGGAGTCGACCTGCAGCAATGGATTTTGCATTGTAAGAAGAGAAGAAAATGACACGTGAAGAGAACACGTGACCATGAATTAGTATTTTCTCTTTACATTTGTTTTTCTTTATTTTGACATTATTAACATTTTCCTTTGCTTCAGCAGAGCATTTATCGTTATTGAGTGTCTCAAAATGTAATTGAAGTGAAATCTCTTCTGACTCAAACATGTCATTACATAACATTTCTTTTTGAGAACTGCAAACGACAGAAACTCTGTTTGGAAAATAATTTACAAATATATTTGATATGGAAAATGAAAGAAAAACATCAACAACATCTCAACAAGAAGCGAAAAATGCTAAAGAAAATATTTAAAGAACTAAAATGAAATGAGATATATCTAATGAATGATTACAAATGAAAATGATATGTTTGATGACACAAATGTAGCAAAATGTAAGAACGTAAATGATATCGATATAAATGCAGATTTTTATTTATCTCAAAAACATTTTTAAGCATTAAGCAAGCTTCGTAATAGAAAAAGAATGAATGAATTTATCCAATTTGTATGATTTCATTTTAAGTATTCATGAAATAAGCTTCCACCATTATTGTTAACTGAATCTTCTTCATTTTTTAACTTGCCATCAAGTCGTATAAGAAGATTTGAGTGCATGTGAGTAAGCATGTGTTAAATAAATTCACAAAATCTTTTCAAATGTGATTAAAAATTAAAAACTATTATTAAAATTCAAATGAAGCTTAAAGTTTTATTAAACAGATTCAATTGTTGTCTCATTAAGAAATGCTTAAATTATCATTAATTAAGTTTATTCTAACATCGTAAAGCTAAGGTGGGGGTTGATTTTCCAGAGAACTTCTTATTCAACATGAGACAAAGGACGAGTAACATTTAAGGAGATACAAATGACATCACACAATTATATTTCTTCCATTATGATATCAACGAAATTGCGGAAGTTTAATATTCAAAAGTTATTTTAATATCATCAAAGCAATTAAAGTTCTACATAAGTAAGAAAAAAATTTAAAAGACAATATTTAAGAAGGTTTCAAGGGAATGCACAATCGGTTGGGATTAAAGTGCACAACGCCTACTTATTTAGATAATTTCAATGCCTTTGTGTGTTATGTAGAACTTCAATTATGTAAATATCTAGATACATATATTTATCGTAATAAATGTAAGCTTTTTCTTATTGAGACATGTACAAGTAGTTACAATTACAAATCGCTGTCTGTAAAGCATTTTCATCGAATAAAATGAATTTGCATGTTTTACTCAAGTAAACTACCGTTAAAGTATTCAAAAGACAATGAAAATGTAAACCAAATAAATAAAAAAAGAAAACTTTAATCTTATTCCAAGAAAAGAACTTTTTTTATAAAAAAACGCTTAAAAAATCGAAGAATATTAAAAAGAGAAAATATTTTTGAATCTTTATTCGGAAGCGAACCTTCACTTCAGCCGATATGGTACAACCCGAATCGACAAGGCTCTGTACCAGCGATGTCCAATCCTTGATTGAGAGCATCAGGAAATTGAAAGAGAAGAAAAAGAAAATACAAATCTTTGATCAAATCTTCGAAGATTTTCGCGTCCACACCGCGATTGATGTTTCGTCTAATTACAACAAATTTCTCCTATAAATTAGAAATTCTTTTCGTCGATTAAATTTCGCGCGGAATTATGTGCATGAGAACATTTACACAACATTCAAGAAAAAAAAAAGAAAACACGGTGTTAATGCACAGCGATCCGAGAACTTCCTGCTTTAAAACATGTAAATATAAAAAAAATATCTAAATAGAAAAAAAGAAGATATGTACACAAACATTGATGAGATGTCTGCACTTAGTCGCATAAATGGTTTAGTTAGTTAAGACTAGCGATTTGAAGGATTTTTTATTATCTTTTCTATGAAGATGAGCTTTCATGTATGTAAATTATCTTTCAAGAGCCTCAAACAACTTCAATGCTTTAACTTTTTCATCAAAATTAAATACTTACTAATGAGAACTGTTCAAAATGCTGTTGAATTGATGGATTTATATAAAAGTTGTCGACTGACGCGAACGTATCAAATTGTCTGGAAAAAGAAATTTGAAACTGTGCTATGGATAAGCACTGACAACTCACCCATTGTTGCTTGTCGTCAGTGGTGATGGACTGCATGGTGCACTCGAATTTGAATCGAAATTTGCTGATAAGCCCGGCACGCTATTTGGACTTGAACCAGGACTTGGACGAGTGTGGGGACTGTTACGGTAGCTATTCTGTTGTTGTTTATTGTGTTTAATTAAAAATTTAATTGCATAATTTTTCATCGTAACAAACCTTCGATAAATTTCCTTGTGACGATGAAAGATTTGAGGGTGAAGCCGCATTGGCATTTCGGTAACTCATCATTTTTTCGGGACTTATTTGGTTGCTATTGTTGGGGTAACTTTGATGGTGAAGCGGCGAATGTTGCTGCTGCTGCTGGTGTTGATGATGACGTTGATGATTAGTATCGATAGGTATGGGACTTGATTGTTGCGTGTAGGTTGAATTGTTGCTTCCTTGGATTATCATACCCTATTGGAAACAGATTTAAGAATCATTACACAAACATTTATCCAAAGCAACGCGTTAAGATTCTTATTTTTATCTCAAGTGGCAATTATTAACTTACCTGACTAGACGACGACGCAGCTTTACTGTTGTTATTGTTATTATTATTGTTGCTACTGCTACTATTGTTGAAATGCTTCGGACTAAAGTTGTTGAGATTGTTTGCCACTGATGGTTGCTGTTGTTGTCCCATTTGATGATATATTTGATGCTGTGCCATACTTGGAAGTTGATTTGATGTTGAATTTTGGTTTGTATTCATCATCGAATATGATGAATCCTAAGTAACGAAGATTCATTGAGTAATTGAACGAGAAATGTAAATAAAAAGATCTTCTCACCGTTAGTTCCAAGTCAATAGGAGCTGATATTGGCGACTGTTGATAATGTACTAATGTAAGGTCGGGTAGAGATCCTGTACTGTTACCAACTGGTATTTGAAGAGTGTCGTCGTTTTGTGTTTGATAAACACTGAAATTTTTGTTGCAAACACATAAATAAATAAATAAAAAATAATTTTTCCCATGATAGATAAGAAATCTCACTTGATTCCTGGCAGCCTTGACGCTGATCTTGATTTGACATCTTGTAAATTGCTCATTGTCAAATGCTGTTGGCTGATATTTGTTTGGTGGTGATGTTGTTGATGAATGAGCGTTTGTGGATCAAAAGTCGATTGTGGCATATTTTGTTGACTGTGACTGTGTTGTTGATTCATTGTCGGACTCTGATGGTGTTGCTGCTGCTGATGTTGTTGCTGATGATTAAGATTTTTCATGCTGTTACTGTTTACCAGCCTTTTATGAGCGCGGGGACTCAACATTAGTGAATTATGAACGTTACTGTTGTGAATGTCCTTTAGAAAATGAACGAGATAAATAATTAATTAATTAATCAGTATTAAGCAAAGCTAACAAAACCAACTCACATCAGCTTGTGCTAGACTCTGATTAATAGCAGAATCTGATGATGTTCGTCTCCATCCTGATTCAGGTGGACTTAAGTATGCAGTGTTATTGCTGCTGTACGGTGATGTGTCAATATTTCTACTTCTTGAACGCATTGGCCCACCACCCACACTTCGTCCTAAAATATTTTAAGAAACGAGATGTCTTAAACATCAAACAGGAAATTGAATGAGAGTCTTCACCTCTTGACTCCCTCGATGAAGCTTTACCATTACTTGAGTTTGAATTCTTTGTAATATCGTTTGAATATCCTGGTGTCGTCAGCAGACCTGCTAATGTGGTTGCTTCGTCCTAAATATCGATAAAAAAAAGAATAAGAAATAAGTTGATGAAAAAAAGGAAACAGGAAATTAAAATGCAATTAAAAAACATTCAAATTTAAAAATTCATGCTTCAAATTAAATGAGTTAGAATTAAACGTTCTCTACGAATGTGCAAACTACACATAATCAAGCTACTTAGTCATGTTTGATTATTGCTTCACTTAAAGCATTATTATCTTGAGAGTAGCGTCACGATCCTTTAATAAGTCATTATTTGCCAAGCGTGATTTTTTTAATGTATTCTCCTCCTTTCAAAAAAACCTTAAAGCATCAAACATTCACAAAAGATAAGTAAATAAATCATGGCGAGTGTACACACGAGTAATGTACTTGTCGGAGATTTGTTTAAAATGTCATTTCATGACACAACTTCTTGAAAGAATTTTGTATTTATGTAGTTTCGCTTGTGATGACATAATATTGGAATAAACCCTGAAGTTTCAATTCGTTGAAACAATACTTATAATGATTTACATGTGCTTCTCGCCACCACATTTATTTTCATTTATTTACTTTTATTAGTCTTTTCAAAGCCGTAATAAAAATTCATTGAATTTCCCACAATCAGGCGTTCGTTGTTGAGATTCAAGAAAGGATGGTGGTGGTGGTGGGGGACTGAACTCCTCAAATTGAGATCTTCATGAATAATTAAAATTTTCATATCAATTTCTTGCTTTTCATTTCTCACCCTCCCCACAAAAACATGAAAGCAAATAAGAAAGAAATGACAAAACAAGAAGAAAGGAAAAAGTCTACAAAAAGCTTCATTTGAAAGTCTACAAAACTGGAAAGTCTGGTGGAATGAGAAGAATTAAACATCGAGAAAAATGTGTGAAATGCAAAAAATAAACAAGATAAAAAGGAGAAGAAGAATGTAACAACTAATTCTCAAGTTTTTTTTTTTGCACAGACAACCAAACACAAAAATTTAAAATTTAGATGAAATGAAAATTTTATTTTTGTTGTGATGATTAAAGAAAAAAAAACTTTATAAGTTTCGTGTTGTGAAGTCGGAATAGAAACAAAATGTGGGCAAAGCCTCATGTTTTCTAATAAAAAAAAATAACTGACACAAACAAAGCCCGGCCTCTCAGAGTTCTTATCAGTTTCCACGTTCGTTGTTTGTTTGTCATGCAAAGAAGACATCATCATGTTATTACAAACAATCCTAAGTGAGAAAATGTTGTGAGTGACAGAATCAAACAGAAAAATGAACACATAGAAAGAAGAAAAAAAAGACGAAATGAATTTTGAAAATTGTAAGTAGAAGCAAATTTGAGAGGCACGAGTTAGACTTCTGTTTTGTTATACTTCTTTTCAGAAGCGGCGGTGTTAATCCAAATCTATTTTTGGTACTCTCGAGAAAAAGAGAAGGAGGGTCGGGTCGGAAGGAGCAAAAAAGAAAAACAAATAAAATAAAAATGTAACACAACATGTTGAAGATGTTATAAATAGACAAGAACAAAAATTCACGCAACTATGTTCCGCTATCGCGCGATAATTTGTGCAGGGGTGACTCTCTTACTTAAATAAATAGCTTTAGCTTTAGCTTTTGAATCAATGCACGTTTATCGCGTGATAACAGTTGTGAGATTATTTCTTTTTAAATGTGTCGATTTTGTTTTCTTTCTTTCCTTACAATGAATATTTAATATTTCTTTTTTATTCATAGGGAAAATGGAGAGGGAAGAAAAAAAATAATAATAAAAAGATTGTTTTGAGGTCTCTCTAAAAGCTACTTGAAAACAACATGTAAATGTAAGAAAAATACAAAAATGGGAGAGAAATATCGCTAAATAAGTTATACAAGCTACTATTAAATGAATATAAAAACGAGCGACGAAATAACCTTATTATCAATAATGTTCGCAATGTTTGTGTCATTAATTGGCGCATTAACATTTGGTAATGATCGGGAGATAAATGCAGAAGTTGTTGCTATCAAGTTTGTGTTTCGGGGTGCTTGTGTTACCTATAAAAAGAGATTTCATGAAACATACATAAATCTTCATATTTTAATCTAAACTTTAATCGAAGATAAAGTTATAGACAACACAGCGTCCTCCAGGGTCACAATAGACAACAAAAAAAAGTTTATAACTTGCACATAACATCGATATCAAATCCAGTTTATAGAGAATAAATTAAAACAAAAGCCCCGAATAACATTTTCTTCTCAATGACCAAAATGGAATAGAAATAAAAGCTGCATTGTGTGTTTACTTTAAGGTTTAAACTCGCAGTAGTTTGTTTAGAAATCTTGTTGAGATGCTTGACACACAAACACTTGTGCGGCGAAGAGGAATTCGTTCAAATCATTCTCAGAAGTTCTTCAAATTCATTAATCAAAACGAAACAAACAGCAATATTCGTGTAACAAACGCTCTCAAATTGAAAACATTTTCGTCGATATTTTTTTTTATCAGAGTGAATTCTACACACGTGAACGTATCAAATTCGGAAGTTGAAAAAGTTTTTCTTTCTCATATGTCTCAAGGTCTCACTCACTATCCAAGCAAAACGCCAAATGATTTTTTTTGGGTAATTTTTAAAGCAGACATAAACTTTTTTTTATGTGAGCATTCAATTGCTTATATTCAGGGATTTGTTTGAAAGTAATCACACCTAGTCGATGTTCTCTTGAATTTGAAACATCTGCACAAGGCCGAAGCCAAATACGAAGCCAAGCAGAAGAACAAAACAAAATAAATAAATGATAATCACATTATTTAACAGCTTTGCGCGAGATTCTGATTCTTTTGAGAATGAGATGTTAAGGTGAACCATGAAATGAGAAGAGATTATTCAAAAGACTTCGATTTTTGTTTGTTGTTAGCATTTTTTGTTTTCTTGTTAACGCAACGCACATGTATTGGGATTTGGTGACTTAAAAACCAGAATAAAGGAAAGAAACAAAACTTATTTAATTTACATTCTGATGAGGCAAAATTATTCTTGTTTCGATAACATTCTTGCGAAGTCTTAATTCTTTCAGATAATTATTTTATGACTACAAAAGAACAAAAAATTAAACCCAGCTTTATACGCTTCATCTTTGTTCTCTAGACAATTGAAGAGGGTATTGTTTTGTAATTGTAGGGCTTGTTTTTAATTTCGTAAAGTCAAAGTTCAAAAGCTTCAATTTATGTGTTTTAAAAAATTAAATGAAAAATGAAAATTTTATCCATGTTTGGGATGGATTTGAATTTGTTCAAAATTCGTCACTATCAACTTTCGCATTTTGTTGAATGATTACAGAATATTTAATTACAAACAAAATATGTGTATCAAGGCAAAGCTATTAATAGAAGGAAAACAATCATCAAGTGTAAATTTCGTGAGTGTCATCATTACTCATCATCCCTGCTTCTAACTAACTACGATTAACTTTGTCTTATGAATTTTAATATCGCACTTAAAGCATAACCTGAGCATCTCATTAAAGCTTATTCTTCTGAAAGGTTTTGTTCTTTAATATTTATTGCAATTTATGTTTCTTCGTTTTGCTTTTATCTTCATCGTCTCCGCAACGATAAAACCTGCTTTTCTCCTTAACAGAGTAAAGTCATTAAAAGATGGTGTGGAAGGCGCAAAAAATGTTAGAACAAGAATGGTAAATAACAATTAGGCATGACATTTTATAATTTTTTCCAGTTTTCGTACTTTGTATGATTTCATTATTTATTTATCAGCTTTTTTTTCTGTTCGTATATTTCGTTGCCGACTTATTTGTATTAGTTCATCGAAAAACTTTGTGATGTGATTTTTTTTTGCGCGCGGATTGTCAGTGTGATATTTCAAGTTACATTCTTACAAAACTCACACACATATAAACACACGACTCGTGTTGTTTAAGTTTATTCTAATCCATTTGTTGATGAAGTTCCTTTTAGAAGTCAGGAAGTAAACACAAGACTTTAAATATACTTGTTGCTTGTCGCGCGTCCTCACATACCATTACATCTCTTTTTTATGTTCTCTCTAACGCTTTAGCTTATAAAGGCAAGCTATTGTGAAGATTATTTTGGCAATATTGATAAGACACTGTATAGCTCTTTTTCTTTTGGCAGCCTTCAATATTCGCTTCACTTCCACAAGCTTGAGCTTTTATATTAGATTTTGTTTCTTTCTTTCACCGACTTTCATGTCGCATAAAAACCAAAAAAAAAGTTTTTCATTTTCCCATGTTTTCCAATTGGAAACATGAAAAATTCTTTTTTTTTATTTCGCTGCTGCGCTCCAATTGCACAACACGAAAAAGAAAAAAATAGATTTTCATGCACTCGTCTCCCAGATGAAACGAAAACTAATTTCAAGAATGAAAATACGTGAAATGTAAAATAATTTTTTAACGCACACAACACGTACTGAATCTTCCTAAATGTTTTTTTAGAAGTTCATTTTAATTCCCTTCGACCCGCGAAAGAGAAGAAAAAAAAATTTTTGTTCAAATACAAATGTCAAATTGCCTTTTTCACTACAACGCAAATTCTCGATCTCGGATCGGAATGAATTTTTTCTTCTCTTCATTTTCTGATTGGAACATTTGCTTGGTCATTAAATCGATGAGTTGTAGATTAATACACAAAAATGACTACCTTTGCTGACACCTCCGAGACTTCGCGCATAATTCGCTCAAACTCAGCATTGCCTTCCGCTTCCTTCTGGTTTAAAAGCGCAATCTTCTCCGAAAATTTTCGAGGATTTGCCATTTTTTTCCTTTTCCCCGACACACACTAATTTTCCACTGAAAATTTTTTCACACCCGAATTTCTTAACTGTTTACGATTGAAAACACATTAATCTATCTACTTTTAACTAAACACTAACATGGAATAAGGATTTTTAACTACACTTTATTCCGCGAAGCTTGTTTAATTATTTTTTCTTAAAGCAAATTTTCTTGTTTATTGTAAGATTCTCGCACTGCAAATGAAAGTCTCCGATTGAAAAACTTATTGGAATCGAGTGGAATAATGGAAGTTGTGAAGACTCTGGTGATTGCCGTAGAAAACTTACTAAAGTGAATTGCGCAACTTTATTATCAACAGAATTTTGACAAATTTTCACTACATTTTATGATGATAGAACACAAATTGAAGTTAATTAAGTGCAATATTAACATGTTGAATTTATTCGTCAATATTCAACCCACAAATATTTTTCTTTCCATGGAAAATCACGCAATGTTTCTTTTTTATTAAAGTTTCATAATTCTAAACATCATTGACATTGAATGGACAACACAATCAGATGATTCTTGTGTACAAAATATTTCTCTTTTATTTTTCTTTCTTCTCAGAAATCAAGTGATTTATTTCCACCACCGGATGTAGCACAACTCATTGTTGGGGCTTTGGAAGATGCAGTCTCTTCTAATTCAGGAGGCAGATGAAGTTTTTCTATCAAAAAACGATGCGATTTTAATTTAAAAGCCAGATCGAAGGATTCCGGCTTGTGGGATTGATGGGCAGATAAAGTTTGAAGTTTCTTAACATGAAGTAAACCATGATATTGCTTAAAAACTGCATTAGTTTGTTTGTCTACATTGTCGAATGACTCCAGATCAATATTGCAGTCAACAAGCTTTCTTATCCTGTAAATTAGCTGATCATCAATGACATTTAAAAGATACACTGGCATTGTTAAGAAGCAAACAATATTCTCGTTATATCTGGCGAGTGACTTCAACTGAACTAAGAATCTTAAAATTTCTTCAGAAAATGTTTGAGAGTACCATAAAGGCGATCCTAAAGCGCTGATACAAACTCTCAACACGTTTTCATGATTCTCTTTTGCAATTTTCTTGACATCTTTAATGACTATGTCAAAGAATGTTTGGTCACTTTCCTCTCGTCGTTGTTTAGCATCGAAAAAAGACCGATAAGTTATATCTGAATTGTTTTGAATAACTTCCTTATCGACTTTTTTTGATAGATCATAATTAACAGAAGGTTGAGATCCTCGTTGCACTGAATCAATTTTTGGAAGTGCTTGATAACGAAAAGCAATGCGAAGATCATTTTCTGAAGGTTCTGACGAGATTTCTTTTGCTTGAACTGTTCCAGGAGGTATTGTTTTCATCTTCAATAAAGAAATAATTAAATTGTAAAAAGAAATTTGTAAAATAAGATTTCTTACAATCTCCCTTGGGTCATTGTCAATGTTTGCAAAGTAAATTTTGTGTCCATGATGAAATCCGTCAGCCAGAAAAAGTCTTGTGAGAATGTTTGAATGTCGAGCATATTTATCTTCACCTATGAATTTAATTCATTTACATTTTATTGCAATATAAAAATTTAAAGCACTCACCGACTAAGAAAAGAGAAGAAATTTCTAATCCACCGCCAAGAACAAAATCAAGGGAATCGCAACCACTTGATGTAACTTGTCCATTACGAAGAGAGGTTTTTACGCCTTTAATATCTATTGCATTATCTTTTTTTAATTTCACAAAACTTGACATTTTATTTAATTCGGTCTGTTCGGCCCTTTACAAAGGCGTTGAATTGTTGAAGAAGATTTTCAAACAATCACAACTCTAATTCACAAGTGAACATACGTTTACTACTACCATGAGATTTATGCACTCTCCACCTAAAACTGCACCCGGGAGAAAGTTAGTTTCAGGTGGAGAGTGTAATTATCACGCTCGGACACTATCACGTTCGGACAAATAATTCGCTCGCTTTGTATGAAAAGTTGGTTTCCGGTTTGCGGAAAAACTAGCTTATCCGGGTCAGTGGGCCCATTTGAATTGTTTATCAGGGATTGGTAAATCGTTAGCAGACGAACATTTTTCGAAATTATTTTAAAAATTTTCATCAACGTTCATTTTAAAATTATTTTTGTATTTTAAATGCATGAAATAGGAATATGAAAATGATCATTTTGTTAAAAATAAATCAGTTGCTCTTACAATGAATTAAAATCATTGTCAATGTTAGACCTAAATATAATTCCGAATTTTCACTCTCATTCGCATAATTTCGAATCTTCGAAGTAAACAAAAATCTCAAGTGAATGAGTGAAAATTGAATTAAAATTCTCTAAATATGAGTTCTGCTTGTAGTATTCCTGGTTGTAAATCAAAATCTGAGGGCAGTTTAAATGTTTTCAAAATGCTTGATAATATCAGAGTTAAGAAAGAATGGATGAACTTTGCCGAAAGATGTGGAATAAGTAAACGCGATCCTGATGATATTTCCTTCTGTGAAAAACACTTTAAAGAAGCTAACGCAAATTTGGGAATAAAAATGAAACCCACAGCAAATTCTTCATTGATAAATCCACCGAAACGATTGAATGAAGTAACAATAACTCGAAAGCCAGCAAACAAATCAGGATCAACTCAAAGTGGCACGGCAGAAAAGACATCAAACATTCTTTCAAAATTGCCATCAACAATAAGTTTAAGCAAATTTAAAGTTCCAAAACGATTGAACAATGTACCAACATCATCAAATTTTGGAAGACCAGCAAAAACTATTAGACACACATTAAGTAGTTCCATCACTAACAAGAAGCCAAATATTCTTTCAAAACTACCTTCAAATGTACTCACAAAACTGGGAAATAATATGAGCATTAAACTGAATAATAATCCAACTGAACCACCGAAGCCTGTTAAATGGGAAATCAAAATCACAAAACGATTCAAAATTATTGATTCCAGCTCAAACTTAAATTTCACTGATCATAAGGAAAAGTGCAGATTATGTTTACGTAACATGACAGACTCAGAGAAAGTTAAATTAGATGAGAAATTAGCAAAAATATTTTCTAACTTTACAGGTCATGAGGTTTGTATTTCAATTGAAATTTAATAAATTAAATCATAGAATTCTTTCATTTTAGTTGACGTCTTCAGATTCATTCTCAAAAGATGTTTGCAAAACATGTAGCAATAAATTACAAGAACTATCGGAATTAAAATCGTCTTATATCAACATTCAAACAAAGTTGAAGGAATGTGTTGAAAAAGAAGAAACTGGAATGGATTTTGATAACTCTGATTGTGTAGTTATAAATGACAGCAGTGATAGCGAAGATTCATTTAGTGTTCAATATGATCACATACCAGAAAGAGTTATTGTGACAGATGAACAACGTAAAAAAGATTCGAATTTTAGACTTTGTCCATATTGCGGTAAATATTTCGAAAACATGAGACATGGAAACACACATGTAAGTAGTTAATTAAATTTGTAAAACAATTGTTGATATTAACACAATTTTATTAATAGATTACTGTATGCCATAATATGGCTAATAATAATGCATACATTTGCGACATTTGTGGATACAAACAATACATCATGACTAGAATTAAAAACCATATGAAGAGACATGAAACTCCAGAACTTAAATACAAATGTTTTACTTGTCCAAAAGCATTCACAAACACTGAAGCCAGAAGATATCATTTCCTGCATACTCATGAACCGAAAGTTATTTGCGATACTTGTGGAAAACATTTAGCACCAGGGAAAACATTTCGAAGACATTTGGAAACGCATTCAACGGTGTTTGATAAAGTTTGTAAAGTGGAAGGATGCCTTGAAAGATTTACAACGTCAGCTCGTTTATATGCACATAATGAACAATTCCATCGTGACAGAGGCGAATTTCGTTGCACAATTTGTTCAAGTGTTTTCAATTCGGTGCTAAGATTAAAACGGCATATGAAAAGAGTGAAACATTAATTAATCAAGGAAGAAATAAATAAAATCAATTTTGTGTTGATTGCTAAGCAACAAACATTCAAATTCATGTTAATAAATAAACAAAGAGATTTTTAATAAAATAAATAAATGATATTGAAACAATTATTGTTCTGAATATTTAAAATGGATGTGTCGACTCTTCAGGATTGTTTAAAACCACTCGAAGCAGCTGACCAAACCGCTGATAAACTTAACGAAATTCTTTTAATTTCAACTCCTTCGAACATTTCAATGATTGTGTATGAAGCAAGACAATTAAAGATCGATACTGCAGAAAGCTTAAGTCAATGTGTTGATGTTCTTTATGATAATGCAGTGAACTCGTCACCTTCAATCATAGCGAATATTTGCACGAAACTTATGTTCGCTAGCGTTCCACTTTGCAAGGAATCACAAAGAATGAAAACATTCAAAGAACAAATTTACGACAAAGCACGAAACGAAGTGGAAAACTTTATTGAAATTCAAGGTTTGTTGAATGTGGGTCAGAAATTGTATAAAAGTGAAAGCTGGGAAAATGAACCTGATGAAGTAATTAAAAGTTCATGCATGAGAAGATTAAGACGACCAATGGGATTATTTAAGTTCCTCGGCGAGTTGTATTTAGTAGATTTGTTAACGTCTTCATTCATTGACGATTGCATTGTTAAACTTCTTGATTCGCAATCATGCAATGAAAGTACGTTGGAAATTCTTCATGGACTCTTGAAAATTGTCGGAAGGAAGTTGGAAATTACCGAAAAAGTCAACTTGTCAGATCATTTTGAGACTATCAAGGAAAGGAAGTCATCAACTGTCATCAATCCTCATACACGATTCATGATTGAAGAGCTGTTCGATATGAGAAAGAATCATTGGGAAACAATCGAAGAAATCAACTGGATTAACTTCTACAATATGTTTTTATGCGATGTTGATGAAAAGCTTTATATTTTAGAATTATGGTATGGAAAATAAATCGCATGACAACGTGCTGGAATTTTAATTAAAATGAGAGCGAAAGCTGAGGCATTTGTTACAGGAATAACGTCACATAATTTATGATTAAATCAAATTAAAATTCAAAATTCTTTCACTTAATTTAATTTTGCTTTCACTAAATCAATCCATCGATGGAAATTCTTCAACAAGTTTCATTGGAGAAAATGTTCTCTCTCACAGAGTTTTTCCATTTTCGCCTTTTCTTCTCTCAAAGAATATTTCAGTGAAAATTTTCGATCACAGTTCTCTTCGAAGTGGCGTTCATGACGCAAGCTTTTTCCTTTCTAGAAATTGAAAAGAGATTTTTTATTTGGTGAAATCAAGTGCGTCGTAATTTATCATAAAAAGTTTATTGGGAAGATTGTGAAGCGAGTTTGTTGAAGCACAAAAGTGCAATGAATTCCCTAATCTACAGTAACAGTCATGTAAGTTTCTTTTTGATATTTTATTGCCGATTTTATCCTCTACTCGTCCTTCTGCATTACACAAAAGTTCATCATTCAAACTCTCGTGCAGAATTTCATTAAATTATAAGAGAAAAGTGACAGCGAGAAATGTAAATAAACAGAAGCTTCTTCGATTCTCAGTACAATGAAAGTTCATTTGACGTATTATCGATTTTCAACCTTGACTATTATTGCCTCTACAAACAAACAAAATTTTCCTTTCATCGAAAGTGTTGCTTACTTCAACTTCGCAACCTTTTGTTCCCCCGTTGCCACCAACACATCAAGTTCTTCTTTCATTATTCAGTTTACATTAAATAAAGTTGGATGCAAAACGAAATTGAGTTGAAGGAAAAATAATTTTTAAAATTTTTCATTTTAGAACAAAGTTCTGGCTTTTACCGACGTAATGTTCGAGTGCATTTACTCAGAAAGAGTATAATTAACATTTTATAGTAATTTTATCGTAACTTGAAATTATCTTTCATGTTAGTTTGATATAAAAAGCAGAAGAGAAATTGGGAAAATTTTCCTTTCAATTTCATTGCCTGCATTAAAACATTAATAGCGTTTTAAAACAAAAGCAGATACGTAATAATTACCAGGATTAATTAAGCGAACAACTTATTTGATTTCGGGTAATTTTCCTTTATTTATTACGTGAATTTTGTGTGGAGTGGAAGTGCAAATCCGTTGTAACCTTCTCGGTTTATACAATCCGCGACCTTCCCCATTCATGACTGCATTATTCGCTGCTATCCTTTCACCTTCTTTCCTTTTTATCACGATAAGTCAAATTATAATAAATTCAAAACATTTATTTTCGGAAATTTCCGCAGAGTGCCAAGTCGGACGACGCTAACGGCAACTTAATGGGAACAATCGTACCAACGACCACCAACGATGAGGACAGCTTAAGCTTAAGTGACTACACCGACAACGAAAAATCTGCCCCCACAGAATTACTTGCTGAATTTTTGACATCCATCATGAAGAAAGATTACGGAAGCGCTTTGAAATATTGCAAAAAGAGTGAGTATGGAAATGAGTACAAAATTGACTTTGACTGATGTTGCGATGGCAATTTTTGTAGTTTTAGATTACGAGCCGAACAATAAAACAGCGAAAGACTTTTATCCTCAACTTCTTGCTAAAGTTAACGAACAAAATTCAACATCAAGTGATGGGAGCGATGCGAATTGTAATTATTCATCATCATTAGAATTTGTTGGTACCGAAGTGTTGGACAATGACGACGACGACAACGTTTCAGTTTCATCTTCCATCTCATCAAGTATTTCATCAAACGACGATGATTCAGATTTAGTTTCGATTTCTGAAGAAATGAATCAATGCGATCGCGACGATTTGATTAATTCCTTATCGCACAGCAGCAGTCGAAGTAGCAACTTATCAAAGTCTGAACAGTTACCCGAATCAATGTCAAGCACAGAATCGAATAAAGAGAACACAAGTAATTCATTCTCGTTCACAAGTCTCTTACTTGATGACTCCGAAGACATCAATAACAATGAACCACCAGCCGAACCAGTCAAGATCACAAATCAAACTCCTTCATCGCCATTCACATCCAAAATTATGCAAATGTTCAAAGGAAAATGGGACGCAGCTAATCCATCAAAAGAAAATTAAATTTAGTTTCATATTTATGAGAAATTATCAGACAAGAGTCAGGAAATGTAAAGAAAAACAGAAAGAAAGGCTTTCATTATATTTTATAGATAAAATCATAAATGTGACCTCATTTCTATACAACCCCCATCGATTTTGATCAAATAGAAAATCTGCAATATTCTCAATTCATTTCCATCATTTCCATGAGCTGATAACAGAAGAAAACTTTTTTATGAGTAGATAAAAATGCTTCGCCACCCACCAAACGACCCAGATTTTAGCCACGTTTCTAATACTTATGATGAGATGACTTTTAGATGAGACTTGCCGACTCTCATTAAAAATTTACGTCGTTTCATAGCAAATATTTAATTCCTTTTTATCATTCTGTTGACATTGGAAGCTCAGCCTTCAGTTCTTTTTTTGATTGTAGATAAGCACAAATGTAGGGTGAAATGATATACGACAGCAAAGTGGCCTATCAATGGAAGAATGTTACGATAAAGTAAAAAGAAAAGACTAAAATGATTTAAATAAAAATTATTTATTTTCCTCTTGATAAAATGTGTTTAGTAAAGTAACACGAGTAAGGACTTAAATGTCTATGAAACTGATAAAAAAATTGTTTTTTTCTTTCTCTTTCTTAACTAAGATTGTGCGATTTTATATCACATGACAATAGTTGAATATTGGAGTCGGAAGATGAAGACGGCCATTAAAATTTAATTGTTGAATTCATTAAACGTTAGTGATTTTCATAAAATTTTCTTATTGTTCCGTTCCACAAATGCTTGCAGCAAATTGATTGCATGAATTTTATCTTATGATAAAGTTGTTAAAATTTTACAAGAACCACTTCGTTTAAACATCTACTTAATTTTACGATATAAAATGTCACGTTTTGTTAAAATCGCTCAACCTTTTACTCATGAACAATGCGCTTAATATTTAGAGAACATCATTCAATAATTTATTTTCCATTCAAAGGAAGATCAGCGAAAAACATGAGCAAAACTCCTTTCTAACTTAGAGTTAATAAATCTTGCCAAATTATGATTATTTACTCTTATTTCTTGGGGTTTTTATTTGCTGTTTTTTCTTATTGATTTTATGGCACAGAAAGAGAATGAAATTGAAGTAAAAAAAGTTTTGTTGAGCTTTCGAAATTTTCTTTTCCGGATTATGAAACTAAAAATTGCAACAATTTTATTTTTATTTCAGCCTTTCAAAGTAATGTTCGTCAATTCGACTTTCATTCTAATAAAAATGCTTTCGCTACAAAAAGTGTCAAATGTTCGTCTGCGTTGCAAAAAGAACTTTATTTAGCACCTTTTTTGACAATCATCAAATTTCTTATCAAGTTTCGTTTTCCTTTACGTTTTTTCATTGAAAAATATGTTTCCATTCACTTTTACATTTAAATATGTAATAGATATTTTAACCAGTCCTACTATCCTGCATTGTATTGCGCAATTAACATTTGATTCCAACTTTCTTAAATTACAGCGATCTCTTTTCATACTTATTAACTTTTAAAATCGTTCTCGTACTTGTTAGGCTAGTCTCAACTAAATTTTACATTTCCGATATCTATTTTGTTAAAGTTTTCATTTAAAGGAAATTAAAAAAGTTAATTAAACGAAGAAACATTGTTGAAAGTTGCTATTCTCTTTATCTTGATACAATTAATTTGGCACACAACAAAAGTTCTTCGTCTTGAAGACATTTTCATTCTTAATTATCCAGAAAACATTTTTTATGTTTGTTTAAAAATTTCTCTCACTGGTTCATTTAATTAAAAAACCGATAAAAGAAAATCATAGAAATGCAATTAAATATTTTCCTTTTTTCTATTTCATTTCTCCGAGTGAAAAAATAGTCGGAAGTGATAACTCGAGTGATTATTAATCATAACACTAAAGTCTTATTTAAGTTTCCATTTCTCAGATATTTATGAACGTTTTTTGTATTTTTCTTTCACATAGCTTGGGATAAATTAAATTATGTATGTTTACCATGCATTCAGGTTTTACAGTTTGATATTGATTTATGTTGTCTTGTCAGTAAATTATTCTTTATCATAAACATTAATAAAAATAATAATAAAAAAATTTGCACTCATAAAAATATCGCGGTTAGATAAAATTTCTAATAAAAATGAAAATCGTACACAAGAACAATCGTCGGTTATCTTCTAGAATTAAAAATATTTTCATCTCTTTTTGTGACGAATGTACGATTTTCAAATTAAAGAATCTTTTTTCTTTGATTGTTACACTTTTGTTAAATTTTGTTTTTAAACTTAATTCGTCCGGGCTCCGGAGGCTCTCAAGCTCCACGTCGATTAATTAAACGAAAAGAAAAAATTATTTCTTTTAACATTATTATTCTCTTTTTTATTTTTAAATCAACTAAAAGTACTCGAAAATAAAGAAAAAAAATTCTCTTACACTTAACAATTAAAAGACGAAAGAAAAATTACAAAAATTTCTTTCATTTCTCGATTTTCTTAAAGTTAATGTTTCATGAAGTTAACGCCTTCAATCGTTCTGTTTATAAAGTGAAAAAAGAAACTCATCAAAATGGATTTTCTTACGCTTACCTGCTGCGATGGCCAAAAGCGTTTCACGATGAATTTATTTGCTGCCTTTACTGTTTTTTTATATTCTCTTCTGTGTAAATCTCTAGTGTCAGTCTCTAGAGTTCGTCGATACTTTTAATATCATTGATCATTTGTATTATTTATGCTGATAAAGTTATTTGTGGTTGTTGTTGTGTCGATAGCGATTTGTTTGTAACGCGAATGTTGTGAAAGACGTTCCATGATGCATGACGATGATAATCTCGCTTCTTGATCGTGATCCCAACATTCTTCAATTGTCTCGCAAACAGCGTTCAAACCCTGCAAAGAAATTGATAATAAAAAATATTAATGACGGCGTTTTATTATTTAATTAAAAAACTTACACTGTGTGTTCGCCACTCTTCGTATATTCTCGGTCTTAACTTCTTCGCAGCAACATTCTCTTGCATATCTTCCAGATGTAAATCCAAGCCAAGTTCCATTTCGAAAGGTAAACGATAGTCAGCAACGGGACCGCCATGTGCTGAACAACGCGATACCAATTCCCATAAGACCAATCCACAAGCATAAACATCAATTCTCAAAAATGAATCACGGTTGAAATTGATCGCGCCATCGAGAATTTCCGGTGCCATATAACGACGTGTTCCAACTTGTCCATGTAAATCGCCAACTGTCTGTCCTGGAGTGAATCTTAATGCTAAACCAAAATCAGCAATGCAAGCAGTCAAATCCGGCTTCAATAAAACATTTTTGCTTTTAAAATCGCGATGGGCAATTGCAGGCTTCAATTCGTCAGTTCGAGTTCCGGGAATTTCTTCATGTAAATGCATCAAGCCACGAGCCATCGATTCAGCAATTTTGCATAATTCTTGCCAATTAACGGTGTGGGATTTCAAATAATCGCACAATGAACCAAGCGGCTGATATTGAGTGATGAGCCAGAATTCAGTTTTTCCATCTTGGAAGATGTGTTTTTCAGCACCGATAAAGTGCAGAATATTTGGATGATTCATTCGTGGTAATTTGTAAATTTCCTGTTCAGTAATCCATGATTTTTTCTCAGTTGGAGAGAAGACTTTGACAGCAACTTCGCCATTTGGCATCTTTCCCTTCCATACAACTCCAAATCGACCATGAGCTTTAATTTCAATCAAATCTATCGGTCTGATGTAAAGGCATTGTGATGAGACGGAAAGTTCAGGCTCAGCTGTTGGAATTTCTTTAAATATTTGTTTACGTTGATGATAAATGTATCGTGAAGCGATACAAAATCCAATCAGTGAAAGGAGAAGAAATGACGCCCAAATCCACTTCGAGGTGTCAGTTAAATGAACTGATTTTTCATTTTCATTCACATTTTCCGTTGTTGATGGTTCTGTTGGTGTTGGCTTCCAAACAAATTCTCTGTTGCACATGTCATGTCGACAACAACAGAAATTCTTCCCCGCACTCTTTTCATATTTGTAATCAATACATTCCGACTGATTACAATCATCGTGGAAAATAAAACAGTCTTTCATTTCGACAATTGGCTGCTCCGTCATATTATTGGTTCCCCAAAGCACAAAACATCCTTGGCGTTTTCCATTTGAATCCGGGCATGTTATCTTTTTTGGCAAGCAAGGCTCCTTCTTGCAATCCTTGGCATTATAATACTCACATGTGATTGTCATCTCTGGATGATAGGATTTTTCATGTTCATTGTCTTCGTGATCGTCACCAAATGTTGGAAGTGTTGATGCAGCTGTGATTTAGTTAATTTAATTAAATTTTTGACATAACACTTTTCTGTTTATCATCAATAAAATTACCGGAAATCATCAGCATCAGAAATCCAAACAAAAAAGTCGATCTCAGCTTCATTTTTTTCATCTCTTCCGTTCTTCACACACAAATTCTTCTTCTTACTTTCTTAAGAAAAAATAAAGCCTTAAAACAACAACAAAAGTCAAAAAAAAAGTTGTGATCGAAAATAAATTGAAATTTTCGGAATCACATTCACATTTTCCTTCGTCAATTTAATGTCACTTCGTTGTAAAAGATTGTTAACTAATAAAATGAGATATTTTAGAGGCTCGAGAACGATTAAAAAGTTATTAAAAATGAAATTGTTTTTGACAATTTTAAAGTAAATCGAAGTAAAACTTTTATATATCGGTGAAACCTCGGTATAACGAGATGTTTGAAGTGTGCGTTATTTTCGGGATTCAGTGTATGATTTGGATGTGCATTCGAATGTAAACACTCAAAAACGATTCAAGTTATCTTTATAAAATTTATCAACAATATTCAATAATGGAAGAAGTCCAGAAGCATTCAGTGCACACTTTAGTGTTTCGATCATTGAAGAGAAGCCACGACTTTTTCGTCAGTAATCAAGGAATCATTAATTTAGAAGCAGATGAAAAATTGTAAATGTTTTCTTAACTTGTCTGTGACAATAAACTATAAATAAATTATCTTTCAGTGAAAAAATGCGTTATAACATCAAAGCAAGAGACACATATGCTCCAGTATTCCACAGAGTAGCAGCATCAGAAAATGAACGGAAGAAAGCAGAATATTTCGGCAAATCTGATGAAAATCAAACATTACTTGATAAAACAACTGAAGCTATAATGCCTGCACCGGGAAGTTTACCACATGAATCATCATCGGCACTTTTACCTTTCACGCAACCCAACATACAACAAAATCAACAACAATTGATTCCGAAGAAAGCTTCAGCAATTCCACGTCCAAAATGGCATGCACCATGGAAACTTTATCGCGTTATTAGCGGTCATTTGGGATGGGTACGATGTGTTGCTGTAGAACCAGGAAATGAATGGTTCGCAACAGGTGCAGCTGACAGAGTGATCAAAGTGTGGGACCTCGCAAGTGGAAAATTAAAACTTTCTTTGACTGGCCATGTCAGCACCGTCCGTGGTCTTGCGGTGTCCCCACGTCATCCTTATCTCTTCTCATGCGGTGAAGATCGTCAAGTAAAATGTTGGGATCTTGAATACAACAAAGTTATTCGACATTATCATGGACATTTGTCAGCAGTCTACTCAATGGCACTTCATCCAACATTGGACGTTCTTATTACTGCCGGACGAGACTCTACTGCAAGAGTTTGGGATATGAGAACAAAAGCCAACATTCATACTCTCGTAGGTCATACCAACACTGTTGCCAGTGTCGTTACTCAAGCAGCAAATCCGCAAATTATCACTGGAAGTCACGATTCAACTGTGAGATTGTGGGACTTGGCAGCTGGCAAAAGTATGTGCACATTAACCAATCACAAGAAAAGTGTGCGAAGTGTTGTGCTTCATCCAACTCTCTACATGTTTGCTTCAGCAAGTCCCGATAATATAAAGCAATGGCGATGTCCTGAAGGAAACTTCATTCAAAATCTTTCAGGACATAATACGATTGTTAATTGCATGGCAGTTAATCCTGAAGGTGTTCTTGTATCAGGCGGCGACAATGGGACAATGCATTTCTGGGATTGGAGAACTGGTTACAATTTTCAACGAATTCAAGCTGCTGTACAACCAGGCTCAATGGATAGCGAAGCTGGAATCTTTTCTATGATTTACGACAACTCTGGATCTCGATTAATAACAACAGAAGCTGACAAAACAATTAAAATTTATAAAGAAGATGATGAAGCGAGTGAGGAAACACATCCAGTTAATTGGAAGCCAGAAATCATCAAACGACGAAAATATTAAATCGCAATCGATAAATTTTCAATTAATGTCAATAAAAATTTAATGATTTCAATTTTTTTTAAATTTTTTATTATTTTTTTCTATTATGCAACCGAAAGGGAAAGAAAAAAGGTAAATTGGAGCTTAATCAATGTCTATGAGTGTCTCCACTGGAGACAGCAAGAGGACTTGGATTGGAATCAAATACAAAGAATTCTCAATAAAAGAAATTTATTAATTACGAAATTCGCTTATAAATTGTAGGATTTTGAAGAATTGAAAGTTCCTAGCGAACAGCAATTTTCTTTCTACATAAGAAACTTAGCGGTCCGTTTGAATTTCTTTTATGAAGAATTTTCTGCATTTGTTTACATAAATGAGAGGAAGGAGTCGATTTTCTGAACCATAAACTTTCTTATTTGCAATTTACTCTTTACAATGTAGAAGGAAGAAGATTCGGAACGTAAGCTGGTTTGATTTTGTATTAATGGGAAGTGTTGGGGGGAGTTGAAGGAATTGAAAGAATTTTAAACACCGCCAGAAGACGACGACGATACTAATGTGCCGGAATTGCTGCTGCTGCTGTTGCTATTCTGTTCTTGCCTATTTAATACGAGCTTTCGAACGTATTCTAATTCGCGTTGTTTTCCGTGCGTGGTGACTTCGACGCTTTCTGGCTTATATGGTGGACGAATATAAACGTCGTTAAACACTACAATGTCGGGACCGTTCCATGCAACTTGTTCGAATGTTAACGTTTTGGCGAGCGACATAAACAAATTACGAGCTTCGTCGCTTACATTTGCTTTGAGTGCGCTTACTAATCGCTTCTTCTGTTCTACCTTGTTGCGAACTCTGTTGCTTATCTGAAAAATGTGAAGAATCGGAATGAACATGAGTAATGAATAGATAAGACTGAACTTACTCTTTGCAAATTTATTGATTGCGGTTCCTGATTGTAGTTTTCAGCACCATTTACATTCTCTTTTTTCACGTTTATGTCTTTACAGAACAGCAAATTAACGAAGAATACGTCGTTGTTCTTGGCGTTCAGCTCGGAATTGGTCTCTAAAAGTAGAAAATATACATTCAATGGAGAGGAAATATCAAAGATAATCATGAATGACAACGGAAATCTCAAAAAACTATAGCCAGTATTTAAAAAAATTTCTCTCTGAGTTCACTTAAACGCTCATCAAATAAAAACCCCGAAAAAAAAATTCACAAAAGTTTTACTCACTTAGAATCAACACTTTAGTATTTAAATCGAAAGCCATGACTTGACCCTGAATTTTCTCATCATAACACGTCGTGACTTCAACAGTCGAACCAAGTGAGAAGCAATCCTGCATTGCCATTTAATGTTTAGATCAGAAATTTATATTTCGATTTAAGATTCGACTATGTCGACAAGTTTGCAGACTTTTCCACCGGCACAACATGAACCAATTCAAATGTGAATTTCATTTTCAACGGTCATAATTCTCCATTTCTACATAAATATTTTAATTCTTTCATTTCTCTTGAAAGCATTTAGCGATGTGAATTTGTGAATAACAAACAATTTAATTTAATTATTCATTCATCAATAATTCTTCTGTTTGATATGTAAACAAAGTGTCATGCATATATTCATTGCACGATTTCGCATTTATTCACCGATGTTGAGGAAATTTATCGATTTTCCCATGCACATGCGCTTACAAAATTTTCTCATTTTATGGTGTAAAGAAATTTTTCACAACTCAATTCAGTGAGAAAAATTAGAAAAAGTTGTAATAAATAGTGATAATTCTCAATAAAGGTTCATTACAGTGATGACTTTTGTAAGTTTCATAAAAATATTAACGAAAACATTTAATTGTATGCTAATTAAAAAAGTTTATTTTGAAGGATACATCAACATGTTTAGATTGCGTTTATGTGCAACCACCCGACGCAATTCTTTCAATTCCTCCACCACCTTTACCCAGCTTTCTACTTCCTAAAAGCTCTGATCTTGTACTTCCTGGCAATAATCATTCCCAGCCATGTTTTGCTGCTTTCATGTGTGAAACATCACTGAACTTGAACTCCGACCATATTGAATATATTGAACTTCCTCGTAATCCAAACTTGGGTATCGACGAGCCATGGTTCTTTGTATTGATCTGTATTCTCTGTGCAGTTCTTTTTGTCAGCGCAATTCTCTCAATAATTCTTCTAAAATGCCGAGACAACAATTGCTCGTATCACGACACTAATTTAAAACATCAAATGACGTTTTCAAGAGAACGTGATCCAAATGCAAACACCAAAGCTCATGGGTTTGCCGTGGGAAATGGACAGCTAGTTCCAGCATATAATCCTCCGTTGCCAGTTTTGTGGGCTACATTAACACCACATGGCACAACACAGCATTTCGTGACAGATCCGTATCCACAAGAAGACCATTACGAAGCCATCGATTACAATCGAAAAGCGTATCAAGCGTGTGTCAATGATTTGAATAAAACATTTACCACCCCCAAGAAAACAATGGCCATCAAATCCAACCAGGTGAACTATTGATTTACGCTTAATGCGCTCTAAAGGGTGATTTAAACATTTCTGTGTGTCCCCAGGGTCCATTTGAAAACAATGGTTTTGTTGATTTTGAGGATTACGCAGACCCATCGCCTTTGATTGGTGAGTCGTGTAATAATTTAGATTCAGAAGAAATCGATTCAGGCATTTCCGGTGAGTATCAAGATCCACAACAATTCTCAACTGGCAGTTCAAACGGCGATTTCTTGGTAAGCAACGGTTCGATTAATAGCAACCAACAATATTGTCGTGGATCACCATCAACAATGAGCCGGCAACGTATAATTTCAACTCCAACACGCATCGCCAACCCAAATGTTGTTATTCCACCCCTAAACAGTCGAACATTGGCGAAGAACATAAAAAATGCAACAATGAGTCATCAATCCTCACCACAATACAGCAAACGAATTTCTGGTTCACTTTCACGACGTTCAAGTGAAAATCAATAAATTTAAAATCAAAAAGCTCAACAATACGGTAAATTGCAATAATTAGTGGGTGATTATTGACTCTCCATCACTTTTGAATGTTATGAAACAAAGAAAAATGATGGAAACAGTTTGTAATATTTAATATTTAATATTAAGAGGGTCGGAAATAGTTGAGGGGGTGAAATCACAATACGTAGACATAATTTGTCTATTGTCTCAGATGAAGCAAGCAATTTTTTAATATGATATTTAGAACATAAATGGAAACTGTTTTAACATGAAAAAGAATTGTGAAAGTCGATCATTGGCATGTTGGTAGTATTAAATAACATGAACTTGATCACCATTCTTTATGAATGACACTTTTTCCCTTCGTCACTGATACTTACATAATATGAATCCACAATCTATAAAAAATAAGATAAATTAAATATTATTATTCTCTCACTCTCTCGCAAAGCATGACCGAAAGGCATCATCAACTTTTCTCAAGATATAGCAAAACAACAAATGACCAGCCATAAATCTATTGCAATATTACAAGTCAGTCATTTTCAATGTCAATGAAGAAGAGGTTTATGGAAGTAAATACTTTATGGCGGGCAAAATGATTGACTAAGAATAAGGAAATTGAAAAGTACTCAATCTATTTAAGTATATCAAGCACACGTTTCAAGTTTGTAGATATGTGTAAAAGGAGAAATCTGAATTATGTATTTGGATATTAAATATTTAAGAATTTACACAACAACGGCAGGCATTCAAGAAACGATTGGTTGTAATTAAGCGAATAATTGTTAGTCATAACATTTTAAATAATTGTGATTTTCGTGTGTTACAAGCTTCTTTATTATAATACAACGCTGAGTGAATATATTTTTATTATCTATGTAAGTAGATACCGAAACAAAGCTTCTAATTTCTTTTGAAATTTGACAAATATTTTTTAAGTTGCTGGGTTGAAATTAGAGAATCGTTGAAAGATTTTAAGTTTTGTAAGCAACAACAATTTTTCCCTTTTTTAATATTTATGAATAAAAGTTCATAAACATGTTAAATAAGCAGTTTCATGGATGTTTCGAATTACAAACAATGACGAAATATCCCATCGCATAAATCAAACTCTTCACGAATATACTCTTTTGTCTCGCAAAGAATTCTGCTTTACACTAGAAATATGAAGATGAAAGTTTGTTAAATTTAAGACAACATTAAATTACAATCATAAATTATCTAACAGAATAATAATCACTTAATAAAATGTCAGAAATGAGTAAATTAGAGTACCTGTGAGTTTGTCTTCTTCTTCTTTCAGATGTAAAAACAATTTTCAGTGTGTGTAGGTGTTTTAAGCTTTTTATTCAACAAAGGTTTGCTATCAAAATGGTTTTAACGAGAGCTTTATTACTCTATCTGAGTGGACTTACCATTGCTACTTGTTATCTTGATGCTCTCAAGCTTAACTTAGGAAACTTAAAAGTCTCAATTTGTTAAGATTGATTTCTGAAACGACTTAACTTGTCAGGCATAAGCTTCTTCAATTAACCTTTTCATTTTTGTTTCCAATTTAAATAAGTTTTAAAATTATTAACTCATCAAAGTAGATAAAAGAATTTCATTTTTATTTTTACTTCCATCACCATTTCATCATTTTTATTGTTTCTTTCTCTATTTTGTAGTAGCCTCATAGATATTGAGATTACTATTCTAGACAAGTTCACCTGTTTTAACAGAAAACATTCTTATTTGCTGATCTCAATTCCATCTATAAAAGGTATTTATGTAGATATAATTAAAAAATAAATAAAACCAGATGGAAATTTCCTAAACAAATACAGCATTTGTTGTAAGTTTATTTTCTGTCTTGGGCTTTACTTTCATGAGGTAAATAAAACATCAACATTGAAGTGACTTTGGATGGTTTCTGCTTTTGCTTTACTTTCTAATGGGATCAACAATTTTCATATCTTTTCATAATCATTTAACATCATTTATAGAGCTCTGTTTGTTGGTAATAAAAATAATTGTTCCATTTACAAACATTACTTAACTATCTACATTTACTTGCTTGCCACGAGAGTTTATTAAAGTTTAGCTTACGACACGACATTATATGATTTGAACCTTTGACAGCTTATTTTCTCTTCTTCAGTATAAATAATGAGAGTAATAATCAATTTCTACAATTAAGTGAAATACAATTTGCTTGGTTGGCGTTTGGGAAACATCGAGTCTTACTTATTTAATTGCATTCAGATATTTGTTTATTCGAATAAGTCATTATATTTATCTATTTAACTTCTTACTCTTATTTCCATCATTTTTCGTAATAAAAATAGAGCTTTTATGTGAATTTGATAATGGAATGCAATCTTCCTTTCTTTTTTATTAAGTTATCGATTTTTCCATTTTTAATGTTGTGGTTTTTGTTGTTATGTTGACGTGAAAGTCATTGATGTTGTTTATAGTGACATAATCATAAAAATAAAGTTGTCTCGTCCACGTTTTTCATGTTTGTAGCTTGACTTTCAGTTTAAAATAGATTATTTAAGAAGGTTTTTGGTTGCTAATATTATTGAAGACTCTTGTGAACATTCTTCACATTATTTATCCACTTATTAACGAAAATACCCTAGGGAAGGAGGCTTTCATCACTTTTTAATAACTTAAACATCAAACTTAAACATCAAAGTATCGACGTAACATAAGCCGTGTTCTTTTAACGTAAAAAATCATAATTAATTCATTGAAAATTTTCCACAAAATATTATTAGATATTCAGAACGCGAGTTCAACTTATTTTTCCACCAATTAACTTTCTATTGAAATTTTCTTTTCCTCTTCAAACTTTTTTCTTTATTGAAATAAACTTTGATATAAATTTGCCTTTTGTTTGGAATGCAAAAGAAAGTTTGAGTCTGATGGAAGAAAAATAAAAGTAAAGCTTAGAGTAAGCGTGAATGAAAAAGAAAAAGAAAGAAGAAAAGAAACTCGACAAGGAATTCGTTTTAAAAATTTCTTATGTTCAGACACTTTAAAGAAATGATGAAACATCGTTTGCCATTGTAAATGTATTAAAGCCAAGATTAAAGCATACACCAAAGCTTCATAATAAGCTTTCAAAAAACATTGATCTAACACAGATAACTTTTTTTTCTTTCATCCCTAACTTGGTAGATACATAATTGTCAAAAAATATTTACTCTTCTTATTTTAAAATGTATTTTAACAGTCCCTGATGTTACTTTTCTCATTATCATTCATTTGAATTGAAATTTCTTTACAATTATTTTGCTTTTCTTTCCCCCATTTCCAAACAATGAAGAAGAAATTGAAAATGTCGTAAACTCGATTGTCTATTATTGATTTACACGCTTCAGAAGACTGAAGAAAAGGGTTTTGCATTATTTGTTTTGACAATTTGTTTCAAAATGAGTTGATAGGATTCTATGTCTTCATTGTTCATTTCAAACTCGTTTACTGAGTAGGCATTCTTTAATGGATAATTGTGTAAGTACTTAATAATGAGCACCTATCATTTTTATTATTAAAAAAGTTTATGAGTTATGCTTAAACATGATACTATTCTCTTATTCACGAAAATAATTTAAATTTCTAAGCTATGGAATTTGAAGAAAAGTAAGAAGTTTTCAACGTATTTTATGACAACAAAGTTCTAAAGATAAACAAAAATTTGTAATGTGAAAAAAGGTTGAAGCTCAGTTAAATATTAAACATTTTTCTAATCTCTTGTAAAGTGAGATCAACTCGTCTCATAAACAATAATTTATTTTAAACTTTCACCAAAGTTCTTGACTTTGAAGACATTTTTTTTAAGAGTGAGTTTAAAATAAAAGCTCAACAACATTTTACGTCATGACAATTTCATGAATTGAATTCAAAAGGTAAAAATAAATATGAAATGATTTATTGAAAGGAAACTTCAATTATCTGCAACTCTCAGTCCTCGTTTGCACGCGCTTTTAAATACTTACAAATTTTAATCTCTTTTAAAAACAAATTTCCCTTTCAACATCCGACCGAAATAATTTTACTCGCTCTTTCAAGTTTGACTCCTAGCGACCCAAAAAGAATAAAAAAATTCTGTTCAGTATCTTAATGGCATGAAATTTGTTTATTTCGTGAGAAAATATGAAAATTGTGTTTACTTAAAGTCATCAGCAAACGAAAAGAGGCTGAATCAGCTCGACACTTTTCGCATAATAGCGTCACGAGAAGTGCGATGTACAAAGTAATGGTAAGGGGGATTGTGATTGTTTTATGCAAATTAGATTGTCTCTTACTCTCTCTCTCACTCCATCCAACGCTTCTTTTTCATAATTTTTTTTGTATTTCAATTCTTTCATTTTCTCTAAATTAATTACTAAACGACCTACGCACAGTAAAGTTAAAGTGTTTGAAATTTATTATTGTTCTTTTTTGAATTTGATATGAAATTATCCAATGAACGGGTTTGTACGGTGAGAAGTGGCTCTTTTTCTGCCAATTCTTCTTCCGTTGCAACCTGTTGAATGTCTGATTCTCGTCGACTTGTTGATTGTGTGTTCAACAGACTATCACTGTGCTTTGTGATGAGAATTTGCGGAAAATGCGATTCATTTCTATCGCATGTGTCATTTATATCACTTTTACTGCCAACGAGAAGCTTTTTAAAGTTACTCAATATATTTTTACTTGTGCTTGGAGATAATCCATTGCGAAAATGCGATGAGGGTGAAGTCGATGGAGAAGGCGAAGGGATTGTTATTTTCCCAAGCGGATCAAAATTAGGCGATAAATATTCATGATGAAAATCTTGCGAACATCTCCGGCCCTTAGTTGTGTTAAATAATGAGTCAGATGGTGTTCGATGAATTTTGTGTGAATTTAAAAACGCCACGTCATCATTGAAATGTGATGTTAGGGAAGTTGATGTGCCAAAAAAGAAATCTGATAATTGTCTTTTGAGTTGAGGCTGATACATTTGTGGAATATTAGAAGTCAGCTCTGTTAAACTTGCTTTTCTAGAACCACAAGTGCTCGGTGTGCGTGCCTGAATTTCATAATGAAGCTCGATTTTGGTCTTTCGCTTACGCCAGATATGTTGAATACTTTCTTGAATGGTTTTGTTCTTAAACCCGTAAAGAAACGCATTTATTGTCGGTGAACAGAGAAGAAGAAACTCGACACAAAACACGATGAGATTCAGCATGAACTCTGTTGATTCACTCTCTTTTGTTATGGTTGCAAAGCGTTGATTTTTACGTTGAAAACTGAAGATGATTACGAAGAGATAGTATGGACAATAAAGAATGATAGCTGACACAACCAACTCCATAACAACAAGTGCAGCCTTCTGACTATTTCTCCTGATTTCAAATGGATTTGGTTTTGGTGGGTAAAGAACTGTTAATGGGAAAGGCTGATTGAATAAATTCGGAATTGGTGGAAATGGATTTTTCTGATGCGTAATCGCAACTTGAGCAGATAAGACAGATTCATAAATAGCACTGGCTATGCGATGGCGTTGATAATTCGCTGTGGGAGTGTGAAGAGAAGAAATAATTAAAATATTATTACAACATTTAATTAGAATCAATGATTCATTAGAGTGCTTATTATGATCATCAAACGTATCCATAGAAATTATGAAGCAAACCATTGACTTATGCTGTCATATTTTAATTTTTAAAAATAGAAAATTACCTAATTGAAGATTTCAAGGAAACTGTTTGAGAGATTGAACAAAAAAGAATTTGGCAGAGAATTTCGTAAACAATTTTCTTTTTTTCTCTCATAACAAGAAATGCCCTTATGAAAAATAATGTGGAATTGAACATAGGAAACATTCATAACCATAAACAATTTGTAGGAAAATAAACAAAGGACTTACCTATTGTGAGAACCCGAATATTACAAGCTACAATCAATGAGATTGGCAAAAATATTGTCAATAATGTTGTCAGTAGAATCTGCACCTCAAACCAATAAAAATCTTTATCAAAACTCTTCACCCACTCAGCACGCATATCGATTCTTCGAAACCAGCAAACAGCCATGACATGACGATCGCCAGATATCATTAGCATCAGGTAAATTGGAGAAATCGTAAAGATAATTATTAGCCATCCGCTACATAAAAAAATTGTAACCTAAGAAGGGAAAATATAGAAGAATCAAAATATTTGCTTTTCTTTCTCGTTATTAACGCATTCATGTGAATAAAAAGATAGGAAAATCTGATGGTTTCTAAGAGAATTGAGAATGTTAATCATCTATACGAATCGATATAAATTCAATCAAAGTTTTAATGGAAAAATATTTGATGGAAAATCATAATTTTTGATATCTTATGACTATATTTAAGAATATAATGAAAAGTTTGGGAAAGGCATGTGAAAAATAATAGAAAAGTGAAAACAAGTTTTTAATATGTTTCTTACCTTTTTTGTCGTAAAAAGGTTGTTATAATGTAGTGGTGAGCAGATAGCATAATATCTATCAAAATTGATACAACTTATGGTCCATAGCCCAATAGGTTGCAACAAGTGTATTAACAGATCATTAACACTACATAAACTGTCATGAATTCGTTCTTGGTTTAATGGTATGTTCGTGGTCAAATCATTTTCTAAGCCATTCCACATTTGATAAATGTGATTCGATTTGGTATTGGGACTAGCTGATGTGGCTGTTGTGATTGCAGCAGATTCTGGTATCGCAGAGATGAATTGGCTTACTGATGACGACATGATTGAATTATTGATTAGAATCCACAAATAGAGGAATGAAAGTGATAAGCATACGATGCTTAAGTGTAGAAGCAAAATTCTATTTGGGGAATTTAACTGAAAGAAAAATGAGAAAAATCATCAGTGAAAGGAAATGTAGATACGAACGACGTGAATTGTGAGTAAATTGACTTCATTTCTTATTCAGTGCTTTACTCTTCTTAGTCAGTAAAAATGTAAAACAAATTATTCATTTCCCAATGAGTGAAAAATGAAAAGTAAAGAGTCGAGTCGACTTTAACTTATCTTTTATTTTAGGCTACTTATTTGATTCTCAAGTCTTAGGGGAGTCGAAAAATATTTTTTACCTGCCTCTTGATTAAAGAATTTCTACCCGCATAAACTTGTTTGCTTTAGTAAGATAATTTAATTTCATATCACGATGTTATTCGTGAAGAGAGTCTTAGTAAAGTTCTGGAGGCAAATACATAAACATAAATTGTTCCTACAAAATGTAGTGGCACGGGATGAAAATAATTTTAGAACGTGAAAATCCGAAACTTGATGTTGGTTTATCTTGAATCTCTTTGCCTACATCAACAGTTTAGCAACTTAAATTTATCAATTTCATCACTAAATAAAGTGATTTATGTATAAATGTAGCTTAATGGCTATCAAGTTTAAAATTTAATGAGCTTTTTAAAACTCGAATCTCCTCAAATCCCTGAGATGATCAAGGTGAATTGGGAAACCTTAAACAAACTAATTATAAACAGATATCTCGATTCGACAAAATACAATCCAATTTGCTTTATAATTTAATCAGGCAGTAACTTTGAAATTGTTTACCCCATAAATAAATTGTAATGAAAGTTCTCAGTTTTGTGTATTTGTGTTCGACAAATACAAAAGTGAATTAAGTCATTAAATTATTATGCTACATTGTATCTTTTATGTATCTAATAATTAATCAAAAAAAGGAAAATGTGTAACTTCAAGCTTAATAACAATCTTATAAATCAAAAGATTTCTTTTCTTTGGGATGTAAAATGCAGAAAATGAAGAAAAACTCGCGCTAATAATAAAAATGAAACTTTTTATGCAATGACATACAATAATATAAAAAGATATTCATGAGATCCTTTGGGAAGTGTTTTGTTAAGTTTATGTGTAAAAAATGTAAATTTCACAGTCATTCAAGATGAATAAAAATCATTTGGGAATTTCATTGTAACGATAACCATATTATTGTGAAAATGGAATGAGAGAAGTTAGGGATTTAGATATGTGGAAACAAAGATATTAAATTTATTATTTTATTTAAAATAATGAGAACCACATTTCAGGCGAAGAATTGTAAATTGAAAGTTCAGTTTCTAATTTGATGTTATTCTATTTTTAAAACAATATTAATTAACCTTCTGTTGTCTGGTTAAGAACAAAATCAATTTGTTATTTTTTCTGAGTTCAAATATCATAAATAAGTAATAATAATTGACCTTTTATAAGATTCAGTTACTTACTTGTTTTGTCAATATAACTAAGACAATAATCGAGCAATTCGAAAGAATTCCCAAGCATGAAATGATGAAGGAAAGCACGATTGCGACTGCAGACATTGTTCTCTCCTTTAGGTTTGCTGTTATATTTATATTTCAACTTCAAATTGAAAGCATGAAAAACGTTGGGTTGATAATTCAATATGACAGTAATCCTATGAAATTGTGCTGTGTTCAATGGTCAAGACTTTTCTTCACTCTTAGCTTCTGTCTGGCAGATGTACACGAGTATATTTGATCTGTTTCCAACAGCAGCTTTCACTTAATCACTTTGCTAATTGATAAATTCATAATTTATCATTTATAGACTTATACTATCGTGTTTGGTCGTTCACGGGCTTATAAAGATCAAAATAAATTCACGTTCTGAAAGAAAATTTATTGAACAATTTAAGTTTAAAGTTTTTAATTAAATCCTAATGAATGCAATGACGTAAATTCTTTTTTCATTTTAAAATAATGGTAAATGCAAATTGATGGCTTTCAATGGTTTACTAAAGCTTAAGATTTACTTGTCGTTTCATGGAGAAAGCTCGGGGGAGATTGGCAATTTATTGTGCTTTTTCGAATGAGAAATTTTCATGTCAATGACAAGAGTTAAGTTAAATGTTCAAAATTCAACGAAATCCTTTTCCTTCATAAAAAGAGAACAGAAAATCCGACTAGGTATGTATACATATAAAAATATACTAGAAGGCAAGAGAAGTTCAGTGAAGCAGTCACTTATATCTAATATCCTTATATATTCAACAAAGGAATAAAATAATTTTCCATACTTGATTTTGTTTCGTAACAAGCTTCATCCTTCTGATTTTTTGTTTTTTAATCTTATTAACGAAAAATATATGATTGATTATTAACTTATTCAATCGAATTATTATTATTACGGAATCAAAAAATAAATAATAGTGGAGAAAAGTACGAAAAAGTTTAAAAGCATAATACGCGCATATTTGATCCCATTACGTATCACGTATGTACGTTCAATGCATTGACGCACTCTACGATACTAAACGTTTACGTATCGTTATTTTAAAGCTTTGAGCATTACGTCACACGGAATTTCGATTAAAGCTTTTGAAAGCTTTGCTACATTTCCTTTTGTTCTATCAAGCATCAATATTGAATAGTCTTTGATTGTTTTTCTTCTCATTTTCTCGAAAGTTATGATCAGAAAGAGATGATTTTTGACACAAAAATCCTATCAGAAAATAAAATTTCATTAAAATTTATTGATTCTCTCGGCACAACAAAATCGTTATTCGCAAGTTATCTAATTTTTTAAATCTCATGTGATAGAAAATCGATGTAATAACTTCTTTTTATCGAAGTTTAAATCCTTGCGAAGATTAGAGGCAACAAAGGAATATAATATGAAAAGAGCAATAAAAGAAATCTTAACAGTGCTCGAGGCTTCCTTTTTCGTTTCCTTAAAACGTCACAGCAGTGGTTTGATAGACAATCTTGCATAGTAATATATTACTCTCATGCCTCATTTCTAAGTGAGAAATATCTAATCATAACAGAAAAATATCGAAGTGTTCACTTTCATTCAAAGCTTCACGTCACAGCTTTGAAGTGGTTTCAAACAATGAAGGAACAAAATTAATTTTCTCTCGACAAATAGAATTTGAGAAAAGCTGAGTGATGAGTTTAATTAATTTTTCTCATTGGCGAATGTATTAAATAAAAAGCTGATCTGATTTTCTTTTCGATGATTTTATGGACACTTCTTTTTGATAATGCACATGTCCTGAAATTACCGATTACAGACATAGTCTGGCTATAAATAAAGATATTTGTTTCAAAAACAACCTTTGTTGGATGTACTAACAGTTGCGTTTCATCTTTCCACGTGATAGAAAAAAAATGATGAAAATATTTTAAGGTAGAAAATGTTGATACGGTTTGTGGTAGGCATTTAGCAAGATATTTATACAAAAATAAATTTTATGAATAGAAAAACTTATTGTGTCATAAATAAACTTTTGGAAATAGGTGGAATGCACAAAATGCTAATAAAAGAAACTTAATTCAAGATTTCAAACGTTTAGAGTAATGAGAAGATATCAGTTAACAAATCAATTTGAAAAGAATTTCTGTGTGATGGAATTCTATCAGGGTTTTAACATTGCTTTGCAACATCAAAGATTGAGATTTGGTAGTTCTGAAATATATAACGAAGCTTTAGATGGAAACTTATTCATGTATACTGTATACATAATATCACGAGCAATACTTGAAATCTTATATTTCCTTTTATAACATCAAAAAGAATATTCAGAGACAAGGTCAAGTTTTCAAGACAATGCTTCCGTCTCAGGCGTATAACTCCACAAAGAGATTTATTTTCAAGTTTCACTTAATTCTACCTATTTATGTGCATAGTTGAAGATCCCTTGTGAACACTTTGGAGAGAGCAGAAACTTTAAAATTCAAAAGATTTTTGATGAATACATTGTAGAATAATAAAAGTTATGAGAAACCTTTTATAAAATAATTTTTTCGACAATAAAGTTTCCATTATCTTTGAATCATTCAATCAAGTTTAAAAGCACGACTGGAATTTCAAGGATTTTACGTCAAACATAGTTTCTTAAATTCCCTTGAAGGTAGACATTTCTGCGTTGTTGAAGAAGGAATGGGAAATTAAATAATTCTCATTGATCAAACGAATGTGTCAACGCAAGGCACTCTTCATAATGCCACTAGCATCACAAAGCATTCTAAGGAAGTTTTCTTGATCGAATTTATATGCACATAAGATAAATTGTTCTTTGTCATACATTAAAGTTTTTATCGTACGTTAAGATGAATAAAATAATGAGATTAAATGGTTTGTTTAAATCTCACTTATGAGGGCTTTTATAACAAAACGAGACGAGCATGATGATAAGCAGTCTGAAATACACATAATTTCATTCGTCATAAATATTTAATTAGATCTAAAATATTCAAAAGCATTCTCATACATCTTTTTGTATCCACGATGGAAACTCGTCAAAATCCGCATATGAAAGTGTATTTACTTACAAGTTAGAACAAAGTGAACATCTAAATAATAGCACTTGATGTTTAATTCAGTGAATAGAAAGACAAAGAATGTGGAACACATGAAGCCTTTTTTTCTCATATGTTTGATGAGGTGAGCCGAAAAGTAAATATTCGATATTGTAAGGTCGAGGTCGATATTTTCAGGGACAAACTGACGTTAATTCTACTTTATTCATGCATCCTTTTTTTCAATTTATTTAGGTTTATCTCCTTAAGAGGCATGAAAGTGGCGAAATAAATAAAGGTGTGAAGCATTGAATGTCTTTACACATCTTGCTAAGTAAAAATGTTTCTTCTTTTATCATGAAACGAGCAAGGTACGGAAAAATTTACCATCATGACATTTATCTGTCATCTTTCAATAATGTTTGTTCGAACAAACATCCTTTTTTATCACCCAACAACTTATGTTTATTTTGCCCTCGTTTTTAAAAATAGTCGCGGAAAATAGGAAAACTTTTTATAGGAATTAAAGTCATTTCATTTTCTATTAAAGAATTATTTGAAAATAGATTCCAAGATGTATATTTATAAGATATTCCATTTCATCATCAACTTTTGTCCTTCTTTTTTTATTTTATTCATGAACAACTTTTATTTACTTAAGGAGTCGCTCGTGGAGCTGTCAGGGTGTTTGAAACCGATAAACAATAGAAAACAAGCAGATTAACAAAGGAAGGAAATTACTTATTCATAGTACTAAAAAAATAAAGGTATTAAATAATTTTCTGCCAAGACTCTTGGGGTGACTCGTTCTCGGCATGTTAAGTCAAACATCGATAAAAATGTTTATCTCATTCAAATTAATGATGTTACAAAGATTGAGACTGATTTAATAATAAAAATGTAATTCAATCTTTTTGTATTAACTATCAAAGTTAATAAATCAATAAGAAATATTAAACTCTTTTCATAAATCGTCATTATTACATTTCTTGAGTTACAGAATTAAAATATCTGATATAAATTATTTCCTTTGAATAATTTAACAAGATAAATCTTTAGCTAGGTATCTATCAAAGTCATTAAATACTGATTAAAATGGAAATTTTTAAAAGAATAAGAAGTCATTTAAATACATAAATTATTAACTTTTAAAATTTCAAAAGGATTTTTAAAGGAATGTAAATTTTTCAAATATTTAAATGTCGTCTCGTATTAAATATTTTTCAATAAAAATGACTAAAAAATTCATCCGAAAATAAAATAAAATTTATGAAATATTTGTTGAGATACAATGGTGACTTTATTCAAGTGGATTAACCTAGGAAACAGTCAACGTTATAGCTAGATCCAAATTAATTCAAAAGCTTTTGACAACAATTTCATCGTGATGAATTTTATCGAAGGAAAATACATTTATAATTGGAAAATGTCATATATCTCAAGAAGTTTTCATCAAATCAGCAATATAAAGTAGAAAGTTATAAGAACGTTAGACAAATCAGAAATATTTTTAGGAATGATTGAACATGGAGAAAAATGATGACAATAAATCAATTTGTATAATAAAAAATACAAAACAATATAAACTTGACTGAATCAAGAATTGTTTGAATTTTGAGAGTTCATAAAATATTTAAAATATCTACATTTGTATGTGCTTTCATTCTTTGGAAATGTAAGATAAGGGACAGCATCAACAACGAATTTGTTTTCTCATTTCAATGCGAATCCTCTTCTTTTAACCTAAGGACTGTTGTTTAGGATGTTGCATCTAATAATACTAGCAATATATCAAATATACATGAACTGACTTTGTGATGAAAAGAATTGCCTTTTTTTTTAAATCCCATCGGAAGTCGTTGTTTCTACAGTCGAAGGAGGGGAGGTATAGCTCGTAAATTTGACAGAGGTTGCAGGAAATTTAATTATAGCGATATGTAAAAACATTTTCACATCCTCAAATGGGCGACAAACCAGTCGTTAAAAATTGATGAGCTTCCAGTTCAACGTCATTTAAATGATTTACGGAAATTGCTGGAACGAAGTCATCTTAAAGTTTAAAAAAAGCTTTCAGCTACAGACTCTTAACTTATAACTTTTCAACCGATAACTGGAGGATTCAATTTACTTACATAAAGGACAATTTCTAGCAGCAATTCAATTTATGTACATTCTAATTTAATCATAACATGATAAAAGTTGTAAAAATGGAATTGCCATTAGCAATAATGGTAGATGACCCAATATTTGACTTCAAAGTTTCAAATTATGTGGTTGAATGAAAAAATGAATTTTTTCAAACAATATTTTTGTTTCATCTTCCAATTATTTTTGTTTATGATGTTTTGGGAATATTTTGTTAATTAAAATGATTTTATCTTACAATTATATTCTTCTTACTTATTAGAAGTTGCGACACGTCAATTAACATGATGTGTGACATCAAGATAAAAAAGAAGAGCTTTGTGGTTGATTAAATTTACGACGTCAACACAATTTTTTAAGAAACAAAAACATATTCTTCGTCTTTAATATCAAGCACACCGCAAAGGTTAATTAATTTTCTTTACCATTCATTTGACTTTTAAAATAAAAATTAATTCGGATGTAATGTCACTTGCTTCTCTTGTGTGTCAGCATTGAAAAATTTAATCAAACTTCATTTAATCACTGCAAAGATGAGAAGTTTATAAATGAAGCAGAACAAAATACACAGAAAAGGGAAAAAGGGATTCGTTATGATCGCGACAAAGTTATTTATTATTCAGTCCGTTTTTCTAATGAATTTTTATTGTTTGATTTTTATCTCCTCCCGACTTCCCATTATCACACGCAATTCTCCATTATTAAGTTGGATTACAACCTTAGTCACTCATTTATTTATTATTTTTGTTTTCATCTCACTTTACCATGAAATAGACTAATTGCTACCATAAAATGCCATCCAATTAGTTAACACACAAAGATGACACTGAATAACTTTGGTGTACGCTTCACATTCTTTTTATGCACCACATAAATGGAGGCAATTTTATTGAATGCTTAACAGCACAACAATTCCGTGATCCGACCACCGAGATAAATGAAAACGAGTGTCGTCTACACAAGCTGAAAGCCACGTTTAAAATAAGGAATGATTTACTCCGCTTACATGCTTCGGCACTAAAAGGACGAAAAGTATCAATTCGAAACACTTGCGCATGAGTCGAGCTTTCGTTTATTTTATTATTGTTTTACTTTCTGTCGTTCGTTCCCTCACTCGAGAAGTTAAAAAAGAAAGAAAATCATAGAAAGGAAAGTAGACATATATTGTGATAACGATAAAGATAGCGGTTAATGGTCGAAAAAGAAGATGTTACGAGTCAAAATGAGAAAAAATTATTTAATAAAAGAACAACAAATTACAGAAACTTTTTGGTGTTTTCCTTCGTTGATCCGTGTAAGTTGTCACCACTTCGTGTACTTCTCTTTGATCTACTATCTTAAAATAATTAAGAGTAAATTTCGAATGATTATTGATTATCTGACTGTAGATATTGTTAATGAAATTACTCAATTTCCCATACATAATTCAATTAAAAATTGTTAGAGTTAGTTCAGAAACTAAAAGACGATACATGGAAAAGGTGAAGTTAACAAAATCAATTTACAAAGCAGTAGATATTCCAATAAAAAAGATTATAAATTTATGCTTCTCTTTCATTTGCTTCAACGCTCATTCTCATGAGGAAAACAAATAACAGAAAAAGTATCTGCACGACTCCAAGGAAATGCGAGGCTTAACAAACTCTTTTATTCGTTTTTTATTTTCTTTTCGGAAGCGAACGAGGCACAACATACTCACAAACATTCTGATTCAACAGGTCTCCTTCTAAATATCAATCAGGTACATTGTATTTGGAAGTGAATTCCGCTGTTATGTTCACTCCCTCTTGTGCCATTGTTTGCTATCATTTCCATAACCAAATGTTCTCGCTTGGCATGAACGTTGCGCGATATTCGAAACAAATTACGAACGATATCAATGCATAAGCATGAGTTTCTGTTCATAGGAAAAAGCATAAGCAAGTCATGAAAGCTTTCTGGAAAAATGTTATAATAATAAAAATATTATAGCTCATAAAAAGATTTTAAAAAATGGGTAAGTAAATAAAAACTTCTGATTAACAAATTTGTTTTCAAAACAGCGATACTTGATATATTTTCTATGGTTAAAGTTCTAAATGCACAACCATGACCTCGTTCTTCCATTTCTTTTCACTCACAATAAAGCAAGAAACTGCCAAAGTTACTCACTAAATCAATCATTTTATTTCCTCTATTTTTGTCTTTCGAGTTGCGTTTGTTTTAATATTTAAGACGAAAGCTGAATAATTTAAGCCACTCATTTTGATCGTTGTATCTAATTCATATTCATTTCGATTGAATGCTTTTTTTAGAAGCTTGATTTTTCGAGTTGTGATGGAAACGAGTTTTAGGAATAAAGTATTGAACTTTTAAAATAAAAAAGGTTCCTTGTAAGTAGGTGTTCAAAGGTTCAACTCATAAAAGCAGCAAAAGAAAATATAAAATAAAGAATTAAACCCAATGACTTTTCATAATTCCATGTAGATATTATATTTCTTGTGTTTGATGTTAGATTTATTTGAAAATGATTTTTTTTATATAACATTTTATAATCTTTTTGAATTGTGATAGCAATAACTCAGAGAAGGTAATCGTATTATGTGTCATTATCATAAGAACATTACAAAACAATGAAAAGAAGGTTCAAATTCCATTATGCATTTGTAATATGCTTTGAAATATTTAAGATGTCTTTTGTTTTATATTCAAATGCTCCTTCTGAGAAGTGAAACAAGGTCACATGCTTTTGAGAAAAAGAAAAAAGTTACGAAAAATGTGAAAATTTCATCAAGACCATTACATTTTATGCTGATGAGATATCAGGACGGGTTTAAACACCCACACAGAACCACCTGATTATTTTCCTTCTTTGCCAGATGTAATTTTAAACCTGACTACATTATTTAATTTGTGAGAATAAATCTTAATTTGTGTAAACAAATTATATGATGAAAGAAGAATCAGAGAGAATGTATATCGCGCTATTAAAGACAAAACTCCGTAATAAAAACTTTTGTGGAAAGTTGGGCAAAGAAAAACAAAATATGAAATGAGAATATTGAACCCTTATATGACTTTGAAATATGGATCTACTGTGAGATGATTGGCAGTATATTAGAGGGTAAAATAGATTGGATACATTTTTTTTCCAGATACTTTTATTGACGGCCCTTTCAAATTCATATGACTTAAGGGATGCTTTTTTAATTTCAAAAGAATAATGTTCTTATAATGTAATTTGCACAAATTTGTTTCTAAATGAAAGAATATTTCTTTTTACTTATTATATTCGTATTATTCGTATTATGTTGACAAAATCAGCAACATTAATTTAAAAAGAAATTTACATCAAAGGAATTTATATTATCTTGCGAAAAACGCAACAAGTGTGAGAAGGGTTAAGACTTATGACGTCTTATGTTCGTATTTTCGCGAAAGCTTTCCGAGAAAAGCTCTGCAAAAAAAATGAAACAAATAAGTTTGAATATCCTGATTTAAAAATTAACCGTCAATTCATATTTAAATATTGCGATTTCAAAATAAATTCGCGTTGGCATTGCGATTCGCAATTGAAATGCGATTCCTGAATCATAATTTTTAAGCTTTTAGAAAATTTTATATTAAAGCTTACATTTAAAAATAAAAGAAAGTAAAAGCAATTGTGCAATTTCCGTGATGGATAATCAAGGACGTAATGTTATTGTTTGTGACAATGGTACCGGGGTATGTTTATACTAATGAAATTAACTTTATTCTCTAATCTTTGGGTTGGGCAACTGATAACATGAAATTTTTCTTTTTTCCAATTTAATTTAGTTTGTAAAATGTGGATATGCCGGAAGTAATTTCCCCGCACACATCTTCCCATCAATGGTTGGTCGTCCCACAATTCGAGCTGTTAATAAAATCGGAGACATAGAAGTAAAAGTGAGTGTGGTTTTATGTACACTTTAATTAATTTCTTTTTTTCTCACCTGAAATCACTTCGGGATCTCTCTTCAAATATTATTTGTCACTCTCAGGGATTGCACGTTGACGTAAGTCGATGCTGTGATGTTCTATGTTATGGTTTTCATTCTCATTTGTCCACTCAAAATGTTTTGTCTCAAAAAGTAACAAAATTTCCTCCAAACTCATGATCGATTTTGATTTTTCATGCCTAACATTGATTAATACAAGGATGCTGGAACGTCAACGTTGCCTGTAAGTCGAGTGTTGTTTGCGTTGTATTTTGCATTCGTAGATTTGTTTTTTCTTTTTCTTTTAAGTATTTGATTTGAAAACATTTTGGAATGAAGTGAATTAAAATGTTTGTTGCCTCTTTTTAGGACCTGATGGTTGGTGATGAAGCTTCACAACTGAGATCAATGTTGGAAGTCTCATATCCCATGGAAAATGGAATGGTTCGTAACTGGGAAGATATGCGTCATGTGTGGGACTACACATTTGGACCGAAAAAGATGAACATTGATCCAAAAAATACAAAAATTCTTCTCACAGAACCGCCATTAAATCCGCTAAAGAATCGTGAGAAAATGATTGAAGTGATGTTCGAGGAGTATGGATTTGACTCGACATACATCGCGATCCAAGCTGTGCTCACTCTTTATGCTCAAGGATTAATTTCCGGTGTCGTCATTGATTCTGGTGATGGTGTAACGCACATTTGCCCAGTTTATGAGTCATACGCTTTACCGCATTTAACTAAACGTTTAGACATTGCTGGAAGAGATATTACAAAATATCTTATCAAGTTACTACTGCTACGCGGTTATGCATTTAATCATTCAGCTGACTTTGAAACTGTTCGTATGATGAAAGAGAAACTTTGTTACATCGGCTACGATATTGAAATGGAGCAACGACTTGCACTTGAAACGACAGTTTTAGTTGAATCATACACATTGCCAGATGGACGAGTTATCAAAGTTGGTGGAGAGCGATTTGAAGCTCCTGAAGCACTCTTTCAACCGCATTTAATTAATGTTGAGGGTCAAGGCATTGCCGAGCTCGTTTTCAACACAATTCAAGCTGCCGACATGGATATGCGTCCAGAACTTTACAAACGCATAGTTTTGTCTGGTGGATCAACCATGTATCCTGGTCTTCCATCTCGTCTTGAACGTGAGATCAAACAACTTTATCTCGAGCGAGTGCTTAAGAACGACATTGATAAACTATCAAAGTTTAAAATTCGTATTGATGATCCACCGAGAAGAAAGGACATGGTGTTCATTGGAGGTGCTGTGCTTGCCGGACTTAACAAGAACAAAGATGAATTCTGGATGTCAAAGGCAGAATATCAAGAAATGGGATTAAAAGTACTCAGCAAATGGGGTGCAAGACCTTAAGTATCATAATTATTGTCACATATTCTTCTTCTTTTTAATAATTTTTTACATTCATTTCATTAATAAATCTTCTCTCTGATTATTATTTTATTTTTTGGAAGAAGCGTTAACAATAAACTAAAACATTTATCATTGTGGTTTAAGATTGCGAAAGATAAAAAGTATCGAAAAGAGTGTAAGAAAATTTTCATTTGTAATTTTTTCATTCACATTCCGAGATTGAATGAAATTTTAATTAGGTATAATAATTTCAGTAAATAAAACAAAAATATTAATTGAGAGAAAATTATATTTTAATATGTCGATAAGGGATCAACATCAACTTTTGATACAGAAATTTCAATTTCTTTAGTAGTCGTGTGAAGGCGGTCCTGAAGAATTTTCTTAAACAACTTGAGATATCCTCGTTCAGAATTTGAATGATTCAACGTGACGACGTGGATTTGTCGATGAATTGCATCAAGAGCATCGTGATGTGAGAGTTCACCAGTAATGAAAAGATCAATCGGATCTTTAATTTCCTTTAAAACCGATCCACCTGAACCAGCGCATACAGCGAAGCTGCCAATCGGACTTTCTATTGTTTTGTTAACTGCAATCCCAACACGAACATCTGGCATTCCGGTGTATGCTTTAATCCTCCTAACAGCGTCATCCAATGTCATTTCTACTTTCAACATGCAGACTCTTCCACCACCAAAATTAGAATTGATTGGATTTGGAAGAGCAATTTTTTGTGATAAAACAGGAAGTGAAGCTGCCAACCAGTCAGTCACACCATTGGGACTAAAATATTGTTTAATGTAATCAAACTCATCGTATTTAACTTCCAACTCACCAGGCATCCCAAGAAGTATGCGGAGAATAAACAGCAATGTGATTCTCAATGCATTTTAGAATGATTCGTTGCTTCCAGTCATTCATTGTAAGACGTTTGATACCAGCAAATATTGGAGGATGATAAACGACAATTAAGTTGCTTCTATTCATCAAAGCTTCTTCTAAAACATTCTCAGTCAAATCGTTTGTTAATAAAATTCTTTCAATCTCTTGCTTTGTGCTGGGTTCAACAAGTAAGCCAACATTGTCCCATGGTTCAGCGTATTGCAATGGAGCAAAATCTTTCAAGACGTCAATAACCTCGGGAAGTCTAATAAAAGAGTAAATTGAATAATTACAAAATTTTGTTGAAATAATCTTGCGAACCTCATTGTAGAAATATTTCTTCCAACAAATGCTTTCAAATTTAAATGATTTCGAAATTGATTTGATGCTACTCTAAAGCAAGTATGAAGAATGGACATTTATTTGAAGGGGTGGATAATCAATTTATATTAAAGGATTGTACTTTTTTAGTAACTTTAAAATAACAAATTCCGCAATAAAACTTCTTCACCACTTTAAACGTAAATATCCACTCACACTTTCATACCATAGACTGCGAATCGCAATTTCTACTTTGTAAAAACGATTCGAATTTGTATAACATTTTTGTTTACTTTTCTTAGTCCTGCATGTTGATTGTGAAATAATTTTTATGTTTGTCATAAGTTCTTTAATTAGTGCCGTTTAAAATTGTAAAACGAAAAGAAATCAAAAGGTATGTTCAGGAGTTTAATTTATTTGTTAAAAATGCACTAATTTAACTAAATTTTTATTTTTCTTAGAAATTTGTGAGTCATCGTCAAATAAAAGAAGCAAACATGAACTTCCTCGGATTATTAAAAAAACGAGATGAACTGTCAACATCAAATAAAGATCCATTTAATCTCGATGTATTTCCAGATGAAATTCGTCAACTAATATTGAGTTATCTCTCTGTTGATGATTTAATAAACGCTTGTCTTGTGAGTCGACTTTGGAATGAAACAATCGGATCAAGTTTAGCTTTTCGGAAGAATGTCGCAATAAAACTTCATTCTTGGAATTCTGGTGAACCTCCCATTTCGAACAGCTCAAGAAATTATGAGATTCTCACCATCTGCAATTATAAATTTGAACAAAGAACTCTTGCAGCATTGCGTGGGAAGAATTGGAAGAATGTGACTTTAAGTATCGGAAAAATTCCTTCACAAAAGAGTTTCATCAAAATTATGGAAATTTTTAAAAATGTGAAAAATCTAAAAGTATTAAGCACAAACATTCGAGAACTCAACACCACAAGTAAGCTCGTGTTACCTGAATTGACAACATTGGCACTTTCTGATGTCACTCTCGATTTGTTTGATATTTTCATTACTCATCAACCTTCATTAAAGTCATTGTCATTGCGATTTATTTCATGTGATATTCTAAGTCCTCAGAGAGTTGGAGAAGCTTTGGTTCATTTTCTGACACTCAACGAAAACATAAAACATCTCGAAATAAATCATACAGTAACTAATGATTTATTTCTCGTGAATATCGCAAAAGCATTGAAATTGAAATTGAAAAGTCTCGTCATTGGATTCAACAGTTCCAATGCTGATAATTCAAATTCAACATATTTGAGCATTCGAAGTAATATTGAGGAATTTTTAAAGTCTCAAGGCGAATCAATTGAATATTTGAAATTAGTTTTGCATCAAAAGTTTATCAGAGAAGATCCCGATGAGGCCTTTGTGCGCCGTTGGAGAGCAGTGGGGCTAATGATTCCTCTTGATCCTGAAATCTCTTCAAATGATGTCTCAATTATTTTCAATCAATGGAACTCACTGACATCCTTAAAGCATTTGAACATACGATTTCTTCAAAACTCAGAAGACTTCGAAGAGAATCGCGATCTTAAGAAGACTTTAAAGCGTAACACAAATGTCATTTCACTTTCTTTACAATTTATGAACGTTCAAGGACCACCTTCATTAGCCATTGCACTTATGAAGCTTTTGCCTAATCTTCAATCATTATACATTACTAAGTTGACACCAAATATCGTTCGGCATGCAGCAATCAATCTGAAAGCTTTACGAATGCTGAACTGCTTCTCGTTTGAAGGCGAATGCCAACAAGAATATAATGATTTGAAAGCTTCTCAAACAGCTGTCAATAATTTCATTGTCATCTCCGATCGCTGTGCTTATGGATAAAAATTATAAGAAATTGGCAGCAATTATCAAAACTTTCACATTTCTAATAAAAAAATGGTTAAACAATTTATTACTTTTTAAGACTCTTCATTTGTTTATTTTATTTTTTTCCATGTCTTCAGAACTGATTACAAATGCTAATAAACTTATTAAATAACTAAAGACAAAAGAGAATTTTTATTTCACATATGGCTGAAATTTTTAAAAACTTAATTTGTTTCAATCATTGGTGAGTGCAAGTTATGATGAAATAAAAGAACTTCATTTGCGACCACCTGGTCCATTTGTGACATAAAACGCTTCCTTGTCATGGAAGTTTTGTGGTTCATCAGAACGAATATCAGTAGCATAAATTACTGTATTTGTGCCATGGAATGCAGCAATTAAAAGTAACACTGAAAATTTGTCAGACAATGAAGTTCTGATTCGCATTATCAATTTCAATTTGTCTTACGTAAAGTAAACATTATGAACTTCATTTTGACTCTCTTCCTCTTAACTTCAATTTTAAACTGACTTGCGTCTCAAATTTCTAAGAGTTTTTATAAATATTTACAACATTTTCAAGTCGAAATGAATATGAATTGTTTACTCGAATTGAATCATTTCATGATTATTTTGAAAACATTTTGAGGTCAATTATTAGTCCAGAACTTTTAGTCTTTATGGTTTCTGATGTTAAAAAAAACATTTTTTTAACATGAAGTAAGAATTATTTTGAAACACTTGACAATTTCTTACTTTCGAATGTTTTTCTTCTCATTCCTTCTTTTCATAATGATTTTATATTTTTTTCTTATGTAAAAGATGGAAAGTTCAACAAGAAAAACTAAGAAGCCGGTTGCCAATCCGAGAAGAACCAGAAGGAAAGCACCTTCAACATGTTCAACACGAAGAACCATTTTAACACTGCCATGACCAACAGCATCGCTCGAATCTTCAACTTCATTATCTCCCTCACTTTGACTATCCTTCTGCCATTTCGTTAACAATCCAGACTCTGATATTGTTCTTATTTTCTTATTAATGTCTGCTAATAAATGATGAAATCTACGAAACATCATAACAACTGAATAAATGACGACATCATCAGACACTGGAAAGCAGAAGAAATCTTCGTCTTCAATGAATCGAAAAGGATTATTTAATGCATGAGCTCGTGATAACGCAACTGCTACCTTCCTATCCTTTTTAATCTTTTTGAAACATTTATCAATGTTTCGACATAATTTATGATTGCTTAATAAATACTTTGAAATCTTTATTAAAGAAAAGTAAAGTTAGGAATTTTCAATAAACTTCTGATTAATGATCTTACCCAATCTCCTTTAGAATTGAAGAACTCCATAGTGTTCACGTTGACTTCAAAAGTCAAACCTGCTTCTATCGCCATTTCCATTGTTTTTATTTGGTCTTCGTAGCGTGGATTTGTGAGAACATTTATCAATGAACTGTGATATGCTGTGTTAATGTGTAGTCCATAGAAATATAAAATTATAAGAAAAAATCTAATTGATGATCTATTTGGCCAGTAATGACCATATTGACCAGTTGATAATGTCACAGTTATGAGAAACACCCAAGTAAAATTCTCTTTTGTTTGTTTTGTAAAGTAAGCGATGGCATAAAGAAATACTGACGAAGCGACCAATGTGAAAATTATGATAAACCACGTTGTCACTAGAAATAAACATTTTGTGAGAAAAATAATCGATTTAAGGCATGAAAGAAGAATAAGAAACTCACGATTGAAAATAATAAAAACGTTAAGCCATGTTTGGGCGAATTTTGCTTTTGCAACGCACCACGTGATGTCGTCTTGATAATACTGTTAAATTAATTAAATATTTTATATTCATATACTAGAAAAGAAATTATTTAATTAAATTACAGGGATTGATGGTGATACCAGTTTACGAGAAATTGGATTTTCATATAAACCTCCTAACATTAGATCAGCTTTTCTAAGTTTTTTTGGGAAGTAAAAGAGAAGTAAAAGAGAAAAATGTAACAACAAAGAAATTTAATTACTTTTGAAGTACATCAGAATAAATTCCAGTCTGATTATCGCCAGAGATTTTTGCTGTCACAAGATCGTCGTTGATGATGTTGAATTGTAATTTGATGTCCATTTGTTGTGCGATTGTTTTAATCATAAGAATCTCGAGACCTGTTTCAATTTTCTCGTTTCCTACTACAAATGGTTCCCATACGAATGTTGATATAATTAAAGGACAATTATTGAATATTTTAGGAATTTTAGGATATTTTTCTTCGTTGAATTCATAAATTTTCCAAGTTTTCTCGGAAATTCCAGTTAATCGGTTCATCTTCTCAGACACGATACATTCACCAATTTTATAAATATTATCCACGAATCTGGCACAACCTTTATCGTAGTAAGGAAACCATGTCTCAACTGCCATTTTATTAAGAGTGCTTGTCATTCGAAATAAAATATTAACGAATAAAATTCCATCAGCAAGAAGTTCTTCAAACACTCGTCTTACGAATTCGTCTTTCTCTTTGATTGTATCAAAAGTTTTAAGAAGAACAATAATTGTTTGTGCCAATGGATTCCATGTTGGCAAACTTTTCCATTGATCGACATTTAGCCTCAAGTCATCCATATCCAACATTATTAACATGTAATTTTGAGCCTTATCAATGACTTTCGCTGGATCGTCATGCCATCTTCCATCCTTCGGCATCAATCCAAATGTATGATTTTTATCTTCATTCAATGCTTCTAAAATTTTCAACAAGAAGAATCCTTCAGGATGTTTTCCGAAATTTATAATGACAAGCGATCCACGCAATGCGCGCTCCGAATGGAAATATTTTTGTGTAAAATTGATAAGACAAGGCGTGAAAGCCAAATCACTTTCGTAGGCAAGTGGCTTTAATTCACCTTTAGAAATAAATTAATTAGTATTATTTATCACCATCATCTTAATTTAAAACTTACCGTAACTTGAATTAATAATCACAAAGAAAATTAAAATTTTATTTAAAATTGAGACATTTTTAATTAACATTGTAAGGAGCCAACACTTTCATTATGTGAAACAATAAATGATTTTAGTTTGATGATGTTTCAGCTTTTATAAGTCTCGTGTTCCATGTGATGACATGAACTAATGGCCATAATATGACATCATACGACAGCAACATTGATTACTCTATTAAGGTTGGTAAACTTTGTATCTGGCTACATAGAATTTTTTTCTGTTACTTACATTTACGTTCGGAGAGCTTTCAAAAGCTCAAATGTTTGGTAGGAATGTTGATGAATTATCAATTATTTGGATATTATTGATAAATGTAACACATTACTTAAAATTATTATTCGATTGTAATTGAATTAGAAAGGAATTGTAAAATAATTTGTTATTGATTATTTAATCCTCAATATTGTAAATAATGTTTTATTTTCATTCAAACTTAATTAAGATTTTTCAGTCTTTTAGCTCTACCTGAGTATTAGAATAAATAATAAAAAAAAAAGAATAAGAGTTTTGTTTAAAAGAATATTTGTTCTTTTCTAATTTTCATCGTCTTTCATGAAGAAACAAACGGCATCATCATTTGTTTCATTTTTCATTTCATAATTAGTTTCCGGCTGAATTTGTAAAAAGGAATGAGCTGTCATTTCCACCAAAATAGTTTCTCGATCATTACTTAAATAAATTGATAACTTTCCCTGAAGCATCAATATGGTCTGAAAGAAAAATGAAAAACAGAAAATCAAAAAATAAATAAAATTTTCAACTCACGATTTTTCGTGCTGATGAAGAATTCTTGCGATTAGTTGATGGTTTGAAAAATATCAAACCAGTGCTATCAGCCATGATACAAAATTGAATGTTAAAGTTTGAATCGACTGTTACAACTCGACAGTCTTGAGGATATCGTGAGAAAATGTAACTTTTTTTAAGTGCTTGTCGCTTTCTTCCTGGCGATTTCAGTTGCACAGCTGTATCGACGAACCGAGAAGCTTTTTTTGTTCTCTTACAAACTTTTCCTCCAGCCGATTGCTTGCTTTTATTTATTTTATTTACATTGTCTCGTTTGTCAGTCTTTTTCGTCTCAATCTGAAGCGTATTAATATTGTTTGAGCGCGTATTATAATTAACATTTGCTCTCGTTGCGCGTTTTTGACTAGGGTCAAAGTTTTTATAAAAATTTTCCAAATTTTTAAGTAATCCATCAACTTCTCTTGTTTTAATATTTTTATTTCTTTTTTCGGGAATGGCTTCGGTTGTAAAGCGTCTTTTTTTGAGAGGCATATCATCTGGACGTTTTAAGAATAAAACAGATCCATCTCTAAATGCATTTTCGAAGAGGTTACCTAAGGCTCCATGACTGTTACCTGTGCTAACAGATGGATAGGCAGACTTCGAGCGGTAAGAAGCTCTCATTGTTAACTTAATGATTCCTTTCTTTTTTACTCGAAGAACGAAACCAATGAAACAGAATGCACTGAAATAAATTATAAAATAAAATACTATGATGACTTAAGTTAAAGATTTTTATCAAGTTACATTTAATCATCTAGTAAATGTTTGTTTTTTAAAAACTTTAATTTGTTTGAAATTGCACACGTTACGTACGTTTTCTTTGAAAATGAATTGCGATAGTTAATGCGAATCGCACTAAAAAGTAAAATCGATTCGCGTTAATTCAAAGTGCGATTTTCTCTGCATATAAAATAATCATTTTCTCGTAATATTTTGCTTTTCATGATATAATAACGAAAAATAAAAGACATTTGTTAAGTAAAATTTGAGTATTCTGTCAATATAAAAGTGACAATTTGTGTCATAAGGTAAAATTCTTTAATCTTTCTTTTTTATTGATTCTTCAAAGAAAAAGTTCCGAATAGCACCGGAAAAAGTAAATCAATTAATTTGACACAATATTTCATGAATTCTGTAATGCAATGTAGTTATTGTATACTGTTCAATGCTGTTCTTCAAGTTTCTCAATTATATTACACTGGAAGTACATTATTTCTTCCAAATTTCTTGAAATCTGTAATTTCTTCAAATCTGTAATGTCGAATCAAATGCAAGTATCACAAAGAACCTATTTCTGTTTTTTCTTTTATATAGGAAAATAATTTCATCTAAATTCTTAATAATTGAGAATGCAACGCTTTATTAGAGGTATCAAATGAATAATTTTCATAGAAGTTCTTTGAACATATTTTTTAAATTAAATTTTAGTATCCGAAGATTTCGGAGCGGAAGAACTTGAAGTGCCCATTGAATCAGATGGAACACTCCTTTTGACGACATTACAAAGTATCTTCCCAAATGCTACTGGTTTAAAGTTCAGAAACACCGAGACAAACTGTTACCGTGCAATAAAATTGACAAAAATTGATACAGAGTTGAAGTTTCACCCGGGTGATGATGGTTGGGACTTTGAAAAAATCAATTATCTTTGCGTGTTCCCAAAGAATTTGGTTGAACCTAAAATCTCTGAAAATGCATCCAAGACTGAAGAAAATTGCGAAACATCTGAGAAAAAGAAATTGCCAGTCAAGACATTGCCAACTTCATCATCAACAACAACTGTAAATCAACCGATAACAGTGGATCTCATAGTATTGAATATGTCACCACAAACAGGAGAAACTGAATTGCGAAACTATTTCGAGCAGAAATTTGGGCCATTGCTAATGGCAGAAGTGAAGAGAGATCGGAATTCTGGTGCGTCGAGAAGGTTTGCTTTCATTCGATTCCAAAACTTTAAAGATCAAATGAAAGCTCTCAATCAAACAAAGCATAAGATTGATGGACAACAAATAAAAGTTGCACTTCCTGATTACCGTGATCCGTCTGAATTATATCAAGAAAATAAATGTTTTGTTGGACGCGTCAATGCGCTCATTAAAGCAGCAGATCTTCATGAATTCTTTTCTCAATTCGGGGAAATTGTTGAAGTTTCTTATCCGAAAAAGTTCAAAGGATATGCATTCATAACATTTGCTAATGCCGAAGTGGCTCGAAAAATGTGTGGACAAGATTTTGTTATCAAAGGATATTCCGTTTGTGTATCAAAATCGACGCATGGAAACAAGGAGAAAACATTGCCGACTACAAATAATGTTTTTGGAGGAGTACAAACACCGGCAGGTTTTCAGAATGATTGGAGGTATTCGAGAGATTCTTGGAGTCCATACGTTTCAGCTCCAATGAGCCAGGGATTAGACACCTCAAGGAATTCAAACTTCTATGCGCATAGGTGAGATGAATAAAATTATTTTAAATTCATTATTTTAATTTCTTTCATTTTCAGCAATGCTTTGTCACCCATGCGCAATCAAATGCTTCAAAATAATCATCAATTAAGTATGTTGACAGTGGCTATGGGGAATTTGCTGAACAATTCAAGAGCTCAGACTGGATTGCCAGCAAATAACTTTCAGCAGAACTTTCAACAAAATTATCGTGATCGAGGACATACTACAGGAACTTTATGGAATGCTCGAGTAAACACAGTGTTAAATGGAAATGGAGCAAAAACTAAAAAGAATAAACAGAAGAAGTCAAAAAATGCGAAAAATAAAGGAAAGGATGAAGTTAAAGTTGGTGAAGGCAATGACGATCATGAACAAACTGGAGGTGAAATTGCAACAGAAATATCAGCTAGTCATGAAGTTGACGTAGAATGAGTTACAACTGTAGAATAATGTTTTTAAAAATATAATTTGTAACTAATTTGTAATGACTATAAAGGTAATGTTTCTTGCTTAATCACAAAAAAAACAAAAGTTTTAATTCAGTTTTGAGGCATTTCAAAAAAAATAAAAATAACGATGAAATGAGATTTAAAATATTTTGCGATTCGCAACAGTTTCGGCGAATTTCGATCACTTACATACCCTCCGTCGTCCCCCAAAGGAATAGAGTCAAGAAAATGAGTCAAGAATAAAGTTGACAAAAGTTAGTGGACAAAATAAATTCTTTTATTATTTTTTTTATTTGTGTAGCCAATAAATATTTGTACAAATTTATCGTCCTTAAATATTGTACGAGGTACTCTGATCAAATGTATTCCAAAGTATAAGAATAGTTTGTGCCTTATAATTGCAAAAATGCTCCAAAGTGAAAATTAGAAAATTTATCAACAAATAAGAAAAAAATGCCATTTAAATTTAATCTAAAGAAATCGAGACAATATAATGTAATGAGTAAAGATTTATATGTAATATCTGTTGTGTGCTTAGGTAAGTAAACTATAAGTTAATAAGATTTCAGAGAAATTCTATAATTCACCTGTGCTTGACACTCACACAATGACATGAAGTTTATTATGCGTAAATCTGGATCAGGTTTTTCTCTTATTCTTACTTACGATACGAGTCAAGTGTGAAATATAATGAAATTAAAACATTTTCGTGTTCCTCTTTATTTTTTCGTTTGAAATTTTAATCAACTAATTACATTGTAATAAAGTCAGCGTGTTTACGACGCTCACGTCGTATCAAATTTCACACATCCAAAAAGTAAAATCCCCGTCAAGAAGAAAGAAATTCATAAATTCTTTAAACATGAGTTTGTTGTGAAACTCAGGTGGAAGACAGTCGAAAAAAAAATGATTAGATAAGATTTGTGTTTATTGTAAGAAATTCCATTGAGTTCTTCTTTATGGCGAGTGAAGGCTGTTTGAATGTGAAAAATATTTTTCTTTTGTCTTTCGTTGCTTACGGCTTTAAGCTTCGTGTTGAGCATTTATATTCATTTTTTATTGCCGCCTTACAAGTGCTAAAAAATAAATGTTTATTTATTCATTTCAGATGGTTCTAACATAGACTGTACATTGAGTTCCGAGAGTAAAGGCTCGGAATGTTTAGAGAATGTTTGTCAGCGAGCAGGTTTAAGTCAAAATGAGTTCTTTGGCTTACGATATTATCCGAAAGGATCAACTGATGAGTCTGATATGCGTTGGGTTGATTTAGATCAGCCACTTAATAGACAACTTGAGAAACATGCAGCAAATACAAAGATTCTCTACCTTCGGATCATGTACTATGTCATCTCAGGAGTTTCTCTCATAACAAATGAAGCAACAAGAAATTATTACTTTCTCCAGCTGAAGCAAGACATCATTGAAGGTCGGATAAGTTGTGATCCTAAACAAGCTGTTATTCTTGCCAACTACAGCATGTTAGCTGAATATGGAAATTATCAAGATCGTCACAAGTAAATTTTAAATTTAAATTTCTGATCTGACAACGGAACTTATTTAATTCTTTCATTTAGATCTGTTGATTATCTCAAGTCACTGCTTTCATTTCCGAAGCATTTAATCGATGCTGGAATAACAAGAGAAGCTTTAACTGAAGAAGTGATAAAACATCATGACGAAGTTCACGACGTTGCGCAAGCTGCTGCTGAAGAGTTGTACATTTCACTTTGCCAACAGCTCGATGGTTATGGTCAGGAAACATTTGTAGCACGTAATGATGAAGGAGCAGAAGTCATGTTGGGTATTTCAGTGTCTGGTGTTATTGTTGGAAATTCAGGCGGTCATAAATTTTATCCATGGAGGGAAATTCAAAATGTTGTGAATCATCGACGGAAGTTTAACATCGAATGTACCGATCCAACACAGAATGTCGGCTTTACGTTACTTGATCCTGAAACTGGGAGATATATTTGGAAGCTTTGTGTTAATCAACACACATTCTTCATGAACTACGAACAAAACCACGCGAGTCAAGTCAACTTGAGCTTGTTTCAAAACATCCCCGAGAACTTTACTGACAGTCGTGAAGATTTAATTTCGTCAGACGATAAACTTTATTATTCAAATTCTCATCTTGCACTTCACAACAGTTCAGCAAATTTAAGCACAGCACTTTTAAATCCAAATCAAATGGATTCGAGAATTTCACTGCAAGCATCGACACTTGACGTTCCACAAATGAATCCTGGACTTGGTAGTAGTCAATGGAACGCAGTTGGATCGAATGCTTCGCTTATAAATCGCGCTCAAAGTTCATCGTGCATTGATTTGGCGAATAGCAATGTCAATATTAACAATAACATTAATAAAGAGAGATTGAAGAGTCTTTTGCCTTCTTATCGGCCGGCACCGTCATATGAAACCGCAATTCAGCAGAAATTTCGTGAATCACAACCGGACGTTGGACAAGCAACATATGAGAATTTTTCACATCCTCAAAGTCACATTCATTACCCTGACGTGACACATCATAGTAATTTGGTAGGGCCGCATTATTCAGATGCTTCTGATTACGGACTTCCACCTCGATTTAAAATGATGTCCATCAATAGACCGCCGCATTATCCAGTCAACCGATTAAGTTCAACATCAACACCAGATTTAGCACTTGCATCTCATCGCGGACTTTATTGTCGTGCTTCAGGATCATCTCCAGATTTAGTATCGTCAAGAACACTTTTGCATGGTCATTTCATACCATCAAACACGCATTCAATTCTTTATCCATATTCGATAACACATGGTGGAGCGAAACAACATCGATTGCGACATTCACACAGCTTTTTACCTCATGCAACGTATGAAAATTTGAATTTTATTGATGCAACAAATCCAAATATGTTTCAGAAGCAAATATCAGATAATTTAATTTATCGAACAGCTTCTGTTGCTGTTGCACAACAAATGGCTGACATGGAATATTATCTACATAAGCAACAAAGAAATAATCAAAGCTTAAATGCACTCAACTTGTCGAATGAGAATTTTCAACCAATTTATGAGAATTTTCCTTTGCCAGCTTATGATGTGAATGCAAATGCTTCTTCTTCATCATCAGCTGCTGTTGCTGCTGCTTCTGCTGCTACACCAATTCAACCTCAACCGCGAACTGTTCAAGCAGAACCAATAACAACAACAACAAGTTCAACACTCGACACGAATTTAATGAATCAATACAACAATAGTAACAATGAAAGCAACAATCGATTGATGCAACAGCATTATTTGATTGTGAATAATAACGACAACAACAACATATCAAGTTCGACTTCGAAAATCAATGTAGTGCAACAAGAGAAAGAAGTTAACGTGCCAACAACGTCGACTTCTGTTAACAATCTTTACCATCAAAATCATCAACTGAAGCAGCAAAGACAGCAAATGAATACATCGGGAACATCGTCAAATTACACAGTGACAACAGCGGATACGACAGATTCAGGAATAAGCACTGGTGGTGGACATAAGAAGGAGAAAGGAGAAGGAAAGCGAAGCAGATTTTGGAATATTTTAAGTGGTGGGAATAAGAACAAAACGTCATCGAGTAAGCAACAGAAAAGTGCGACACTTGGACGTGAGAAAGATGAAAGTAAGAAGGAGAAGAAGGAAAGAAGTAAAGAAGTTGAGAATAATTTACAACATCGATGGTCAACGGGACAACCACGTCTTCAACCATTGCCAGCAAATATCAGCAAAGAGAAATTGTGTCAACTTCTTGAGACGAAATTGAACGATTCGAAACTCTTTTTGGAGTTTGAAAGAATTCCGAAACGAAAGGAGAATGCGCAATATTCGATTGCATTGATGGATGAGAATCGCAATAAGAATTCTGATCGAACACTTTTGCCGATGGATGAGAATCGCGTTAAATTAATTCCAGCGAGAGATAATCGATTGGGATATGTAAATGCTTCACATATTTCGGTAAGTGACATTTTCCTCTGTTTTTCATTTAATTTAATTAAAGAAAATTAATTTTCAGAGCACAATTGGGCAGAAGCAGAGATTTTATATCGCAGCTCAATCTCCAGTTGATTTCGTCACTGCAAATATATTTTGGCAATGTGTTTGGGAAGCTGACGTTTACCTTTTGATTCAATTGTCTGATGACTTTACTTACGTTCCCACAAATGACAAATGTTCTGAGTATGGTCAAGTGAGTTTCTTTTTAATTGCCAATTATTTTGTTAGAAATAGTTTCAAAAATTCCCATTTGCAGTATCAAGTTTGGAGAGAATTCTCACAAGAGACAGACAAAGTAACGACAAGTAAGCTGAGAATTTACCATCCACAAAGTCGTCGTTATCGTTCAGTTTGGCATTTGTCGTGGTACGAATTCAACGAACAGAATTGTCCTTCAAGTCCTTCACAGTTTCTTCGTAAGTTTCAATGAATTGTCAGAATTTTTTCTTTTAATCAATTTTTGTTTTCAATTAGAATTCTTAGAAGAATTAAATTCAGTTCGTTTGGCGTCGGTAGCAGAAGTTCCACCAGGTCATAACAGCAACACACCCGTCATGATTCATTGCAATGAAGGAGAACGAACCGGCTTAGTGCTTGTCTCGGATTTACTTCTTTACACTTTAGATCATAATCAGGTGAGATGAATGTTGAAGGTTTTATTTCAAGATTATTAATTTTTAATTCATTTGTATAGGATATCGATATTCCTCGTGTGATTGGCCAATTACGAGAACAACGAGACAAGATTATTCCATCTCTTGTTCAATACAAGTTCATCTACTCACTTTTGATTCATTACCTTCGTCAAACTCGCTTGATTTGATTCAAATTAATTTAAAACTTTCTTAACATTTGACTATTTAATTTAATTTAATTTAATTTATCATTTTTATTTGCATCTTCATTTCACTTTTTTATTTTTCTAATTTTTTCATTTCTTTAAAAATTTTAAGACTTTAATTTATCGATTGAAAGTGAAAGAGATTAGGAAAAGAATGTTCAAGTATTTTGTGCCTTAATTATATTAACAATAACTTGTAATTGCAACCGACCATTAATGTATTTCATCATAAAAAAGAATTTTGTAACAATTCAACGAATCAACGAAATTATTTAATTAATTTTCAATCTTCAATTTGCTTCTTTCGTGATTATATTTAAAATTTAAAAGAGGAGAAGATCTTGAGGATTGCAAATTGTTTTTTCTAACATTTATTTAACATTGATTCAAATAAATCGAAAGTATTCCAATTCAATGCTCGAAAAACGAAACAGCATCCCGTTATCATCATTTAAACCACATCAACACTCCACACATTAAAGGTGCTTTAGAGAAGCCTTCGCGAATGAATTAAAAACAAAACTTAACATGTGTCTTAAGTAGCTTTTATAAGGCGACTTTCTTTTGTATTTATCAATAAATTATTTTGACAAAAGAGAATTTCTTTGTTGTTTTTATTTCTGAAATTGTTTTCAATTAAACTCTGGTGATAATTTTTAAAATAAATAAATAAAAGATAGATTTCAATTTCAAAGAAGTTTTTTATTGAGCCGAATCAAATAAACCTATTCAAACATCTTCCTATGTTTTTTTCTCTTAAAAAAGAAATCTTAATCTTGTTTTACCGTCTTTATGAGATGATGTGACGGTCTATTGATGGTATGGTGGATGATAATGATTTGTTGAACGATTCTTGTGAGGATAATGATTAGAAGGTGGCGGGTAATAGCCACTCACATTTGATGATTGATATCTGACGTCTGTTGGATATCGCATTGCTTGTGGAAGTGGTGGTTGTGCAGGAGGCATATGATTGATAGCTGGTTGCATCTGATACGATGGTAAAGGCGGTTTCTGATGAATTCCTGGATGAGCAGGAAGTGGTGGATTGGGTGCAACAATAAATGGTTGAGCTTGATTGAAACTCGTTGAAGGATATCCGTAAGGATGATGAATGTTGTTGTTACCTGGAGGCACTTTCGGAAGTTCATGATCAGTTGTTGAAACCTAAACGGGATGAAAAAAATATTAAAATTAATTCAAATCAGGAAATTTCAACAATTCACCTTAACAGGAATATGATTTGAAGGTGGCTTAACTACTGGAGCGACTGGAGAATGTGTCAGTTTTTGTCTTTTGAGTGGTGGTGAAGCTTTGCTTGGAGGTCTTTGTGGAGGGCTGTCAGGTACCTGTTCCTTGCTCCTTGGGTTTTGATATAAATCGAGAACCTAATTCAATGTTAAAATTATTAAATTGCAAATATTTACTTCAATTGAACTTACTTGATGACAAATGTCGTCTAAAATATTTTTCGTCATGTCTTTCACAAACATGTCCCACCATTTCTGGTTTTCTGGCGTTCGTCCTTTCCAATCGATAATATCATACTTTGATATTTTACATGCTAAATATAACATAGCTACAGCAATTATTTCAGGCTCCCATTGAAGACATAACGTCGTTTCAAGCGAATCATTGACGAAATTCCAAGCTTTTTGCACGACTTGTTCCTTCGGTATCGGCGAATTACTCTTCAAACATTTTGCATATTCAATGACAAACCGATAAGGATGATCAACTTGCAGATCAAATTTAACTGTTTTTAATAAAATCCTTTCCATTGTAATGACTTCCTCTTTGGGATCTTCACCAAATGAAGCAAATTTTTCCGACGATAAAATGCTGTGGGCTTTCTTTACTATATCTTTACATTTTTTTGGTGTCTCTTCCTGAAAATTATATTCAATGACAAGTTTACTTGAAGGAGCGCATCATAATAAAAATCTTACCACTTTTCCAGCGAGAAACAAACAACTGCATGCAGTGACAAATCGGGGAAAAGTTCTAAATGAGTGGAACATGTAGAATCGATGCATAAAAGCGACTGCAGAATGAATTGTTGCATATCCCAGATTCATTTCAGTTCCACATTCTCTTATGAAGTTTGTTGCCTCACTGACAGCGATAATATTTGAAATAAAAATTATAATTTGTTGTTGATTATTAATTTTTTCATTTATTTACCGACGATATCGTTTCTCAGTATCGAAATCAACACCATCTCTTCTTGATGGTGTATTTTTTAATTCCTCTTTTTCAAAATACCACCAAGGCATTTTATAATTTATAATTTCTTTACACTGAGGAATATTTCGTAAACAAGATAAACTTTATTCAAATTACAATATTTTTCTTTTTAGCAATTCATGAGAGGAATAAATTGAACCAGTGAGTTTTTAAATGTCCGTCTGAACTAATTTTGGAGGATTTTTAAATCACGAATTTCCGTTAAACCTAAATCAGTAAAAATTTTGTTTCTTAAAAGCATCAGAAATGAGACTGGCGTTTAGTGTGCTTCTAAAATTAAGCCTCTGAATCTGATGGATTTCATAATTTCGTGAAAACTTCAATGTTTTTAAGAGATATAAAAATCATTTTAAACTGGTTTGTCATTTAAAAATTATATTTAAAATTAATTTTTTTCACACAATTATTCGAATTTATGTTAATGTTCTTCTTTGATTTGCTGGGTTTGCTGTTGTTGCTGTTGAGTTGTCTGTTGAATTGCTTGTGGATTAATATAAATCCCTTGTTGACCAAGATTAGAAAGTGGTATCGCAATGTTTTGTCCTGTTTGCGTATGAAAAATTGTTTGTGGTGCTTGCACAATTAAAGGTTGTCCAGACATTTGAGATCGAAGGAGCGAAAGTTGATTTTGTGTCATTTGAAGCTGAAAAAAGAGATTCGAAATATTAAACAACATAGAATTCTTAAAAAATTCCTATTTAGTTACCGGAATTTGTGATATTTCTCCATTCGCTGAGACAACTTGCTGCACCAATTGAATTTGTTGTCCAGGATTTCCAATTTGTATCAGATTTGTTGGAAGTTGTTGAGACTGGGCTGAACTTTGCAAAATTATATTTTGTGACGGTGATGTCGTTTGAATTCCATTCTGAATTTGAATAGTTTGTGTCGGTGTTTGAGCCATTGTTGGAACGGACACAGTTTGTATTGATTGTTGTGGTGATACATAAAATACTTCTGGTTGAACAGTTGTTTTTGTTTCAGTTTCTTTCTTAGGCTTAATTTCATCACGAGGAACAATATCAATTAGGAAATCAAACTGATCAAATTTAGAAATTGCCATTGCAATGTCGTTCCTTTGAAGTGTTCGCCTTTTATTATCTTCGGTATGAAGCCAAGCACGAAGTGTCAACTCATGAATAAAAATTTCTGTTGCTTTGGCAAAGAGAAGAGGAGCTTCTGCTGATATCATTTTAACATCCTCATCTAGTTTCATGATCTTTTTAATACGGGCAAGTGGCAAAAGCTGATTTCCTGGCTCAATAACTTTGATTTGTTGAATTTCCTCCAAAATTTTAGGAAAAAAATTTTGAAGTTCAATTTGTGTTTCAGTTAGTTTCTCTTCTTTTGATGATGATGGATCCATGTTTTATATAAATATTTTATTTGTATTTCTACAAAAAGTTTGTGTTAATACGATACAAATAAAAAAATAAATAAATATTTACCAAATATATAAACAAACAAAACTTGTTTTTTCTTGGTATTTCTGCTCAAGAAACTATTTGAAATCAAAGTTTCTATACACGAATTTAAGTTTTTTGTAAGATGACGAACTTATTTTTTTAAACAATGATCTTACATAGCACAATATAGTGGATAAATTATTTCGGCAATTTCTTTTCACAATTTTTTGCTACTTAAAGTAGTACTAAACTTTTTCAATCCGAACATCAATTATCAGATCTAGTACGTGTTCTGGGTTGGTAATGTGTCACGACTAAATATTTAAATTTCAAATACACGTTAAATTTAACAATTTTATAAACTGTTATCGTTCATTGACGCTATTTTAACAATTATTTATTCAGTCTCTTTTCCATTGTTTCTCAGCACTACATATCAATTTCCGTTCTGATTTGAATTAACTAACTCTAAAGTATAAAATGTCATGAATTCTTTTGATATTTTTTGTTGCCCTCAATAATGAAAAATAATTTAAAAAACAAATAATTTTCATGATAAATGAAGAAAATCATGGACGACTGATGACGGTATGGTATGTTCAAATATTATTAAGTAAAAATATCTTAGCTTTTTGCATTAAGAAGAGAAATAGAAAATCTTCTTCACTTCCAAAAAATCAGTTCGGAAAAGTATTTTATCAAGAGTTACAACTGTGTCATTTTATCCTTCTAACTTACATTTTATCTGCCTTCACATCAACATGGCATGTATTCATAAAGATTGTTTTATCACGATGATTTAAGTAAAAGAAAATATTGATCAATTTATTATTTTCTCAGAATGAACAATCCTTAAATTTCCTCCCCCGCAGCTGAATGAATGGGAGATGATTTTCCACATTTTGACTATCTACACGAAAAGTTACAAAAAAAAAGAATATCAAGAGAGGGATGAAGAGAAAACTCGCTTTCAGGGTGTGGTTCTTGTTTCATTTTCATCCCTCTCCTGAATGACGTAAAGCGATTTATTTTTCTCCATCCTAAAACATCTCCCTCGCTAATGGATGAAAAATGAAGAAATGAGAAAAACATTTTCATGGGATTGGTACAGAAAAAAGAGAAGTGGGAAAATTGATGGCGTTGAGAATATTTTTGCGTATTTTGGGTGCGGCTTTGGTAATGAAAATTTATTTGCTTTCAGAAAATGTTTTCTTGCACGTGAATCACGTGCCTGATTTAAAGACGAATTATTAACAAATTCAGAGATTTAAGAGTTTTAGAGTTAGAAAATAGAATTTTTCTTAGTCTTTCATTCAAGAAGGGAAGCGAACACAATCAGATTTCATTTAGGTTTGCAAAAAGTTATTCTTGGAACTAATTGAAATAAAAAAATGTTTTAAAAGTTCAACAAGTATTTCGAGTTCATTTCGGTTTTAAGTATATGGAAAACTTTACGTGTGTTTAAGTTTAAGTGATTGTCGATAGATAATTGATTATGCCAATTAATGTAAACGTGTTTGGTAAGGTTAATTGAATGTTTTTTTCTTCTTTCTTTCATTCTTTCTTTTGCCTAGATTGAAGCTTAAATTGCGATTTCGACTGATGAATGGATTTCGGAAACTCCAACCATCTTTCAACCCACTTTTGTGTATTATCTGCGCATGATCATTGATGGAGAAAAGGATGGAGAAGACAAGAAGAGAAAAAAGTCCACTTTTCAACTCACGCAATCCACTCTCGCCGCATAAATATATCTACATGCATGCAGGCAGGTAAATAAAAATTATTTTGTCACTATTCAAATAGATCATTTACAAAACAATGTTGAACAGACAGTTATTTACAGTAAATGTGTAAAATCTTTGTTTTCTTCTTTGTTTCTCAAATCGTCACCTAATCTGATCAATAATTAATTCAACGTGAGGCTTTGATTGATGTTACTTTGTATCATTTCTTTTCGATTGAAGTTTCTGCTCAAGTTTCGTGCGTGATAAAATGTGTTGCGAGAGAAATCGCATTCAAAATTCATAAAATCTTGTTTGGTTATCGATCAAACAATTCTCTATTCGAACAAATTCATACAAAATGGTCAATTAGGTCATCAACACTTGAGACTTGAGGATATCCATCTAGAGAAATCATTTTTCCAGAGAAAACAACCTCGAACATTTCATTACAAATTCCAAACCAATCACCTTTCTCAATGACAAAAAAATATACGAAACAGGCTTCTACAATTCGTGATTCAGAGAATCTCCAATCGAATACTTAGCAATCTCAACAATGGCATCACATAAACAGTATAGAATATCGTTTAATTAGCATTTAAATAGTGACATGCGATGATCGAACACATCTTATAATTAAAAACAATCAGAAAGCTCTGACTAATATGTAGCGAAGCAATCTCCATCTTTGCTCTTCCATTTTATTGTCTTTTCAAAAGATTTATACCATAACCAGCACGGAGAAGAGTCGTTGTGCAAAAATCTGTGGTCGAATCGTTGATTGAATAAATTATATGCTGAATCTCCATTAAACTGCTTCGCTTGTCGAACGTGAAGTTGATGTAACTGAAAAGAAGAAGAGAGAGAAAAAACTTGATTCAGCGATTGAGCTTATTGGATTCATGAAAGACAAAAGTTGATTCGGGAGAAAAACTGTGGTGGGATGTGTGTTCGTTCATTTCCAATCAAATAACGACGACAACGACGACGTGGTCTCAATGGTCGAAAATATTTATTTCTCCACTGAAACGTGATCAGCTGAAGTCGCAGAAAGTTGATTCATTGAATTGAAATGAAGCCATCTTACAACATACTTTGTTTGTTTGAGAAAGATTAAAGCGAAAAAGTTTCATTTTTATTCAATGTAACCCAAATACTTTTGCTCAAATTATGTTTTGCACACATCAACCTTAAGCGATTGACTTTTCGCAAGTGTACAGAAAATTCGACGGAAAATAAATGCTAATCAATGCGAATTTATATATGCTTAATTAAAAGCGAAGAGAACTCAATAACCATATTGATGAATGTAGCTTGAATGGGTCGACAAAATATGATGAAAATTTCTGTCAACACACTTAAGCAAAAATTTCCATTAGTCCATTTAAACATTATTTTTATTATTATAAAAAAAAAGCTGTCAAGTCATAAATAATCTTCAATTGCATACAAAAATAACGTCACAGTAAGAAGAGACAAATCTGATTCTCATGTCATTGCTTCAAACTTCCGCCAACTTGATACCGAATGAGAGAATCGTGAAACCGACGAAGCATCGTTTTGCATAATTCCAAAGCATAATGTTCGAAGGTGGAGAAGAAGTTGAGAAGTAATTGAAAATCACGAGTTGTCGTCAGTGTGTGCTGGATGATTTCCTGAAATACAAAACTCTCGCTTCAAATTCATTGACCCTAAAAATAAGCTGAGCTTGAAGAAGTGTTTCTTGAAAAATGAAGAAACAAATGAAGGAAAAGAATGTCATTAACAGACAAAATGGGTGATAAACACATGACAATCAAAATTAATTTCATCAATTGACTGATGTCTCAATGAAAATGTTTCTAGGTAGTAGAAGTGCTACTTATAGTCACAATCACAACTTGACACAGTCGTGTAATAGTCGAAAGAGAGAAATAAAAAAGAAACTTTTCTTTACGTGACAAGATTTCATTTATTAAATGGAGAAAATTAATTTGATTTTATCCGCGAGAACACGACCATTGTTGGCTACTTTGCTACACATTCAGAAGTTCTCAATTAAATTTTAAGCTGAGATAGAACTGCAGAGGTGAATTATCGATGAACATTCTTCATCAAATAATTTTTTCCAGGGAAATGATGCGATTTGAATACAAATTGCTTTAATTAAAAATTAAGAAAAATCCCAATTCACAACTGTGAAAAACACTTTAAGGCAAGTCTTATGATTTTTATTATTTGGCGTTGCTTAATCATCGAGATACTTCATATGAATATTAAAATGAATTCAACGCTTTCCATAATCTTGATGTAATGGTCTTTGGCTACTGTTTATCACGTCGCGTAAAGTGATAAAAAAGAAGTTTGGTAGCAGCGGAGACGATCATAAAGCACCTTGACTTTTATCTATGTACTTTACGACTATTTACTTCTTTTCGTGCGCTACTTCATTTTTCGTTTGAACTACTGGAATTTAATTCATTCGCATGTCGAATAAATCTCTCAATGAATCATCATTAAATGAAGTCATAAGGTTCCGATGTAGTGAACACAGCTTTAGCACGAGACTATATTTAGAAGCAATCTCTAATGATCATGATTAGTTGAATGCATCGGTTTCCAATTTCTTCCCGACTCTTATTTAATCTATCCAAACAAAGACACATGCAAAACCGCAATAATTACATCTTCCACATGCTGATGTAGTCTGTAATGACGGTGCTTCTCGCATTGTATTGCATTTCTCTTCGATGTCATAAAAATTGTAATTGAATAAGAAGTCGTTTTATGTCGATCATCTTACATCATGCATGCATTTATATCAACATTAAAAATAAATTTCTTTTATATTGTTTGATTGTTATTTAACGTTTATTTGCAGTTGTTCTTCGTCCTTGATGTTACGAACAACACAACTGTTATCTCGTAATAACATTTCTTATGGAATGAAAGTTCTTTCAAATATTTACCCTCTTAAAAAATATCACTTTTAAGAAACAATAAACCACCGAAGGTGAACCAAAGTTCGTTAAAAAGTATAACACACGAAAGAAACCGTCAATTCTGACTTGATCAGCCCTCGGATCAACAACGTCCGAAATTAAGTGACGAAAATTGCTTTTCTCTCCATAATCACCCACTGAAACGTAAATGCTTAAAAGATAAAAGGAAACTGTTGTTGCAATACCTACAATTGCATGATGTCACGGATTCCCTCTTCACAAATGCTTCTCAACAAGATAAACAGCAGTCATCAGACAACTCCAACCTCATTTCTTTCTTAACTTTATTTTTCTTTCCTTTTTTTTCTTCCTATCCTACTATAAATTTGAGTTCACATAATTTCTGTTGCGCCGAGAGAGACATGTGGGCACGTGTTCTTCGAAGCGAATCTATAACATATTAAAGAATAATAAAACGAAAATTATTAAGAAGAAATACCATCAACAATCCCTTTTTCAGAATGCACTTCTTCGATGGAGAAGAACGAGATAAAAGTCGTTAAGACTTTGCATTGCTGACTTTTCGTTTATTTTCTTATTTTTTTCTTTCGGGAAGTTAAACAAGAAAAGGAGGATCAAGTAAGAGAGAAACAGTTAAGTTCTCGTTGTAATAAAAACATTTTTATGACTTGAGATTACACCTTAACCACGATATGTAGTGAATGAAGTGACAAGGATGATAAATATTTCTTCTACCTTTTACAAAGAAGAAAAAAATGCAAACATGCTGTTGATGAAGTGAATTGAATTCAATGCAAGCTGCACAGAAAGTAGATGTAAATAGGTCACCGACATGTAGCATGTGCTAAAGCAATTGCTTAATATTTCATTAAAAACAGATTCTTCAAAATAAAGATTCAAGAGTTGCAATTAAATTTCCCTCCATCTCCAACACTCCAGACAATCAAAATGTTGATGAATAAAAAGAAGATTCCAACTTCTTGTTACGGACCGATGATCACATCTTTGTCGAGAACCTCACTGTCCAGAATTTTAATTATGTTCGAATAAATAAAAGTTAAAAATCATCTGACATTGTGAAACAAGAATATTTAATCATTTGCTTGTGTTATTCAAAGAATTATTTTCTTCATAAGAATGATTCGATTCAAGAAGGAAGTAAAATTATTTTAAATTTTTCTTAAACACACAGAAAAAGTTTGTTTGGGTATTTATTACGTAAAATTCGTCACCTGAGTTTATGTTGTGAAATAATTTTATGTTGCTGACAAATACATGGTATGGGTCAACGAAACATAAACACTTTGATGTTTAATAAATATTGAAGACTTAACGATGTTCTTGAAATAAATGATAAATAAGTACAGGAAGATAAAATCGAATTAAAGCGATTTTAAAGGAAAAACATTACTTTGTAGGAATCCTTTAAACAATTAAATTCAATAGAGTTTTTGACGATCATAACACGCAACCAAAAACACTTCCTGAATAGTGAATTTTGTTCATCTCATTAACATAATTTAGTCATATTTTTTTCCGCTTACTCAACGTCGAAAACATTGAACTTTAATCAATATTTATGTTTAATCAAGCTTTTGTTTTGTTTCTGATCTTTCTGTTTTCTTTCATTTCTTTATGATTTGTATCATCATCATCACTGCAAGAAGAAGAAATTTTTTTATTCACTTTGTTAAATGATCAGCTGCAAATACGAGCACGTGCTATTGATCTTTGTTTAATGATTTCTCAATGTAATAAAACATTTTGTGGTTTCTTCTTCTTCTTTTCATTCATTTCAAACTGTGAGTTGTAAATCATCGATTGCATTTCAAGAGACAGTTTGAAAGTTTTACATCATTCAATGCAATGAAAAGAATTTCAATGAAAGTTTCAAGAATCCGAGAAGATTTCATAGATAATTAGTTTAAATTATCTTCTAATATTCCGGCAATCAAAAGTCGAAAACCGCAATCAATTTCACTCTTTCCATAAACGTTTTTATGCGCGTGCTCCACAAATCGATAAATTTAATGCGACGCGACGCGACGAGATAGAAACTTCAATGTTACCACCTGCTCTTAATTTTTATTCCATGCTCTTCACTTCATTTTTTTTTTCTTCTCTTGACTCACTGCTAGATTAAAGGGATTCGACAGAAAAGCGGAATCAAAATCAAAAAAGTCATAATTTATTTAGATATCGTCAATATGCGTTCGCGAGAGAATTTTTCCAACTTATCTTTCTGTTTTTCATTAGATTCAGACGAAAAAAGTCAGTCAGATTATTTACAAATGATATCTATCGAGATATGTAATGATGTCAATAACATTTTGCTGTCCGGATCGATAGTTTTGTATCCGCTTTTATCAAGAGCGATGGAGATTTCAATCCCTATAAATGTTTGTTTTTCTGTATTGGTAAACAAGTACGAAGAAACGAGAACGGAGAAGCCTTAAAAAAGCTCCAGAAACATTTGAGGATTAGGTTCTGAGAAGTTTCATTAAACAGACGGGAACAATAATGATGACCTCTGGTTATTTACGTATTAAAAAATAATTCCATTAAATATTAGTTTTTTCTTCTTTCAGGTGCTCAACATTACTTTGTTGCTGTTGAAATTATAATTCTTAAAATTTTTACTTTTTTCGAGTTCGGGATCAACGAATTTTCAAGCATTGTCAAACTATCAATGACCCCTCAATATCCGGACGGAAACCAATCAATATTTGATCTGAATAGATATGTGCTTTGTTTTTTCAAAGAATTATTCTTTTTTCCATTTCTTCATGTCTCCTTCATTAACTTATGATAATTTTGAGTTCATTTCAATTCAAAATTCGAAGTAATTTGAAGTGTGAACGTGCGATCGTCATACCGTTTTGCATTTTGTGCACTTTTTTGTTTTGTATTATCGAAGCGTGTTTGGTTCAAGGAATTGAATTTTCATTCTCATGACTTGAATTAATCTTATCAACTTTGATTATCAATAAAAAAATTTCAACTGCTTTCTTATCACTTTCTTGAGCATTCCAGAGATCAATGTTGAATTAGTCTTCGACGTTTTTATCTTATTTGATGAAAGTTTCTTCAACTTTTTAAAATCCTCTTTTATCACCGTCTTCGCTTCTTCATTTCCTTCTTTTGATATCAAGCAATCATCTGTTCGACTTTACTTCGATTCCTTTTTGTGTTGTCGTTTATTTTTCTAGTTCGTTGGTTTTTGAGATGAAGGAGCTGGTTTGTGTGAGTGGACGGTAGACAGAAAACGGATATTTTAAGAGTTCGACGACACCAATGAAAAAAAATATTTTACATAATTTGGAAGGATGGAATTATAAAAAAAGAATTTTTGTGTGTGCGGGGAATTGTAATCGGAAATACAAGCGGTCGTTTTGTGTTTCATTATTGAGAGTGTTTTCTGAGGTTTATTAGTAGAAATTATTTCTATCATGACAGAGATTCTTGACACTTTTCATTACCTTCATGGAAAATATTTCAAATCTTCTGCTAAGACATGCAAATGAAAGTTATCATGAAAAGAAATCTCTTAACAAAAATCAATAACAAACCACCCACAGATATTCGACACACGAAGGAAACAATTAGCATTAAAATATCTCGCAGCTTAAGGAAAGCTTGAGTGAAGAAAAGGTGGAAACAAGGAGAGATTTGGGCTTTCCTGTGCTATGCCTTTGCAAATAACAATAAGAAGAAGAAACTTTTTTTCAGATCTTGCGCGTTTGGTATCATCTCGTCGAACGAATATCTCTAAAGCGGATTTTTCTGTGCTCGGAAACTCAATGCCGCGCGTTTGGTTGATGGAAGAAGAGAAGAAAATGGAAACAAAATATCGATTTGAATCCTTACAACATTAACTTCCACCCCAGGTATCTTTCGCTGAAAATCACCGTTTCCATAATTTCTACGTCTCTCATGCACCCACACAAACGTGAATATCAAATGGACATGATGGTGATGAGGTCATGGCAAGGAGAAGTAAAAGCGTTTGTCTGCTTTCAACGTAAGAGATACACGACGCCGTGTACATTTTTTTCCATCATCGATCCGTATTTTGTTTGGGGTTGGAAGGGAAGAAATAACAACAGAAAAAAACCTTCACAGCAGTGTTATTTACATATTCACCTGTCTATCTTTAACTTCCGCTTGAAGCATGAATTGTAGAGAGAGGAAAAAAATACGCTGAAAAAATATATCAAAATTATCTTTCCCTATGTTCCCGACTTTCCTTTCTATTTAGCGCCCTATCAAGGAAAATATCAAAACGAATGTTTGGAACTCAAACATTTTATTTAACCCCTGATTGCGCAATATTTTTGATTTTATTTGATTGCTTTCGTGGTTATTTCCTTTCTCAGTGATTATCAAACTTAAATTTTGATTTTAATTATTTAACAAAATTAATCTTGATGAGGTTTTCGTTTACAAAATATTTTTCTTTGTAGTTCTTAGAAATTCAATTGCCAAACATGTGGGCCAAGAATTTTCCAAGAAAATATTTGTTTCTACAATATAAATAGTTCCACCCCCGCAATATTTTCATCTTGCGTCACAGCGTTTTGTAAGTTGATCGGTTACATTCTGAGAAAAAAAGTTGTTAAAGTCAGCAACCAAAGATTTGATAAAGAATTGCAAACATAAATAAAAGTTGGAAATCCCATCAGTAGCATAAATTCAAATTAAGTCATGAAATTTCCATTTGAAATATTTTCCCGAGATGTTTCCGGATTTTCCATTCCTTTGTCGTCTTATTTTACTTACATTTCCTTTCTGCTTGAACTCGGCATTCTACCTCTTGCTAATGTCATGAATTTGTGTATGCTTTGGTGTTATTTTTGTGACCATGGAGACGCAAATAGAAAAAGAAAAAAAGAATGTTGGGAAATTTCATATTAAGAAACGATCAAAACTCTGCTGGGACTTTCCGAAATGATGTTTAACGCTTAGACTTGTTTCTCACTTGAATGAATGTTTGGATTACTTCATTAGTTGATTCAACTCTCATTATTTGATTATTTCATCTTCAAATGTGAAACTGTGAGCGAATCCCATGTAACATTATCACTTAACATTCATCAGCATTGGTCAAGAATAATTTAAAGCCAAACTGACTGCGTCCCTTAAAAAACAAACAAAACATTTCTAATCACAAAAACTTTTCACTAAACGTTCAACAGTCTTCTACAATCTTCATAAAATTAATTTGTATTGAAATATTCTGTCAATAAATTATTTGTCATCATAGATTTAATACCATTGGAAGCACTCTTAAAATGCAGGTGTAAAATTGATCAGAAGATGGTTCAGCAGATCCAAACGAGATGGCTGAATTCAAAGAGGAAATGAAGGAAAAATTTATTGACTTGAAGACAAAATCAGAACTTTGTGATTCGTCCGAAAATGTTTAATTAAAGTTTAAACAGATTAATATTCTTTCGCATTTGTCTTAATAATATGAAAATCGAAGCCGTCATGTGTGACCATGGTGATGGAAATAAAGAAAATATAAAAGAAAGAACGTTGGGAAATTTCCACTTTTGGTTGAGAACGATTTATCTTTCGCTTCTTCACGTGTTTTAGCATTTATATGGCCACAACTTTAGTTTTCCTTCTCAACCTCCACAAAAAACTGCTGTAAAAGAAACAAACTTTTTATACATTTTTCATTTTCATTTCCCCCATTCAATAAATTTTCCTCCACTGGGTCGCTTTTCCGTCTCTTCTTTCTCGTTTAGTCACGATTACTTCTTTTATTGCTATCCTGGAAAAACTGTTTCAGCTCGTTTTACCATCGGAAAATGCCTCTCGAGTATTATAAATATTTTAAAGTTATGTATTGCTGTGAATAGAATCGGGCTTCTCTTTAAAGGCTTCTTTGTTGTCGCAATTGATCACTGTCCGGAAAATGCTTTTAAGAAAGTAAACTCTGAAATTTCAATGAATAACTTTTCTCTCGACCGTGTAGTTCTTTCATTACCTGGAAAAGCGGTGAAAACTTCCCGCGTCAGAATAAACGAAATTCAGGAAAAAATTCAGGAAAAAATTAAAACTTATGGTGAAAAAGTGGAAATAAAATCCTGTCGGTAAAAAGGAAATGAGAGAAGAAAAATGGAATGAAAACTTTTTTTTTGTACAAAACGGTAAAGAAGAAGAAGGAAAAAAGTTTTCTGTTCTCTGAAGCGCAAAATTGAAGCAGAAATGTGGACGTTTTCTGTCGAGAAAGGGAGAATGGATGGTGGCAGATATAAAATGTTGTTGTTACAATGCGGCTCTCATGCAGAAAGATCGATAAAATTGTTAGCATGGAGGGATAGCTGAGCTTCATTCGACGCCATTTTCGTTTTTCCTTTTCTCGTTCTCAAATCAACAGAAGAAAAATAATTCAACACTGGGATTCGGATAAATGAAAATTACTATAATTAACGTATCCAACAAGACTAGTGGGCATTAAAGTAAGAACACAAATAAAGTCTTGAAAAGATTAGTTTTTCCTTTCAAATTATCCCTCACAGCTCGACCATTGACCACCGAGATTCCAATCTTTCATTACTTTTTTGCGCACCATCTAAATGATAATCACCCGGAGGCCAATTCAAATGTAATTATTAGTGGCAAATAGTGCCACGTAAAGCACGTGAATAATGGGAAAATTATGCTGTTTGTTTTACACATTCTATGTGGAATTTCGCGCTACATCAAATGGATCAATAATCATTAAAGCGAGGAGAATTTTCCAATGAAGGAGACAACTTGGGAGTCTCGTACATCAACAACAACAAAACACAAACAACAAAGTAAGGAATTCATAAATCAACAATAAATGAATTAATAATTTGATGGGATGAAAGTTCTGTGATACGAACTTTCCCTTTCCGCTCTTTCTCTGACCGTAAATGAAAAAAAAATTGCTTAGAAAGTTGACTTTTCCGGACAGGAAGCAGTTTTGGTGACACCTCCCAAGCTTTGCCTTACACTCTCGTTTTCGATCGCGTTCTAGATCTTAAAAGCAAACAAAACGAAAAGGTTCTGTTGATTCAAGAGACAAATAAAGATGTTGTGGAATGCTTTGTATGCATGGAAATATTTATGAAGAGATTTGTTTTCAAAAGCAAACTTCTAATATTTATTGATAGCAAGAAATTAAATAAAAAGAAGCTTGACGAGAATGACGATATTAATTAGTTTGATTTTCCTACGAATCATTTCTGTTGAATCGTATCACGAAACGTTTATTAATTTACTGAAAAAATGTGATTAATTGAAAGCGGCAAATGATTGTCAAGCCAAAGACATTTTCCAAAATCTCGTCAGCCTTGAAGTGCAAACTGAATATTTCATAACAGCAATCACTTCGTTGAATCACGCTTAAACTTGATTCAACATTGTTGAACAAAAGGTTTTGTTTCCCCGATGATAATTTGAGACATTTATTTCACCTCTCGAACAACGACGTGTTCTGGTCGTCACTTAATTTATTAGTATGCGTATCTTATATGGAAGCTATAATCGTAAATTAAAAATGCAAAATAGTCAACCATTAGCTAGTTACAAACCATTAGTAAGCCAGCATCTTAAACATTTTATATTTTGGCTTAGAACTTTGTCATTCTTTTTGTTGTTTCTTTAATATAGTCATGAATAGTGTTGGGAAATGATTGACTTCTTTTTGAAATTATGTTAATTTTAATCAAAATGAAAATTTAACTTAAGAACGTCAATTATGAAAACAAATTGAAAACTTTACATCTAATGAAATTGATAATTTCAAACACTAGCTATAAAGTTGCTTGTTCTTCTTCTTGCTTTTCATTTCGATTCAGTCAGAATTCAAGCGAGAAGATTCCATTTGGAGGTCATCTCATGCATGAAAAACTCACGAGCCTCTTAACGAGAACAATGGATATGTGTTGCTGCTAAGTTCGCTTTTAAACATATTATTTTTGGAGAGATAGATGATGGTTAAGAAGACATCGTTGTCTGCCTCGCAAATGTCTTTTCTTTAACATATTCTCCGTTTTTCGTTTTTTGTTTTCCTTTTCGCTAGAATCAAGAAAAATGCCTTCGACCCGAGAACGAAAGAAATGAAATCATTTAAATAATTCTCCTGAAGCTTTACCATCAGAAAACTACCCATGCGTGGACGCTTTAAAACATTTATTTATTATTTTTTTTATACATTTAAGTATTTTTGGACTCAAATGGTAAAAGCCAAATGATGTTCATTATTCATCATCATGTTGTGCATTCGTATTGTTCATGTACCATCTCATGCACATTCGATGGAAAGTGGCGAATCTAGGAGAACTTAAAATTATGCAATACAATGAATGTCCCCTCAATAAAACTCTGAAGCAACATCAGGTAGTCGCACGGAACAATTTCATCTTCAGTACACAAGTTTTTACACATCAGAGAAAGGGTCGTGTGATGATACCTTGAAAACGATGCGACGATTTAATGGTTCGAAGCCGGTAGGAAGAAAACGGAAATTGAAATCATAAATATTTCCTTTTGCCCACTGCATGATGGAATGAGAGGCAAGAGACTCTTTAGATATTTACTTTACCAACTTACCGTTAAAAGTCATTAATTTCCACGAAAGATTTTCATTTAATGGAGCTCCCGAAAAAACCTTTTCTTACAAATTTATCACCACCCCGAGAGGGTCCAGGAAAGGATTGATCTACCTGAAGCTAAAGGGATGATGTTTGACGTGTAAACATTAAACAAGCCCGTCTGGTCGAGACTTGATAGAGCCATATGGATGTATAGTGTGATGATTTATCGAGTTTAAGAACCATAAACTGTAAAAACAAACATCACAAAAATAATTTTGATGCAAGATAACAAAATCTGGTCATTCAACCTTTCTCAGTAGGGTTTGACAAAAAAGAAAAAAAAAGTTTAAGCGCAGATATTGCAACATTAAATTTATGTTTAATGTTCTCGCGCATCAGCTGCTTCATTTGATTGCTTATGTAAAGTCACAACATGATGATTATGATTGAAAATTCCATAAATGAAAACCCACGAATATTACTTTTCTAAATATCATCAAAAAATCATTCACGCTTTCAACCTCACCTCACTTCTCATCGTCAATTTGCCACAATTAACATCAATTTTTGCTATTTTCAAGGATGAATCGTATCATCCCTTCACATTATAAACGCACCCTCGTCATCCCACCCATGAATGCTCAGTTAATTTAAACCAGTCTTATTATCTGTGGTTTGATGCTTGTTGGATGAAATAGATTTACATTCATCCCCTCACATTAATTCTACACAATCAATTTAGCAAGTAATCATAACAAATGATGAAGTGAATAAGTCAAAACAACAACAACAAGCAACTCTCATCAATTGTCGAGAAACTTGTAATTCCATTTAATAATAACAACGAATAAACGAAGTTTCATGTTTAAGGTAAAAAAAAGGTGAAGAGGGTGGCAGAAAGTAGATTAAATACAAAGTCAAATTTGACCTCGAGATCGTTTAGAAATCAGAGACGTAATGTTGAGGGAAAGTTGCTTCTATGGTGATGAGTAAAATAAAAAAAAGTAACATATTGTGTTGCTATCAATTTAGGAAATGAAAATATGATGCAATAAAATATAATTCCCTGTTTATGAATCATGAAAGATATTATGGACAAATATAACAAAAATAAGAAGAAGAAGAACATTACGAAAATTGAATCATCACGCATCTCACCGAGTTTTATGAAGCGCACAGTACAGCACAGCACACCCACTCCCAGTCTCATCAAACAATAGCAAACGTTTCGCCGAAATAAAGTAAAAAAGAAAAAGAAAGACGAGAGAACAAAGCTATGGAAAAGGAAAAAACAACAAATTTAACGAGATGGAATGGTAAATATTTGACATTTAACGAGATGATGATGATGTAGAACATTTTGCCGGCATTTATGGTGAGTGCGCTGAATGGAAACAATTATGATGCTTGCGTATTAATGATCCATCCAGTCTTTATGGTCCAGAGAACATGACGACCTTTCAAGCTTCGACAGTTTATGAATCTATTTTCATTACCTTCTTTAAATGCGCTCCCTCATTTGAGCGCGAGATAACGTTTGTCGCTTATTTGGCTTCAATTCGTTCCGGTTTTGTTTCTTTCATTATTCGTAATATTGTTTTATTTTTTAGAGCGGATGTTCATCAGTTTATTGACAGATGATGACAGAATTCCGTTGACTTTTCTTCTTTCACGAAGCTGAATCTGTTCAATGAACTTAAAACTGACCAGAAACTTGGCGCAAACATTTTTTTTGTTTTGTCTTGTCGTTTCTTCATTTGAGACAATTTATTTGAATTCAAGTCCTTTATGTAAAAGTTGACCATTGGTTGAAACAGATTGAAAAGAAACAAGATTTTCAACAATGTCTTAGAGCCCGCCTTTATGTGCTTCCTTACGTTTGTCCAACGAGAAATCAGGTTTCATAATTTCGTTGCACTTCTCGATGATCCAATTTATTTTATTCGAGACAGTTTCGTCTTTGACCGTTAGCTGTTATTCGACCTAAAACCTGGTCAATTGTTTGATTAAAGGTCCCTTTTATGATCCTTTTTTTACCTTCAAAAACTGACCATTGCCTAACGGAATTTCCATTAATTTTCTTACACAACTTTAAAAAGAAACTAGATCGAAACAGAAAGTTCGTTAAACGTCTTAGATGCATTTCTTGTGTGTCTGGGGATGTTACTGACGATGGAAAAAGTTTCATAATAAACCATATGCTGTTGATTTCTCTTCTCCTGTCGATCTTAGACAATTTTTCAGAATTTACGCGCTAAACTTCTTGAGCATGAGAATGCTTCGAGGGTCTGACAAAAGTCATTGATCTTTTTTTATACACAGAATGTAGCAATAGACACCCTCATTATTTTGATTACACTTTTAATGCATCGTGAATGAGTGTGTGGATGAAGCGTTGAGGTGATAGAGCAGATGTTTTTATATTGCTCAACATTCTTTTTTATAGTTTTTCGGGGCATTTTTTCTTTTACTTTGTTTTACGTTCCACCAAGGCAGACTCATCGCCGCATAAATTCGCTTTGATATCAGTGGACTCAGATCAAATCGAAATGCACTTTAATTAAGATAATTGAAGATGGACACCAGAAGGGATGAAAGGAAAATAGAAAAGGAATTCTTCATTCTTTTTCCTTTTTTTTTTTGAAGATGTTTCATGTTGCGAGTCAGAATTTTATCGGAGATCTTGTGATGAGAATCTTCCCCTCTCAATTTCTTCTATAGATTTCGAACACTCCCTTCTTTGTTATGTACATTGCAACATTGGACAAAAAACTGGTTTTTCAATTATTTGGATCAGGTAAGGAAAGTGAAAAAAAAAGTTCATCAGAGATTAATTATGAGCGTAATAAAAAATCCTCCTAATTTGAATAAAACTGACCCTTGGTCATCGTCATTGGAAAGAGATTGTGAAACGAGAGACTTCAGGTACGGCATGCTGACCCTTTTCCTACATGCGCAGGTAAAAAAGTGCCATGAACCTTTACGAAATAGTCAAAGTAGAGGTCAGAGGTTGGAGGGTCTCTTTTGCTAGATGTCCGGCATTACATTTAAGCAATTCATTACGATGTTGTTTAAGTTTCAACTACGAATAAAATTTTTTTTTTCAACAGTGTTGAATAGGGTGGTGAATATGTTTCAAGCATACTCGAAATATTCCATAAAACTTCAACTTGCTTCTGGCACATAAAACTTCATGAAAATTCCATCAATGAAGTGGCACCCTGTGGAGAGATAAAGTTCGAAGAAAAACAGATTTTATTACATTTCTACTTGAAGGAAACATTTAAACGAAATCAAAAGAAAACCAAGCGAACCTTCTTGATTCGGGACGCGTTAAGGGATACTGCAAAGAGAGACTGACCAAGGTATCATGCAATTTGCATATTGTGAACTGAATGAATATTTTTTACCTGACATTATCCTGGGAAAATATTTCCTTACACCGATGAATGATGCAAATTGTTAAAAAAGGTGACGAGACGAGAGAGAATTCTTTAACATCGTCCGACGAAATTCTTTCATTTCATTGTTTGTGGTCCCGGGAAAATAACTTTTTAGAGAATTATTCTCATGCATCAATGCTTGACCATGATAAATTAACGAATGGGTTTTGCAATTGATGATGAAACTCTCATCTGTTTATGATTATTCTCTTATGGATGAAAGCATTTGGTTGTCTGAATTTCTTTCGACATTAAACGGAATTCTTCAGCTGATCTATATTTCAACTTTAACGACTAACTCATTGTATGTTGATATACATAAGAGTGGCCAGGCAAGAAAATAAATTGTAAATAAGAAAGCGACCAATGGCTGTCTGGTCTTTGGTGATTTATGAATATAAATTACGGTATGAAATTGGATCAAGTTTGCCTTCTTTCCATTCACAACATAAGATTGAAGAATTTTTAACGACTTTTAAAAGGAAAACATCTGAAGCCATCACATTTTCTTGCGCAATTCATTGAACTTTATAAAATTGATAAGGAATTTCAATTCGTTCATTTACCTTCACGTCCGCTTTCAGAAAACATTTTTTTTGTTTCTTTTCCACTGATAAAGCTAGTTTATTTGAATAATGTTTCGAAAGAAATTATTCACGCCTTGGTGAACTATCGGCAAGAAGAATAATACGAAAAAAAGAGTTAATGTTAATCACCTGAGAAATTGCTTTAATTGTGAAAGTGCGGGGAACTTTATTGAGGCTTGTCATGAATTTTAATTGATTGAATGTTAAAAGAAACGTTTAAAGATTTATGAAGCGTCTTATTGAGAGTTCTAACAATTTTTCCTGTAAGATTTTCCAACAATTTTCCTAAACAATTAATTATTTAATCGTAATGTCCATGAACCAAATGAATAATTAAGCAAAAAGAATGTCGAGTGATACCATTTAACGCATCAAGGAGCTTTTCTTTGATAATAATAAAATAAAATACAAAAGTAATGAGTTGAATTGAAAGAATACTAAATAAGAAATTTCCCACAATCCAAATGCATATGAAATATATTGTAAAGTGAAGCTTGTTCAGAACGAACAATTTGCCGCGTTATCACTTATTGTGAAGACATGTTAGTAAATTTATTCATTTGAATTTTTCTCTACCCGCTCCCATTCTTCCTTTTGAATGTCATTCTTCAGTCTCTGCTTGAGAAAGTTTTCACTATTTATTCTTTAATTTTTATCTGACAAATTTTTTTGGTTGTGGTTTATGATTTTACAATTTACGATGATCACTGATGAGTCATATTGTGTTTGTATCGAGACTATTGTGTAACTTTTTTTTGATGTACATAAATAAAGTCGCTTCATTGGTGGTGATAAAGCAACAAAAAGTTAAATCATTGTAAACATTTCTCACGAACTACATAAATATTGGTACGCAAAACTATTACTCATTGAATAACGTTTACTTTTAAAGAATGCACTTTCGAAATCACTCAATCCACGCTAAGGCAGTTTACGGATTTGGGAAATCATTGAAAACCAGCTGCAACATGCATGAAATGCCATTGAGAAGCTTCAAACTCGTTCTCTCAGTGATTTCTTGTTGTTTTCACTTTTTAATTGCCCTTAAAGCTCATCATAATATATGAAGCATTGGAGTTGCTAATTATCTGTTTTGTTCAACGTGAAATATTTCGTTTTCATTTTTTTGATTCTTAAACTTCAGTCTTTAGTTGTACGTCTTCAATTATGTTTCTGATTAGCACTCACTCGCACACATCCAAAACTTGTTATTGTGCAATCAAAGCCAAATAAAATATTTTGTTTTCAATGAATTTGCATGTTGTCGACAGTTTGAGCTGTTGAAATGAGGGCTTAATCATAAGACGATTAATCATCGAAGGTTTCTTTTATTTCCTGCTTAAAATCGTTGCAAAATCTAAATTTGTCAGTTGATTTTTTAAGTTCTCAAATTGATTGAAGGTTCAAATATTTCTGAATGATTTTTTTAAACACTAATGATCTTTGATAATCAAAAGATTAACTAAACAACAAATTATACAATGTTATGTTGCGCTCTTTTAGTTTAGAAAATGAAAATCTTCAATAACTGAAAAGATTTTCCATTCGATGGCACATTCAACACGATGGCAATGTTATTAATCCTCTTTTTCGCTGATTACGATGAAAACGAAACTTAACTACGCTGCGCTTGAAGTAAAAAAAGAATCAAAACTCGAATTAAATAATCGCCTTCGAAGGTAAATGCATCTTTGTTTGAATTGCGCATCAGAAATCAACAAAATGGAAAGTGAGAAGTGTTTATGATTAGATGTTTCAAGTATTTAAACTTCATATACTTAACAAATATTACGTGTTCATCATGGAGAAGTAATAAATATCTTGAAATTTATCTGCACTGTCTGAAAAGTCTTCAAATAAGCTTAAACACTCATTACAACTTCACATAACGATTTCCTCTCCGTGTAAAACTGCAACTGCAGTTAATTCATTTAGTAACCCGCTAAGCTTTAAAAATACAACAAGAAGTGCATGAAAGCGTGTTGAAAAATCACGATTTAGCGTTTCGTTGAACCTCGTTTGGTTAAAGCCTCCAAAAAGCTTAAGAAAATCTTTGTAATAAAATTGAAAGCTTCGAATGCTGAATTTTATGTTACAATCGTTTTGCGTGTAACATAATTGAGATTAAATGAAACCGAGAATGGTTTTGACATCGTTATTAAACAAAGAAAATATCTTCAAGACAAATGAGTGAAATCTACGAGACAAACTTCATTAAATTGACCAGTAGTTGAAAAATGAGAAATTTAAAAAAAATAAGTTGAGTTGGCTACTTTGAAGCTCGAGCAAATTACATGGGATTTTAATAGGTTTGAACGTCTTAGTGCAACTGCAATTGAACTCATATAACTTATAAGATGGTCATGACAAGTAGTTTGTTTCTTTCTGAAACAATTCATGAAACTTGAAGCGTGCAGTTCATTTAAATAGTCCAATGAGCGACTATTTCATGGGAAGACAAAGTCGAAATGCAATTAGACGTTGACGACAGTTATTGAACGGAGAGATTGCATCAGCAGGTTTTGAAAATTTGTTTTCTTTTACTTTGGGATTTTAATGGCATTTTCATGAGTTATCAGTTTCGACTTTACATTTATTTTGTACTTTAATGGATCATCAACTGGAGACACGTCATTAGATGACTGAAAAATATTTCATTTAAATATTTGAATTCCATTCTCGCATTCATCTAAGATAAACGCTCCACGTCCTAGAATTCATCGACTTCCTCCCGTTAAACATTCGTCAGTCGAAGGCAATGCCGCGGCTACAAACAAATTAAACTCACAGACGAATTGTAAATTCTGATTGAGGCTGATGGGCGAGAGATGGGATTAAAGTAAATGTGAATACTTGAGAAATAAGAAAATCATATTTAATATTCAGTGCCATTCGTTGCCATCAACTATGTATACGTCTTCAAGTATGAACTGAAAAAAGAAAAGAAATTCTTTTTGAAAACGTAGTTGAATTAAGAGTCAATAAGCATTTCATCTGAATATTATTTTGAAATTAAACTGAAATTTACATTAAAAGCAAATAAGATGTGATCGTTGGTCAATCTTTACGATTGTGAATGTCGATTCGCCATTTCTTTTCTTACTCTTTGGAATGTCGAGATCATCAATTCACGCAGTTTTCTTTTCTTCTTGCAATTTTATGAGAGAAATAATTAATTTCTTGTTCGTTGTTGAGTTTCATTTAAAAGAATGAGTGACAAGAAATGTCAGCAGTTTGTTTCTTAAAAGTAAACTCAAAAAATTTGTTTCCTTTAATTTTTTTCTAGGTCAATTGTTGACTAAAAAAATTACGTAATGAAGTCTTAAAAATATTTTTTAAACTTTAAGATTTTCCATTATATCTACATAAATATGTGACAAATGTTACGTTAACGTTAAACTCCCACACATAACTGCAAATTCTCAACTTTGTTTTCACACGAAAAGAAAAACCTTAAAAGTTTGATGAGCTTCATCAAGTGATTTGACGCTGATGCAACCTTATGCACATGTCAGCAACATTTCGTTATTTCGTTGTGAGTTTATTCGTTCTGCAGTCGTTGTTTGCTGATTTTATGACATTTCTTGGTATCTGATTTCAAGCCAAGTCTTGTTTCGAGTGAATTATTAATGAAATCATTTGATAACTTCAAGGAATTCAGAAATGATTCGGTTTTGGTACTCTTTTCAAGTCTGAAATTTGTAGATCAATGTTTGCCAACTGTCAACATAAATGATGAAAGCAAAACACTTCATCTTTCATTATTACCCAACAAATGTAAAATTCAATAAATTCTCTTTAAAAATATTTAAAAAGAAACACCAAAAAAATGGAGGTAAATATTTTATTCCAATCATAAATCTAAGCGAAACTTTTTTTATTCATGATATCCACGTTCGCACGTCGTTCGTTGTCGAATCTTGAAATGTGATCACAATGGATTTCCTTCTCCCATCTCTTCCATCAGAAAACGATCAGAAACTTAAAATGAAATAATAACTGTTCAATTACCATTTATCCATTGTCCATAAACATTGTTACTCGATTATGCTCATGTGATGTGTGGAATGAAGAAGAAATTGATGGAGAACTTTGAGCTCCACAATAATCGAGGCTAATGAACTTTTCTTTTCTTTTTCTCTCTACTCAGTTTTCCATTAGTTTCATTGTCGTTGATGCGACGTTTTTTCATTTTTTTTTGTCTCCGATGGCGGTTCTTAATTCGCTGGTCTTCCATTTCTGACGGTGCTTGTGTATGCAATTGTTCATGATGAATACTGAACAGAAGAACGACGAGAAGAAGTCATGATCATGACGGAATGAAAGAAAGACAATTGAAACTTATTGATTTCTTTTCACCCAACGAACGACAAGCACATTCATGTGATTCATGCGCTGTTACTTACATATATGTTTGGACAAAAAAGAAACTCTTTACCATCGCCGGATGTGATTTTTTGTCGAGCTTCATTTCTTCAGCTCGTTTTGTTTGACGTGTGCTGCCTTTTAATGTAAATTAATATCATCCGTGAAGCTGAATTCGTTAACCAAAATGTTTTCTCAATGAGCAGCTTGCGGTTATGGTGTTCGTTCGACGACATATTTATTTACTCTCTTGCTTTGGGTAATTAGTTTAAAGCAGTAAATCATTTACAGAGTTAACTTAACTCGCTACCTGCTCTTATCAGATACATTTTACTGTTTCAAAACTCATAAAAGATTCCTTTCGAAGCTTAATTGCATTTAAGTCAATTTTAATCTTTTTTTTCTCGAACAACAAAAGCAAAAGTCGACGTAAAAATTAAAAATATGCGACAGAGAAATTTTACTCTTTATTGTGTCTCGACTTCCGCAAATGGAACATTCGTTTGTCTCTCCACATTCTACTTTGAGGATTTCATTTTCATCTTATCATCGACTTGAAATCCGCCTTCGTCTTTTAATCTTTAGACAGTCTCGAGGAGAGAGAAAAAGCATGCAACGATAAAAAGGTTTCAGTGTTGTTGACATATCAATTTGTTGTTCTGTTTGTCCATCATTGCGACAGTGCAATCAATATCTGTTTGGTTCTTATTTCTTTTTTTCATTATCAGTTATGAGGCAAATCCAAGCGTTTATCGTTTCGAAATTGAAAAGAGAAGTAATAGAGAATCTTTTGTATGTTTCACTTTTATTTTATTGGAAGCATTGACAATTTAATCAAGGAATCTCGTCTTTGAAGAGACGTGTAGGCTGTTCACATGTAAGTGATGAACATGAGAAACTTCTCAATGGTTTTACTGTAGTGATAAATTTCTTATCATCTCATGTCCGCTACATCACGATGAGTTTAACAAATTCCAAGAACTTTATCAGTCCATCGACAGAAATAGAAGAAAAAAAGCAGAGCAAACACGCAATCTAATCAGTTGAAAACACAAACTCTTTTTATTGATGAACGCGTCGCGATGATGAATTATCAGGCGACGTCATTTTGCGCTTATTGAAATAACTTTTCTCAGGACTATATGAATGACTAAAAATAAACAACACAAGCAATCTACACAACACAATGTTGCGTTTCGTTTTATGTAGTCTAAACAAACCTTCGAGAAGAAGCGCGCTTCTCTTATCAATTCTCGAATGATTGAAAAATGAAATTACCTTTATTTATTTATAATTCATGACGCTGACGTTATCAAATATCTGTGTTTATCTTTCTCGCGGTTTGTGCTTGATTTGCTCTCTTTATATCACCTTCATTATTCCCACACCGAGGAAATTTTTTTTTTCTTTTTTTCTTCTCCCCCCACAATCGAACTTTGTCTCGTCTTTGTGATTAATCACGAGCTTTGTCGATGCAAAATGGCTGAGAAGAAAAACAAGAAAAAGATATTTTTAAGACTCTTCACGATGTGATTGAACAAAAATCCCAAACTCGGCTTTCCTGTTGTGTATATATGTGGATGAGATAAACGAAGAATAAAATTTCAACATTTCTTTGTGCGTTTCGAACTCATTTCAGTTGAGACAAAAAAATGTACTTCAAGTCATTAATAAATTTACGCAGATAATTCTTTAAGTGGAACTTATTTAGATCACTTAAAATTCTTCAACAGAAGCAGGTAAAATGTGACTCGCTTTTTGTATTTTTATAGTTTTGTTTATAAAGTTTCATCTTATAAAATTTTCTTGAATCGAATCGTCATAAAAATCGAATGGTGAAATTCTTATAAATTGTCCGCGAAAATTTGCGATATTTAATCTANATTAAGTTTACTCTTTAATTAGTTTTAGTACGCATTTTGTAAGGTTTTTATGAATTTTCCTTACTTTATATCATGTCTGTCAAGTCACATCAATTTAATTTTATATGTTCGTCAATGACTTTATTGGTTTAAGATCGTAGGATCAATACCAAATCATACCATTCCATGTTATGTAGAAATCATAATAATCAAGGCAATAAATAGAGATTTTTAAAACTTAACTTATAAAATTTTCTTGAATCGAATCGTCATAAAAATCGAATGGTGAAATTCTTATAAATTGTCCGCGAAAATTTGCGATATTTAATCTAAGATAAAAATTGGGAAAATCACTGAATTTTTGTTTCTAAAATTTCAGTATTGACATACAAACTAAAACATGAAATGCTTTTTTACAATATTTTTTTTGCGATTGATAAGCGACTTGCTAACTCAAAAAAAATCCCCCCCTTCATAAACGTTTGTTGCTTTGCTTCAAATATATTTCGTTATGTGATGACGATTTACAGTTGCGGTTTCCCAAAATGAATGTATTTGCAGTTATGTGCTTCTGACTTCCCCTCCCCCATGAAGATTTGAGCTTGTTGATAATAATTTCAGTCTGATTTGCACTTTACAATGTTTAGGAAGAGAAATGAAAGAAAACCGTTCGACGAGTTTTTAATACTTTTATGGCCACAGACCAATCAATGTCATCGTCACGAATGCTTTAATTTAAGCTGCTTTATTTTTATATTTCAACGATCGATCGTCTCGAAATCGTCAATTGTCCAATCCGAATTGATAATTTAATTTTATACTGATTTTGACCCGAATATCAACCTTTAGAGGAAAAATAACTCTCAACGACTTTTATGAAACGTTGCGTGATTGGATATTCATTCATTTTGAATAAATATTATTTTTTCTTCACACCATGTGGATACTTATTTGAATCGTCGAAGAAATTAAATGAAAATTAAATTATTCAAAAGTTTTGAGAATCGATGTGACGATTGAATAAAAAAAAATAAAAAAATCGTTCCAATTTCCGGACATCGTTTTGAAGCATTTTTGTGAACTTATTATTGAACTCTTATCCATATCATTAACAGGCGATTTACTAAACGTCACCACACTAAGAATCAATTAGAAAATCATTTGGGTCTTATTGTGAAATCCATTAAAGTGCAAATTAAAGCTTGAACATGGGAGAGAAAACTTTTCTTCCTGTCTTCCATTTCCAGTTTCGTCGTGGTGACAAGAAAAGAAAGAAAGAAAATAAAAATTTCGTGATGATACTTCAAATGTCCAATTATTCACACTAAAGTGCCTTAATACTTCTTCAAGGAGAGGAAATCTCAGGTGAGATAAGAAAACAAATTCAAGGAGCTCCACTCTTGATGTTTATCACTCAAAAAGGTTTCATTCAAACGTCGAAGGTCAATGTTGTTACTTAATGTATGTAAATGTTGTTGCGAGAGAATCCTTTGCCTTTCCACATGAGCTAGCAAATTATTCGAAGTCTTCCTTCCTGTTTATCTCGTAACAAAAATCAAAGTTAACTTTCGGATGTTTGGAATTTTTGTTGATGTGACTAAAAGGAAGGAACTGAAAAGTCTTCTTATCGATTTCTTTTTCTTTTCTTTTCTTACTCATCAGTGAACGAGGAAACGATGGTAAAAATTGTCATATTTCATCACATACATATGGGATGGGTGAGAGCGCTTAATAAATTATTCAAGAATAGTGTCGATTACAAGGGAAAAGACAAAAGGCAATAAAGTGTTTGGGACAGTTTCAAGAAAAGGTGAAACATCTTTAAGAAGGACTGATGCTAACATTAAATTAGGATTAAGTGATGAGACATAAAAAAGGTTTTTTAACGGGTATTCGAATGATATCCAAGGGCCATATGATGGGAAACAGCAGCAGTTGAAGTCAACCCGCTGACGATTCAGTTCGTTTCTTATTTATGACCAGCAGAAAGAAAAATGCACTTTCTTGTAACCGAAACGATAAAAGTCATTGAGACGAAGTCGAGGCATCAAATTAACATACATTAAGAGTACGTTTGCAGTTTCACCGACTGACTCCGTCCATTGTCTACGCAATTGTTTCATTCTCTTTCTCGCTAGAAATTCATTTCAGGTCAGCTTTTCATTTTCTTATTTCGCTAATTGCCCACATCATTGTGCAATTAGGTTGTTATTGTTGAATGAAATGTGGAGAATAGAATGCATTAATGCAACATGAAAGCGTAAGAAGAATCTCATATCTTGAGTTTCTCTGTTTGTCAGCAAATTTGCAAGAACATGACACACATCTGATGAAATCGTGTAATGATGTTGTCTCTTATTTTTATGTGAAAACTTTGTCAAATCTCACATCACATTTTGCATTCTTTATGAGTTCACTGGAATGTAGTTTCATGTTTGAATTTCGATGCAGCTTCAGACAGAAATACGAATGGAATGAGAGATGCAACTTAAAGAAAAAAATGTCGAAGGAAAATAAGAAAAAAAGGTTGAATTAAATATTCAAATTCGTGTCGCAGGTATTAGACAGTCTAGTCGTCTAGTCTTGGAAAGATTTTTGTTATATTTCTACAGCTACCGTTGACCCATTTACGAAAGTTAAGTTAGTCTGATTATTTGATTCTACAAAAACCAAGAAAACCAATCTTTTAGTGTCATTTAACTCAGAAGGTTATTTAAAATAAACAATACAACTTTTATTTTTATAATTACACTACAATCATAAAGTATTAAGCAAACATAAAATTAAGTTACAGCAATTTAAACAATTCCGAGGGATAAGAATCGTGAAAATTTCTCTTTAAACAATTGAAAACATTTCTTTTATTATTGAACACTTCAACACTATCGTCAACCCCTCAGCTGTCTCTTATTTCACACTAAACACCAAATGTGCGAATTTGAAACCCACTTTTCGACATCAAGCGCGACACATAAAAAATTGATGATTGTCGAGCAGTTCTCGTTTTCATTTTTAAACTCAAATGTTTACTTTAAAAAAAATCATCAACTTACACTTCGATTTCAGGTTTAATACTCCAACATGTTTGTTACTGTTATCTGTGCGTGCTTTTAAGCACCTTCAAACATCATTTCGGCACCATTCACCGCACCCAGTTTATGTGAAACTCTTCTTTTCTATTATTTTTTTCTTTTTTGCCATCGATTAAGTACATTTGCTTTGAGGCTTCAAAATTTTCTTGCAAATTAAATGATTAACGAGTTTCGTCTCCGCATTCCTTCCATAATAAAAATTCCTTCATTCGACTTTTATGTTTCGAGACTTCTTAAATTCAAATAGAAAAAAGAATTTGCACATTAGATGTATCATGAATAATAATTAACATCAGAAAAATATCATCCAGGTGAATTTAGTGTGGCCTTGTGACCTCAAAAATAAAACCGACAGCGAAAAAAAGACATTCGCGTCGCACCGCCATAAAAAAATTTAAATGCTAGAAATTTACAAATTTAATGAAGGCTTTTTCTCGTTGGTTTTATTTTAATCTCACATCAGATCGATCGAGGCATTGAGAATTGATGACTCTCTCAAGTATTCGACAGATCGTCGAGAACTTGTGCCGGTGCGTCAAGAAGTCAAATGAAATTTGTAACAAAAACAAAGTATTAAAAAAAGAGATAATAAAATTGTGATGATGATGTTGTGAAGCATCTGCTCGCTTGATTCTTCTCCCCGCATCCAGACGCGTATTTTTATTTTCCTTCTTATTCGCTTTCGATCGGTTCTTCTTCTGCGTCCCGCTTTAACATCTCGTTTCAACAAATCGAGATGAATAAAAAACTTTTTTTTATTTATATCAGACGAGAGAGTTAGCAATGAAGTAAAGAAATTAAGGAGCAGATGATATTCGATTGGAATTAGATGATTGAATTTTTTTTTCTTTAATTCCGGCGGCCGATGGTCCGCGAGATTCAAATTTGTTTCTTCAATTTCAAGGTGTTTGTTTAGATTGTTTTCTTGGTCGGATTAAAATAAATTAAATAAATAATTTGTAAGTTGAAAATGAGGTACATACATCAGCATAGCTAACATTTTTCTCACTATCCATCGATGCATAACGATGATCATCTGCTTGGACCTCGACATGGACATTAAAACAGCAAACTTTCCTGGGAATGGGATGAATGCTGGTCAGCATATTTTTTTAATCATTTCACATATTGTTGTGTAACAGAAGGGTTCGAAGGTATTTAATTTCCTCTGAAAGGTATCAGATTCGCTTCCTCTCAACATCTAACTTCGGACAAAAAGAAGAATAGGATGGATATAAAAAATATTAATTAATAAATCACTGAAATCTTCTTTTTCGTAAAGGATAAAGTTTATTTTTGTTTGAAGAAATTCGACTTCGGCTATGCAATTATGTAATTGTTTGAAGAAACTAAACATCCACAATATGTCAACTTATTTTTATTTACCTGCAGTGAATGTTTAATTTTTTTTGTTTGTCTTTTGGGTCGAAGTGTTAAAGGACAAAAATGAGAAGACAACATCTTTGTCTGAGTTGAAATGGGCAATAAATGGGGTTGCGTTAATGGATGTTCCATCTCGACGACAAAACATCTTAACGATCATTATTCAAATAGATTTTTAGCGACATTGGCTACCTGAAACAAAGATGTGTTGTCGTTGAAAACTTCTTAACTATTTGACGTGGTCAAATAAGCATTATATATTTACATTTCAAAGGCACGAAAAGTTGTGCAATGGCAAATATCGTTTTTAAAATCGTGCACAATCTTTTCTCCTGATCAGAAAACAGGCGGAGAAGAAATATAAAGTAATAAGTTTATGATTACTGAATATTTATTTTTCTTTCCCCTTCTCCAATCTCCAGACAAGAAAAAAATCAATAATAAAAACACTGAGCCGATAATTTCCACATCACATTGACATTACAAAAGAGAAAAAAAGCAAAAATATAAGAAGCTTTTAGATCAACCACTAGGTTTCAAAACAAACACAATCGCACGGGCCTTATCAGGAAGTTTTTTTTTTGTTTCTCTTCAGAGGCAATCTCAATGTTGTGTTCGTAAACGAAGTAAAGGCAGAATAAATTTTCTTACTTTTATGTAAAACAGCCGTCGAATAGAAGATGATACGTGCAAGGGAAAAAAATATTTGAATGTGTTCGGTTTTGTTATGTACTCGAACGAGAATCGCTCTCCTCTCGGTTGCCCCGAACAAATATTCTCTCTTTTTCGATCGTAACACGAAAACGAAAGCTCTACCTCGGAAATATCCAACCTCAACGAGCAAAGAGTGTTTTCTGTTTTCCCTATTGATGCTTCGGGCCCTCAGTTAGTTCTTCTACAACTACAAGCTAAGCGATACACAAGCAGGCACACGGATGAAAAATATTTTTATTCTTCTTTCTTCTACCTCTTGATTGTCTGGTGTAAGCTCTGAAAAAAAGAGGCAGCCGTGAGACGGTAAAAAGAAGTGTATCGATAATGTGAAAATTCTCGTTGTGTCACATCTCGGAAAGCTGTTGTAGGAGCAACATCTCAAAAATTTAACTCGTCTGCGCGATACTTGAAATAAATATTCATAACAAATTACATTGGAAATTAACAAGTTTTTTTATGTAAAAAAATAGTTTTATTGTTTGACTTATTTTGAAACAAAAAAAAAATTGAGAAAAAGAAAGAAAAAAGATTTTAAGTGCCTTTGGAAAGTTTTCTTTAGTTGTTTACGAGTGAAATCAATTAATTGAACAGAAAATTACTGGAAATTAATTTTAAGATACTCTCATATTTAAAGAGATCTATCATCGAAGTAATTATGTGAAATTTTAGATCGCAATTGAAATGTGAAGAATTTTTGATGATAAAGTAAAAAGTTATGAAATCAAATTGTTCGCTCATCAATTAAATCTTTAAAAAAAAATTTTTTATTTGTGATAAGAAGACTTTTCATGCGACTGATAAAAGACTTGCTTAATTAATTGACAAAAATCTGAAGAGTTGTGAAACGCGTGAACCGAGATTTTGATATTTGATCACAAACTCTTATCAGTGGAATAATTTTTCTTTCACTTGAAAAATTCTTTCGTTCTTGGGAAATGGAAAAAGTTGATGGTAAGTTCTTGTTATTTAAGATATTTATCATTATTGTATCTCTGAGAATCAACACCCATTAAAAAGTAAATCGCATCACTCATCGCTCACGTCAATCGCAAGTTTGATAACGAGATTTCCGTTCATGTGTTTGACTTTAACTTTTAAGGTTGATGTGGAAAAATATTGCAAGATGACGTTGATGTTTTGAGAAAATAATGAGTAAAACAATTGCTCCACAATCATGACAAATTGATTTCAATTACAACTTCATAATAAATCCAAACCGCGATAAGAAATGAAAACATTTTTGGTGGCTTCTGAAGTTGGATTGATTTGAGTCAGACAAGGTTACCTCAATGTGGTTTTACATAAATGACGAATAAATATTTTCCTCAAACCCTTGAAATCACCAAAAAGCGAGAAAAAATTATCTCGAGCCGCAATCATCACCATTTAGTGTTACAAGATCGACACAGAGTCAGAATTTTTTCCTCTTATATTCTTATCTCAGAGTGACTAAAGATGATAAAAAAAAGTTGTGAAAATATTAACATTCGCTGGTTTATTGATGCAAGATCAAACGTAGATACCCGCACCTTGTGATGTTTCATCAACTTTCGAAGAAAAGCTTCGTCTTTGTAAAGTAAAAGATAAAGAAAATGAAATTATTTCACACGCGACGAATAAGAAAAAAATTGTTTTATAAAACTCTCAGTAATTAGCTATTTTATGCTTTTAAATCGTCATTAAACGACGACCTTCGATTGTAAAATATTTTGAGGGTGGGAAAGCTAAAAGCGGGTAACCACAGTGAACTTGAATTAATTTATCTTTTATCACATCATCAATAAAATGCTTTCTATTAACAATTATCTTCAAAATGAGTCAATTTCCTTTACAATTCAGATTTATTTTCATTTTTTATTTCCAATACTTATTTTGTCTGAATTTTGGTAAAAAAATGAATAGTTTTTTTATTCCGTCAGTTTTTGCGCTCACTGGATATGCCGCGTTGTTATTATTCATGTTCAACATAGCGAGAAAATTTCAAATAAAAAAATTTGCCTCCGACGATGATCATCGTCATCTCAATTATCTCCCAACTAAACATCAAAAATATCTACGTGATGGCAAAAAAAATGTTTGATGTGTTGTAAGTTGCTATGATGAATAAAAACAACTACAAAACTTCTCTTTTTGTCGTCGAGGTTTGCTGACAAAATTCAGATGCTTCATGATGTGTGGCTGATGATGTGCCAATCTCACTTGTATCTTTCAGCTACTTGTCTATAATTGCAGAAGAAAATTATGGTTACGACATATCAGAAGTAAAAGTGAAACAAAACTAAATTGCTTTCAAACGCATGGAAAAATTAGAAAATAAAAGTGAATTTTCCACTTTTTCATTTCGTGCCTCGTCGAATTGCACGACGATAATGCGCGGGTAATGAAAGTGCAGAAAAGTTGCGTGAGGCAATTAAGTGGTTGCTTCTAATGAATTCGATATTATACCTGACTGATTTTCTTTACATAATTCATATTATTTCAAAACTTCTTGATAAGAAAGTGTTGATTATCATTTTATGAGCGATTAAAGATTTTTAATCGAGTTTTCTTTTCATAAAGATATTGATCGTTGAATAAATTTTCTTAAATTAAAGTCTTTGACCTAAAGCATCCTCTGGCATTGAAATTCTTTCAACTGTTTCTGTTAATTGTTAACTTATTTTTTCTTAAATTACAAGACATATGGCAAACCCAATCGAATAAAGAAGATTTTCAACCTGATTATAAAAGATTCTTAAAAAATGAAACTTCAATGCTAATGAAAGAAAAAAAACTTTTTTTTGAGAAGAACAATTGATGAAGATGAAGAAGAATTGGTTTATGTCGCTGTATTTTTGCCTTTCATTTGATTCGGTTTCACTTGGATACCGAAAAACACTGAAATAAAAAAATATAAAAAAAATCAACTCAAGAGTAATTTTATTATTATAGGGCTCACGATTTTGTGCTTCGTTTGTATCATTATTTCATTTCTTATATATGAAAATTTGACGTTTTTCATTACATTACACATTTTTCAACTCGATTCTCCTTCGCTTTACATAAAAGAGACGAAAACGAAAGAAGCACATCTTGTGGATTCACCGAATCGTAACGTAGAAATAAATAATCATCATGTGCTTCATATCTCATTTTTCTTACTTTAACTTTACAAAATCGAGACTTTTCTTGGGGGGAAAAACAAAGTAAAGAAAAAAGATCTTAAAAGCGTCGAGAATGGGAAGAGAATGAGAAGTAAACGAAACCTCAAGAAAAAAAGATTAAGAATCATTGTCGGATGGCAGAACATGGTTGAATTAAAGAACGCAAAATAAGACGAGAAACCCAGCATGGAAATTATTTTGTTGCGATTTTGAATCGTTTCGGTCTTGTATTCGAGACGATTTCTAATCGGGATCGCGAGGTTAAAATTATTATCTATCATTTTCATGAGCGTATAATGAAATCCATCTGAGATGGAGCTTGGAATTATGTTAATTTGATTTTAAGAACAATTCTTGAGATTCATTCTAATCGAGTTGAATTTGCTTCACGTTAAGCGGCACTTGACTTTGACCTTTACAGCTACTAATATTCTATTGTCTTACTCTTTAAGTGAGAGTTTGTTCAACCCCAGAGTGAGTGAATTGACTCGATTTTACACCCCACTGAAAAACATGATTAATAATTCACTCGCACCTTCATTCGCTTTGAAAGAAGCAAAACAGAAAGTGAAATTCAATTTGTCAAACTCCCTTCCCATTGTATTTGATTGTTTAGAGTTTGCAAAGCGGCAAGCCACCGCATGTGGAACTAGAAGTTTTAACTCATAATGAAATTCATTTTATGCTAATTCATAGCACATAATTGCCCAGCCGCACAATGTTAGCAATACTAGTATAAGTTGAAGATTAACACAATGTGATGATTGTCTCAACCACATTCTGCTATTTTTATTTTTATTTTTTGACGACAACAAGTCACACGTTTCGCTTTAATGATGAGCATGAACTGTGAGTCTTCAGTGTCAAGTCTCTGGAAAATTCGATAAACATATCGAAAGTTCAAAATGTTGTTTTCCTCATTTATAAATATTTTAAGTATTTATGAGCCCTAAAGGAAAGTATTTTATTTGCAAGAATTTGTTGATAGGGGAAGAGTAAAAACCAGTCTAAGAACGCTCTTGTGCGTTACAGTTCAATTGTTATGAGACTTACAATAAGGTCACCCATCAAATTTAAATCGCTTTAAACTTTTCATCCCCAGTCACCACGACACGGTTTGATTGAATTTCAAACTGGTTTAGATTTGTTTACAGAAGATGACGGGATATGACGGATGATGCTTTAACCTTGGTCAAAAATATTTGCGAGGAATTCTGTTGAGAAAAGAAATAATTTTAATCATCACTCGACCATGGAATGTGACGTTGAGAAAGAAACGGAATTGTAAAGATTAAACTAGCATTTGGTTTTACATTAAGTAATAAAATATGCTTCAGTACCAACAACTGGTTAATCATAAAAAGCAACATAACTTTAATCTACATACATAAGTATAATCGATAAGCGACCCTCGCTTGATTTTTTATTATTATTTTTTCCATTGCAAACAAAAAGAAGAATAAACAAACATGAAAGATACCAAGTTGATTCTTCACCTGACGGTCATGCTATTGAGGGGTTGAAAGGCGCATAAATGGAATTTCAAAATGAAGCAGAAAGACGACAAAATAAAATATTTTGAAACTAAAAAAAATTATTTCGTACTTGTATGGAGCCACATTAATGGTTTCGGTAGATGAATACTAATTTCACCTGTTCCAAATAATACCGAATGATAATGTGGTAACAGAAGTTTTTCGAACCAACACACACCCATGCGTTTATCACCGATGGTTTAAATGGTGTTTAAAACACTTTCATGTAAACACAATCGCAGCTCGTCAATCGCTTTGTTGTCTGCAATCTCAAAGTGAATGTTGACACTTGCTAAGGGTCAAAGGGCTATGAAATCCTTTTCTAATTAAAACTCCTGATTGGTTGAAAATTTTTAAAACATTGCATAAAATTGCTTGAGGCTTCAACTCACGGCGTCGCTTTTAATAATTTATGTACATATGTAGAGAAAAATAATTCTTTAGGGGAGAGAAAAAAAATCCGAGAATTTGATACATAACGAAAATAAATTGATTTCTCCATGCATGTATGCTACACACATATATTTATGTTACCACCCACTCAATAGAGAATCTCGAAAAAAGAAGAAAAATAATACGCCAAGCTAACAGCATAAAGGCAAATGTGATGATAAAAGCAAAAGCGATAGATATGTGTGGAATATTGGCTGTTGGAAGCAGGCAAAACGGACAAAAAAGAAACAATCTCAATCTATCTCGCTATCTCTTTCATACGATCTCCATTTTTTTATTTGTTCTTCTTACTCATTCGTTTCTCTGACGCTCGATACAGTCGTGTGGAAGAAGAAAAAGAAAAAGAAGAAAAATCACATCGGCGCGAGAAGAGACGAGAGCGAGCGTAAAGCACAGAAATTAAAACAAAATTGCTATAAATCTGAGAGTTTTATGATAACATTAGGATTGTTTGTAGACTGGTGTTGAATGACATTTATGGGGCATAAGATAAATCAATAAACAAGAAAATAGCTTAAAATTATAATCGCACTATGAGCGTGTAATCAAAAAATTGGATTTAATAATTTCATGGCAAAAGCTAAGACATTTAAGGCTATAAGTGACTAATTAGATAGAATGTTCTCTTTCAATCAATCAGCTTTCAACTAGCAATCATTTATCAATCGCAACTTTACTGTCTGTGGTCGTTGCATTTGCGAAAATAAAGTTTCTGTGTCAAAAACGTGTTTTTTTCGATACCAAACGACCAAAACAGTATTTCCAAATAAGTTATTTTTAACCACTTCGTCGATTACAAGTAAAACGTTCACAAACTGTTGATATCAAGTCTTCGATTTTTCCTTTTCCATTTCACCACCTTCTTTGTTATTTGTCATAGCTTCGATTAGAAATTAAATTATAGATTTTCATTTTCGGTTGTAGGGAAATGACATACGTCGATGACGGTTAAATTGCCATGATGATGATGTCCTTTCTTACCACCACCCTTTCAAAGCAACAACAAACATAACTAATAATTTTCTTTCAACAATGATTAAAAGAAGAAGACAAAGAAATTTTATCATTTTAATTTTATGTATCGAAGCCACCCACGCTCATCGCTCATCTCATTAAGATCCAATTTATATTTCATCCAATCACAAGCAAGTCACATGGAAAAAATGTAGAAATATCCTTCTCACGTTTTTATTTTCGTTCCCTTCTCGTTCTTAACCAATGGTGACGCAAATCATCTTTGACGAAAATAAATGTTTCTTCCATTCTCATGAAAATGTTAAATCCATTGCGAATAGCGTGGGTGGAAACATCACCCCTCGACAATGTATAATTCTTTGTAAGACTTCACCACCATCTACTTGATTACCATTCTCCATCAGAGCACAAACATTTTCATTTATTCCTCATGTGATGGAAAGAAAAAAGTTTCCTTTCATTCTTTTGCCCTCGCAATATGATGAAACATCGTAGAAAATGCTCGAATTTCGGAGTGAATGAGGAAAAAAAAGAAATCCAATTCTAATGGGATTTATTTTTCCAACCGCCATTGTGATGGTTTTTATTTCCACCCACACACAGCTATGGTAAAGTTTCAACATATGCCCTTACAACCCTCACACCTCGATCATTTTCATTTTTTTATTCATCAGAAGAATGAAACGGAAAAAAATCATCATGAAATATTCTGTTCGCTTGGGTTTTGTTCATTCTTTTATGATAAATGGTAAAACATGAAGCAGAGAGACAGAAACATAAAATTTTCTTCGTTATTTCACTGTGGACTCACGCACGCTTGAATGATTGCAAATTTATATTTTTTTTCCTCTGCTTATATTCCGAGAGGAAAAAATCACCTGCGCGAGATAGAGCCGCAATGAAAAATCAACTTCGAACGAAGTAAGTTTTACGTTTTAATGTTCACTTCCGGTTGCGAGTTTCAGACACGAGGGACAAGAGGAAAATACAGTGAACTGAGCCGAATTGCAATGAATTAAGAATAAATGATTTTGTTTGTGTTGCAAAGTCTCTGTTTCAGTTCTCCACATCTCCCAAGCAACAGCAAAAAAAAACTCAAATTAGGAACAACTTTGTTCATAAACCTATAAAAGCTTAACAGACTTTACCTTCATTTACTGCTTGTTTATTTTATAATGTATGCAATTCTTCATGCTGGTTGATGTCATAAAGACCTTCGAATATATTTTTACTTTCTCAGGCTGCTGATGAGAAGATGAAGATATTTTGAGGATGTTTCTCAACCGTGTTTATTGCACTTTCTGTTTTAGACGAGAACGAAGCACAAAATTCGGAGAATATTCTTTGTCGGTGATAATTTATTCGAGACGACATGCAGATGGGAAAATATTTTTGCTTGCTTTCATTGTTTATTCGACTTTGTTGCTTCTTCTTCCATCAAAATTGTGCTTCAATGATTTTTCGTTTCGATTCTCCATCAAGTCATCAGTAAAAATGAGACTCATTTTGTAGTCGAGAAACGTTTTAATGGAAGAATAACAACACCAAAAAGTTCAATAGCCCAGAACAATTATTTTGGCTTTCGGTTCGTCACCTTTAGCATTTCTTTTTATGATTATGATTAAATCAGTGAATCAAATAATGTTTCATGATAGTAGGAAAATTCTTGTGTAGTCACCCTTTAACTTCCTTGAAATTCTCTTTCTGCTATCTATATATAACATAATAAATATATTTCTTCATCATGATACCATTCTCCATCTTTTTCACTCCTTTTAAATTACATACATATCATTCTACCCGCGCTTTATGTATCCGCGCAACAACAACAGAAAAAAAAGAAAAAAAGGTTTCTTATTTCTTGATAAATTTCCATTGCCATCCAATGATTTAACTTCTCTGCCGTGCTTCTACTTCTTTTCGTATACATATATTCAACATAAATAAGCGTAAAACGAAGCTGAAATAAAAATGGATATCACACAGACGCAGAGAAGAACAATTTAATGATTTTTTTTTCTTCTCCATTTTCTCGTTCTCTCTCTCATGTCGAGAACAGCAAGGAAGACACATTCGCTTGAGTTTTGTGTGGTGACCTGCTCGTTTCCATGACAACGAATCAATAAAGATTCACATAAAGCGAACTGTGGAGGTGAATTGCCTCAGTGCCTCAGCGAGATTAATTTCTCTGCGCTAAGCCTTCGTGTGCTTTGTCTTTCATTAGTGCCTTGATTATTCTGTTCACTTTTTTATGACTTTTTGTAGGGGATCATAAAACCTTCAGAACGTAAGGCAGTAAATGATTTTGAGACTCAACTTTTATGATTCGTTTTAGGATTTTTAGTTTTTTTTTATATATTTTGTATTTCACTCAACCTCAATTTCGAACTCAAATTTCAAAGCATTGCACAAAAAAGAAGTTTTTTTTGTTTACACATCAGAAAAAAAAAAGTGTATAAAACGAGCTTGCAAAATGGCTTCATATTTTCTGTTTACTCGAGTAAAAATTATTCATCAACAACATTAAATGTGATCCGAAAAATGTGCGCAAAAAGCAGCACCAAACCTTCATTTTTTATGTTTCCATCTCGCTCGTTGGAGGGGACGCGATGTGACTCATCGCTTTTTGGCATAATAAAACTTCTGCTGCCTTTCATCTCCATCATGAAATAGAAAACGAACTTTTTATGTTTCCCTCTGCTGAGCGTTATTAGCTGATTACTTTTTCTTGTCTCTGTGCATGAATATTACATGAAGCAGGAGGGAACATTGCTTTTTAAACGTGGCAAACATCACCATTTTCTCTTCTTTCAACTCATCTATTTTTTATCTAGCTTTTGATGAAGTTTTCCCTGTTTTGCCATATTTTTGTGAGCACAAACAATACTCGGAAAAACAAGTTCACCTACCCCATTTCACATTTTCTCGCTTACTTTTGATAATGGTGGGAAGCGGGTGAGATTGAGGGTGAATATCATGGTTAACCAGGTTGAATATCTGATTGCTAAATAACTAAATAAATTTTCATTCCAACAACCTGATAAGATAAAATTGTTATTATCAATTTTTAATATTTAGAAATTTCCAAGAAAATTGAAAGTTTTAAGGTCGATTTTGTTCAAGTTTTTCTTATCAATTTTAGAAAACGAAAAGTAAAATTCAACATTTTTAAGTTTCTAGGAAAACGTTTATAAAATTCCATCTGTCAAATAATTTTTTTGATAAGAATCAAATAAAACATGACATGAATCATGAATCATGAAGAGAAAAATGCGGAAGTGAACTATTCTGTTAATTTCCCTCAACCAAACCCTCCTCTAGTCATCCCATTATAAAAGAGAGCAGCGTCATGCAAATTCTCCATTTTCCCGTGATGTTTGTTGAAAATAATAAATTCATGCTATGAAAATATGTTTTCCTTCTTCTCAACATCACATTCTTTTTTGTTTTGTGTACATTCTACGTTTGTGTATATCGTACATATGGGCTGTAGCTGTTATCAAACAACCTACTATTTACCTCCACCCCTAAAAACAAATTGATGAGAAAATAGAATAAAAAAAAACGATTTTTCTTTCTCATTCACATCGGAAAACTGTGAATAGACACGAAATGTAGAAGAGAATCATTTCGACCGGATATTTAGGATAATAATAGTAAATGTGTTTGTGTGTGCTTTGCTTTCCTTGAATCCCGGGGAGAAGACAAAAAATTGTTTTTGTTGATGTTACCATAGGTGACTTGCATGATAGCTTTGACAGATAGTTCATTTGGGATGAATTTTATTAGCATTTACTCCCTAATTTAAAACTCGCATGTATCTGTTTGACAAGTAAAAGTCAGTGAAAGCGTAAGCTCAATTTCCACATTACTGTAAAAGCCATTTTCATGTTCATGCACGTTGTTTGAGAGATGTGGGAAGGTGAAAGACGCGAGAATACATTATGAACATGCGCGCCCATATACGTAAGCTGGCTGAAGGTGATTTCAGTACCATGTTACGGCGCTACGTAAGCTTTCGATATGCGACTATGCCAATTTCCTCAATTCTCTTTCCCCCTTCTGACTTCTGACTCAGCTCCGAAGCAAGCGAATATTTATGGCTACAAAATAAATTTCCTTGCCGCAGTTTCATTGTTCGAGGGTGTTTTTGTATTTTCCCACTGATAGAATATTTTTTCGGGGGGAGTTATCAAGGAAAAGATCCAAACAAGAGAAAACTTTTTGTTGAATCATTCCGGACATTGATTTCCATTGGACTTTTTTTTAACGACTCGTTGCCATAGCATCGAACTTGCCTGACTAGCGTGCACATAATAATTAATATTTCTTTTCATTACAAAGGAGCAGAGAAGAAATTGAAATGACAATTGATGTGGTTGGGTGTGGACAAATTGTTGTGGGAAAAATTTGCATCTTTCAATTGAATCTGTGACTACAAAGCGTTTCGTGCTTGACAAAATTACGTCTTCTCGTGAGACGTCGAATTATAATTGTGATGATGTCGGTTAAAGCATCATTTAATTTCATTACTGAGATTTATGCTCATTGCCGTGATGAGATTTTGAGTTGTGCATTCATTAATTTAAGTGCTGTTATTCTTTTCCATTGAAAATTCTCATTTTTCATTTCCGAAAGCAAAATTATTTCGAGCAGTAAGGAAAATATGTTAAAAAATAAAAAACAGAACAGTTCTGTCAAGAAGTAAAGTTATGATTATGTTTCTTTCCTTTTCATTTACCTCATCGTTTTGAATTCTCTGTGTTGAAAATGGAGCAAAAGGGAATCGACAAAAAAGAAATGAAACGAAAGAATAACAAAATGTCGAGAACAAAAAAAGATTGTTAATTTACATAAATTTCATTTTTGTTGGCGTCTTTTCAAGAAAACCTCCCAACGAGGGATTTGGGAGTTTTCATAAATTATGTTATGCGACATTACAGCCTAAATGTCCCTTCTGTTGAATAAGAATTCACTATGAGGACATTTATAAGCTTTCCTTAGTTTCCTTCAAAATGAAACAAAGAAAACATCTCGAAAAGAGACTCAAGCTCGACATCGAGAATGAAAAATTCTTTAATAATGTTGCTTTGCAGTCACGCAATAGTTTCTCAAAGCTACTCAACCTTATTTGTGTTCTTTTGAGAAGAACAAAAAATATTCCTTGGAGGCAAAATACGACTTTCAGAGAAAATTAGAGTAAATAAAATTAATGGTTTAATGATGGGGACTGTAAAAATTATAAGCATTTTGTGGAGGAAACTTAACTTTGTTATTGCTTATAATGCGCAAGGAAGAATGTTTCCATTTGTGTAGCAAACGAAGACTAAATTTCTTGTCATTTCTCAACGCCAGAGTTGGGATTTGACTGACTGACTGACAGACATTGACTTGTCAGTCAGTCNATTCGATATTTCTCGATTTCCTATTGTTGTGTGATTTTATTATTATTTGTTGCTGGCATTAGAGTTGTCGATATGCAAGTACAAGTACTTGCTATTTGCATACTTTTTGCAAGTACTTGCATACATACAAGTACTTGTAAAAACTTATGCAATTACTTGCATTTGCATAAAGGGCCAGATTTTGAAAAATAATGAAAATTTTTAGTGTATTTTGTTCATCAAAAAGTGAGTTCATTTGAAAATAATTCAACATGAATTCAATCAATTAAATTTCCTACCCAATGATCCTTTGCATTGTATCGATCATAACCATCATAGACGAATTATCATCACAATCTTCAAATAAATTGAATTAATTAACCTTGATGTCATGTCAATTATTTAAATATGCAATTCTTAATACGTTTTTTGATTCTCATTCACTGTAAAGTTCAATGAATGAAACTTCGATTGAGTTAACATCAGCTGAAAAATTTATCAACCAAAACAGTTCTTCTTTATTTCAATAACTTCCTTTGAAGTTGCATCAAATCTTTTTTTTATTACTTATAGGCAAATGAAAAGAAATGACTGCACTTAATGCAATGAATTTAAAGTCAATTTCGAGAATAAAAAAATTCATGTGATGCTAAAAAATTTCTCTAAGTTGATCGTCTCGAACTCAAACGCCATTTAGTAGCTTCAACTAAGTTATCGACTGAAACTTCTTCTTCTTGTCTTGTCACAATATCTCTAAGTTTAACAACTCCACGTTCTAATTCAGAATCGCCTAGCACCAAAGCGAAAGGTTTTGATATTCTTCACAATGTTGAAGTTGAGCGAGAAGTTTTGAATTTTGTTTGTAAGAATGTTCAGCTTTGATATCTCCATTTCACAATTTCCCAAAAAACTCAAGTCGTTTCTCATGCAATACTTTGTGAGCTGATGCACAGTAAACTTGAACTTCAGTTGTTCATTATTGAGCAAGAATTTTCAGTAGCAGGTTCATTGAAAACAAAAATTAGAAATAGAATGAGCCCTACCAAACTTAATGCCTTTTTGTGGCTTAAAAGTTATTTCTTTAAATTATAAATAAATNATAATAATTTTTTATTTGAACCAAGTACTTGGCAAGTACTTGGTTCGATCCAAAATACTTGGGCAAGTACTTGGATCGGCAAAAAACCCAAGTAATCGACAACCATAATTAAAGCCTAAATGTCCCTTCTGTTGAATAAGAATTCACTATGAGGACATTTATAAGCTTTCCTTAGTTTCCTTCAAAATGAAACAAAGAAAACATCTCGAAAAGAGACTCAAGCTCGACATCGAGAATGAAAAATTCTTTACTAATGTTGCTTTGCAGTCACGCAATAGTTTCTCAAAGCTACTCAACCTTATTTGTGTTCTTTTGAGAAGAACAAAAAATATTCCTTGGAGGCAAAATACGACTTTCAGAGAAAATTAGAGTAAATAAAATTAATGGTTTAATGATGGGGACTGTAAAAATTATAAGCATTTTGTGGAGGAAACTTAACTTTGTTATTGCTTATAATGCGCAAGGAAGAATGTTTCCATTTGTGTAGCAAACGAAGACTAAATTTCTTGTCATTTCTCAACGCTTATTAATTATGATTGTTGCATAACTTAGGAAAAGGAAAACTTTGTAGATTTCAGAATTCATTTCATTTTAAAATAAATAATAAAATTTAATGTTGATTATAATAGAACTACGTGATTTCAATAGAGTTTGAATGTCATCATCATCATTTGAAGTCATTTATCCTTCATTATGATATTGAGGTAGTGAAAAAACTCGAGAGAGTTTCGCAAGCAATTTTATTCTTTTTCTTTCTATCGATTTTATAATTCACGAATCATCTGAATATTTGCTGCGCATTTAGACGAGAATCGTGCTTGTAAATGCTCTCAGTATAAGGAATACGGGTTTAGATAAGAAAAATCACCTTCGTGGTGACTTTGAAAATGAAAGCTTTACATGCTTTTTAATGATAATTTGCTTATAGAATGAAGCTTTGTGACAAATGAAGCTTAATGATCCATTGACAAGTATTTATTTGCGTTACTCAATGCTTAACTCTTATCTAATGGATGTTCACGTTTCTTATCGCTCCACCAAGAGGAAATTTGAACCATAAAGTCTTATAGGTTGATAAATTGATTTTTTTTATTAATTTTAGCTTCTAAAATAATCAAATAATAAACAAAACAAGCCAAGTAGGTTGCTTTTTCTCAGAAAAGCTACGCCAAAATTTGGCGTTCGGTTTATATGACCCTCTTGAATTTGTTTACAATTTAAACATACGTGATAATAACTTTTAATTGAAATTGAATTAATATTCTATTCGTTAGCATTTTTAAATTATCTAACAATTTATTATATCTAAATGTATCATAAAAATTATGATTTCATCTTGAAATGATTTTTCAATCCGAGCTAGCATCGATTTAGTTGCCGCCATTTTTGTTTTCATCATCTGAAAGATTTCACCATCGTTTGTTATCAATGTACTTGGAACACCTTTCGCTGTGTGGTTTAAATAAACTTAAAAAAAGACATCTGATAAGGATTTTTAAATGGTTGCGATATGATACCGAGGGAATGACTAAGAGTGATGATCTTTTCCGTTTATCGAATGGAATTGATAAAAGATTCAACTCACACGTTTTATTAAGTTGAACTTTTATAGAATCTAAACTTTAAGATGCTTCAAAGGCAGACCCCTTCATATAATATTCACTGACTGACAATCGGCCATCGACTCGTTGACATTAAAACGCAATCAAAAGCATGAAATTTTCTCGTGATACTTATCGAAGATTTATGACGTTGGAAATAAAAATATTGAATGGAATGCGATCACTTCAAATTTTTTCGCGAGAAATCATTGAAATTAATCATACACCTGTTTGAAAAATTAAATATTTTCAATTAATCACAAAATAATTTTTGAGTTTTATTCTGAATAAAACTTTGACTTCACATTTATTAACATCTTAATCAATGTTGATAGCAAATATCAGAAGTAATCAAAACATATTTGCGATTACATTTGCAATTACTTATAAATGCTTTACAGTCGGTTGATTCTCTAGACAGTCGTCCGCCAGACGCGTTAAAAGAACTTCAAAAAAGCTTCGCTTTTTTAACCTTTCATAACAAATAAAAAAATTCAAAAAGTTTCGTTAACAGAAAACTTTTTTTTGTAAATAATTCTCAACTAAATTATTATTCATATTTAATAATTTTATTTTTATTACTTACAGTTTCACTCAATAAAATGGAACGTCGCGTGTCAACGAACTCTGAATCATCGGTAGAGCCAACCGATGTTAGCACATCTAACAAGACTCTCAGCTCCGATGCCAATTCTTCTTTAGCACTCAAGACAAGTCATGAAAGTGACAACATCGAATCAGATGAAAACGAAGATTATTTGAATAACAATACGTGCAAAAGCAACAAAAACGACAACGATACGAGCAATGACAAGGCAAATGAATTGAAGAATTTTACACGATCACAAGATAAAGAGGCAATCGATAGACGTGACAATTTACAGCAGTTAATGGACAAAATGTTGCAAAAGAAAATTAGAAGTGCTGCAAAGACAAACTTCAGTTCAGATGAGAATTTGAATTTCAATCATGAGGGCTCTGAAAGCAACGAAAATGATGTCACGAAGAATTCAGACGACACCAAATATGTTTGTCCAATTTGTGACACTGTTTCAACAACTCAACATGACTTCACTAATCACATTCGCAATCATAATAACATGCGTGACTCGTCCGACGATGGAAGTTCATTCACATGTCGCATCTGCTCAAAAGTTCTATCGTCAGCTTCATCGCTTGATCGCCATGTTTTGGTACACACAGGTGAACGTCCTTTCAACTGTAAGTACTGCAACTTAACATTTACAACAAATGGAAACATGCATCGACATATGCGTACGCACAAACAACCTCAACAACATGACCGCGAAAGTTACGAAAGTGATGGCTCGACCGATTCAAGCGGCAGCAGTCATGGTGGAAGTGCACGTAACTTAATAAAATCGAATTCAAACTTTCCACACAAACGAAAAAGCACCGACGACGATCTCACAAATCGAAGGAAAATTCGTGCAGTCAATCATAACAACAACAACATCATGTCGTCACCAAACAGTCATCAGAAGTTTTGTTGTCCCGTTTGCATTCGCAATGACTTCTCGAGTATGATCAATTTAGAGAATCACATGGATAAGGAACATCCAACAATTCCAGCAAAGTGTCGACATTGTGAAATGGTTTTCAAAAGTCACAAAGCACTCAACGCTCATCGTTGTGGCAATAATAAAGCTATCAACGTGCAACAAGGCTTCAAAGACATGACATTCGTTGATTTTACCAGCGAGAAGTTTCCTATAATTGCCAAAAATCTTTGCGAGCAAAGCATTAGAACGCCAATCACTAATCAGAAGTATGAATGCCCGATGTGTTATCGAGCTTTTCCATGTTCAAGCGCCGTTGAAATTCACATGCAAGAATGTCGAAATGACGGTAATGTTGCTCAAGATTTTTCATCCAAACGTCGTCATTCAAACAGCGAATCATCTGAAGAAGATGTAAAACGTGAAGATTTCTTTGCTAATCTTGCACTCCATAATCGATCAATTCCAACATCAGCACCGTCGACACCATCATCAAATGCTGATAAATCATTCACATCACCAATGATGATGATAAAACAAGAATACAGATCAACACCACCGTTCTGTCAATATTTTAGCGAAGGTCGTGACTTTGCTGACATTGAATCAATCATCAAAGCAGCATCTTCAAGTGGATTAGACAAAGCGATGTCAGAGAAGGATCAGATGATTTATCGTGACGAAGAAGAGAATCAAGATGCATTTACACACGAATTCAGGAAAATGAAGTTACGTGGGGAATTTCCATGTCGTTTATGTACGATGATTTTCCCTAATCTTCGCGCTTTAAAAGGTCATAACCGAGTCCACTTAAGTGCTGCTGGTCAAGGACCATATTGTTGTAATATGTGTCCACATTCGATCAATGATAAAGCTGCACTTGTTCGTCATATGAGATCACATAATGGCGATCGTCCATATGAATGTGCAATTTGTAATTATGCTTTTACAACGAAAGCAAACTGCGAACGTCATTTGAGAAATCGTCATCAGAAAACGACGCGTGAAGAAGTTAAACGCGCAATCATTTATCATCCGTCAGAAGATTCAAGTGTCGAAGATCATATTCATAACAAGAAGATTGCAATCTATTCAACAAATCGATTCCAAAATCATGACGATGACATCAGTGGTCGAAGCACTCCCGTTTCTCATTTAAAGGAAATGTTACAGCCGCTCGATGACTCACCAAGTCGCATTCAAGTTAAAAGTTTGGAGAAATTAAAGCAGAGGAATTTTGACAATGATATTGAGGAAGAAATTAACGACAGTCATCGAGCAGTTGATATGTCGATGGATGCTTTGGATTTGAGTAAGAAAACTGATTCATTCAACAACAATGGTGACGATGCTTCAGATGAAAATGATGAAGATGAACATGAGAACAACGGTGATGACATTGATCACCCAGAAATCCCAAAGTTTGATCTTGGAATGATCGAAAAAAATCTTTTGATTCAACAACAGTTGTTGAGTGAAGCCTTACCGAAATTAGATCCAACACAGATGTTCAACTTGGCTCAAATGTACAGAACATTTGGCTTTCCTACACCAGGATTTCCAATCCATCCAGCTTTGCTTCTTCAGAACCCTCTGCTTCTCAACGATACAATGAAGAATTTTTTTTCAAAAGATTTAATGCCACCAACTCCACCTCAGACCAACACTTCGCAGTCACAGATGAGTGGCTCAATGTCAGGTGGAAGTTTGATAATTAATCCATTTGCGTCACCTGATTCGTCACCTACTGGCCCACCATCGCAAACATCTCGAAACATGGAACGATCGCCAGTAAGAAATTCAATGCCGATTCCACCATTTCCACCCACACCACAGGAATCTCCCAAGAAAGTCTCAACACCAAATCATTCTTCACAAAACCATATGCAAAATCATTCAGGGCCAGTGAAAATGGTCATCAAAAATGGCGTTTTGATGCCGAAACAAAAGCAACGACGATATCGCACTGAACGACCATTTGCTTGCGAACATTGTGCTGCACGTTTCACTTTAAGATCGAATATGGAGCGTCATATTAAGCAACAACATCCCGAATTCTGGGCACAACGTCAACGTGGAAATCATGGCTTAATGAGACGAGGTCCACCTACACAATTGCCAATGAATGGCCCCCCGATGATGCCAACACTTCAAGCTGCGGGGTTTGGCGGAATTTCTGATCAAGTGAAATACGCGATTCTTGCACAGAAATTGAAATCACGAGAAAGTCCAAAAAGCATGTTGAATTCACCATTTTCCAACTTGCCTTTGCCATTGCAAACACAGTTGACGACCCAACATGAAACATCGGAGAAATTACGAACACCATTGAAAGAAGACGACGACGATGAAGATCAATTAGTAATTGATGAAGATTTCGCAGAAGATTTAAGTAAGTCATCGGATGGTAATGAGAAACATTCAGCAGCACGTAAAGTTGCTGAAAATATTTTGGAAGAAGCCATGAAAATGGGAAGTGGAACTGCAAATAACCCTGAAGAAGTTGTGTCACAGTCACAATCAAAAAATGATTCCGAAAATGAAAAAGATTCCAACAAGAATATTAAACGCGAAAGCAAAGAAGAAGGAAATGATTTGGTTTCAGTATCAAAGCTTGTTGACAATGCAACCAATTCAATGATGTTCTCGAATTATTTTAGGTAAGAATTTGAAAATTTTGCTCAATTAAAATTGAGATTTAATTTTGAATTATTTATTTAGTCGTCCTGAACCACCAATGACTGATCATAGCGATGAAGAAGGTTTAGTAGCTTCGGGAAGTGCTTCAGAAAGCAACAACTCTGGAACTGACGATCCACATCCTTCAGGAAAAGAAAAGAAGAAGTCAGCTTACAGTTTGGCACCAAATCGTGTGTCATGTCCCTATTGTCAGCGTAAATTTCCATGGTCAAGCTCATTGCGACGTCACATCTTAACACATACAGGTCAAAAGCCCTTCAAATGTTCGCAATGTCCTTTGCTATTCACAACAAAAAGCAATTGTGATCGTCACTTGTTGAGAAAGCATGGAAATGTTGAATCAGCAGTTTCATTGCAACTACCGATTGATGAAATGCCTGAACCTGTTAAAGAACCTGTTCGTCCACCAACACAAGTTACAACAAGTTCTGACGAAACCCCAAAACAATCATCAAACTTCAATCTACAAAATGCTTTACAAATGCCATTATTGAAAGCTGAAAACAATTCATCAAACTCAGTCGTTCCATCTCAAGTAATGTCAAGTGATCTTCCATTCAAATGCCATTTGTGTGATGGATCCTTTGTTGATCGTATTCAATGCTTGGATCACATTAAGAACGCGCATTCACATGACTTTGCTGTATTGATTGCTAAAGTACAGCTGGAAACAGAAGATGGAGTTCATGGATCACCAGATGACGAAGAACATGCTGACAAGAAGGGAAAATATCCTGATTATGCAAATCGTAAAGTGATTTGTGCATTCTGCTTGAGAAGATTCTGGTCAACTGAAGATCTTCGACGCCACATGCGAACTCACAGGTAATTTAATTAACTTTTCGAATAAAGAACTTTGTTTGATAACAATTTAATAATTTTCCAGTGGTGAACGTCCTTTCAACTGCGATGTTTGCTTCCGTAAATTCACTTTGAAACACAGCATGTTGCGACACCGTAAGAAGCATTCAAATGCTCCTAATAACATGAACAATTTCGCAAACATGAAATCAGAAAATGGCGAAAGCAATGGTAATGGCTCAAGCATGAACAACAGCGCATCTGACATATCTGATGACGAATCATCAACTTTAGCAATGATCAACAACAAGAAATTGAAGGAGATGATGCCAAGCAAATCAAATCAAGCTGAAATGTTGAGTCGAATCAATAACAAAGATCTTTTCATGAAGCTCATGCAACAGCAGGTTGGCTCAGATTTGCTGGGAAATCTTCTTGGCATCAGCGATCAAGGAATGCTTAACAAAATGTTCACCTCATCAGCAGATGAAGCAGCGAAATTGCTTGGAGTCGAGAAGTAAACTTGAACAACGACATACATACTTACATTCATTCATATCCTCTGCTTGTCTCTAGTCAATAATCTCAAGAAACGAGAACGAAAGAACTTTAAAAGTTGCAAATCGAAGATTCAACGTCAAATATGTAACAAACATTCAAAATTTTTAACTTTATTCGTTACTTAGAATTATGCTTAATTAATTTTATCGTGTGTGTGCCTAATGTAATTCAACTAGTAGCCTTAACTTGTAAGCGATTCCTACATAATCAACTAACAATACGAGAAATCTTAAAATACCTTCAACGGTGAAAAAGAAAAGAAAATCAAAAGTAAAATTATAAGAAAACATTTTGTGGTTTAATATTTCATTAAAACATTTTTGATAACGCCTTTGTAATTAGAATTTAAGCGTAAGATATTTAGAGAAATAAAAAATTGCCTTTTCATGGAAGTTCTTAACCGGGAAAAACCTTCCAATGTTTCCAACTTTGTAAAGATGAAAAAGAAAAGTTTTTCTTTTCTTTCTCGTGGCCTTCAGACCGAAGTGGCTTAATAAAGTAGATGAAAGGACAAAAAACGCCCCCGCACGGCTTTACGTCTTGAAGTAATTTTTATTCACAACACTTAGATGAATTGGTATCATTGCAAAATTAGATTATAAGATACGAAATATGATATAAATTATTCCAATTATATACAGCAATTACCAAAGTAGTTTAATTTCTTTGTTTTTTCTTTAAAATTATTTCTTTTGGTCAAATATGTTTGATTAGAAAATATTTTAAATATGTTTAGAAGGTATTTGTAAACAAGAAGGTTTCGTCACTCGGCAACAACCACAAGGAAAAGTGTTTAATGAGTCACGATGTAGTGTTAAGTGCCATTTGAAGGTTTCATTAATTTTAAATTTATTTTCAAAAATATTGCTCATAAATCATTATAAATCTTCAAGTTTGTCTTTGCAATTGGTTCTCTCTTTCGATAGATAAGAGCAATTTGTTTTTGGAAAATAACTTTCTTAATTCTTTCTGTTTGAAATAACATTAAATCATAAGAATTTCATCGACTTAACTAATTAGGATTTAAGGAAATTTCATTGATGAATTAATTGTCGCAACGAATAAACTATAACATTATATTTATTGCACTGATATAAACGTAAATTGAAAGGAATGCAAACTTTTATAGTTCTTACTTAATAAAATTAAACGATTTTCTTCATATCATTGAAATTGCAAATCATATTCGAGAAAAACATTGTGAAAACTAAATTTTTCCGAAAACAAAACTGAAATAAATGGAAATAAATAAAGTCAAATTTTTTGCTCATAAAAACTGAAACTTTTTTATTTTTTAAAATATTTTATCGACAGGAGAAAAAAAATTTACAATGATTGGAATTGTGTAACATTTCGAATTAAGTACACAAACGACTAAGATAGAAAACACGAGAAAATTAAGTAAATTGGATCGTTACTTTTTTATCGTCATTTGCCACTTTAACCACAAACCAAAAGGGAATTCATCGACGAATGCGATCGTATTACTGTGATTTGATTGTTAAAAATGAAAAAAGCCTGGAGAAAATGAGAAAATCTGAAATTATCGCAGCTTTGAAAGTGTTAATACCTAATTATTTAAAACTAATAAAAAATTAAAATGCTACAGAAAGTCTCTGTAAAGTGAAATATAAATTCTTAAATGAAGTAGATAAAATATAACACGGAAAGTTATTTAAGTTCTAAAATTATAATTCAGTTAAATCAGAAAAATAGAAATTTTCAGGCTTGCTAAAAAATCACAAATTATTCTCGTCCATTCATTGCCAATTGGAATAAACTTACAGACATAATCAAGTTACTTGTTATCAACATTGTATTGCGTTCTTCCACCTAACTCCAGTAAATATCTGTCAGGATTTTCAATCCATTCAGCTGAGGTGAGTTTAACTGTTCGTTGTCTTTCAGCTTCTTTGATTTGCCATTTTTTAATGTCCAGTTGAACGTCACGAGACGTTTTATCGCCACAACCCCACACTTCAATATTCAGTAAATTATGTGTGATCGAATGAATGTCAACTCTCTCAAAATCTTCGTTAACAGAAATGATGGGATTTCTTGGATCAACAGCTACTCTGAAGCCTTTAGGATAGCCACGAATATGAGTGTTCAAATAGAGAATCTTCTGACCTTTCTCCATGACGGAGAACTTAGGAGACAATTGAACTAAACAACTGTCTTCACCACCAGTGTACAAGTGAGTTTCTTTCCATTCGTTTGGTGCAGCGACGCAGTAAATTTTGTCTGAATTATCTTTCGTGCTACGGCAGCTAATGACGACAAGTGTTGGTCCTCGATATCCAAGCACATGATGGAGAAAACGATTAGCACCAACACCATGCAGACGAGTGTCATAAAGCAATGTCCAATGTGATGGAACTGCAGCAACAAGCTTACTCAACAATACTTGTGATGGCAGGACGGAAGAAGGTGAAGTGGCACTTGTCGATTGAGAATCATCATCGTCTTTCTTAACTTGCGGTAATGTTTGTGGTTTTGAATATGATGGTGGTAAAGTTCCAGCTAAAAGCCAAGCCATTGAAAGAGTCAACATTGGTTTTGAATTTGCAAACAGTGCGCCTTTTTCAAGAACTGGTGTTACCAATTCTAATCCATTTGAAGAGTTTTTATCCTCTTCATTCAATTTGATCATGCGATAACTTGTAGTGAGTAAATGAATGCTGTAACGATGAACAGGAATGACAATTCGTGGGCAATTTTCTTCAAGCCAACGAGAGATGAAACCAACCGATAAAGGTTCTTGAAAGAAACAAGTTCCAATGACGGCATCCAATGTTGTGTCGAGATAAGGGCATGTATGGGCTTCACCTAAATAATTTGCCATTGCTATGTTAAATGATAGTTTAAGAAGATTTTTTACGCCTTCTTTTGTCGCATTCTCTTCGTAAAAAACATCACAAAAAATGCGCACATAAGTTTCAATGACTTTAGAGTCGTCCAAGATTGATAAAAATCTTTCACATTGTTGACGAAATGCGGTCACACCCAGATGAGGTGTCTTAGCATGCGAGAGTGTGTGAAAATGTCTGAAGAGTCGCATACCTAGGTCTGGATGATTTGGAAAAACATATTTTGTGAAGATTTGATCGGTGATTCCACTTCCACTTCCTTCTGATTCATTTTTCTTCGCAAGCAGTTTTGCTAATTCGTCGATTGGTGCAAATTTTGTATGCGTTTTATCTTGAAAATCAGCTCCTGATGGTGAACGTATCATGCCTTGTGACTTTGTTGGACTGATTGAGTCGGTTTGAGTTTTTGTAGGCGACGATGAGGCACTCGACTTTTTCTTGTGACTGCTACTATGATTTCCCATTGTGTGTAATAATGAATGACTAAAAAGATGAAAATCACATGTTAAGTTTATATATGTTATCAAAAGAGCTATAAATTAATTTGATATCACAACCACTAATGTTTTATTTCTTTTCATCTTCGAATGTATTAAAAGTTTCTTATGAATTCAAAAGAAACTTGTTATTACTAATTAACATTATTGCTTTTGTTCACGCTTATTATATTTTTAGCAAATCTTCCGTAAATCACAAGGAAATTTACGAATAAACTTACTTTTTGTACAACAAAATATATTTTTAAATGCACACAGATGACTTTATAAATATTTCACTGTTTTATTTCTTTAACATGACAAAGCTATTTTTACAGAGAGATTGTAAACTTTAACAATATCAAAATAAACAAGATATTTAAGCCACGTTTAAAGAACTATGCTAGTGGAGAAATATTTGCAAGGTTTTATTTACGTTTTTACCGCAAATTAAGCAGCTGATAAAATGCGAATCGCAAAATTCAAATTATTGAGTGTCGTTAAAATTTGAAAATATTGAAATTGGCCAATGAAGAACTTTTGTATGATCACAACGATTTCTTTTTATATCATTAATATAGCGATAGACTGAGGTTTTATATCACTCACTGCAATGAAATATTTATAATTTATTTAAATTTAGTATGCTTAATTAAAACACTATGAAATTTATTTTCATCCAATCTTCTGAATTCTTAATCAAAGTTTATTTTAAATGATGCATTAAATATTCTACACTTGTATCAAATTCTACATAATGAAAAATCAAATAATTAAAACTATATTTATTTTCTATCGAGTAGCTTCACCTTTTTCCAATGATCATGCACATATTTCATATATTCTTCAGGATATTTTTGCATATGCTTGATATGCGGGGAATCTTCAAAGCATTTATAGGTAACATCTACACCATTTGCTCGCCATCTTCCAATTACTTCTTCGGCACATTTTATTGTTCCAATAGGATCAATTTTCGATGCAAATATTAGTGTTGGAGTTTTTGCTAAATTATCACAAAAATTTTCCCAAAGCTCATTATAATGTGGCTGTAGAGCTCGATAAATTTTTAAATGGCACCAAAGAAGTGCCGTCACTATCGACCGCATGAATGTATTATTAGGATAGAGTGCGAAAGGGATTGCCACGATTGTCATTCTAGGGGCGGCAACAGAATCCCATATTTGTCCAATTACACGATTTGGAATGTTACCATATTTTGGCAAATTCTAGAAAGTACATAATTTCAAGGTAGGAGAATTTCCATATTTAAAAAAATATAAAAATTAATGTTAAGCCTTAAAAACCTTTTTCATCATCTTCTGGCAAAGACCGTACATTCCACCACCAGCTGAAAACGTGTGTATGAATATTTCCTTATAGTCATGCTCGTTGTTGTGCAAAACATTAACAATATTTTGACCAGAACGCTAGAAAGAAATTCATATTTACTTCGTGTTCCAATTCTGATCAAACGCTTAAATACTTCAACGCTTTTAATATTGAACAAAAATTGTACTAAAGATATCCGACCAACAAGAACATCCATTCCTTGATCGGTATAGATTTGACTGTATTTATTAATCTGATGTTTTTGTCCATAAAACCAACTTATCATAAGCACAAGAGGCTTTGTGTTTTCCCTCTTCTGTTTAAATCTATGATGAAATGACGCACATAATTACTTCCTTTAGTTGGAAAACATATTTTTGTAAAAACTTACCTTAAAGATTTTTTATCAATCTCAATATTTCGAGGTTTGTCAGTACAAAGATAAAGGTCGTCATTGATATTGTACATCGAAAGCATACGTAGTGCCATAGCGTACCCTAAGTAGGAAGAAAATTAAGATTAATGTTGAGGGTCGAGGGCATTTTGAAGATTTTTTTATAAACATTTTATTATTTGTGAAATTAAAATGGGATTTTTTTACCATTTTTCTGGATCCCAGTTGAATATCTTAAAGTTCTTGAAATGCTCAACATTTTTTCTATTTTTTCACTTCTTTCTTTTTGAAAAAAATAATTAAATGAAACGTTTCGTTTCTTTGCAGATATGACTTCACCCACCAACTGTTAACAAGTGAATGAGACTTAAATATTATTCAACAATAATTTGTATAATCCTTTCCTACTTAATTGAAATTGATAAAAATTTCAAAGACTGTTATCAGCATTTTTCTTGGTTTTATGAAGACTTCCATGCTTTATGTGTATATCTTTTGGGAAATACCTGATGTACTGACATACAATGTTGTGATTACCAGCGAGATTTTCTTTCTTCTTTACCCTGACTCAACGCATTACGCTTTAAACCTTTTGGTTTTCGTCCAAATTTTGATGAATGTACATAGATAAGTCACGGATTCTTTTAGAATGATAACATTTATATCAAGACGTATTAAAAATTGTGACTTCTGCTTAACGTGACTAAATAGAAAAAATTGTTGTTTACTTTTGTCCCTTTCAGTTGTAAACATCAAATTACATTTGTTGTTGATCTAATATTGAATATTTCAGTATAATGAGACTCATCTTAGAAATTAATCAGATCATCAAGCGATATTCATATCGTGTTATCTCCCCACTTATGCTCCACAGTTATCTATTCGTACGTTAAAGATTTGTCATTTCAATGTGTTGGTAAAGAATGAATGAAACATGACATCATCCAACGAAAGTGTATCAAATAAAATATCTTTAAACAATATTCTGTAAATAGAAAATAAAAAATGTACTGAAAGAATATCTCATAATGCATCATATAAGAATATAAAGTTGTTACAAAAATTACAAACCTCACCTATTATCGCTTAAAAATGTAAACAAGAGAGATTTGTTTCTGACATAAAATAATAAAAGAACTGAGTTAGTCATTAATTATTAGCTTATTCAACTAGATCTTCAATTTCCTTTTTAAAAATCGTCATGAAAATTCGAACAGGTGTTTGCTTTTAATTTCAATTAAATTCTTATCACAATTTTGTTTTCATTTTGATGCAGTTTTAGGCGATATCTCACCTGACCAACTCAAGGTCACATTAACTCACGAACACTTCTCTTTGGATTTTCACAAGTTTTACTCTGAACCGCCAAAGCAAATAAAAAAGTTTTTTAATGGTGAAGTAAATGAGAAAATTCACTTGAAAAATGTTGGATTTGTAAGGCAATACCCTTATGGGAGTAAATTTAACATCAATTTCGGTGATGAAGAGACACACAAAGCTGTCATTGAAGATGTCAAGCAATACAAAGAATTTGGTGGCAATTCTATTGTTGAGAACACAACTCATGGTATTGAAAGGAATTTAAAATTAGTTTATGAAGTTGCTCAATCGACTGGAGTTCAAATTATTTGTGGTACTGGACATTACTTGGAAATGACACAAAAACCACACACATTAAATATGTCGATTGAAGATATGATTGTGTTATACACAAATGAAATTATTAACGGAGTTGAAGTTCCATTGTCACCTTCGGAATCTGTGAGGATTAAATGTGGCTTCATTGGTGAAGTGGGAAGCGTTTTTCCAATAACTGATTTCGAGAAGAAAGCAATTCAAGCGACTGCTGATGTTCAAAGCAATCTCAAATGTGGCGTTTCATTCCATCCTGGTCGAGACTCTCGTGCACCTTTTGAGATTCTTCGCATTTATTTGGAAGCTGGTGGTGATAAATCAAAATGCGTTATGTCTCATCTGGATCGAACACTTTTAAACGACGAGAAACTTCTCGAGTTCTCAGATATTGGATGCTATTGTCAGCTGGATTTGTTTGGAACTGAAGTGTCTTGGTATCAACTTAATCCTCAAACAGATATGCCATCGGATGCACAACGTGTTGATCGCTTGAAACTGTTGTGTGATCATGGAAAATTAGAAAGAATTCTTGTCAGTCACGACATTCACACAAAACATCGTTTGGTAAATTTGAAAACACTTTTTTAATAAAATAATTTAATTCAAGTTTCTTGTACTCATAACAGACTGCATTTGGTGGCCATGGCTTCGCTCATTTACTGAACAACGTCAAACCTAAAATGTTATTGAAAGGATTCAACGACGATGCTCTTGAAACAATCTTCATAAAAAATCCTGCAAATTGGTTGGAATTTTAATTTTATTTTTTTCTGGTTAAAGATGTCGATTTGCAAACATTTTAAAATTTACAACAAGAAGATTAATCAATAAAATTCATTTTATTGCAAATATTTTGTGCGATTTCTTTAACTTCCACTCTTTTGATTTTTCCTGATGGTGTCGTTGGAAATTTGTCAATGAAGTGAACACCGCCTCTCAATTTCTTTGCATGCATAACTTTACCATGGACATAGCTCATCACTGTTTCTTCGGTAATTTCATGGTTTGAAGGATCTTTGATTATGAAAGCAAATATCAAGTCATTTCCTTTATGTTCTTCGTAAACTCCCACAACACATGAAGCAATGACGCCATCAATTTCATTTACGATAGTTTCCAATTCAGAAGGATAAACTTGAAAACTATTGAATTTAAGCATATCCTTAATTCGATCAACGACATACAAAAAGCCGTCTTCATCAAAATATCCAATATCGCCTGAATGAATCCAACCATCTTTAATTCCTTGCTTTGTCATCTCAGGTTCATGGAGATAGCCGAGAAATAGTTCCTTTGGCTTAACACAAATTTCGCCTTTGATATTCGGACCAAGATTATTTCCAGCTTCGTCAATGATCTTGATTTGAATATTCGGAATTAATTTTCCAACAGAATTTTCTCGTTGTTCATTGAAAGAAAGTGAAATAAAATCTGCTTCTGATGAACCGTAAGCAGTACAAATTATTCCATTGGGTAAGTAAGAGGCGAAAGCATTGCAAAGTTGTTTCCCAACAATTCCACCAGTTCCAATGAATATTTCAACACTTTTAAGTATTTTCATATTTTTACTTTGTAGCATGCCAGCAATCGAAGATGGAGGTGCAAGAACTGTTGTAACTTTATATCGATTACAAATTTCAATCAACAAATCAGGATCAAAAGATCTTCTTGTGATGATTCTCCTGCCACCATACAATGTACTCATAAACAAAAATATTACGCCAGTCGCCCAGTAAAGCGTTGAAAAGTTGAAGAAAATTTCTTGTTCATTGGATTTTTTTAAATTCCATAATGGAAATATCATATTTATTATCTGTGAATGGGATTTGCAAACAGCTTTTGGTAGACCTGTGGTGCCAGACGAACAAAGAATGATTGCGATGGAATTTGCAGCGTGTTCAACGTGTGGAAGTTTGAACTTCGTTTCATCAACTTCAGTGCACAACATATCATCAATAAATTCATATCCCTCAACTTTATCAATGAGAGTGTAAATTTGCGCATTATTTCTAATCGTATCAACCGCGTTCTGTACTATTTTAACTACAGTTGAGTCACAAATGATTAATTTTGGTTTTGTTTTTGAAAACATGTAAGTGATATCGAATTCCGTCATTACTGGCGCCAAGGGATTAAAGGGATATCCCAAAACAAGGCAAGCAAACACAACTGGTGCTAAATGCTCAGTATTTGACGCAACAATTCCAACAACATCGCCTTGTTTGATCCCGAAAGAACTTAAATATTTAGCGATTTTCACCGTTCTCACACGCATCTCATGACATGTCAGTGAAGAATTAGTGTCAGCAGATATTTGTGCAATTCGTTCTGGAGTGTTTTTCAAAACATTTAATATCAATTGACCTGCATTCATATAAGAATTGTAGATTATTTGTTGTTTTTCTCCACTCCAAATTTTGTCATTTTCATTGTAATTTGACGAACTCATTATAAATTGATTAACACCAATTGACGATAAGTCTGAAACTGAACTAAAGAGTTTTATAAATTTTTAAGTGTCTTAGATTCTTCATATCGCAGGTTATCTCTACAAGAAATTTCTTGATAGTTGTTTATGACATCATGTCGATATCAACAAAATTGTTAAAAAAAATTAATTTTCAAATAAAATCAACAACAAAATTGTTCAGATATGTAAAGCAGCTTTATTGATGAAATCATTTTGGGATAATTAGGTACAAATTAAAATATTTTTGATTGTTAAATTTTCGTAAAGTTTTAATTGCAGTTATTGACATTTGCATTTCTTTTTCTCGCAACGTCCTGGTCTGTTTAGAACTTTCATGCAAAAGTTGTTACAAACTGTATTTCTCAGAGGTTTTGGAATCAATCTACAACTTTTGACACCTCTAAACAATTCTCCATCTTCAACCAAATAAATGCCGTCAAAATCGTCTTCACTTTCAATAAAGTTTTCTGCAATTTTAATTAGAATGAAAATTTTCAAACAATCTCAATATATAAAATTGATCTTACCAGCAAGAGTTTCATCATCTTCAATTTCACTTTGAATGGAATTTGCTGAACAAAATGCGAAGCAAATCAATCCAACGAAAGTAAGGAAAATTATTTTTGTCATTTTGATTTCAAGTTTTTTGTTTTTAATTGTTGTATTAAGAACTAGTTTTAAACTGATGCCAATATTCGATTTTAATTGTCATTTTATACTTTTTTTTAATAGGTCATGTTATCAAGAAAAGAAATCCCCTGATAAGTTATAAGTAAAGTAGGAAAATGTAACGGATGCAATGTGTTGTAATTATCTGCGACGATCAAAACTTTATAATATCGATTTGCAACGACTACAGCGAAAAGTTCAAGCCAGACATTTATAATAGTAATTTGGTTTTGTTAGTCATAGAATTAAAAAAACCTCTTAAATACAATTTTGAGAGTATAAAATTCTTCTCTTTCAATTTGACGAAAAATTATGATGACTGACATGATTTGATAATAAAGTAAAGCAAAGTTTCCTGACTATCAGTGGGAATTTTCGTTTGCATATATGCATATAAGTAGGAAATTCCCAACTGATAAGTGACGATCTTTTTTAATTTTAATACGAAAAGTCCTGGATAACAGTTTGCAAGTTCATTCAGTTACTTTCTTAACTTTAACGCTTAAACATGAAGTGAGTTTCTCTTTCTCTATTTTTCAAAGAAGTTTTATTCAATTTAATTTAAAATTCATAGATTTGCAGTTATTTTCGTAATTTTTGTGGCCTTTCATTTTTGCCGGGGTTTAGATATTGAATGTAATTTCATTCAATATAATTGGTATGGTTTGGGAGAGAAATACATTTGTTCTGCAGAACTTGAAGAAGAAATTGAAGTCTTAAGAAGAAGTTTGTCGAAAGTTATTCGAATTAGTGGAAGACATTACGGGAATCGAAATGATGAAGACGTGTTGGGGGTGGTGATTTCTGGACAAACGACGTTCGGTATTGTAAGAAATTTCAAAGAGTTCTTCCCAAATATGGATCAACTTTATGTCATACGATCAAAACTGAAATTTTTATACCGATCAGATTTCAAAGGGTATAAAGCATTGAAAGCACTTTCACTATCGAGAAATCATTTATCGCATCTTCCTTATGATGCTTTCAATGAACTTACGAATTTAAAATACTTTGATATTTCTTTCAATCAGTTGACACAAATGCCAAATATATCAGCCATGAAGAAACTTATAAGTCTTTATTTACACGAAAATAGCATTGAATCCCTGACCAAAGTAGATCTTTCCAACAATTTAGACCTAAAAGGAATATGGCTTTATAACAACAATTTGAAATATATCCAAGCTTCTGCTTTTGAACAATTACACAATGTGAGATTCGTTGATTTGATACACAATAACTGCATTAACATGGCTAGAATTTATTATAACCCTCAGCCATTCTATAATGCAATAAATGCAAAATGTTCTAAACGTCCAAATGAAGATAATGAAATTGAGATTTTATTCTGAGCAGAGTGGATGTAAATTACTAACCTGTTATTGAAACATAAATAATAAAATTGATAATANATTGTTATAACTTAGAGACAATGAAATGATTAACCGAAGTTTATCATGAAAAGAAAAGCAACTTAACCTTACAAGTTAGCATCACTTACCGAAATTCTTTTTTTATGAATACAATTCCAATAAGCCAATTGATCAGTTGAGGTTCCTGACGCGTTCCTAAAAGATTGGTTTCTTGTAAATTTATCTCCAAAAATTTCCTTCAGCTTCTTGCAAAAAAAGGCATTGTACGGCATCTGCAAGATTTTTGAAGAATTTATTTAGATATTCATCATTACAGCTTTATGCTCCAAATAAAAATATTATTGAATAGCAAAGGTTATTGATAAAAAACTGTTATAACTTTTGCTAAAAAGATTATTTTTACTGGAAAGCGAAACTTACCTTTCCTTCAAACTTCTGTTTTGCGGAACAAAGGACCCATTCCTCCGTTCCGTTTTCATTTGTTATTTTTTTCATAAACGCCTTCATTTCCTTATATGTTAAGAATACATCGAATTTTAAACCAGGAGAAATTATATACATTTTATATGCAAGATGATCCCACTTCAATATCTTAAAAACAAAGAAATTTTCTTCGGGTTAAAAAAATCGTTACCGGAATGTAATTCATATTAAAATGAAATAACTCAATATTTCTCACCTAATCTCAATATAATATCTGGAGTTATATGTGCTTGAGGACCTATTAATTAAAGTTAATGTCAGTTAAGGTTCAAGTTTTTTTTTAGTTATTTTCAACAAAAGACTACTATGACGACAAAAAAATACTAAATAATAACTAGATCATTAACTATAACAATGCTTATAACTTTGTTCAATTTTTCTCACCTAATCTCAATAATTGCTGATGATGCTTTCAATGAACTTACGAATTTAAAATACTTTGATATTTCATTCAATCAGTTGGTACAAATGCCAAATGTATCAGCCATGAAGAAACTTATTAGTCTTTATTTACACGAGAATAGCATTGAAGCCGTGGCCAAAGAAGATCTTTCCAACAATTTAGACCTTAAAGGAATATGGCTTTATAACAACAATTTGAAATATATCCAAGCTTCTGCTTTTGAACAATTACACAATGTGAGATTTGTTGATTTGATACACAATAAATGCATTAACATGGCTAGAATTTATTATAACCCTCAGCCATTCTATAGTGCAATAAATGCAAAATGTTCTAAACGTCCAAATGAAGATAATGAAATTGAGATTTTATTCTGAGCAGAGTGGATGTAAATTTAATTATGTGTTACTGAAACATAAATAAATTAAACTGAAAATAAAATATTTAATCTATACAAATGTTCTCGTCTTGTCGATCGTTCAGAACATTCACATCAAAGGGAATCCCCAAAAATTATAAACTCTCAATAAAATAATCTCGAGAGCATAATAAATATCTCCTCAAATGTACAGAGATTTATAAAATGAAATTAGCAAATTCTTTAAGTCGCTAGTTAAGCTTTAACCATTAAACATGAAGTGAGTTGATTATTTTTTTCTCTAGTGATCAAATTAATTTAAATTTCTTTCAATAAAATTTCACAGACTTGCAGTTATTTTCTTAATTCTTGTTGCCTCTCACTGTTGCGTGGGTGTAGATATTTATTGTGATTTCATCGGATATGATTGGAATAATTGGGGACAGAAGTACATTTGTTCAGCAAAGCTTGAAGAAAATGTGTTAAGAAGTAGTTTGTCGAAAGTTACTGTGGTTCATGGTGAACATGATCAGAATCGCAGTGACGAAGACGTGTTGGGGGTGGAGATTCATGGACAAAAAACTTTCGGCATTTTAAAAGGACTGACAAAATTCTTCCCAAATATGGATCAACTTTATGTTTTCCGATCTGATCTAAAATTCATACAACGATCAGATTTCAAAGGATATAAGCAATTGAAAACAATTTCACTATCGAGAAATCATTTATCGCATCTTCCTTATGATGCTTTCGAAGAACTCACGAATGTTGAATATTTCTCAGTTGACACAAGTGCCAAACGTGTCACCCATGAAGAAACTTAAAAGTCTTTATTTGTTTGAAAATAGTATTGAAACCTTGACCAAGGAAGATCTTTCAGAAAACTTGGAACTTGAAGTGATTTGGCTTTATCATAATAAATTGAAATACATTGAAGCTTCAGCATTTGAGCAGTTACCTAAGTTGAGAGTTGTTGATTTGACACACAATAGATGCATCGATATGAAAAGAAATCAATACGACCAATTGCCGTTTTATAACGCAATTAATGACAAATGTTCTGAACGACCAGTTGAAGAGAATGAAATTGAAACTTTAGCCAGATCAGAGTTATTTTAAGTTTCTTAATACATTGATAAAGAGTTTTGATGTTATTGAAATGTGAATTTGAAAACATTTGATAATGAAATATTTTTATTTACTTTACTTTAATAACGAGAATAAACACGAATTTTGTTGACATGATCATGAAAAATTTAGAAATCTCTTGTCAGTGTGTAGCCAACTTCCACGGTTATCAGTTTAAAAAATTATAGGTCAAATGAAGTGAGATTAATCATTTATATGCTCAAATTTGCTCATCTGAAAATTTAATTTTAAAGATTCACACTTTTGATTGCTGCAATTGCTGCAATTTTGGGATTGGACGCAATTTTCACTTGTGAAAGCATCGATTGGGATTATTGGAGTCAATGGTCGCAAACGATTCCAATGCATTTTGGTTCCTTTTAGTTCCTTTAATCAAAAGAACAGACGAGAGACAAGCTTGAAGTTGAAAGGATGAGTCATAAAAACATTTGGAATTTTTATTTGATTAAATAAAAAAAATTTATTTGTATTTTATATTCACAAAAAGTATTTCAATTCTCGCTCAACATATCAGGATATTTATCTCTCATTTGTTTTTTGATGTTTGGTTTACAAAGATCAATTGCTGTTTGCTTAGCGCGATTGAGGATTTTCGGATCGGCGCCACTTTCAAAAAGAAGAAAAGCGACTTCCGACTGCTCGTCTTCTAATGCTAGATGAAATGGTGTGTTGCCTTCACGATTTTGTACGTTTACTTTTGCACCGTTTTCTATGAGAATTTTAGCAACTCCAGTGCGACCGAGAGTTGCTGCACGATGCAAAGGAGAGTCTTGCCGATCATCCAGAACATTCACATCAGCACCGTTCTTTATTAAAAGTTCCAATATATTTTTGTAGCCCTTGGAAGCAGCATATTGAACAGAAGAATGTCCTCCTTGTTTCTTATGATTTACATCAGCTCCTTTAGAAATAAATAACTGAGCTAATCCGAAATGACCGCCAAGAACGCTGAGAATTAGACAAGTTGCTTGAGAATCGTCTTCAGCGTCAACTTCAGGACTGGAATTCTTTAAAATAAAATCGACGAGTTGCTCACGACCAGCTAGACATGCCCAATGTAGTAACAAACGATCATTCTGCAATATTAATTTATTTTTAAATAAAATTGGCATTAAATTCAATGCAGTTTTACTTACCGAATCTTTTTTCGATAAAATGTCATTATTTTCATTAATTTTCTCTTCGAGAGTATGAAAATCTTCTTGACTTAACTTGTAAAAGTCCATTTTGAACTTGAAAATTAACGTTTGATTAGTAAATGAAGTTTTTTAATTAATTTCCTTAATTTTAGGAAATTTTAGGTACTGCAGCAATGACAAAGCGTAAAAACAATAACAAAACATTGAGGATGTTGAAAACAATACACATCAGCATTGCTGAATGTTCGTTGAAACATTGATAATGAAAAGAACAAACAACGTCATTGCTTACCAAGCCCTGCCACATCCAAATCTGATCATAATGAATTTACCTAATTATTCAATTAAACTGTGTTTACACTTTACTTTGTTTAAATTGTATATATTTTGTTTTTAATTGAAAACATTTGAATTCTTGGCNGTCTTTATTTTCATTAATTTTCTCTTCGAGAGTATGAAAATCTTCTTGACTTAACTTGTAAAAGTCCATTTTAAAATTGAAAATAAACGTTTGATTAGTAAATGAAGCTTTTTAATTAATTTTCTTAATTTTAGAAAATTTTAGGTGATGACAAAGCGTAAAAACAATAACAAAACATTGAGGATGTTGAAAACAATACACATCAGCATTGCTGAATGTTCGTTGAAACATTGATAATGAAAAGAACAAACAACGGCATTGCCTACCAAGCCCTGCCACATCCAAATCTGATCACGCCCCAACGACCCGGAAACTCAGTTTTTCATACAAAGTGTCGTAAAAACGGGTTTCTCCGAAAGTATTTTGTCATTCCGGGAAGATTTCACACTCTCCACCTGAAACTACTTTCCGGAGGTGCAGCTTCAGGTGGATTAAATGAATTATAATTTATTTGTTTAATTATTCAATTAAACTGTGTTTACACTTTACTTTGTTTAAATTGTATATATTTTGTTTTTAATTGAAAACATTTGAATTCTTGGCACGTCATTACAAGCATTTGATCATTAATAGTTACATGTTTAAAGTTTACACTTCTAATTATTCCTACCTACAATATAGCATGATTTTGAAATACAAATGAATTAGATAGTTACATAAAGCTCTCACTATAAGCAGCAACTCAACCCTGTCATGCTATGTTATGCAAAATTCTTTACAAATTTATGTTTATTTTCCTTTCACTTCTCATTCTTTGTTATGATTCAAAGAATTAATAAATCAAACTTTAGGTTTTTATAGAGCTTTGTATCTATGGATTAAATTAAAAAATACCTAATCTTTAAAAAGATTTGAATGAAATATTAATTTCCTTGCTTTTCTTAAGAAGTCTTGCTTTGATTACTCACGCAATATTTTTTCCGTTCTGAAAATTGAAAACCAAGTTATTAAAATGACAAAGAAAACGTGCATCAATCTGATAAGTTTGAGGAAAAGCTTTTCCGTCGTTTCACCCTGTACAATATGATCCATTTAAAAATAGCAATTCATACAAATACAACAAACGAAGCCTACGATAGTTTTGATATCTATTTATTTATTGTATAAAATTATTCACGTTGCTATCTTCTGTCTCGATGAAACTTTTTTTCGTTTTTGGCGTGCTTTACGTAGAATGATATTCAGTTGGTTGATGTCTATTGGAATTTTTGTTCGCCCAATTTCAGTTTAGATTCCACGACTTCAAGTGCATGACTTGAAGTTTTACTTTTCATTGAATTTTTTTCTTTAGTTGATCATAAAGTGTAAGTTTAAGTAAGGAAAAGTTTAACGCTTACAAAGCAATTTAGTGAATAACAGAAAATTGGTTTCGATAGAATACTTAATTGATACTTATTTTGCGGAAAATCCAGTACTTCAGGGATTTTAGGAGGTACTTCAACTGAAGCAAGAATTGGATTATTGATTTTATGTAAAGTCATCATGATTTCACCAGCAAGTTTATGCGAAACCAAAGACAGAATTCATACAAATGAAGAAAGTAAAGAAAAAAAAGCAATCAAAGAAAATCAATTTTCTTATGATTATCTTTTGTTCTTCTTAATTTTCTTTTCAAGAAATAAATCTTCTGAACTCTATCAATGATATGCTTAAAGAACGACATGAGATTGAATCAAATTATAACCATCTTCATGTGAAGCTGTCACAAATGCAAACAGACGAAGCTGATCGCAAGGATAAGGTGAGATGAGTTGTCCTAAATAAATTCCTGAATATTTTCCGTAGTAAAAAGTAGAATTCAAATTCTTTCCCCATTTGAAAATTATTATTGTGGCAAAGGCAATAAAACGCGATTTTTACGGTTGTAAATTTGCTTTCGTAATGCCTTTAACCTATTTATTTCAATATTAAATAAGTTTTGTCAGTGAGCTTTTTCGAAAAATTTAACAAAGGTTAAAGACTTTTCATTGTCTACTTATTCAATTAGAGGAAAAATTATCGAAAAAAATAAAAGGGTGCAGATATCCAAGCTTGAGAAAAGTTTTTTCAAAATATTTTACATTTGGAAGTTTACAACTAACAAGCTTTTGACATGCCACGATATCTTTGCGAAAGTTTAATCTTTTATTCTTGTTCCAAGTACGATCATACACGGAAACATTATTTGAATGAATTGGAAAATCGTGGTCAAGAAACCTGTAAGGAACATGCAAGAGTCTTACATCAAGTTGAACATATCACATGGCATCTTGAAGGCTGCACTCGACATCGACCTTGTCTTGGTCGAATGCCAGAGAGTTGCCCAAAGAAAAATCTCCTTGCTTCAAATGCTTCTTGTGTCTCATCATCAGCTCCTACTTGCAACAGACCTTCAGCATTGGTAAGAATCACTCATAAAACATTAAATCATTTTCATTCATTTAATCATTGAATCGTTCATTTGAACTTCATCTTCCTTCATGCATTATTCATTGTTAAATGTCTCCTTCATTTGGATAACAAAAGGACTTTTTTTGTCAGGCTAACTTAAAAAACTCATCCGAAAAGTTGATCAAAAGTATTGTAGATTTACGCAAGAAAATTTACATTGTACAAGAAAAGCTTGATGGTGAAGTCAAGGTGAGAGTTCGAATCATTGGAAATTATTTAAATTTTTTATTGAATATTAACTATTGTAGCGTAAGAGAGACATGGAGAAAAAATTGTCAGAATTACGCAAGGATATTTCTCGTCAAAAGAAATCATTAACTGTGCGTCGACACACAAATAATCCACATACACCAATGGCCACATCAACAACTGGTTCAATGTCTCTCAGCCAATGTCCAATCATGAGTCAATCTGGTGCTGGTCATTCTTGTTCATCTTTGCCTCCGATCAAAAAAGCGTTATTGGCAAAATAACATAGAACCAACTCAGAAAGCGAATATCTCAATTTGTGTCATCATCAGAGTCATCAGAATAAACATCAGAAGTCTTCAAGAAAAGCTACAAAATATGCAAGATCACATTCATGTTCATCTACAAACACTGCTATTGAGTAAATTTCTGACACAATTCCCTTTCGTTTTCCAGAGTTGGATTACAAAAGATTATTCACAGTGTTTATAATGTAGAACAATTACAATGCCACTGCGGTTGAATTATTTTATGAAGTTAGAAATTTACTCTCTAATTTATATTAAGTCATTTAGCTTAAAATACTTATCAGTTGTTTATGTTTTTCTAATCTGAATGATTTTGTTGTTAAATTTTTAAGTGTTTTGACGATTATAAATTTAATAAGTTGATTGGTAAGTTGATAGAACAAGCATGAACAACAACAGCAATTGTTCAAAATATTCCAGAAAAGGATTTCAAGATACACATAGAAATATTTAAAGAAATATTCTAGGAATTTGATCATGCTCAAAGCATGTGAAAACATTTTATCATAAACAAATGACAAGAAAACTCTTTTTACAAACGACACTAACAGCTGAACAATCGATAAAAGTTCGCAAAATGTTGTCTCATGACGTCAGAAAAATGTTTTTGTTATACTTTGCACTCTAAGATTTCTTTACTTATTTCACATAAGCTACTTAAGTTAAAGAAAAGAAAGAAGATTATTATTGTAAATACATAACTTATGTAAAAATATAAAAATAACCTTGATTGATTAGCACTTTATTGACTTACATTGCATAATATGTAAGAGTTTGTAGTATCTTTACAAATTAAGTTAATTTTGTTGGAAATGTGTGATGATTTGCAGTGGTGATGTTTAACATCATAAACTCTTACAAGTTATGTGATGTAAGATGTAACTGACCAGCAAATGATTTTTAGTTCAATGTTCAATTGGTGTAACTTACTTAAAAGAAAGAAGTAAAAGTCATTATCATTACCATGATCAAATATCAAGCATCAAAAATGTAATTCATGATAAATGAATACCAAAACGTAATGGAAATGTTGAATGAATCGAGAAACTACCATCAATTACTAACCATTCAAAATGCTTAATAAAAATGTGAAACCCAATTTGGATTTGATGTTTGTTCTGAGTAATAGAAACCTTGGCGGAATAAACGGCGATATTTTCTTAATACTTATTAGTTACGCTTTTCTTCCTGTATCTTCGATCTGAGTGTTGTAATTAAATACACGAAATGACGATTAATAAATCGTGATTAAATCCGGTTAGTAAAAAATATTCTAATAAATGTTGTCATGATTCATATTTGCATTTATTGGAATTGTATCGTGACAAAAGTTATTTAATCTTATGTTCTAAGATCAAAGGTGATCGTAGCTGAAATAAAATAAAAACGTGATGCAGTGACAGATGGAAAAATAAATAAATAAAATGAATTTTAAAGTTCATTTGTTTTGTGAATATTTCATGAAGGAATGAGTTAGTGCAACTCTATGTAATTTGTAACATTCATTATCTTATCTCAATAATGAATTGCTACACGAACAAGCACATCGAGTTCTTTATTTAGTCTTATTTTGTTAACCCGAATGGAATTTTGACATATTTGCAATATTTTTCCGAACTTATCGTTTGATAAAAGAATAAAAAACTGCATCAAAATAGCCAAATAAATTGTTTTTGTTGATAGCACATGTTGCCATAGTATTATTAATTGGTAAAGCGATAATATTTTCATTCATATAAAAACCAAGATATCTTTAATAATAAAAACCACAATAAATTTCCGAGTGGCGATTTGTATTCCGGGAGTAGTTTCATTTAAATAATTGCTTGACAACTCGAGAAGTAGAACTTTACAAGTGTTAAATAATAAAATTAAACATCAGAAAATTGTTTTACTTCATAAACAAATCACGCACATTGTTAGTAGATAATAATGTAATGGAAAACAATAAAAACAAACTCTAATAGAATATTTAATAAAGTTCTAAAATCTTTCCAATTAAAATTCGATACACGTCTTGGAACCAGAAGAAAATTAAATTTGAATATAGCACACCATGCCCAATCACCTGTTTAACAAGCGTGGAAAACTAAATATTAATTGACTAGACTTCTAATTTTTTATTCCTACAAACCTCAAAATTCTCACCAGCTCTTCGATGTGTTGGTGAGTTCTGAGACATACATTCAATCATTCTAGTGTAGATTAACTTTTTTCCTTCCTTTTAAATNGATGTTTATACTTAAGCTAAGGAAAAATCATTAAAAACTTTTGAAAATTTTTATTTGATTCTTTTAGGATAATTTTTATTTTCTTTCTTTGGCGTTCGTAACAATCTACAATAGATAATGAAAACAAAAATAAGATAGACAAGATTGTTCTCCTGTAATATCTTGTAAAAATAATAATCGTGAGCGTCACACAATGAGAAAAGAATTTTAATAAATTTAAATTACACGAGTGTATCATCATAATTATAATTCAGTTCTTGTACTTGTTGATAGTTGCGAGAAGCTTCAGTTTCAGTCTTTACACGAAGCAACACTGATGTTGATGGTAGTTTTGATTCTGGGGTTGGAATGCACACAACCATTACGTTGTTCTTTCCAACACGACTTATTAGGAAGTCCATCAATTATCATAATGTTGAGCAGAATATTGTCAAGATTTGTGTCAGCTTGAACGATACATAAGTTGAATCTTTAAATCTTCAATTTTCTTAATGTACAAGGTACCAACGCCACGGTCAGCATAATCTGTTCCACTTTTAACAAAAAAATTTCAGCGTTTAGAGTAAAGACTATCGTCTTCAACAACAGGCACGAATTCATTTTTCGGAGGCTCTTCATCAGCATCTTCTTATTTAGAATCTTTCGACGTTTCGTCAGTTTTGGGAGCTTGAACGACATTCCCAAAAGAGAATGTTGCAGAAGCTTTTGAAAGTCCCCGAAAGAGTGGAGTTGAAGTCTCCGAAGGACTTTTTATTCCGAAAGAATAAGTTGATGTTGCAGTGCTTGGTTGTGAGCTCTCAAGTGTTTTTCCCGATCCAAAGAAGCCACCTTTGTTCTCTGGAGTGCCTATAATGGGTTTCGGTAGATAAACTAGAGGGGAAATTTTTTGTGTTTATGGGTTTTAAAGTGTTTATTAAAACCAGCAAACCAGCGCTGGTTTGCTGGTTTTCCGAAATTGTGCCTGCTGGTTTGCTGGTTTTTATTTTTCGCTGGTTTTGAGCAACCCTACGTCTTGGAACCAGAAGAAAATCAAATTTGAATATAGCACACCATACCCAATCACCTGTTTAACAAGCGTGGAAAACTAAATATTAATTGACTAGACTTCTAATTTTTTATTCCTACAAACCTCAAAATTCTCACCAGCTCTTCGATGTGTTGGTGAGTTCTGAGACATACATTCAATCATTCTAGTGTAGATTAACTTTTTTCCTTCCTTTTAAATACATTTACTGTTTGACTTCTAATCAGATTAGTAAAAATACAAAAGAAAAAGAAAAAAATTGGAAGCGAAATGAGTTTATATAAATTTTGTAGCTTCTGCATATTAACACAGTCGTTGTTTACAGTTCGTGGTGACGAGACAGTGAGTTGTGCAAACAACTGAGAACTTGTATACAAACATTGTGGACAAATATTAAGAATATTTGAAAAAAATTATTCAAGATTAA